CATACGAGAGGAGAGCGAGAAGAGACAGCGAGGTATAGTATTTATATCGCCGGGAGTATGCCCGGCCGAAAAGCCCAAAAGAGTACAAGATCGGAAAAGATTTACAACGAATAAAAAACATAAAAAGAACAAAAACAAGAAAAAAGAAGACGAGTCTATTCGGACTCGGACGTTTCCTCGCCCATGGACGAGTCGGCGTCCGAGTCGGCGGCGGAGAGGCCGGCGGAACGGCGGAGCTTCCGCTGGAGGCGGAGGAACTCCAACCTCTGGGCCTTGGTGGCGGCGGCGGCGGCCTGGGACTTCAAGGCCGAAGCGACTTCGACCTGCGAAACAAAGGACGGAAAAGCCAGGATTAGTACGGAATAGTCGAGGACCGGAGACCAAAAGAAGCTCACCATCACCGCTTTCATCTTTTCCGGGCTATCCCGGCGAACCTTCACGAACGAACACTTCGAAGAACCCCGAGCGTTGCACTCGAGGCAGGACTGAAAGCCACCGTTGGCCTTCCTCTTCGCTCGGCACTCGGCGAAGACCATCGTTTCGGCGGGATCGTCCCGCCACGCCCGGCAGCTCGTACAGCCTTTGGCGGGGACCATGGTCTTCTCCCACCGGGCGAGGGCCTCTTTGAGGCGGACGAGCTACGGAACGGAGACGGTTAGAGGCGGAAAAGTCTGAGAACGCCGAGATAAGAGACGGATACGTACGAAACCCTTCTTGGCGTCGGCGGCATCGCCCAGATCGCTCCCGACCCCCCTCTGACCGACGGCGAAAGACTGACCTCGGAACTTGATCGACTTCACGCCGGTGGCGGAAGTCTCGACGACGGGGGCGGCGGGCTTGGCGTTAGAGGACATATTCAAGATGTGGAGGGCGATTTGGTATGAAAGAGTATTGGTAGTAGTTGTCGAAGGGGGAAATCAAGAATCGACAAGAACAAACGGTCGAGACTATATACTGTTTGCTTCTCGACAATCGCGGATACAAACGCATAAGCGCAGCTGCGCTTTTACTACATACAAACGGGAACTTACGGCGAACAATAGCATCAAAGTACGACGAGCCAAACGATATACGACGATCATAGTATCGAGACAATACAAGAACGATATCGACAAGAATAGAGTTTGACGCGCTAAAGTCGCGAAGCGCGATGACGTAGGCGCGCGAGAGGCGTAGGGGACAGGGATCGGCGGAAGGGTACCTTATAGAAGGTCGAGGACGACCTTCTTTCGGAAAGGGGGATGTAATGTCACCGAGTGAAGATCGGAACCGGAACGTCGGCTCAGCATAACCTCGGACTTATCCCGACGCGCTACGGAACGCGCCTTTATTTGGCCTTTCCGCCCGATTAAGCCCAAGACGCGCTCTCGACCGGTCGAACACACCGCCGCAACGTAGTTTAGAGGAGGGCGATCTATTGTAGAGTAGAATGAGGAGCTTAGAACCGAATTGGGTTCTAAGCGACGATATCGAAGTTCATCATACCGTTACCTTCTGTATCGTGGACTAAGTCACAACGAAACGGCCGCTATAGTACCAAAACGCCCCGAACCGCCCAACAACTCCCGCGTCGACGTATTCTAGCCTCCCCGTGACAAGATGACGAGGGAGGATGAGGAGCGGGCCCGCAGGCCGGACCTGTGGGACTGGGACGTCAAGCCCACCGACTCGATTCAAAACGAACTCGATCCTCCCGAGTACATGGAGAAGTTGCGAGACGTTGTGCCGAAGAAGTACCATGAGTACCTCGGAGCGTTCTCCAAGACGAAGGCAGACTCGCTGCCGCCGAAGCGCTCGATCGATCATGCGATCGAGCTGAAGCCTGGGACAACTCCCACGTATGGGAAGTTGTACAACCACTCGCAGAAGGAGACGGACGCTCTCAAGGCGTGGTTGGCGGAGAACCAGGCGAAAGGGTTTATTCGACCCTCGAAATCCTCGTGTTCGAGTCCGGTACTGTTCGTACCGAAGAAAGGGGGTGAATTGAGGCTGTGTATTGATTACCGCCGCCTCAACGAAATTACCGAGAAGGACAGGACCCCCCTGCCGCTTATCTCGGAGACCTTAGATCGCCTACGGGGATCGAAGGTATATACGAAGATGGACCTGAGGGGAGCGTACAACCTCCTGAGGGTCAAAGAGGAGGATGTTTGGAAGACCGCGTTCACGACACGCTATGGTCTGTTCGAATGTCTCGTCATGCCATTCGGTTTGACAAACGCGCCGGCGACGTTCCAGCGCTGGATGAATCAGGTCTTCCAGGACATGTTAGACGTGTGTGTGGTCGTCTATTTAGACGACATATTGATTTACTCCGCCGATCAGGAGACACACGACGAGCACGTACGGGAAGTGCTGAGGAGGCTACAGGCGAATGGCCTGTACGCAAAGGCGGAGAAGTGTGAGTTTGACACGACGGCGACGGAGTTCTTGGGGTATGATATTGCCCCTACGGGGGTCAGCATGAACCCGTCGAAGGTGAAGTCGGTGTTGGAGTGGGCGGCGCCTCGAAATATTCGAGGCCTGCAGTCGTTCTTGGGGTTCGCGAATTACTATCGCCGGTTCATACAGAACTACTCCAAGAAGATTCAAGGCATGACGGCCTTGACAAAGAAAGGGGTGAAGTACCACTGGCCGGAGTCAGCGGATGCTGCCTTCAAGGAGTTGAAGAAGGCGTTCACCGAGGCGCCCATCCTCGCTCACTACGACGAGGAGCGCCAGGTGGTACTGGAGACGGACGCATCATCAGGTGCGATGGGAGCGGTGATGTCGCAGGTAGGGGACGACGGGAAACTACATCCCGTGGCGTTCATGTCGAAGAGCCTTACGCCGGCTCAACGAAACTACGATGTACACGATCGCGAGCTGCTCGCCATCGTGTACTGCTGCCAGATATGGCGGCATTACCTAGACGGGAAGTTCCCGGTGAGGATCCTTACGGATCACAAGAACCTGGAGTACTTCAAGAAGGACAAGATGTTGTCCCACCGACAAGCGAGATGGTCTCAACTGCTGAACCAAATCTCGTACACGTTGGAGTACAAGCCGGGGACAGAGAACGGGAAGGCTGACGCGCTCAGCAGGAGAGAGGAGTTGATGGAGGAGACGGAGCCCAAGCAGGCAGAGACCCTGCTGCGCCCCGTTAATGCAGACGCGTTGGTGGTCAGCGCAGCGACGGTACAACCCCCGTTGAGGTTGTGCGGAACGATCCCCGTCATAGGGGATTGGTTTTTGAAAGCGTTGATCCCTGCGGGACAAGAAGATCCGGTCGCGAGAGACCTGATCAAAGGCGTCAAGGAGGGAACCTTGACGAATAGTCGGTACAGTCTGAGCCCGGGAGGCGCGCTCATGTACGACGGGCTGGTGTATGTTCCCGATGCGGGAAGCTTGAAGACGGAGCTCTTGAAGAGGCTCCATGATGGGAAAACCGCCGGACACTACGGGCGGGACAAGACGGAGGACCTGGTGAATAGAGATTTCTACTGGCCGGGTATGAAGGCGTGGATTAGCCAGTATGTGGCTAGCTGCGACAAGTGCCAGAGGAATCGGAGGCCAAGGGCCAAGCCAGTCGGGGAGCTGGCTCCCCTGAAGGCGGAGACGGAACCCTACCAGTCGATCACATGGGACCATATCACGGACCTACCGGAGTCGAGGGGTTCGAACGCGATCCTGGTGATCGTCGACCGCTTCAGCAAGCGGGCACATTTCGTGCCTTGTCGGAAGGACAACGACGCCAAGGTGTTGGCACAGATGTTCCTGCAGGAGTGGGTACGATTGCATGGGTTTCCCCGGCAGATCATCTCGGACAGGGGAACGCTGTTCACATCGAGGTTCTGGAGGGAGTTCTGTGAGTTGTCCGGTGTCGAGCCTAGTTATTCGACCGCCTTCCACCCCCAGACGGATGGTCAGACGGAGCGCAGTAACTCGACGCTCGAACAGTACTTGCGGACGTACGTCAATTACCAGCAGGACGACTGGACCGATTTGTTGCCCATGGCGGAGTTCGCCTACAACAACTCGAAACACTCGGCGATCGGTATGTCGCCGTTCATGGCATCGGAAGGGCGGGAGCACGCCGTCGAACTCCCCATGCCTATCGCCAAGGATTCGGCTGTGGAGTCGATACAGGAGTACAGAGAGCGGATGAACAACATCTGGGAGTCTGTTAATGTCGCGCTGAGACAGGCCAGGGAGGATATGGCGAAGTACGCGAATCGGAAGCGTACGGCGGTACCGGATGAGGGGTACAATGTTGGCGACATGGTGATGTTGTCGTCGGCTCACGTCAATACCGTGAGGCCGAACAAGAAGTTGGAGTGGAAGACCTACGGCCCGTTCAAGATCACGGAGGTCGTAGGAGAAGGTCGCATGGCGCGACGTTTGGAATTGACACCGGGGATGCGTAGAATCCACCCGGTGTTTCATGTCTCGCTGCTCATCCCGTACAAGCCGAACGAGCTTCCTGGGAGAGCAGTGGACCCACCCCCTGAGCCAGAGGTGCTGGACACTGGGGATTTGGGGTGGGTGGTATCGGAAATCGTACACTCCAAGGAGTTGCGTTCAACGCGCGCCGGGCGTAGGACCCAGTACTACGTGCGCTTCAAGGGGTACGGGGACGAGCACAACGAGTGGGTTAGCCCCTCGGATTTCCACCACAACGACACGCTGGTGCTGGAATTCCATAAGCGACACCCTGAGTTGCCGGTACCGGGCCGCCAAGAGTACGGCGATGCTTGATGCGCTCGGAGCTCGCATCTAGGAGGGGGATCCTATTATAGGCGTCACGTGACGCGCGACCTACGGTGCGCGTCGCCTCGGGGTCTCGTTCGGAGACCCTCTCGGAGACCCTCTCGGAGACCTTTTAGGAGATGTTCTCGTAGACGTCTAACTAGTACCTTGTAGTAGTTAGACATCCGTTATTACATTACTATGCCTACCGTTACCTTTCCCCAGTCCCGCGACCTTATTACCTCAAGACCCGGCAGGTCGGCTGCCAGGCCTTATACTAGACCAGCGGGACCTTGATGTTTAGCTCGTTCCCGAGTGGTATCAAGCACTCGGTCGATCACCCAGACCAAAATCCGCACTGCTTGGCGCTTTGGAGCGATACGGTCGATACGGGAGGTCATAACCCCTAGACCAGCGGGACCTTGATGTTTAGCTCGTTCCCGAGTGGTATCAAGCACTCGGTCGATCACCCAGACCAAAATCCGCACTGCTTGGCGCTTTGGAGCGATACGGTCGATACGGGAGGTCATAACCCCTAGACCAGCGGGACCTTGATGTTTAGCTCGTTCCCGAGTGGTATCAAGCACTCGGTCGATCACCCAGACCAAAATCCGCACTGCTTGGCGCTTTGGAGCGATACGGTCGATACGGGAGGTCATAACCCCTAGACCAGCGGGACCTTGATGTTTAGCTCGTTCCCGAGTGGTATCAAGCACTCGGTCGATCACCCAGACCAAAATCCGCACTGCTTGGCGCTTTGGAGCGATACGGTCGATACGGGAGGTCATAACCCCTAGACCAGCGGGACCTTGATGTTTAGCTCGTTCCCGAGTGGTATCAAGCACTCGGTCGATCACCCAGACCAAAATCCGCACTGCTTGGCGCTTTGGAGCGATACGGTCGATACGGGAGGTCATAACCCCTAGACCAGCGGGACCTTGATGTTTAGCTCGTTCCCGAGTGGTATCAAGCACTCGGTCGATCACCCAGACCAAAATCCGCACTGCTTGGCGCTTTGGAGCGATACGGTCGATACGGGAGGTCATAACCCCTAGACCAGCGGGACCTTGATGTTTAGCTCGTTCCCGAGTGGTATCAAGCACTCGGTCGATCACCCAGACCAAAATCCGCACTGCTTGGCGCTTTGGAGCGATACGGTCGATACGGGAGGTCATAACCCCTAGACCAGCGGGACCTTGATGTTTAGCTCGTTCCCGAGTGGTATCAAGCACTCGGTCGATCACCCAGACCAAAATCCGCACTGCTTGGCGCTTTGGAGCGATACGGTCGATACGGGAGGTCATAACCCCTAGACCAGCGGGACCTTGATGTTTAGCTCGTTCCCGAGTGGTATCAAGCACTCGGTCGATCACCCAGACCAAAATCCGCACTGCTTGGCGCTTTGGAGCGATACGGTCGATACGGGAGGTCATAACCCCTAGACCAGCGGGACCTTGATGTTTAGCTCGTTCCCGAGTGGTATCAAGCACTCGGTCGATCACCCAGACCAAAATCCGCACTGCTTGGCGCTTTGGAGCGATACGGTCGATACGGGAGGTCATAACCCCTAGACCAGCGGGACCTTGATGTTTAGCTCGTTCCCGAGTGGTATCAAGCACTCGGTCGATCACCCAGACCAAAATCCGCACTGCTTGGCGCTTTGGAGCGATACGGTCGATACGGGAGGTCATAACCCCTAGACCAGCGGGACCTTGATGTTTAGCTCGTTCCCGAGTGGTATCAAGCACTCGGTCGATCACCCAGACCAAAATCCGCACTGCTTGGCGCTTTGGAGCGATACGGTCGATACGGGAGGTCATAACCCCTAGACCAGCGGGACCTTGATGTTTAGCTCGTTCCCGAGTGGTATCAAGCACTCGGTCGATCACCCAGACCAAAATCCGCACTGCTTGGCGCTTTGGAGCGATACGGTCGATACGGGAGGTCATAACCCCTAGACCAGCGGGACCTTGATGTTTAGCTCGTTCCCGAGTGGTATCAAGCACTCGGTCGATCACCCAGACCAAAATCCGCACTGCTTGGCGCTTTGGAGCGATACGGTCGATACGGGAGGTCATAACCCCTAGACCAGCGGGACCTTGATGTTTAGCTCGTTCCCGAGTGGTATCAAGCACTCGGTCGATCACCCAGACCAAAATCCGCACTGCTTGGCGCTTTGGAGCGATACGGTCGATACGGGAGGTCATAACCCCTAGACCAGCGGGACCTTGATGTTTAGCTCGTTCCCGAGTGGTATCAAGCACTCGGTCGATCACCCAGACCAAAATCCGCACTGCTTGGCGCTTTGGAGCGATACGGTCGATACGGGAGGTCATAACCCCTAGACCAGCGGGACCTTGATGTTTAGCTCGTTCCCGAGTGGTATCAAGCACTCGGTCGATCACCCAGACCAAAATCCGCACTGCTTGGCGCTTTGGAGCGATACGGTCGATACGGGAGGTCATAACCCCTAGACCAGCGGGACCTTGATGTTTAGCTCGTTCCCGAGTGGTATCAAGCACTCGGTCGATCACCCAGACCAAAATCCGCACTGCTTGGCGCTTTGGAGCGATACGGTCGATACGGGAGGTCATAACCCCTAGACCAGCGGGACCTTGATGTTTAGCTCGTTCCCGAGTGGTATCAAGCACTCGGTCGATCACCCAGACCAAAATCCGCACTGCTTGGCGCTTTGGAGCGATACGGTCGATACGGGAGGTCATAACCCCTAGACCAGCGGGACCTTGATGTTTAGCTCGTTCCCGAGTGGTATCAAGCACTCGGTCGATCACCCAGACCAAAATCCGCACTGCTTGGCGCTTTGGAGCGATACGGTCGATACGGGAGGTCATAACCCCTAGACCAGCGGGACCTTGATGTTTAGCTCGTTCCCGAGTGGTATCAAGCACTCGGTCGATCACCCAGACCAAAATCCGCACTGCTTGGCGCTTTGGAGCGATACGGTCGATACGGGAGGTCATAACCCCTAGACCAGCGGGACCTTGATGTTTAGCTCGTTCCCGAGTGGTATCAAGCACTCGGTCGATCACCCAGACCAAAATCCGCACGCTTCGCGTGCGGGGCGCCTACGGCGCCTTTCATTTCCACACTCCACCTGTTCCTGCAATGGACACGGCGGTCTCTGTCCCGCGCTCTGCTCACCGCACCAGCAGGTATGCTCCTCTGCAAGGTGGGTCTCCTATATGACTTGGCCACATGAGCGACCACCTTTCCAAATCACCAAGACTTCCTGCACCATGATCGCTTGTGCGCCTGTCCATTGGTCTTCAGCAAAGCGCTTCATCCGAAACGACACGCTGCGCAAATACTTCGAGCCATGGCGAGGACTTGCCTTATACTGTATGATACTCATCTACCGTGATCCAGAGTTCATGATATTCCTCGACAACACATGTCACCACAGCGAATACAGTCTGATGAGCTGTATCGGCGCCGCTAATAGGATCAGGCGAGGGGTTTGCACCGATTAGATTCGTATCGGGTCCCGTAGGTCTGCTCTTCGGTCATCACGACAAACATGGGATTCGACGACACTGCCTCGCTGCCGGGACTTTTCAGGTCTGAACACTGCTACCAAGCTATCCATCCGCCTGCGAGGTTCTTCCCGGCTCTCTTCAGCCATGTCGATCAGTTAGGGTGATGCTGATTGGATGACTGCCGCCTGTCTGGAAAGGGTTCGAGACTTTGGCTGTGACTTGCGACACTATCTGATAGGCGAGAGAGGCGTCGATAGGCGCAAAGCAAGCGAGACCAGCAGATTTTTGGGCTTGGTGGTTGCTAGGACGATGTGTGTCTACTATTGATGGTGCCCATCCGCCGTCGCTTCTGCTCAACAAATGTTCCACCGGTGCCAAGCGACTCGAACCTCGAAAGTGACCCAGATGCGTGATAGCGAGATGAAACGGGAGTCGTCTTGCGCTTCGGTCGCCGGAGGGATCCCATCTCTATTGGCACGACTGGTGTCATATTACGGCCTTCCTGTGAAACAGCCGCGCAAACCTCTCCGCGTACATCATACAGGCCTCATTACCGTCTTGCTGGCCACCATACGATCCAACAGACCCAAACCCCATTGCCGGTGAGTACGGCTCGCCAAGTTGCATCGTCAGCGAACACAATCCGGCAGCGATGCTTGCGTTTCACTTTGACGGATCACCTAGCGCCACTGATGTGGCCATCGTCATACTCATACGTCAACCAACATCAAATTGGCAGTTGCGCCTCCGTCAAATACTCCCCATCTCCTTCAACAACCGCCCAAATACCACCACCTCCCCGGTCCCGACCTCGATCGCCAGGTCCCGCCCCTGATCCAACTCGATCCCATACTTGCCCTCATCTCCACGGTCATCCGCGCGATTGCATCGACGCACGACCTCTTGCCACGCCGGAGTCGGCCCCACGTCGTGACCCAAGCCGACGCCCTCCTTACTGAAGGCGTCAGAGACGAGGTATCCGCCTGACCACTCTCTGAACTCGCCCGGCACGATGAACGAGATGGCGACGCCGTGTCTGTGTCGAAATTTCCGCCGGGTCAGCAAGTACTGCAGCGCCCGCCAATTCGTTGGCCGATCTACTGAACCCACCTCGTGTCACCTCGACGCCAGAGCAGCACCCACCGACGCTTCGTACACACGACGAGCTCGGCCGACATCGCCTCGCCTGCCTGTAACAGGGCTTCGAGGCAAGGCGAGACGAGTTTGGCGTACTGCACGTCGTCACGGTCGTATCAGCCGGGCCATTCTTTCCTTATTGCACACACGCTTCAAGTCGACCCCGAACTCACCTGGAAAAACCCGCCCAACCCCAACCCATCTCCAAGCTGTTCTTCGAGCACCGTCTGCAGCAAGTCGCGGACCGTTTCTCGAAGCGAGTCGTTCAGGTCGATGTCGAGTCGCTCTATCGTGTAGACCTGCTGCTGCACATGGCGAGGCGTCGCTAGCAGGATAGATTGGCCCTGGGGAAATCAAAGCAAGATCCCACCGCCGAGACGGAAGTCAGCGATCGTTCAAGTCGTCTCGATGCCCAACTCGACCTCACCTGACGATACTCTAGCCATACTCCGGCGAGATCATATCGCAATATCGTCAAACCTCCAGAATCGACAGTGGCGCCACTCGTCTCTGTCGCACGATTGGCTGTGGTACGAACCAGCGCGCTATCAGCCAACCCAGTAACATGACACCCCAGCCGGACCTGACCGACTCACCCTCTGCCAATAGCCGCAATAACATGCCTACCCTTGCAAACTCGTCAAACAGACCTTCGACATAGTCTCGCGAGGTGTTCGTCTCCACCGACACGCTCGCCGTCGCCGGGCGCGTGTCGAGCCGGACGATCCATCTGGAGTTACCGGTCGCCTCGTGAGTTTTGGTCGTCGACGCTCGGTCGGACGTGCTGGCAACCCGGACTGCTTTGGGTCGCAGTGCCAGACGAGCGGTGATCTGCAGGTCCTCCAGGACGAGGGAGGGCAGAAAACGTGTCAGTCATCAGTATCACTGCGGCCGCGACACAGGGGACAGTCGTTCTTCGACACTACGCGCACCTTGCTCGGCCGCACGGTACCGCCATGTCCACGCTCTATCGAAATGTCGATTACGTCGCTGATCATCCCTTGAACGTCTCGATCCGGAAACATGTACCTCGCGGAAATGGCGAGTTTCCTCTTGGTACCGCGTGGTAGACCTAGCCCACTAGCAAGCATCTTGAGAGGCACAGCCTCAGCGTCGGGAATGGGTGGCATTCCCCTCCCGGTGAATTGAGCAGCGACGAGTCGTGTCGTAACGACAGCACTGGTCGAGGCCCCGACAGTCAGTCCTTGGATCTTTTTCAAGGGCTTGCGAATGCAGGCGCGACTCACTTGCAAAAGGCAAAGATCCTCTGGAGATCATCGAGCGACAATTCAAAGCTGTGCCTCGCCGAGATTTTAGATTGACTCGGATGAGCCCACAAGAGCATTCGTTGGACGGACCCCGGCCGACTCACCTGAGAGCCCGCAGCTGACTCCGACTCAAACGGTCATAGATCATGATGGTCTTGGCTCGACACCGACGACCGACCTGTTGTGCCAGCGGCAGATCTGCCACATTGAGCCATTCCATATCTGCTATCGTGCGTCTCTCGGCGCCAGGTGCTCCAGCTATAGATACGCCGTTCGTGCCCTTGTTGAAGGCAAAGTGGACTATCGCCAGTGTCAACGAGTTGGCATGCAGTGCAAGCAAGACCGATTTGCTCGGATCCGCTGGCAACGCTGCGTGCAGGACCGGCTTCATCGGTTGCCCGGGACCGGTAGAAGCCAGATTATGGGCATCGAGTTCTAGGAAGAGAGAGCCTGGTTGGCAAACCGTCCGCCAGCATGACATTATACCATCTGGTTTGAACTTACCCTGCGTTGATACGCCGAGATCTCGATAAGGATGCAGTTCGAGGCAGCGTAGCTTTTCTTCCAAAGCATCGCGAGCAAGCTGTAAACCGGAATTTCCTTCTGATTAGCTTCCAGCTCGGTCAGCCGTTGATATCATGCAACTCACCATCGTTCTCGTATTGACAAGAACGTCCAACAGTTTGTCCGTATGGATGTTAGCCAACCGGGAACTCGTAGCAAGTCGCAATTCGACACTCGACGCCATGGTCGCGTCGGCCTCCCCGATGTGCAACTGTCCGGTAACGGTATTGATCTGCAGCTTCAGCCAGCGTTCGTCGTAGATCCGCAGGACCACGTTTGATCCGAGCTCTATCGTTAATCGTGGTGATTAGCAGGTCGAGCCATGGCAGAATTGGAATGTTGATGACGTACCAGTGACTACTACTGAGACATCATCTGCCTGGAACATTCCTGCTGATACCAGCCTTTCGTCCATGAACGTTTTGAGCCCGTTTGTGACCTGTTCGGCGTGGAAAGTAACGATATCCAGCAAGATGGCTTCGACGTCGAGGTCGTCCGGGTCCTAGAACGTGCGGGTTGAGATCCGATGCCAGGATCAGCTCGATTCGAGCCCACATCATCAGGGCGGTACCGATCCTCACGACTCCAAACACATCCTCGTCGACCACGGGTTTCGTACCCGGATTGACACCTAACCACCCTGCTTCCGGGTGCCAATCGACCTCGAGCGCAAATATGGCCGGTTGAACATCAGGCGCAGCGCCGTACAAGACGTCATCATCCTGCGAAGCGATCCGAGCTATCCTGATGACAATTTCGCCCCCATATAACGGTCCATGGCTTTGCGACGATCGACCGGAAAGATTCGTTGATTGCAGCGTCGGTTTCCTGATCAGCAAGGGCGAATCAGCCGCTCTGCAGGCAAGATTAAAATCGGCTCGTTCGCGACTCACGACCAGTAAGTCATCGCAAAGCTTTTGCGGTCTGGGGACATCTTGACCCGAAGATTTCCGGCCCACTCGGACGCTTCCAGCTCTTTGGCTTGCTGGAATAGCGTCTCGAGCTGATGTGATAGGGAGAGTAACTCTACAGGAACGAGAGTTATTCCAGATAAGCGACGTGTAAAACGATAATGCTCCTTCGAGCCTATAGCAGACTTACGAAGGACATCAAACAACTTGTGAAACGTTTTGCAGCGTGGTAGCAACTCGTCCTGCCCCAGACTAGCTTCCATCGCGATCCGGCCTTCATATAGACTTCCGAGTACTTGGGTGTCGATCATCTCACACAAATGAAGCTTGAGTTCTTGAGGGATCTCGGCCGGATGCGCTGATGGGCGTCATAAAGCAGAGGTCAGCAAGGGGTGACAATTCCTCCTCACTTGACCCACACTTGACTCACCGTTTTTACCCTTGAGATCTTGTTTGGCGACATACAGGAAACGAAGATCTGACATGACCCACTGTTTGCGCGGATCGACTATCCCTAATGTCACGGCGCATTCGAAAAGTCTGTCCGCTCTCAAGTACAGCTTGCCGTCACCTGTCCGACAAGCAAGGAGAGTGATCAGCTGAAGCAGAACTAGGCGCCCAACCGAGCGAGAAGAGTGGCGGGCCATGACTCACGAATAGCAACCACCTGTAACCGTGAGGGCAAGTCCTCCTCGACCTGAAGCCGATACGCTATCAGCTCGTTCATCTCCTGGAGCGTATCACTGCGACCTTGCGCTGTGAGTGGTTTCGGGGGCACGTAGGTGGACTGTCTTCCAGCGTCATAGGGTTAGTACTGCGATACTCGTGTATAGACTCAGGGCTCCCACTTGCGTCAAGGTATTGAGGCCCAGACTTGAAATCCCCATTGACAAGCAGGTCGAGGGCGGTGTTCACATCAGGGGTCTGTAGCCTGTCGGCGAAGAGAAAATTTGCCAGTACTCGTTTAGTTGGAGTCCAAGCCGTGGCATAACCTGATAACAGCAACTGACTGGAATGTCTTTAAATGCTCGGCGAAAAAGTCGAGCAGTAGACGGACTTGACGATTATGTTCATTCTGACTGTCTTGCCATTCGTCTAGACCCTGATTGTTCAGCAATATCAGCTCAGAAAGGATTCGGAGAGCTTCACGCCGCGACGTCTTCTGGTCAAGCAAGAAGTGATTCATGATTGAAATCTAAAGCTTACGGTAGCCAGACTGAGCTTTCCCACTTTCCCCCCGTCTGGGAGCACCTTGTCTACGTCGACTTGTTTCCACTTCAACATGACCAACAGCTTGATCAATGCTGCTCGGGCATGAGTGACATAGTGGATCACATGTCTCGACCGGTCCTGTTCAGGGATGTTGCCAGATTTCAAGCTATACGAAGCAAATCGCAAGCACGAGTGCAGACACGATTGCGATGTCTCATGAACTGTAGCTTTTACTCTCGGATGATGCACGTAGAGATGCATGACGCATGGCTTACCGAGCGAAAAGCTGTCTCAGATCCTCATACTGCTGCTTGACAGTCCGGTCCACCAACCAGCCGTAATCGACCTTCAAACCCGGAGGACTGGACAGCTGTTCGGCCTGCTCGTAAAGCAGTCGAGCGGGCGTGGCTGAGCCCTTGTCGCCTTCCATTTCGAGGCACCGCTTCGTGCAGAATCGAAAGGCTGGTCGGTGTTCGAAAAGAGGTATGTCTCGATACGTCAGAACTTGAACACAGTAAGTGAACAGGGTCGAGGTGCGTTCTAGCTGCTGGCTGCCTATGTCCAAATGTCTTGATTACGAATTAATAATAAATAGATATTTGACACGTCACTACGGTGAAATTCTGATAAGCCACAGTCGCCGAGCCTTGCAGAGTGTCACGGATATCGTCGAAGGAGAAAGCAAACTGCAGCCGTCGATGTCTTTATCGCAGGCCTAGGGAAGACTGGTAGAAACCTGGTGGTCTTTCCCAACCTAGAACCCGGAGGCAGTTAGCATCTTGGCTCTTTGCGTATGCTCAGACCCAGCATGCTCGCGCACTGAATATCTGACCAGGGAAGGGGCGGATGTCAGTGCGTAATGCGGCCAGGTGGCAGACTGCAAACAAGGCCAAGGCGCCGGTCGAACACACAAGAACTGTTCCGCGAGAAATGATATAGCGCAAAATCGATGAATACATCACACTACCTGCTACGAACAGTCTCGTTACACATTCGATCGAAGAACTGCCCCTCGATCGAGGACCGGTTCCTGGAACGTCAAAGTCAAATCCACGGTATTGGTACGGGATCGGTCGGTAAGTTTCGTCCCCGTGGACCGTCCACTTGCCAAGATCCCTGTATCTTCGCCCTGAGGGTTCGTAGGCAGCTCCATGGGTGCTTGTGGTAGCCTGAGGACGGCTCCTGACGAGGTCGAGCGGGTCTTTGTGATCGTCAAGGTATGGTGGAAGCCCTTGCCGAGCGGGATGGTGATGCCATGAATGAGAACCGAGGTCAGGACGAGGAACAAGACCACCGGTTCGATAACGGCCCGTAGTTGAGTTCGCTCTTCCGGTATGTTTTCGAGCGCCACTTGAATGTAAAAGACGGCCGACACGCCGATGCATCCGAAGAACCCCGTGAAAGCGCCCTCACCATAACCCTTCAAGGCGGGCATCAGGCGGGTCAGTGCAGTCACCCAGGGTGGGCGCCGAAGGGCTATGATCGCGATGCCCAACAGGATTAAGCGCCAGGTATAGATGCCAAAATATTTATCAAACTGTGACCATGGCAAGATCGTTCCACTGTGATAGAAAAAATCGCTGTCAGCCAAGCAACGATGAATATCTTTGCCCAAGGAGACTTGCATGTAGATGAACACCGACGAGTTGAGCAGGAGATCGATAACATCTTGGACGGCGTGTTCTTCCGTCTCGACACGGAACCTAGAGTAGAAACAGTCAGCACGTTCCAATGCAGTTCTGCCTCTGCGGTCCGATCCAAGGGACTGACCAATCATCCCAGCTGAAGCTGTTACCAAGGATGAAACAGGCTGGATTCCAGAAAAGGGTGTCAGCCGAGGCGTTCTCCAGATTAAGGGAAGGAGGCAGCATAGAGAGACACTCACCTAAGATATCGTCGGTCCCGAGAAGGCCACAGACACCAAGCGTAAAGAACGCCGCCGCCATTCCGAACGCCAGGAAGGAATCGTGATCGACAAGCTGCTTCCGTTCTGCCCATCGCAGAGCTTTCCGGAAAACGCTGCATGACAACGTGTGTCAGCAATCGCGAACCCAAGCGACAAAGTTGGCATCAAGATTTGCTCACTATCCCAAGACACTGCCGATGACTACGGCGAGCAAGACTTGGTAGATGAGTGTTTCGTAAATCCTGTTACAGGCAATACGTCAACATTCTCTCTGCCGATCAGCACCCGGCCGGATATACGTACCAGTGACCTATCGCCCAGCCAAGACTATCGGGAAAGCCCTCTGTGTGCCTTCTTATGAGAAACAGTCCTATGAAGAGGAAAGGATAGCCCAAGCCATCGTCTACGGGTAACCGACGTCAGCATCGTCGTTTTCGCAGATGTCGATCAGAAACTCACTTGCACCAGACTCGGCGACTATACGTTTCCGACTCTGTATGAGCACTCGTTCGTCTAACAGAAAATCTTCTTAATCGGACGCCTCCGCTTACTGATCAGATTCCTGACGTTAGGCGGTACATGCTCCTCTGCGAATCTACCTTTGCAGATAGCGTTGGCCAAGACCGGGTCGGTCGGAGTAACGCAAGAAGCGATGACCAGGGATTCCAACTAACGACGGTTCCTCTAAATCAGTTCGAGATGATGTAGGACGAGTTGACCGTGACAGGAAGACTAACGTAGGTCAACCCAGGAATCAAGCCCCAAATCAGCAAGCCGCTGACGAACCAGCCTGAAAGCATGGCTGGTCCGAGAAGCGTTGCCAGTGATTTCCATTCCTTCTTCAAATACGCTTTGGGCAGGTCGATCCCGGCGAACAAGACCTGAATACCTGTCAGGCGTCAAGGAGGGTAAGAACATGTTGATTCGCTAGAGATCTATAGTACAAACCAATGATGATCCTTGTAACTGTATTCACGAGGTGGTTTCAGCCTGGAAAACCATATAGGCCGGAGTCAATCTTCCAGCTCACTTTGCAGGGTGAGGTAGCGATACCGCTCTTCGTCGTAGTCGACCCATTCGTGAGGATTGACCCAGTTCAATGCTACCGGCCCTATAGCTATACCGAGCCCCACAGCCAGGATGGATTCGGCTATAGACACTCTGAGTCAGCTCGAGAATCGATACTAACAATCTCCGTTCCGATGCTCACAGATGAAGAGCCTGTTCTTGACAAGGTATGAGACGAGCCCAACGACGATAATGTACGTCCTAAAAGGGGCAAGACCATCAGTCCACCGCCCAAGCAGGTAACAGTTTTGCCTTGGTGGCGTACCCAAGAATGGCTAGCGTCTTCGAGATGTCGGTTACGTCCACGAAGACCGCCATCTTCGTAACTTCAGATCGTGTGATTCACAGCCGTGTAGCTGTCGGGAGTTTGTGTTATTCTCCTAGAGTAACGCAGCCGTTACGAAGAATGACCGCAGGTGTGATGTTTGTCGCCGTCTGTGCAGCACCGCTCATGGAAAGGTGACTCTTCGAGGAAGAAAGGACTGGGATATCAACGCTGCGGGCCTTGCGAGCCGAGTTGCCTAGTTCTACGCAAGGATATACGGGATCGGAACAGAGTTAGGATGATACGGCCGATATGGATGAGTAGCTTGAGGATCTTTGATCGAGCTGATCGATGATGATCACGGATCGGGGACCACGAGAAAGCAGTACTGAGCATGTTCTATTTATAAGCACAAAAAAGAACCGGTAGCCGGCGGAAGCATTTCATGTTCCACCTTTCAACCTCTCTATTCCTCTATCCCAGCTCGAATCGCATCGTTCTTTCGCTGGTTCGACCTGGCAGGGCCTTTATCAGGCAGATGAACTTCCCTCATCCCCATACAAGCCAATAGTCCCGCTACGGCTAGTCCTACCTGGACCCAGAATACGGCGTGCAGAGCATGCGAGTATGCGTCGACAGCAAGGGTGCGGGTAGCAGGATCGAGCTCGGCGATGGACGAGGTCGAATGGCGGATACGGGTGATTATCTGCTCAGATACACATCGACTAGTCAGCCTGGGTAGTCGTTTGAATCATGTGGCGTCACCAACCTCGCTGGCGTCGGGCCCCGTGAGCGTCCGAGTCAACTGCTTCGTCAATATAGATTGCGCAATGCTGCTAGTAATGCCAACCCCGATCACCTGTCCGGTCGTCCGGAACATATACGAAACTGGAAGATGACGAATCAGAGACACCAGTATCAGTTCGCTATCGACAAAATACTACCCGAGACCACTCCTACTTACTCCCGGTCGCAACGGCCATATCTTCCGTCTTGACGGACCCGATCAAAGCGATCAGAGTACTCGTGATAACCCCCGACACCCCAAACCCGTTTGGAACGATCGCGATCCACAGGAGCCAATCTGGGCTATCAACCGTGAACTGGGTCATGGCGAGAGACGATACGACCGCAAGACCGGCCATGAACGAGGTCATCCACCAGTATTTCCCCGTGGCTCGCATGTATGCGCCGGCTGCTACCGAGCCTAGAGCCAGGGCGATCTAGAAAGGCGGTTGACTTCAGATGGCTGTCAAACCTTCCATACAATACCGTTTGAGACTCACACTATTAGGAACCAGGTGTGCTCCAGCGACAGCCGAAGATGTCAACTTGACCGCAGAGAAGAACAGAGGGTAATTGTATAGCTGCAACGGAACTGAGGATCAGTTTTGGTAGTGCGGTGACATGCCTATGAACTGGCCGAACTCACTGCACTGAACGCCATGGCCGAGAGCAAAAAATTGCTCAAAGCGACTGCTGCAGGGGTTCGTTGTCTGTACCGAGATGCACATAGAATGTTAGCGAGACCCCGCAGATGGACAGATATTGAAATGCCGACTCACGTTACCAGCCTCATAGGCATCAACGGGGCCTTGGCAACGTATTTCTCGACCAAGACGAAGGCGATTGCAAAGATTCCGCTGACTAAAAGCAACACCCAGACTTTCGGATCGCTCCAAGGCAACTCGGTATCCGCGCTTGTTTTGAGCGTCATCCCGACCAGCAGACAGGAGACTGCGCTGACCAGCGTGATCGACCCGAGGAAATCCACCTTGGCGAGCTTCTGCCTGGGCGTTTCCCCCGTGTTCTTGAGAGGGATGTGTACCTTTAGCCATACGAGAATTGCTGAAATCAAGAGGATGGGTATCTGAATGATGAATGCCCATCTCCACCCGATGTTGCTGCTCAGGAAACCACCTGACAGTCGCTCCGAAAATTGCGGGGTCAGACGATTCCTTCTAAAGCGGCTTCGGTAACGACTCACCAAGGGGGCCCCCGAGGCCAGCTCCTAGCCCGAAAAAGCAGTTGGCCATTCCTGTCGCGCATCAAATACCGCTAAGTCAGCGAATATAACATACGGAAACGAGATCCTTCGCCTTTTCTTACCTTGATACAGTCCACGTCGTTTCCTTCGAAACCCAAAGTACCGTCAGCATGAACACAAGAGAAAACTTCAGGCGATGCAAAGACTAACAGCGGTACTGTAGAAAGAAGATCGAATCAGTACGAGCGGGAGGAGGTCCTATTCTGATTGAGAATCACTGACCGACGTCCGAGACTACGATACTGCCGATCGATGTCAGTCCTCCTCCACCCATCCCAGCGATGGCTCGGGCGGCGATGAGAGCTTCCATTGAAGGAGCAAAGCCGCAGCCTGTAGACATACAACGATCAGCCCCTAAGGCGCGTTCAGTATGCGGTAGGTAGGATTCGGCTTACCGATCGTGCCGATCCCTACATAGTGAGTAAAGATACAGCATGTTAGCAGAACCAGAGAAGGACTGGCAGGAAGCTTTTCTCACCGAAGAACGTGATCGCAATCATCATGCTCCCTCGACGACCGATTATGTCGCACAATCTTCCGTAGATGGGTGTGAATGCACTGTGTCATCGGACGGAGTTATACCTTGGCATAACCCTTTGCCAGAGAACATGCCACCAACTCACCATACGGTCAAGAGGTAACTTGCTCCAAGCCATCCACTCAAATTGCTCTTATGGAAGCTGCTCCCAATATCAGTGAGGAGGGTGGCCACTGCATAGAATGTCAGCCCGATGAACATGCTGGACTATTAACATTCATGCTTACCGATCGTGCCATCTAGGCTCGCAAGAATGGTGCTGGTACGATATAACGCAAAGCGATGTAAGGATATGGCGTAGTTCCTACTGGAGTCAGATAGGTGCGACTTACATGCTCCACAGTCCAGTAAGCATCCATACGAAATCCTTCTTGCTGATATCGATATTGTATTCGAGCGCCTTGTCCTGGCCATCTTCCGAAGCTATCGTATCATAGCTCGTCGACCGAGATGTGGGCCGGTCTGCCAGCAGAGGTGTTCGATCCGTAGCTCCAGACATGTCGATTGCCTATTTCTGAACGAGCGATTCCTGGAATTGATACAATCGCGCAGTCGGGAACGAGATCTTGCTGGCGATCTGAAGACAGAAATCGGTTATAGCTATCTCTCAACTCGATCGGAATTTTCGATGTCGTCATCTTGGTCGGCCGAGCGATTTCGGATATGACTGACGACTACTATGTCGAAGCGATCCTATCGCGGCCGTCGTGGGCGTGGGTCGCTCAGCATTCTTGCGTATTACAAAACAACAGAAGTATCGAGAACCTCACTGACTACCATGACTGCATACTAGTATTACATCTTGGGACAAATTTCCGAGCCAAACAATGTGCACTATCACGAGCTTCGAATTAAGTTGGACGCGTGGTCTCGCTGGTCATTACGGGGGGCAGGGGAGATCGACGATCACTCCAAGACGCGCTCAGCAGCCTCCCTCTGAACACGCTGGGCACTGCTAGCCTCGGAAGCTCGCCTGATAGCCCAGGTGAGTCTTCAAAATGGGGAAGAATGGTTCAGCGGTGTACTCCTTGGCTGTATTCGGTCAGCTAAGCCGTCGGTACTCACTCGTAGGTCTTGGTAGCGTCCTCAAAGGAGGAGAGGATGTGGGGGTCAGGGCCACCCTCGATGCAGTCAACGAAGTTCGAGACCTCGCTGAAGAAGGCTGTTATCGAGAACAATCAGGTTTAGCATGTGGCGGCACGTGCTATCGTAGCCTGCATGACTTACGATCGTCGTCAGAGTACTAGAATATAGGAAAAGGAAAGCACAACGAGTTGATTTGTAAGCAGGCTGTCGTGATCACCTCAAACCATGCGAGACTTACAGCGTGACGCTCCTCGATGTCATCGCCGGGTCGTCGCAAGTAAAGAACGGGCGCGTTGTAAGGGTCGACCAGCCTCATCTGGAAACCGTCACAGATAACTTCCAACTCGCAGGAGTAGGCAGTTCCCTGAAGGGCAACGGCGTGGACAAAGCTACCGATAGCACCGTTCTTGTACTTCCTGGAGAGTGTAAAGGTGTACTATATAAGCTTCGTCTCGACTCGAATCTTTTTGGCTAGAGTGCAGCTCACCAGGTGGCGCTGGTCATCCTGGGAATCCTCAACTCTTCGGCAATCTTGCTCTCGTCAACCGGAACTCGGCTAAGCTGACCGGGAGCCTCGTCCCATTCGACCGAGTGAGCCTGAACCGAGGTGATGTCGACATCTCCACCGAAGTATCGAGAGAGATCTAGATCACGACGCATGAGAAGTCAGCACCAGCGCGCCTATCGAGAAGACGAGGTGTACTTACCACAGAAGTGAGTACCTAGCAAAGCGAATATTGAGGAAGGCATGTCATCAGTAAGGATTCGTTGAGCCTGTAGTTGATCGTGCCTACTCACCCTGCTCGATAACGGGACCCATATCGATAGCCTTGTTCCACCAAGCGGGCTTGGCAATGGCCTCGTAAGCACAAGCCTATAGGCGATAGCGCAGTCATATCAGCCAATGCTATCCCGCATTCAGAATGGTTCTGCTAGACTTACGTATCGCGCGATGGTACCCATGACGGTCAAGTTGTTGGTAGCGATGATCTGCTTCATCTTTTGAACGCATCGCAGGTAACGAAGCATGTATCTGTCGGGATGTCGTGGGTCTCAGATCTACTGTTCGAGATCGAGAGGATCTGTTATCGCTCACCCAACAGAAATGATGTTGCCAGAGTCGACCAAAGCTTGGGTAAGCTCCATGGCCTCGGGGACGGGACCACAGGAGACGGGCTAGAAACAAAAGAAAATTTGAGTTATCACTTTGCGGGAAAGGCAGTCATGATCAAGCAACTGACCTTCTCAATAAAGTAGGACGAGTTGGGGAAGAGCTTCAACAGCCTGAGCTCGAGGTCTCGAGGGGCTTTGACTCCGCCTCGGTAAGCAGGAGGAGATCCGACAACAATGGCGCTAAAACGATCAAACAAATACAGCCAAGTGTAAGCCAAATCATTACTACAACGTTCAAAGTCGCTCAGATCCGGCCTCGCAAAAACTCACTGGGGTTCCTTCTCGGGAGTCATGGCCTCTCGGAACTCCTCGACAGTCTTGTAGACGACAGTGTCTCTGTAAGCAGACTCTACGAAACTGGCCCTCTTGCCGGCCAAGACGGCCTCGGCACGCGCGACGGCGGGGTCGATCAGGGCGACGACCTTGAGTCGGGGACCGAGCTTGTGCTCGAATCGGAACGAGTGGCTAAGCGAGTCGAGGTAGTTTAGCATGGAAGATGCAAAGTGGTCAGGATGTTCGGATGACACTCACTTCCAAGGACCTTCGTCACTTCCGAACATGATGTTCTGTAAAGAGCAAGAGCAAACGCGCACATAAGCAGGTGAACATTTCCGACCACCACATACGTGCGAACTCACTCCGGCTCCGACCATGGCGACGTTGAAATCGGTTCCCGGAGCAGGGGGAGGTTGGCTGTTGAGTTGAGGCGCCATAGCAGAAGACACGATTGGCCGTGACGTGTTTTTGTTGTTCGAGTACGGTGAGCCCAAGGGTGAGATCCGACCGATAGAAGGGAGGAGGCCGAACGAAGTTGATGGGCGACATGGAATGAGTTTGGCGGTCGCGGAGAGGTGTCGCGAGGTATTGAGGGTTGGGTTGTTGAATTTGAGAGGGAAGGAAAGAGTTCGGGTTATCCGAGTGGTGGTGAACATGATGATGATGATTATTGTTTGTTGTTTTGTCGACGCAGCGGTGGTTGTCAAGCGAGGTGATGATGCGAAGTGGAGTGTTGTGATGCGATGTGGTGCAAGGTTGTCCGATGTGTCCAGGTGAAGATGATGTATGCAAGTGATGATGCAGAGCGCAAGGTAGCGATGTGTATGACGTCGTGAATGAGTTGAGAGGCGAAGGAGGTTGAAATCCAACGGGGAGATGGTCAAAGGAAGACCGTTTCCAAAATTCGGGTCGGGGTTTTATATGAATCGTCGTGATCGAAGCGGCATCCCGTCAGAGAGACAGCACATGACATGTGTGCGCATTTTTTTCGGAATGGAGGAACGGGGGGCACCATGGCGACCGGTGGGCACATGATGAGGGCCCGGGTAGAGGATGTGTCATATCGTACGGGGTAAAACGGGGAAGGGATCCACCACGTTTGATGTTTGCGTCGTCGACGTTTGTTGTCGTAGCAGTGCGGGAGGACGAGGAGAGAAGGAATTGGAAACAGGGTTTCAAAACCGAGACAATTCGGTCAGAAGGTGCCCCGAAATTGAGTTTGGTGCCCCCGATGTGACGGAAAGATCCAAAGGAAGGGGGAGAAAGAACGTCGTCCGATCATCCAAAGGAAGGGTACGAGGTGGATCGTCGGGAGAGAATCCCATCATAAGCGAATCAGGCCAAGCGTTTGCCGGCGGCATGAACGGCAGAGTACGGGGAAGAGTTGAGGGGGAAGAAGTGAACAGCAACTATACGTCAGCTGACTTGTTCTCGCAGCGCTCCTTTCCGAAACGATGGACGACCACGTTCGCTAGCTTGACGATCTCGGGATGCTCTTCCCCCCTGTTTTTTTGTGTTTTTTCCTTCTTTGTCGGCATTCCCCCCGGCGCCCCTCACAATGCCGACCCGAAACCCGCTCTCGCGAAACGTTTGTAGGCGGAGGAAGCGAAACGAAAGACCCAGACTCGAACGAAAGCAGGGAAGGAAGGCTCACAGGTGCATCGCACTAGGCATCTCCGGGTGAATCCCATCCTCGGGAGGATCGTTCAACCCTCCATCCGACCTGACAGAGGTCTCCGAGATGAATCGCCTGGCGAGCAAAGACGAGCCGACGGTCTTGCTGCTGTTCAGGGCGGCGAGACCGGTGCGGATCGAGGACGATCGGAGGGTCGAGTTGGAAGTCGTAGCGAGTCCACGGGACTGGGTTCGGAGGGTCGAGAGAACATTGCGGTTCAAAGCCTGTCGGCTGAGGTTGTTCATAAAGCTCATCTTTGCGCCGTGTTGTCGTTGGATGAGGTGTGTGGTGGTGATGGAATGAACGGTGAAGAGGGAACCGTGATCGGAGTTCCTCTGGTGCTATATACCAGGTCGGCGATGAACCTGTTTGCGCTGTCTACGAGCTAGTTTCCTGGCCGAGCTGTTCGATCCAAAGGATGTCCTCTGGTTCCTTTTTTCGTGCTCGGGTTTTCGCTGCTTTGTCTTTCGGCCGAGTTGAAACGATCAACAAGTCAAAGAGATCCTTCTATGGGGTTTCACGATTCTATTGATCTATGGTCTGGTGAGCGAGGATCAAAGGGATTCGAGTTGATGTCGATGATGTCGATCAGCACCATACCCTCGAAAAGCTGCTCCCCTCGGCTCGAATCTCCGTCATATCGGAACGCTGGCTGGGAGGGTGGAACGTACAACGTGGGCATGACGTGTTTCTTCCCTCTTCTCCTTCTACGCCCAGTTTCGCTTGGGAGACTGAGGCGTGCAGCAGCATACCGCCGGCACCGCCTTCGCGTCACAATCTGCGTGTGTTTAGCGCGTGAGAACAGGTCGAACCCCTCTCAAAGACCATCTACTCGCAACTCGGGAATGTTGTACATGAAACTGAGAAATGGAGAGTCGATGTAGGACGGTTGGGCATTTCTGTCAAGAAGAACAGTGCTCGATGGACAAGCCGGGTATCGCTCGTCGGAAAGAGCTCGATCATGGGTCGCCGTGTCGCTCTACAAAACCCACACCCGATCTTTCGAGTATCCCAACGCTCCCAAGACCCCTCCCAATGGCGCATCCTTCTTCCGTAACGTGATAGGGTAATCTCGACCGACCAGCGAGTCCGCCATACTATCCACGCGTACCGCGAGACGTTGAGGACAAGATCAGCCTGAGTTCACCACATGGAACTTGAGCAGGTCGAAGTCGGTCGGCTACTCACGCTTTCGGCAGACACATGATCGCTCCCCTAGTCGCCTCTACCCGCCGTACCTCTCCAGCCGAGGATATAGTCTCGCTGACGCCAGACGAGCCTTTCCACAAGCCAGCCCACCAGCCCGAACTTTCCCTAGTCCCGGTTTCGGCCGCAGTCCCGGTGACGCTCACACCGGGCGTCTGTTCCGTGCCATTGTTGTCCAACAAGATTCTACTCCAGTCGATCGATCCCTGACCAGTCCCCGCCTGCGGAGTCGGCTTGTAACGGAAGAACCGAATGTTCGAACCCGACTTCGAATGTGCCCCCTCAGAGACCCGAGAGGTCCCGTCCGTCCCGCGAATTCTTCTCAGAGCTGGGAAGAATTGCTCGACCTCTGCCAAGTCCAAGGCTCCTTCCCTCGGTTCATATTGATATAAGTTGAACGTCGGTATCATCGAGCTTGAACTCGAGCTCGCGCTGGAAAGCCTTTGTCTGGAGGCGAGCTTGTTGAGGAGTTGCATTAATGGGGCTATTCCGGTCCCGGTCGAGATCTAAGCAGAGCTCGGCACACGATTCAGTAACTTTGGTCCGGTAGGTTACGTGGAATGAAGTATAGGAGATCGAACTTACGAGATCAACCTCTGATAACCCCGAGAGAGGGATCCTGCTGGTCATGATCGGACCTCGGAGCTCGATCTCGTCTCCTGCTTCCATGGAATGGATGTACCTACGATATACCCAGGTGGAATCGAAATCAAGACTTAGCCATCATGCCGCCCTGCTCCCTCCATAGTGGCTTGACTCACCTCCCAACCTCTCCTCCTCTCACTCTTTTGACGACGAATTCCATGTACCCATCCGCTGCCGGATCGTTGATTGGAGTGTACGGCCTCTCGATCTGTAAGTCGGGCGATTTGACACAGACGTGCTGTATCGTCACTACCTCTGAGGACCTTTCCTTCCCGTCCTCAGCGGCAACTCCAGCAGCATCGACATTGAACATGGCCCTAGACTTGGCACTCAGTTCTATGCGAAGCAAGAGATGTTGCGGTCCGAGCCTCTGAACGGAATGAATGGTATGTCGGGTATATTGGTAAGGCGAGAGGTCCGGGTTAGAGCCATCTCCGCGCAGAGAGTCAGGAAGGAGCATATAGAGGGAAGGCAATAGCGAGAAGGAAAGGATGGCACGATAGTCAGGTGCAGATGTGGAATGGCGGTCATGACGATTGCCTCGACCTTGATGATGTGCACGTTGTCTGGTCAAACCGAGCGAACGGGCGGCGATTCGAGGTAGTTGTTTGCGGGATACGTTTGTCGATAACAGCGACGATCCAGCGGTCCGTATGACTCCTTGGAATGCTTGCATGATGTATGTTGGAGCAGCTCGTTTCCGTTCGACGGTATGTCTGGCGATCTGGCGATTACGGGAGTTGGAGGCAGGGTTGACATGCAGCATGCAAGTGATCAAGTGAGAGTCTCGAGGCCAAGTAAGATCGACATCGAGAGAGGTCTGGGTTGTTTATTTTGTGAGGGAACAGGGGTGGAAATACGCAACAAAGTGGGTGGAAATAGGCGCCGATCTCCCTGATAACCGGTGCATCCCCGCTACTCACACCATTTGAACCTTGGTTGATGAGACGATTATTCGACCTTATCCTTTACCGCAGCAACCGTCTACCAGCTACCAGGAGCGTTTGCGACGCCTCTAACCATGTCGGAACAAAGCGTCGAAACGTCTGGTGACCGGCTACCAACTCAACCCGCAGCCGAGGATGATGAAAGGGCGCTTCGGGTCTCGCAACTCGATGCCGACGAGCTGGATACGGGTCTCGTCCAGATGTTGGCGGGAAAGATCACTCAGGCGTTATCGACTTTCTCTGTAAGTTCGTATGGTTCGTCTCATAAATAGAGTAACGATTGACGACCCTTCGGGTCTTGCAACTGCGGGATCTAGCCGTCAGCCGAATCGCGGTTCACGCCAGAGATCATGCTCTTACTCAAACTGCTGCTATACGGGCTAGCCATCCGGAATCGTAAAGGGAGAGCTACTCCGGGTCAAAAGCTACAGAACCTCAAATACACAGATACTCCTACACCTCTATTCCGTAAGCACTAACCCGCTATATGTTTACAGCGCCTGATATTGACTCGAACTTCGACTACGACAAACTAGGCCTAGCAAACCCTTACATCACCCTCCCCCTCCTCTCAACGATCCCCTCTTACCTGCTCGAACGCCTTCACACTCATACCCTCAACTCTCGCTATCCGGAATATCCACGAGGGAGCCTTCAACGTCGATGGTGGATTCTGTTAGAGCGATTCAAGTCGGTGGGGAAGGGGATGGAATTGATCGGGTTCTTGCTTTTTCTGGTGGACGGCAAGTGGGTCCACACGCCTTTTTCCCGAATCCTTCGAGAGGGCTGTTGGCTGATTGGTGATGTTTGGGTGGGCTGGTAGGTACCCACATCTGGCGGGAAGAGTCAGCGGAGTGAGGATGATACCGGATCAACCGTTAGGGTCCATAACAAGGCAGATCAGCTACGAGTTCATGAACCGACAACTGGTTTGGTCTGGGTTTACCGTGAGCTTTTCCCTTTCTCACCAAGATCCATCTACGAATATGTTGGGCCGTTTTGCTAACGGCCAACCTCGACCCGTTGTAGGAATTCTTGATCTTCATGCTACCACTCCTCCGGGGCCACTCGAGATCCCTCGGGGCTTTCGCCCAAGGCTTTAGTAGCAGCGTTAGAAAGACGATAGCTTTCTTGACCTCGAAACATGAGGAGACCAAGTACGAGCCAGCCCCTCTCCTCCAATCGCAATCACTATCACAAGGAGACGGCGGCTCCTCGAGCCCAAAAGGCAATCTCGGCCACACTTTCGGTACGAAGACCGGTCGACGGAAACGCGAACGAGAGCGACTCAAGGGGCCTTATTGGACTCTAAGTCGGAATACGTGTGCGATCTGTCATCATCGACTTCGAGATACGCTCGATGCCCAGTTGGGATTGCCCGCTATTCAGCCGGCCGGCGAGGGATTTTCAACAGGGATTGGCAGATTGACCGGCGAGACGATCGATCCGGAGGATCAGGAGAGAAATTACGATGGCGATGACAATGAAGAGACGAGGATCCATATACCAGCGCAGACGAATTGCGAGGATGAGTGCAGGTATTGCTTTTATTGCATTTCCGAGGCGTTGACGCTGCGAGCGAAGCAAGCACAAACTGCGCAGGAGGAGAGGGGGAGACGGAAAGGGCGTCAGGACAAGCAGACGGTGGAGAAGGATGGACCGGGTGCGAGTGAGATAGTCAAGGGATGGGACTGTCTGCGATGTGGAGGAGAGGTGTGGAGTTGTATGAGGCTAGCGACATGACATGCTATCGAGGCGGCCGGACCGGATACGCGTCGCCCCCTCTCTCGATTGCTGTGTGTGTGCTGTCGTCATACCGTCGCATCACCTCCGACGGGGACGTTCACCCTCACAGCAATTAGCGAGTACTCCTGATAGCTGGCCAGTCTGTAATTGCAATTCTTGTGAGGGAAGAGATTAAGAGATCAATCAAACCCGTTCTCGCTAGCAAATCATGTCGATATCTATTCCCGGAGACGCGCAGCTGGCGTACACCACCGTCGTCAAGGGAGACCCCAAGGTCGAATGGGCCATCTTGTGAGTTCAAGTCGAGTTCGCCCAGGGTGACACACCAACAGAAGCACGAAAGGAATAGCATCTGACCTTGAGGTTTGCTCTGCTTGTGCTTTTTAGCTCTTTGGCCTCGGCTGGAAGCGAGTTGAAGCTGCAATCAACAGGATCGGGTCTCGATGACCTACAAGAAGAGTTTATGGACGGTCGGTATGTCTTACGCTCGCCCATAAGTACAGGATCGAAAGACTGTTCTCTAACTCAACGATTCAAAATCTCTCAGAATTCAATATGCGTTCGCTCGGGTGGAAGATCCCAACGTATGTCCCAGACTCGATCATCTTCGCACAAGTTTCGATGCTAATTCTGCAATCGGAATACGCTCCCACAGACCAACTTGGAGAGGTTTATCCAGATCAACTGGTGCGGGGATGGTGTTGCTGCCTTCCAGAAGGGGCTGTTTAGTACGTACTCACAACTACTCGATCACTTACCGGATCACTTTAATCGATAATCTACCTTTAGACACCTACTCTCCCCAGATCTCGGGGTTCCTGAAGGCCACCCATATCGTCCTCCAAGCTCGAAACGAAGATGACGTTACCCCTGATCATATCTACAAGCGTATGCAGGAAAGCAGCGGTTCCAAATATGGAGCAGGGAACGCTTCCTCGGCTTCGCCTGCGGTCGCGAACAAGCCTGCTCCGGCGTTTACATCGGCACCCAAGCCTTATGTACCCAGTTCGAGCTCGGCTTCGTCCTTCAACAAGCCTACTCCTGGACCTTCTTACAATCGACCGACTGGGGCATTCGACAAGCCGACCCCATCGTTCAACAAGCCGACTACTTCGTTCAATAAGCCCACTCCCGCTCCTGCAGCTGAAGCACCCCCAGCTCCTCCTCCCAGGGAACCTTCCCCGCCTCCCCCTGCTCCCGCCGCTGCTCCTGCTCCCACTCCGGCTACCTCGAAGCCTGCTGAGGACGACCGTATCGCACCCGTCGGTACGGCCTATGAGCCTGTAAAACTCGCCGCTCCCAAAAAGCTCGTCAACCGATGGGGTCAAGGAGCCTTCAACAACAATGACGATGAGGACAAGCCTGACGAGAAGCCTAAGGCTGGAGGGTTCAGTGCGGCCAGGAGCGCTTTCATGGGCGGTGCGGCTTCGAATAATGCTCCTTCGAGTGTTTCTTCGGGACCTACTCCCGGGAAGAAGTTGACCTGGAGCGAGAGGCAGGCAGAGGCTAAGAAGCAGAGGGAAGCGGAGGAGCAGGCCGCAACCGAAGGTATGTCGGCAGTGACCGTACTCGATGTCATCGTGACAATGAACTTACGCGGGATTGACTGTTTTCCCAACTGATAGCTATGGGCAAGGTATCGATCTCGGCCAATAACACCGGTACAAAGTCATTCGGCTACGGCGCCTCCACCCCCTCGGCCCCCCCTCTTGCGCCTGCCGCTCCTGCACCTCCTGCGGAGGAACAAGAAGAGGAAGAAGATATCCCTCCCCCACCGCCACCTCCCCCTGCGCCCCTGCCTCCTAGAGTGCCGGAACCGGAGGTCGAGAGCAAGGCTGAGAACGAGGACGACTGGGATGACGCACCTCCTGCGCCTCCCCCTCCTCCTATGGCTTCCAGGCCGGCTGTCCCCGTTGTGGCTGCCGTCGAGGAAGATGAGGACGAGGTTAGTCTTTGCGGGATCTGGGTAACGCGACAGGACACTAATAATGCTTGTTTCGATCGCGATTGTCCTGCAGGCTCCTCCTCCCCCTCCGCCGCCTCCCCCCATGCCCAACTTCGATGTGAGCATATATCGTGCTAATTTGAGGCGTCTATAGTTCTGATCAAGTGTTTGAATTTGCCAGTCCGAGCCTCCCGCTCCTGCCGCACCTGCCGCGCCTCGCATGCCCGCTCGAGCGCCGAGTCAAGCTCAGGTGAAGAACCCGGCCGGAGGACCCAAAGCCAAGGCGATGTACGACTACGACGTGAGTGAATTCGATTCTGAGGAATCCGGGTGCCATTCTGTGTGAAACTTTGGACCTGATATTGGGATTCCGCGAAACGTCGAATACTACAGGCTACGGAAGATGTAAGTCATCGCTCGCCTTCGAGTCTCGGTGAGAACCGCAAATCATGACTGATGATCTGCGTTCCTATTGGACAGAACGAGATCAGTTTCAAGGAAGACGACATTATCGAGGGGATCGAGCAGACCGATCCTGGTGAGTACCTCCTTTCCTTACGTGCAAGCATGCCGTAGAACCCTGCGCTGACTTGCTTCGTTACCGTCTACTTTTTGCAGACTGGTGGACCGGCGTCGACCCTCGAACTGGAAACAAAGGTCTGTTCCCATCCAACTATGTCGAGATGGTTGGCGACGACGCCCAAGAACAAGAGGAAGAGGAGGACGTTCCTCCTCCGCCTCCTCCCCCACCTGCTCCTCCTGCCGCTGGCGGTATGGGTATGGGCGGGGCGGCTGCGAAGGGAAAGACGGCGATCGCTCAGTACGAGTGAGTGGGATCATGGTCATCTTGTGACGTCTCGCTCGATAGACAAGTACATTGACGACTGTTGGCATGTTCATGCAGTTATGAAGCTACCGAGGATAACGAGATCTCGTTTGCCGAGGGTGACGAGATCATCCAGATTGAAGAGGTGAGCGAAGACCTGTGATACGGTTTCGTTCTTGGCGTTGCGCCTCGTTGCTTTGCATCATGCTAACGTGGTCTCACGACTATGATCAGACCGACCCGGACTGGTGGACCGGTACCAACGCCAAGACGGGCAAACAAGGTCTCTTCCCTGGTAAGCTGCGAGGACGTGATTGCCGCGCGAGGGGAGGGAAGGGGTAGCTGACGCTCACGTCGTCTCCGCAGCCAACTACGTCGAGGCTTCCTGATCGGTATGGCCTGCGCTTTTGTGACTTTCGAAATGCCTTTGATTGTAACTTTCCAGTATCGAAAAGAAGAGATCTCCAAGATGAAACGTGTCCGGTGTCCTCTAGCAGGCTGTTGCTCGGTGTTTGCGATCTGTCGCGCGCGCGCTACCGGCTGCGAAAGATTTCCCCTTCGGTTCGGTTGACGGTAGAAGGTGAATCAACACAGAATAAGCATCCGATCAGGGCAAGCAGGAATGTCAGCAGCGGAAGGGCCAGGAGGAGGAGAAGGAATGACGATCGGTTATTTACATCCGAATTTGTTTCCGTTCCCGCAGTCCATAAATGGAATTCCGCGCGATCGATTGTTATTGAAGAGGGGGCAGCAAGGGAGGAGGAGAGGGAGAGAGAGAGAGAGAAAATGATGAGGATCGATATGGATGGCAATAGGCAATCGGCGCAGGAGGGCATGAGGGCTGACCTTTTGCCGTCCCATACCCTTTGATCCTTACGATATACCATATTCCATTTCTCTGAATACTCTGGTCACTTATAATACCTCATAGCTCAATAGTTTTTTCCACGGCGATACCTCCCATCCCATCTCTCTCCCTGCCTGACCAGGTCTGCGCCAAGAATGTCCGCCGCGCAATATTACAACGGCCAGAGCGGCCAGAAGGGATATCAGGAAATGCCCAACGGAGGAGGGTACAACAACTATGGCCAGCAACAGCAACAGGGACAACAGTACTATGCTCCTCCTCCTCAGAATTACCCGCAGAATGGCCAGCAGTACATGCCCCCTAACAACAACTCGGTACCGCCCGTAGCCGCCATGCATTCCTCTCAACCTTACGCCGAACCTCAGTACGCTGCCAACATGAACCCGGACATCGCAGGAAAGGCCAACCCGGCTCAGGCGGAAGGGAGGTTCAAGCCCAATAAGAAACTCAACGATCCGATCTTCTTGATCCTCTTCCTCGCCGTGTTCGCGGGGATGATCGTCGTAGCTGCATTGGCTATCAGGCAGTTTGTCAAGTATAACGGAGGGAATGGAGGGTTTGGCGATGGAAGTGAGGGTGGGACGGGAATCTCGACGTCGTTGAACTAGTCAGTCCAGGTATACCATGTCTTTGGGTACGCTGACGTAGAGTTAACTTGTTCACATTCGTGTTCATCAGCCATACCGTCTACCTCCTTATCATGGCCGCCGCCCTCGCCCTCGTCCTCTCTGCCGTATACCTGCTCGTAAGTAGCCTTTTCAGGTCGAAGTCGACTTGACGAGACTCGCGCTGACTTACTCCCACGACTTCGCTCCCGATAGATCGTCAGGACTTTCACAAAAGCTCTTATCGAGGTGAGCTCTCTCTCTGCCTTGCGACCACAAGCTGGAACAGGATCGTAACTGATCTTGTGAATTATGGAACCTGGAATCAGATCACGCTCGCCTTGTCCGTCTTGCTCAATATTGGAGTTTGCGTATGTAAGTCACTGCTCGACTGAAATGATCGGAAATCCTTTCGCGGAGCTTGACAGCTAAATACGGCTTCTTCCTCTGCTTTTCCCTTATGATCAGACTACTTCACTCAAAAGTGTACGTCTATACGTCCTGTTGAGAGTCCGGCACTGAGAATCTTGAAAACAAGGACGGGGTGTTGACAGCAATATGTCTTATTGTCGTCGAATACAGACTGGTCTGGAGCGATCATCTTTCTGGTCATCTCGATCGTCAGCATACTATCCTATTTTTTCAGTGAGTTTCAGCTCGAAAACGATCGAAACTAGATTGGTATAAGGGATCTTCCGCTAACGAGACCGGTTCTTTACTTTCCAGTGCGCAAGCGGTAAGCCTTCAGTTTTCTTGACTCGGCGACACAACCTGCCCTATAGCTTACTGACTGCGCATTTATCGCGCTGCGTCCAGAATCCCTCTGGCGAGGATCATGCTCCAGACGATCATCGACGTCAGCAAGCATCACCCCTCGGTCTACGCCGTAGTCATGATCAGCTTGATCGTGCAGACGGCCTTTAGCGTATTTTACAGCTTTGCTGCGATCGCTGTCTATGTTACGTGGACGCCGGGTAACCCTTGTGAGTACGATGTTTTGGCTGAACGAGAGGAGTGGTGGTTGACGATGGATTCATCTTCTGATCATCTTTTCCAGCTTGTGCGACCAACTCGTGCTCGAGCGGAAAGGTCGCCGGGTTGATCTTTTACCTGACCTTTGCCTATATTTGGGTCAGCCAGGTCATCGGTAAGAGCTATTTATTCTCTTTTGTCTCTCTATTTTGTCTTTCCTTGATCCTGACGGGGTGACTTGCCCACAGCCGCCGTCACCTTGATGACCCTCGCTGGAGGTGTTTACGGACAATGGTACTACAACGGTCCCAACGCTCCCCAACTCAAGGGCGCCAACTCCAAGGCCTTTGGAAGGGCTGCGACCACTTCGCTCGGATCGGTCGCTTTCGGGTCTCTGATCGTTACCGTCTTGGAGATTCTGAAGCAGCTGTTGAACGTTATTAGCCGCCAGGAGGCTGCGGAGGGAGATGGTAAGCCGAACTGCAGGGAACGAATTGGAACAGTTGGTGTTGCTTACGCCGAGAGTGTAATATAGCTATCAGCGCCATCTTTGCGTGTATCGCGGCTTGCTGTGTTTCGTGTGTCAGCTCGCTGGTCCAATACTTCAACAGTGAGCAACTCGCATCTTTCGCTTTACGATGATTATTGGCTAACGGACATCCTACAACTGTACAGAATACGCATAGTGAGCAACAAGCAAACGTTCTTACGGTTCGACCTTTGCTGACCTTAGCCTGATTGATCGGCCTTACAAAAGCATTGAGATTGGTAAGCTCACTTCCCATTTTAATATGGCCAGGGTCGGGACTGATCATAGCACTTGCTCTCGCAGCTCTGTACGGGAAGAGCTATATACCCGCCGCCAAGGACGCATGGAGGCTGCTCAAGCACCGAGGCATCGACGCGCTGGTCAATGACAACTTGATCTCGATTAGTGAGCCCCACGGGATGACAGCGATATTGCCCCAGGCGCTGATGAAGGATTCCGCTTTGAATAGCCTTGACTTTCGGTGCTTACATCGTCGGTCTTCTGACGGCTCTGTTTGCCTACTTGTACTTGCGCTACACGGATCCGGCTTACAATAGGAACGGAGAGTGAGTCTTTTCCGACGCAGATCCACTTGCAAACGTATCTGATAGTGATGCCATTCCCCCGTATACAGATATACAGCGTGAGCTGCAGCAGAATTTCAGCCCTCAAGTAGTCGAACAGCATACTAAATTCATCCAACCATACAGACCTGTCATGCTCTTCGCTGCCCTTATCGGCATCAACGCGGCTTTGGCTCTGGCATCGGCTATCGGTATGTTCTTATCGTTCGCAGCAGTCCTTTTGTCAAGTTAGTAATTTTTTACCTTGACACCGAGCAGAATCGGGCGTATCCACCATCTTTGTCGGTCTGGGAGAAGATCCATAGTAAGCAATGTCGCGATTCGATCCGACAAGACTCACACCGGCTGACCCGGGATATCTGTACAGCGTCTTGCAAGAGCGATCCCCTGGTCTGTTCGAGGAGATTCGACAGAACTACCCCCAGGTCGTTCAGCCCATCGGACCTTAGGCAATCGGGAACTGTGTCTCCCTCGAATTATCTTGACGCTTATAATTACCATGTAGTCAATGATTTAGGATTCAATGGTCATTTAATGGCGACGTTTGCTAGTGTTCATAATGCGCGGACATCTTCAAAAAGGCGCAGTTCTGCCCGCAGGCCTCATATCTGAGGTGCTGATACTCAAGTATTTCCACAGACGTTGTCGTACTCCTTGTTTTCGAGTAGGGGCGATTCGGGGAAAGGATCGGGCTGAAAATCTTGGAATCGGATTAGGACGAGGTATGTCTATAGAAATGAAATACCCGGAGTTTTCTGGACAGGCGCAGGGCTGGATAGAGGTAGACATGATCTAAGGATATCTTGTCGCCATTCATCTTGGAAATAACGGAGTCGCATGACACCCACTGTTACTCGGACAAGACATGTCGTTCAAGGCCTTTGGTGTTTGCAAGATCGACGTCATGTGATTTCATCGCCAACTTGTTTTGTTCTAGAGAGAGGCAAATGATGGCGCAATCAAGCCTTGTGAGAGGGAGTCAGGCGGCTCATATATCGAGGCCGATGTGAAGGGGGATTTCAGTGATTTCTTGCCGTTCCTTGCATCACAAGCTGATAATTTCTCATCTAGAGTCATACGAAATGCCCCAACAATACAACGACGGTATTTCTCACAATGAAGGGAAAAAGGTTCCGAGGACTATCAACGAAGTGATGTGTGAAAAGAAGGTCATATGGAAGGGAGAAGCGAAGACCCCACCCGAGGACTTGCATCGAGCCATGTTGATTGGTGGATGGGAACCTATTGACCAAGATCCTCAGCATGCAGGATGCAGGTCAGCGCACTCGCGCGCGCGTCTGCCGCGCCAGCGCCTCAAACCTAAACCGTAGACTCCCTGAAAACCCCTTTACGCGCCATCCCGGCCAAAAAGACGGGTCGTTGCAGTTCTCGAACACAACCAAGTAAATGAACTCCGCAACAAGGCAAAAAGAACAGCGTCTTGATGACTGTGAGATTCGAACTCACGCCCCGAAGGACCGCGGAATTGGTGATTAACCTTAACACGGCGGATTAGACCACTCTCCCAAGTCACCCAGATGTTTAGTTCTCGTAAAAATAAAAAATGACCTGTATACCTATTTACAAGAACATCGTGGTGGATTCAGCAACTGTAGAGGACCAGTCGTTGGCGGTTCTGTGCTTGGGCAGTGTATTAGGAGTGATATGTTCTCCCTGTACCGATGTTTTAAGTAAATCAGCGACAACGCGCTTCATGCTTCAACGCACGCGCGGGGCCCATTACCGCAAGTACCATGAAACGGCATGTCTGCGCTGTGTAAGAAGCTCGACTCTCGGCGTGTCTATGTTATGTTGCTCGGAATCGATTCCTTACATGCTGACTTGGAACGATGGCTCCGATAGACACCTGACGGATATCGTTGATTGATACGAGAGACGCGGATGAGATAGCGCCTCGGGCATTATCCAACTTGGTTCTATTGGTATCGGTGTACCAAGCCTGGAAGCCGGAAGGCTATCAAGCCAAGCCTCCTTTCATATCGCCTCCTGGAGAACGCTGTATCTACCGCGAGAATGTTCAACATACGCTTCTTCTCTGCTGGACGCAAAACGCTTATAACCAGCTATACAGGCAGTAAAAGCGAGGGAGATCCTCCGCCAACTGCATTGCAAGTTCTTCCCGTGCCCGACATCCAGCAGAACTCAATCAACACCATGCCATTCCTTAGTCCTTCTCCTCCTCCCAGTATCGCAACCGTTCCTGATCAACTCACGGACGGAACAAGCATTATCGATCCAGGATCTCTTGGGTCGACCCTGGCCGGGCGGAATCTTACTGTTTTGGGGGCTGCGAGGACAGCCGAGGGAAACATTGGAGAGCGGAAACAGCTGATGGAGATCACACTACCTAGCCTGACGGGAGGTGAAGGTAGCGGGGATCTGAGCGTCGATTCCAAGTGGTCTTTACTTGAGCAAGCAGCCGCGATCCAAATCGTCATGGACAAGTACCAGGGAGAAAGAAAGCAGCTCCTGGAACGTGGACGCGTCGCCATACTAAGCAGACGGCAGGGACTATATGATCGAATTGCTTCGAAACTCCAAACAGTCCCGACTCGCCATGAAGAAGTGGTGCTTCTGTCGAGTGGTTTGGATCCCCTCATACACATGCAGGTTGCAAGGGCAATCGAGCGGGCTTCAATGCGCCCCGAGTACGAATACCCAGGCGATTTCAATGTGATACGGTTAGTGTATGCCATATCACAAGCCTTTCGTCAACATCCGCAAGATTTCCATGTTGACGAACTCAATCTGGAAGAATTGATGCGAACAGCTTTTGCCACCGGGACTGACGCCGCCCCAGCTCCCCCTGTAGTCTCGTAGCCAAGTCGATGAGGATGATATATACAGCCTATGCAAATATGACCTACAGATTGGAATCGAAAGCTGAACCTATACAGGAAGCGAGAGTAATATGATTTGATGTCGAGTAAGGCAGCGCGTCGCACAAAACTACCCGGCGCGGGACTCGTAGACACGCGCGTGTGACTTGCCAGGTTGGACGTCTCACACAACTTCCTTTCAACTTTCTCCTGGAGAACCCTGCATTGATGTTGTCATCATCACAAGTGTCTGAATATGCCTGCTCCTGCTCGGCATCGCGATAGCATATATATACAGGCAGCGCAGCTAGAAAGCGGCTTTCCTCATTTCTTCCTCTCTTCATCTTGATTTCCTGACTTTCGTTCATCGCAAGATCATCAGACTTCCAGCTGTCTTCATGTCTTCGCCCCAACCCCCCTCTCAAAGCAGTGGGAACGAGACCGGCGCGACCGCTGCAGACAGACAATCGCAATCGCCGACTACGTCTCAAGCTTCCGGTTCTGACGACGAAGATGACCGGCTGGAGTGTTCATGGGCTGATGTAGCAGCATCATTCAGGGAACACATCGAGATACTCAACAATCTAGAGAACCCGAATTCCAGTTCTCTCGAAACCATCCGGATTTTGGTTCAGTCGCAGATCGTAGCAGAGTGTAAAGCTCTGGACGGGGAGCACGACTGGAAGTCAGGCGTTCCGGTTGAGGAACGCGCCGAAATTCAAGAAGCGGTTGACGGGGCAAAGAAGCATTATGACAAGGTCTTGCAAGCCGAAGCTGCGGAACGTCTAATTTTTGCTATCTTCTCCGTCCTATGGGGCTCGTCCGTGAAAATAGAGCTGAAGGATCTGGACATGAAATACTTGGTCTCGTGCATTGCCAAACCCGCTTCCCCTGACAATGCGTTGGCACCCTCTGTAGCGTAGTCGAATTGTCTTGTCAGCTTGTATCGTACCACCCTATTCAGATACATCGTTGCACGAAAAGTTTGTTGCCTACATCTAATGGAGATTTCGTTGACCAGACGCTTTCGAGAGATCTAGATTCTTAGAAAGCAGCTCTCGGCAATCGATCGCGCTCTTCGCCACGCCGCTTCGGATCTAGCCGATCCCTCTCGTAATCGCTCATACAGTAAACTCTAAAATATCGATATGACCCTATGACCCTCGACGGGGAGACGTACAACTCCGATCATCTCGAGCATACGTAACATTCACTACCTCCACAGCAAAGGTATATAGCATAGGGCTACCGATGAAATGCCGGTACTCAATCATGATGCCGCTCCTCCGCCCGGCTGGCCAGCGGGCGTGACCTACCTCACCCGTTCCCGGCTCTCCCCGACGTTCGAACGAGCTCGACTACCTCTCCTTACCCCGTCGAGCAACGATTCGGCTGCTTCTTCAAAAGTCGCAGCTTCGTCAAAACAACCTCAATCTCAACCTTTCCCTAAAGAATTGATCAAGATCAAGAAGATCACCGAACCTTCTCACCCGGCTTTCGGGCAGCTCGGACTGGTCGCCCTCAAAAAGATTGAACCGCGTACCAAAGTTCTCAGCTACCTCGGGGTATATCATACCCGCCCACACCCGGAGAGCGACTACGACCTCTCAGTCCTCCGAATTCGAGACGAAGACTCCACAGAAGTAGACGCTACGATAGACATCGCTCTAGACGCAGCCAAGTCTGGCAATGCAGGGAGGTTCGTCAACGACTACCGCGGGATCGGGTCGGCTCCGAATTGTCAATTCGTAGAAGCCGTCGATTCGAACGGGTGGATCGGGATGGAAGTATGGACTTTGGGGAAAGGGGTAGGGAAGGGGGAGGAGCTGTTAGTCAGTTATGGCAAGGGGTGGTGGGCCGGTAGACAAGGGTAGCCGTAGCATTTCTCAGCACATCAAGTGACGGTTACAACCAGCAAGACGAGGAACAGGGCCAGGATCAACTTTGGACGACCCTCCTCTCCTCATCAAAGACCAACTCCAAAACCTCTCTCCCTCCCGCCTCTTCTCCTTCCTCAGCTTCCAAACCCGCCCTCAACGCCTCGTTCCCCCAGACCTCATACGCCGGCATGTACCGATCCACAAACCTCCTCACCTCCTCATCCTCCATCCCCCTTCCCCCATTCAACGCCTTCATCTGTCTTTCTTGTTCCAACCGCCACGCGTAGACGTAGTCGTAAGACCTCGGACGGATGACGACGTGTAACGGGAAAAACGGGTAGACTTCCTGAGAGATGGTTCGGAGGTTGGCATTTATCTGGATGATGGCGGCTAGGGGATGGTCGTGCATCTTGTACGGCGGTGGGCGGGATGGAGGAGGGATGGGTGAGGGCTGAGCGTGGTATGATTCTAGGGTGGCAGGGGGAAGAGGTCGGAATCCGAGGCTCCAGCCTTCTAGGATGAAGATATCCAACGGACCTTCGATCTGGATGGATAGCGGGGCTCGGTCCCCTTGGCCATTGAAGAGGCTCTTGTCGAACACGGGAAGATTCACCGTCCGTGACGATGTCGTTGTTGTCGTCGACAGATCGTTGTCGCTGTCATTTATGTGAGAGATCGCTCGTAATGTATTTTTCAACAGAGGCACATCATGTGTCCCCGGTTGACCTCGTCCATGTAAGAGCTTGTTCTCCGGGTGTTCGTCGGCTAGGTCGACCAGGCCTTGGTGGGTCAGATAGAAATCTGATTACGACGCCAAGATACAGTGTTCGAGCGTAGCAATGCCAGATCAGGATGGCTTCTGCAAGGTGACGAAGGCAGAACGATGAACTGACCGTCGAGAGAGACGACGGCGACATTAAGACCGTAAGGCTGATCTTGTAACAAAGCCTGTAGGCTAGCCGCTAAGGTGCTCTTGCCTGCCACAAAACATCGTTCTTGTAAGCTAAACTCGCAACCCTCACAATCAGCAAGTCCAGCCCACTCACCGGCTCCTTGGGGACCTTGCATAGACAGCATGACTGGTGGCTGTAGCTTCCCTGATTTCCGCTGTACATTCCGTTGAGATCCATCGAGCAGGTGCGGGTTGTGTTCGAGAACAAACCGGGCGATCAGTCTTGACTTGTAGCTCGTCGAGGAGGAGGTCTCCTCCGGTGCCAATTGTGAGGTAGGAAGCTTGTCCGACATAGCGGTGGTGTATCTCAAGAGTCAGGAGCAGTATCAGTGGCCCTATCGTCGTTGATCGTTGAGGACTGTATACCATGCTATGCATAACCTGGATATGCCCGTGACCTCTCGAGTTGGACCTTTCGGCCATCGCCGGTCCGAAGAGATGTACCGTTCAGATGAGCAACTCCGGATGATCTGGTCAGTCCCATCACCTGCATTATACACTACGGGCAGAAGACGACAAAATGACAATAGAGCGAGTAAGTATCCAACTCAGCGCAACACAGGTACACAGACCTGGAGATGCCCACGATTTGAGCATTTTGAGGTGTAGGTGATTGGCTTGGCGAGCTAATTTGTCGTTTTCGTTTGTGTGCTTTCGAGCTGGGGGCGGTCGCTTTCTAGGTTGAGGGAGTCGACGGGATAGTCGGCGGAAACGGGAACGAGAGCTGAGGAAGTTTCTTTCACATTTGTGCGATTGCTTGGAGAATTTGCAAGTTGGGGATATGGTCAGGTCGAGCGTTTGATCAGAGGTGGTACTAGCGAATGCATACAGCGATAGTCCAAGAACCCCCTCACGTCAAGGATAGCAGGTTCAATCGAGTAAATCTGGGGCAAGAAACACACAGTGGTTGTTGGCCGATGAGACAATGTGATCTAGCAAAAAGGTTCCTAACTTACCTTGACGCTAGAACCAGGCCGAACCACCAGCTCGTCTCCAGCGGTCACGACGGCAAGTGCATCATCTAGAAATACCAGCAAATGTCCAGATTACAGTTGCAAAAGGCAAGGAACATTCAGCTCTGTTTGGTACAATGAGCCTGCAGTTGAGGCATACTGATAACCTACACACCAGACACGTTTCATCAGCCTTTTGCATCATTGTCGTGGTTCTAGACCTTTTTACTCGCCTCCAAAATCACCAAATCCCATGGCAATCATTGCCGAGGACGTCAAACCATGAGCTAGAGGATCATGGGAATGTAGGTCCAATTCGTCATTGTGTACCACCATAGACTTTTCGAATCTGACCTCGGCTCGATTTACCGGGCCAAGCATTCCCTGAAGAGGGAACTGTCCCATCCTGCACAATCATTGTTAGCGGGTGCGGTGTGTCGTCCTCGTGTGGGCAGGCAGACGGGGAGTCAAGTTCAGGCTCAGACAAGAAGATGGGTCTTTACCACCCAAAGCGGTCGGCTTCCTGAACGAAATCGAAGTCTGCTAATGGCATCAGCGATACAAGGGTTGACAGGTCAAAGCTCCGGTTTTGCCAAAACTCGTCTCAAGCGCCCCACAGCTTGTTCTTGATGCCCTTAGATCGATTGATTGAACCCATCCTGCCCGCTTTTGCATCTATCGCCCCTGTACAAACTCCACTCGAAGGGCAAATTGGTAACATTTCATATAGACCAGACCTCGTGGAAAAGACCTAGTCTACACGTCTGATGTTTTATCTGATTCGACAGAAACTTGCACAATCTCCATATCTAGAGCTCCTGCTTGACCCGATCGGTAGCCTGTCCAGCAGCAACCTTGACCGAAGCCGTAGCGTGCCTCACGGCCTCCTCTACGTCGTCCAACGAAGCGTCACTGAGCGCATCGGCGGCCTCGTCAAACTTCCTGTGGACAAAGGCCGAGAGGATGTTGTTCTTCCTCTGGAGCTCGTCGAGCTTTTCCGGGGCGAGCGAGGGGGATTGGAGGAGTTTTCCGATCCTGTGGAGAAGTACCAGGTAAGGACGCGAAGTTTAGCGTTGGAGCGCGCAAGCGGATCGTCTTCGGGTCTGTCCGACTCACCTGGTGGTCTCCTTGCTCAACCAATCCTCGCCCTTCTCAACAACCCTTTGCATAGCCTTGATGTAGTACTCTCCCTCGCTCCCGTTGGCCCGCTTGACGACGTCCTCGGCTCCGGTCTTGGCAGATCCCGTCAACTTGGCTACGTAAGCCTGGGCCTGTTCGAGGATGCTCGATCGGTCCGAGGAGGACGCGGCGCTGAAGAACTTGGAGGCGAGCTGGTCGAGAGCCAAGACCTTGCCGGCAGTGGGCAAGAGTCGACCTCCGACGGCTCGGTGGGTACCGGCCTTTTCGTTCAAGAACTGGGTTGACGAGGAATGCGGTACGATTAGTCCTCTCTGCTACCGCTGCGGTATATCATAGCCAAAAGAACCCAGCCTCACCTCGACAAACGCCTCCTCGGACCTAGCGCTGGCATAGTTGACCGGCCCCGATCCATCCTTGGGGAAAAACTTGATGGTCGGGAACCCCTGAACACCAACCTCGGAAGCGATCTCCTTGTTCTCATCGGCATCCGCGTTCATCTGAGCGACGACGACGTTCTTCTCGTTCTTGAACGCCGTGGCGACCTTTTCGTAGACGGGCTTCAGGGACTTGCAGTGTCCACACCAAGGTGCGGTAAAGGCGATGAGGACGTCTTTGCCGCTGCTGATGAGTTGGTGGTAGTTCTTGTTGTCGACCTCGAGGGCGGCGGGAGGAGGGGGAGGTTTGATGGAAGACTTGACACCGGACTTTTCAGTGACGCTGGAGTCCGAGGAAGAACAAGAACTTAGCTTTGGTTGTGAACGAGGGGAGGGTGAGGACAGATCGTACGTACAACTTGGCCAACGAGTCGAGGTCCCTTCCACCTTCGTAATCCACCGGTTCGCCTCCATCAGGTCCAAACCACTTCAAAGCTATCGTCATAAGAAGCGCACCAAGATCGAATCAGTATGATCTTCCTAACAAGCTGCACAGGATCCATGATCATTCGACTCACTGGGGTACCCCTTGACGCCAAACCTCTTTCCCAAAGACTTGCCGGCACCGTCGGCGTCCGTCTTGGCGATCAGGACTTTACCGGTAGGGAACGCATCTGCGAGTTGTTCGTAGACGGGGGCGAGGTTCCTGCAAGAAAGAAGAGCAAGGATCAAAGGGAGATCGGGGGTAAGCATCTAGGGTTGATTGCTAATCGATTCGAGCCTTCAGAGTTCATGGGCTTACTTGCAATGCCCACACTACCATACGAAAAGCGACGATCTCCTACAACTGTCAGCGTTCCTCACCCAGGATATGTATATAACCTTCAGAATCGGAGTTGATGCTCACCCAAGGCGCAAAGAACTCTACCAGAGCAGGCTTCCCAGCTCCAACGAGTTTATCAAAGTTGTCTCCATCGAGATCGACGACTTTGCTCGCGGTTACCGAGAAGGCGAGGGTGACGAGCGGTAAAAGGATCGAAGGGAGGCGCATCTTGTCGAGTCTCAACTTGCTTGTTGATGCTTGCAACCAGGAGAAGGATGAATTCGGTCAGAAGATGCGATGACATGCAGGGAAATTTCGAACGATCATGGGTGAGTGAGGGTCGGGGTGAAGGGGGTGACGACGTGGAATGCTTGCGTAAGCGAGCCAAAGGTCACCTGACATTTATTCTACTCGGGTCAACCGCCGCGTCATCACTACCCCTGACATCCGGATCGAAAAATCAATAAATGTCTCAAGCTGGACGACCAGAAGATGGGTATATCATGGAGGCGGCCTGCATCAATGCCCGTAGCAAGGATTGATCGTTCATCCATCCGCTCTTATCCATTCACTCGCCCTTGTGGGTCAAAAGCGATGTTTTGGCGGCTTTAAATCATATCTGTCGATCACAAGAGTTCTAACCCTCGATTCAGCATACGATATGACACTCTGATGGACGGGGGATCCCAGTGCGGGAACTTATCGGCCAAGTTGAATATACGCAAGCCTATCCCGTCCAGGATTGTTGCCAATATCAATCCTGTCGCAATCGAGATGGTGCCAATGAGCGCTGCATCGCCCGGTTTCGTCCTTCTCTGCAATCATCCTCTACAATACTACCTTCGTTCTACGTCTAAACGGCCTATGGTGCAGTGGAATTTTGAGATCCACCATGTTAGCAGCCGAGCGCATCACGACTGTATCTCTCATTAATCGAGGACAGGCCCCGAACGCACCGCCACTACATTAATCCCTCGCCGGCAGCCTACTGAGCCTTCATATTCCGTCATCTCAAATCACCTTGGCCGATGTTAATAAGAATGCATTTATTCCGGAGTGCAGAGAGCCTGTTGATGAACTGGGGGTCATGCGCAGTCTTCGTCCGAAAACCCGAAAAGATGTCGTCGATCGATTCCGCAGTAGTAGTGAGTCCCGTCCGGCTGCGCAGGACAGGCTAGGCGAGGTGAAACGCGCGGTGAGAGGAAGTCGGATTTCGCCGAACCAACGGACAATACGATCAAAGGAAGGGTCGAGGGAAAGGATGAAGAACAAGTGACGCTTGGAAATTCGCCTCCATCTAGAGGCCTTCAAGTAGCAAGAAGATCTGGTTGGTACATCATATAAGAGAAACGTATAGCTCGTAGCCTCGAACCCCCCAGCTCGTCTTCGTAGTTTCGCCCTACCTGGCTGTGTTCATCACCGGAAAAGTCCCGCGTGATCGCCGAAGCTGTGTCCCCTCCATCCTCGGCTCCGTAGTAGTGGTCATCAAAATAAACCACAACTCCCTCCTCGAGCACTACAAAAGAAACAATCCCACTCTGGCCACTCTGACCCTTACACTCATCTCGCTTCAAACTCGCACTCCAGCACATCTTTAGACTCAAGACTCAGGTGGAATAATGTCGTTCTTAATTCCCCTTCTAGCCACCTCCTTCCTCCTCACTGGCCCAGCACCAACGCTCGGAGCTACCTACTCCTTGATCGAATCACACGCGGGAAGTTCGTTCTTCGACGGATGGATCTACGAGACCGGGTATGATAACACCAGTGAGTTCCTTCATCCCCCAAGATCCTGGCGTTGTGTACCTCTCTTTCGTTTCAAGTCGAGTTGGTCACTAATTGGGAACCGTCGTTTTGTGCTACGCAGCTAATGGGGATACGACATGGAGTTCCTCCCCCTCGCTCGCCTACGTAAACTCGGACAACCAGGCCATCATCAAGGTGGACAACAGTACGTCGAACTCCCCTGTACCTCCAGCTCCATCTATATACTCGAAACCTTCTTCCGTAACGATACTGATCCTGTCCACGTGCATGATAGCATCCACGGTCCCGTACAACGAGAAACGCGACTCGGTCAAGCTCCTCTCCCAGAATTGGTACAAGGCGGGGACTGTATTCATCATGGACGCAGTACAGTACGTCTCCCTCTTCTCCTTTCGTCATCGCTTTGCTTTCATCTTCCTGCATCTTTTCCGAGGGTAATATCGTTGGGCTGCAGGCTGATCGTGAACTTCTGTTTTGTTTGTGTTGTTGCATTTTCGCTTCCGCGATCACGCCCGGTTGTTTTGTTTGTTTGTGGCTTTATGGTTTCGGCGAATTTAGCGTGCCGGTCGGGTGTAGTGTCTGGCCAGGTGAGCCCTTTCCTTCCAACCCCCTGAACTTCATATAGAATTGACGCAGTAGCTAACAACGGGGTGCCCGCGAATTGAACAGCTTGGTGGACTCGAGGACCTAATTGGCCAGCCGGTGGAGGTAAGCATAGCACCCGACGCGGCTTGCGAGAGAAGGAGAGCAGTACGGGGGGGCTGATCATGTCGTGCTGCGAGGGTAGAGATCGATATCTTCGAGCCTGTCAACTTGCAGACGACCAACCAGTTCGCTTTGCATACGACCGAAGGGTACGTTCAACCTCAACTTTCACTCGATCGATTTCCTACACCCGGCAGACCAAGCTGATCCAAACCTACTCGAACTAACGCGACCTAAATGACATGACGTCTTTCTCGACAGATGCACGGCCACGCCCGATGCCTCGTTGAACCCGACAGGGACAGTCGGGACGACCAATTGCGATCAAGACGCCAACTACGGGTCGGGGTGTACGGTCATCGGTGGCGATGCTGGAACGGTCTTCAACCAAAATGGGGGTGGGGTTTATATCATGGCTTTCGAGGTGAGTCGCCTGCACGATGTCTATCGCATGCCCTCAGAAACCTTGAAACTGAATATCATGGACGTTCGACCTCGTTTGCTTGTAGACGACGGGAATCACGATCTGGTACCACCGTCGATCCGATATCCCTACCTTCCTCAGCTCTACCGCATCCAGTATCGATACCTCCGCCTTGGGAACCCCCGTCGCTTCCTACTCTTCCAGCTCGTGTGATATCAGCAAGTTCTTCGCTAGTCAGCAGATGACCCTAGATATCACCATGTGTGGGGACTATGCGGGTACGGCGAGCGTTTTGGAGGCGACTTGTGGGGCTTTGGTCGGGGACCAGACTTGTTACAGTGAGTACCGGTACAGTTTCGTTACCAGAAGTATCCGTGGGCTGACATCGATGTTTACGTGTTGGAACAGCTACCTACGTACTCAACTCGACCGTCTACAACGATGCCTACGTGAGACGGATTCCCACCCTCCAATCTCTTACGAGAGTACTGACTCGAAGCCTCTCCTTCCAAACTATAGTTCCAGATCAACTATCTCAACGTTTACGGCGGCGACGACTCGATCGACAAGGAGCTCAGCGGTTCCAGCACGGCGTCCTCCACCGCCACCTCTACAGTTACGGGTTCGTCAGGCTCGGGAATGGGTACAGCGACTTCGTCAGCTAGGGTGACGGGAACTACCACCGCTGCCAGCAACTTGACCAATGCCGGTGTGGGGGATGTCGCTGGGCTGAAGAGCATCGTTGGCGGTCTCGTCGCGGCAGTCGGGATGACCGCTGGATTCGTCGTGCTCTTCCTATAGATGAGAGCCAACATAGATAGACAGATCATATCTAGCTGTGTCCTCGCATATAGACATATACCCAAGATTAGAATCGCATCGCGATATCATAACAATTTACATGGCGTCCAGGCCAGATCGATTACACGGCCACATCTAGTTTCTCTAATAAACGTCTCGCCCTGTCCTTGATCTGCACCTGATCCTCCGAGTCCCCTTCCGGCTCTTTAACCTCTTCCGCGTCCTTCCCACTCTCCTCCCCCGTTTCCGCTGTCGCACCTTCAGCGGCATCCGTCTTGGTCTCAGCCTCGGCCTCAGGCTGCTCGGCAGCGACATCTGGTTCCTCCTTCTTGGGCGGGTTCAATCGCTTCTTAGCCTCCTCGACCAGGTTCTAGCAAGGTAGACAATGGGAGTCGACGTCAGCTAAATAGCTACGGGGCAGAAAGAAAGCGACTGAAACGACCCGGACTGACCTTCCTAGCCACACCCTGGATGGTGATCAGATAATCGATCGTCAGATCAACCCATCGTTCCGGGATCTACTCCTTCGCACAAATCCATGCGATATCAGCATCTCGACTCATCAGGTGAACACAGCAACCCAAAGCCGGGGCAAAGCAAGACATAACAGGAAGGAGAGGAAGAAGGTGCTCAACATACGTTCTCCATGGACCAGACGTTACGTAACAGCCATCCTTGCTTGGCCTTGTTGAACTTCCAGATGACCGTCTTGTCCGCCTTGTTCTGTTTGAAGATGTATGCGTACTGCAGAGCTACTCCGATAGCAAGAGACCCATGTTCCTCGCAGAGTCAGCTCATCTGTGATGTACAGATAGCTCTGCGTTTACGGGGGCGTACCTTTCTGCGACTGCTCATTGATCGACGCATCCTTCTCCGGCTCGGTCACTTCCACCTCGACATCCTCCTTCGTACCTTCCCCAGCCTCCGTTTCGGGTTCTTCTACCGGCACCCGAGCTTGGGCCGCAGCGGATTTCGCTTTCTTCGACTTTCGTTCCTTCTTCGGGGTCTCTGCGGCTGGTGCTGGTGCTGATGCGGATGTAGGTGTATCGGTATCTACCTCCATAGGTTTTGACGATTCGTCCTTAGACCCCCCTTTCTCCTCGTTCTCCTTGTCTCCATCAGCAGCGGTTTTGTTCTTGCTCTTCTTCTCCTTCTTCTGCTTTTTCTTCGAGACAGTAGCCTCTCCCTCGACAGTCTGTACAGCGGCTTCATTCGTGCCCTCAGCTGGCGTCTCTGCGGGCGTCTCTGCTTTTCTCTTTTTCGACTTCTTCTCTTTCTCTATCACCGGTGTTGATTGTTCTTCAGCGGCATTCTCCTTTTCTACCTTGGCCTGTAGTACGGGTAAAGTTCAGCAGGAAGCGGACCTTTCAGCCGACTTATACTGACAAGTCAAATGTTTGACCGGGACTACTGACCTGTTTCTTAGCGGCCTTCCTCGCCTTCCTCTCTTCCTTCGTCTCGGTCTTTTCCACAGCTTGATTGTCAGACATCGCGATACTTCTAGTTCTTGTCTCTATTATTGTGGGTTTCGAGATATATACAGGATCGAAGTTGAATCGCCCGGCCTTGATTTCCATCTTTGACTTATCGAGGTGTTGAACGAAATTCGACCAGATGTATGGCCCGCCGGAAGCGTCACTCGCCTATACTTTCGCTTGTTAATGGTTTCGACGCGCGTATGGTCGCTTGTTTGCGTTGATTGTTTACTTTTCGCCTACTTTTCGCCTTACTAGGCTCCGGTGACCCTTATTTGCATCCGATGAGCCGCGGTCAGTATCACGAAGACTCGGAATGACCAGTTACGACTAGTTTAGACTTGATTAGACTAGATGAAGCTTTGTTCATGCTTGACTTTCACGGCCAAGCTATATCAGGTCTCGCATAGCTGCTCTATCTCTAATTGCCCCCCCAAATACCATATTAAACACCTCACCTAGGCCTTTACGTCCCCTTGGAAACCATGTCCACCCACAACATCTCCGACGCCGACTTGACTCGACTCCTTCAACAGCGACTTGGAGGAGATCGTCAGCTAGTCGATCAGTGGGTCCAGCAAATCGTAGCTCCTCTTCCTCCCATGCCTGGTCGACCCGCCATGGCTTCGATTGAGCAACCTAGAGCTTCTACGGAACAACCTAGGGCTCCTTATGCTCCCATTACCCCTATAGACCAGGTCGACCAATCGGCTTCAAACAACGCCGGTCTCAGGCCCTCGCAGAGCGCTGTTGCGATTGAACGACAACATACAGGATACCCTCACCCGAGTCAAATGATCACAACCTTCCCCCCGCCCAATCCCCCTAGCGGATCAGCTACTGGCTCTACTCAACGGTTCCGGAATGGAAGTTTCCAGATGGCTACGGCTCGGGGCCTTCAGAAAAAGGCTACGGTAGCCCAAGCTAAGCCTTACCTCATTGGCAAGACTTACAATCGGGTAAGTCAGCCGGTTTTACGACTAAACAAGACTTGCGAGGTCTTGTTAACACTTTTTTGAACTTAGTTGAACCCGAGACGTGCTTGTGAAGTTGGACTGAGTTTTGTTCGTACTGACAAGTAGTTCTTGTTGATTCCAGGTTACCTATATTGGCTGTGGGTCTATCCTTCGCAGGGAGGTCATGTTATGGAACAAGGCAAAGCCGAAGGCCGGCGCTATGTTTGCCGAGGCCACAGAGACGACTGGGTACAGTCAGTTAATCGACCTGACACCCGACATGAACCCTACCGACATTGCGAAGACTGTGTTGGACAAATTTAGGGCCAAACATGGGTCTCGCTTCCTTATCAAACCCTTTTTATGGGCCAAACTGGGTCAGGGCACGACTCGTTTCCACCCCGAGACGCTTGGACGGGCCTATGAATTCACGCTTAAGGATTTACAGAAGATGTATCACAACTCTTCGTCAATGTACATCATCGAGGAAGGGTGGGAGTTCCCTGCAAACGACTCTCCCGGTTGGAGATACCAGATCACAGCCGCTCATAAGCAGGAAGGCGACATGTGGGAAGAGGATTTAGTGTTATAGCGACGCGCGTGTACGCCGGACTCGAGTCGTACCAACTCCGGCGGAGTTGTTCAAGGAGCATATCGTATTGTATCACTTTGTATCATCATTGTAGTATATAGTCTTTCATCTGTTATTACATCTATATACCCTAGTCCTACGTTCTACATTACTCCCGGATATGTCCTCGCAGGTATACATCGAGCCGGTCTTCCCTGGAGCCTTCTCGACGCCTAACAGAATAACAGATCATCCGAGTTCCCCGAGTAATGACTTGAACGTAGCAACTGGAGAACCGTTGGTGCTGAGCAGCATAGGTTCTCCCTCTCGGCCGGAGGCTCATATTACAGTCACCGGCACCTTCTACCCGAATGGTACTCCGACGGAGACGGTATTGATGATCGACTCCGGAGCGACCAGTTTGTTTATAGACACCGGATTCGTCGAGCAACACGGATTCGACCTCATTCCTTTAGAACGACCCCGACCACTCCTGGTCATTGATGGGAGAGAGATCTCTTCCGGTGCAGTTACACACCGGGTACAAGCTAGACTACGTATCGGTAGACATACCGAAACGGCGTACTTCTACGTATGTAGCCTCGGAACTTTCACAACGGTGCTCGGCCTACCATGGTTGAAGGAGCACAACCCCCGAATTGACTGGGAAATGAGCGCAGTAGCGTTCGAAGATAAGTGCGTCCAGAACGGATGTACACCAGCAAAAGAAATAGTATACTCCCCCGTGGATTACGAAACGGAGGAGAAGGAGTTACGTTCGACGGACCGAATCAAAGGAGGGGTCACCGAAGAACTAGTAGCGGCCTACCTCAAGGCCAATGATGAAGAAGAAGAGAGGGTGAGGCGTCCCGACTTATGGGATTGGGACGACAAGCCAGCGGAGAGTTTCCCGGGAGACCTGGACCCTCCCGAGTATATGGAGACGCTACGGAAGGTGGTACCGGAGAAGTACCACGCTTTCCTCGGAGCGTTCTCCAAGACCAAGGCCGACGAGTTGCCGGCACATAGAGACTTCGATCACTCGATCGACGTAGAGGAAGGGAAAGTACCCCCCTTCGGAAAACTCTACAACCACTCCGAAAAGGAGAGCGCCGAATTGAAGCGTTGGATCAAGGAGAACCTTGATAAAGGTTTTATTAGGGCTTCGACGTCACCCGCCGCAAGTCCCGTATTGTTTGTCCCGAAGAAGGGAGGAGAGCTCAGGCTCTGTATTGACTACCGGCGTTTGAACGCCATTACCACAAAGGATCGGACCCCGTTACCGCTGATTTCCGAGACGCTCGATAAGTTAACGACAGCGAAGGTCTATACCAAGTTGGACCTCCGAGGAGCGTACAACTTGTTACGAGTAAAGGAAGGGGACGAATGGAAGACGGCTTTCCGTACTAGATACGGACTGTTCGAGTGTCTGGTGATGCCGTTCGGGTTGACGAACGCTCCGGCGACGTTCCAAAGGTGGATGAACCATGTGTTCAGGGACCTTCTGGACGAGTCCGTCGTAGTGTACCTGGACGACATCCTCGTGTTCTCTCCCGACGAGACTACGCACGAGAGACACGTGAAGGAGGTGCTGCGAAGGCTACAAGAAAATGGGCTGTACGCCAAAGCAGAGAAGTGTGAGTTCCACACAACAGACACGGAGTTCCTTGGATACGACGTGTCTCCGGGAGGGGTGAAGATGAACCCCTCCAAGGTGTCGTCCATAGAACAATGGGCGGCGCCTCGAAACCTGAAGGGACTACAGTCGTTTCTAGGTTTCGCCAACTACTATCGGAGGTTCATCACGAACTACTCCCAGAAGATACAGGGGATGACGAAGCTCCTGAAGAAAGGAGTGCGGTTTCAATGGAACGAATCCGCAGAGACTGCGTTCGTAACGCTGAAGAAAGCGTTCTCGCAGGCGCCTATACTGGCGCATTTCCAGGAAGATGCAGAGGTAACGTTGGAAACGGATGCCTCGGCCGGAGCGATTGGAGCAGTGATGTCGCAGAGAGGTTCGGACGGAAAACTCCGACCAGTAGCGTTCATGTCAAAGTCGTTGACTCCCGCAGAGCGGAACTACGACGTTCACGACAGGGAGATGCTGGCCATCGTCTACGCCTGCAAGATATGGCGACACTACCTGGAGGGACCTCACCCTATTCGGATCTTTACCGATCACAAGAACCTCGAGTACTTCCGAACGGAGAAGTTACTGTCGAGGCGACAAGCAAGATGGTCTCAGCTGTTGAACAGTCTGAGCTACACCCTGGAGTACAAGCCGGGGGTGATGAACGGTAAGGCCGACGCCTTGAGTCGGAAGGAGGAGCTCCTGGAAGAGAGCGAACCAAGACAGACCGAGACGATGCTACGGCCCATGAATCTCTCGGCTACAGCGCGGGAGATCCCTCCGCATCTACAGATCAACGGTACCCTGCCAATTCCCGGCGAGGACCTCCGGAGAGACCTGTTGCAAGGTTACGAGGCGGACGAAGTAGTCAAGGCCATCTTGGAGAAGATGGAGAGGGAGCCCAACGAGCAGGGTCCCTACAAGAAGGATGGCGAGGGGTTCCTAATCTACAAGGGACTCCTGTACGTCCCTGATGTGGAGTCGGTAAGGGTCCGACTGATGAAGTACGTTCACGACGGCAAGCTCGCGGGGCACTACGGGCGAGACAAAACGGAGGACCTTCTCTCGAGAGACTTTTATTGGCCCCGAATGAGAGACTGGGTAGGCAACTACGTGGCCTCGTGCTTGACGTGCCAGAAGAACCGCCGTCCCCGACAAAAGCCAATCGGAGAATTGGCCCCCCTACCTGCGGCGAGGAAGCCGTGGTCGTCTATCACTTGGGACCACATCACGGACCTCCCCGAGTCATTGGGCCAGGATGCAATCCTGGTAATCGTCGACCGCTTCAGTAAGCGGGCACACTTCATCCCGTGTCGAAAGGATAACAACGCCTCGTACCTGGCGAAGTTATTCTTCTCCCACTACGTCAAGTTGCACGGGTTCCCTGATCAGATCATCTCGGACAGAGGAACGTTGTTCATGTCTAGCTTCTGGCGGGATGTATGTGCTTTTGCGGGTGTCGAGAGGAGATTCTCGACGGCATACCACCCGGAGACTGACGGACAAACGGAGAGGAGCAACTCGACGTTGGAACAGTACCTGCGGAGTTACGTGAACTTCCAGCAGGATGATTGGGCGGAGTTGTTGCCTCTGGCGGAGTTCGCCTACAACAACTCCAAGCATTCCGCCATAGGGATGTCGCCTTTCATGGCCTCCGAGGGGACTGACCACAAGTTCACCATCCGGATGGCCGAAGTACCCAATGAAAGCGCGGATGAGTTCAGGGAGCGACTCTCGAACATCCACGAGTCGGTACTCCGGGCGTTGGAGCAAGCAAGGGTGGATATGGCGAAATACGCCAACAGAAAGAGGCGACCCGTTCCCGACGAGGGAATGGAGGTCGGAGATCAAGTGATGTTGTCTACGGACCACATCAAGACGGTTCGTCCAAACAAGAAGTTGGACTACAAGACCCTCGGACCTTTCAAGATCACCGAGGTCGTGGGAGATGCGAAGATGGCGCGGAGATTGGAGCTTCCCGAGCAACTGCGGCGAGTACACCCTGTGTTCCATGTCTCAATGCTGATTCCGTACAAGCGGAACGAGCTGCCCTCGCGGGAACAGGTCCCGCCTCCTCCTCCAGAGGTGGTGGATAACGGTGACACCCAGTGGGTAGTATCTGAGATCGTAGATTCGCGGAGCAGGAAGCGGGGACGTCAGACGCGTACCCAATATCTGGTGCGGTGGGAAGGTTACGAGGATGAGTATAACGAGTGGGTACATCCGGAGGACTTTCACCATGACGACCAAGCGGTGCTGGATTATCATCGACGATACCCAAACAAGCCGAAACCTGCTTTCGAGGAGTACGGCGATGCCTAGGGCGTTCGGAGTCCGCCCTTAACGGGGGGATCCTGTTATAGCGACGCGCGTGTACGCCGGACTCGAGTCGTACCAACTCCGGCGGAGTTGTTCAAGGAGCATATCGTATTGTATCACTTTGTATCATCATTGTAGTATATAGTCTTTCATCTGTTATTACATCTATATACCCTAGTCCTACGTTCTACATTACTCCCGGATATGTCCTCGCAGGTATACATCGAGCCGGTCTTCCCTGGAGCCTTCTCGACGCCTAACATTTAGACAGCGACGACTCCGACCATCGCAATGCGTTGAGGCCTTGCTCAGGGTGTAGGCGTAAATACCCTTCGATACAGCTACCTGTCCATCAGCGCAATTGTGTGCCCTTTCGTGAGCAGGAAGAGGGGGAAGAGGACAACAAGGCCAAAACAAGTCGAAAAAAGTCCAACTTGGCTCTCAACGGAAAGGTCAAAGCCGAACCTGGTCTCAAGCTTGAGCCGACTAGCCCATCTTACACTCGTCCCCGTCCCCGGCCAAAACAGAAGTGGAAGGGTAAGGGGAAGCAAAGGGCTACCTCTGTATCCTCCTCAGGAATCTCTATCGTGAGCGTGATCGATTCAGATGATGAGCAGTCTGCTCCTGCTTTGGGAAAACTCCTCTCGAAAGTCGCCCAACATCCAGCGTTTGGCGCACGATGGCTGTCGAATCAGAAACAACGGCTTAGGTCTCACCTTGACTTGGCGAACTCGTTAGGTGGGGTTGATAGCAGTAACCCAACCTCAACTGGACGAGCCGAGTCTTCTTACGACCAGACTGAGTCAGGTTCGGGCGCAGGCCCCTTCGACGGCACCGAATCGTTCTCGTTTGAACGCTCGGCTGGAGATCAGCAATTGCTGGAGAGCATGGGACTCCCGCAGGTCGACGAGCATAGTCAGACTAGCGACCATTTCCTTGATGAGCTGGACCCCAACTTCCCGTTCCAGTACCTCGACATGGACGCACAGGGCGCAGTCGAAGCAACCCATGATGGCAATCAGAGGACTTCAATGGAACCAGGTGAGTGGAAGTTGTGCTCGATAAGGCTCAACAATGCTGAATAACGCTTATCACCGCTATATCTCGACTCCAGGAAATGTTTCGCATGAGATTGGTCCAGGTAAGCTTTGTGCGGGGTTATTAGGACTAGACAAGATTCCCAACAGTATTTGTTCGGTTGAGATCGGGGTTACTGATCTTGCTTCAATATGATCTTCCGTAGCAAACGTGGACAACAACGCCTGTCCTGCTGAGGAGACTGTATCTTCTAAAGCGTCAAAGGAACTTGACCCTTCTACCTCTACTGCTGCTGCTGCCACTTCTACCTTGCAGCAAAGGTCCGGAGGCGGTCGCAAGAGGAAGCACGAGGCAATGAACTCTACAGATCTTCCCGAGAGCTCAGCAGCCGCAAGGACACGTGCTGCAAAGGCTTTGGAGCAACAACAAGCAGTGGGCAAAGGGCAACGAAGGAAAAGGCTGCCGGCCAAGCTTCAATAGGTGCTCAAACTGATGTAAGTCTTTCTCTCACCTGCCTGTTAAACTCTGTTACACTCGACACGACTTGTTAACACAAATTTAGTCTTTTTGTTGCTGAATTGGGCGCAATAAGTCTTTGCAACACGGAGAAGAGTTTGATCGCTTGGTGCAAGGCTTATTCGAGATATTCTTCGCATAAAAAGATACAAACAGCGCAATACGAGACTGTCCTAGATACATTTACATTTACATATCGAAAGAAGAAAGAATCACGACGAAGGAGCCCCAAATCCCGTACCGAAAGGCCTCGAAGCCCATCCCGCTCGAGTCCTGGTGGGAGTGGCCGGCAAAGCTGTCTCCCGTTCAGCCTTGACCTTGGTAACGCCCTGCTCGAGCTCGCGCCCCAGTCCGGTCAAAGCGGCACCGTCGAGATGGGTGATGATCTCGTTGGCCTCAGCAAGGAGCGCCGAAGCCTTTGGGAACTTCTCGGCGAGACCGTTCCAGTCCTCCTGGCCTTCGTCAGACTTCCCGAGGTCCGCCCACTCCTGCTGAACCTTCTCCAACCACGCACCGGCCGCTTGGACTTTTTTGGCCACATCGTGCGTAGTCTGCTCGAACGCTAGGGTGGCGGCGGCGGGAGGAGCGAGAGGGCGAGTCGGCGATCCGATGCCACCAAAGACGGGAAAGCGAGGCGGGGTAGAGGCCCTGGCAGCAAGGGCGGCGGCGGCGGCGGTGTTCTTCTCGTGCTCAGCGAGTGTTACGGGCGTCCTCGAAAATCGTCTAAGGGGTTGCCTCCGCGTATTTACTTCCGTCGCGACTACGTGGCGAGTCACAGGTTTCTAGATGCAAGCGAAGTCGGATCACGTGACTACGATGTCTCACGGTCTTTCTCGAGTTCGCGTGAAGTCGCGACGCTGTACTAACGATAGTGAGTTCGTCGGTGGTAGTGTAACCTCTCCTAGTACGTCTCCGTAGTATAACTAAGGTATAGGCGTATGTCGAATGTAATAACTGCGCTTGAATCGTATAGAAGTACAACAGACTCGCACGACTTCTCTACGATTCGCGCTCCGTTATATGCTAACTACGTACTCGCGTTACTCGCACCGAATCCGCTATTGTTTACCGAGTTCGCCCGACTTCGTGCTTGTCTTCTTTGTTCGAGAACAAAAGGCTGTCGTCCGTCGGTCGCTCTTTCAGGCGAACAATAGACGGTCGAACACACGAAGTCGCGGTTTTCTTTTGTTGACTTCGTGCGGATCCGCTGAGTGTCGCCCGATCCGGGCCGATGACCTAAATGCGCGTCGATCCCATGCTGCCGTTCGGTCACGCCCTGTGACATCATCCCCCCCTCTATGTTGGACGTCGCCCCGACGTCCCGGTGTCCCTTGTTTCGAGGGTGATTGTCGGTTAGGATGTCCGAGGTGTCCGCAGTCCTCGACCGGCTCCGGGTTTCGTCGTACGAATCCTCCCCTTCGTATCAGAACGACAGCTCTCCCAGGGCTTCGCCCGCCTCGGGTGGGGAAACAGCGCCGAGGAGGCGATCGAGTGTGAGTCGCGCGATTTCTCTTGACTTCGTGAGAAATCTGACGTATTCGTACGGACTCAGTCGACGACGAAACCGGGGAGTTCGTCAACGCTCCTGAGGTGCTCCCGCCACCTCTTAAGGTCAAGTCTAAGTCCTTCATTCCGAGGGTGAAGGAGGAGATCATCGAGGAGGAGGGAGGCGCTCCTGCGGCCTCGGGTAAGTTCTTTCCTCTCACACTGAATACGCACGGGTTCTCACGACTTCGTATCGCTCCCACAGGATCCGGAAGGTCCACCAGGCCGGACCTCGACCTCGGTGGCGGCTTTGGCGGGCGATCCGGTGAGTTGCGAGCTATGCGTTTCGCCCGGCTCCGCGCGACTGCTGACAGATTCGTGCGCCTTTTCCGCTCAGACCGCCAACGTTCGTTGTCCTTCGAGAGGGACAACAAGGAGGTCTTCTCCTTCGACGACCGCCTCACTCCCTTCGGGACGGCCGCTCCTGGCCCTCGATCCCGCGCCGCCGGTCCGGCCCGGCCTCCCGCCAACTGTGAGTATTCTTTCTTTTTCGTTCGTACATGTGCCTTTCGTTCAGACTTCGTGCGACTTCGTGTTTTCAGTCGGTGTTCCAGAAGCGGAACACTTCCGACTTCAGCGCCAGTTCGGTGACGACTCCGTCCGCCCCGCCGCTGAAGAAGGTCGGTCTGGCCCCGCCGCCGAGAACCTGGCCGCCGGGGAAACACGAGGCGGGCAAGTCGACGGGTTCTTGGGGAGCTTCCTCCCGGGTACGTATTTTTCTGCTCGTATTCGCTCATATTCGTGCTAACCGGTCCGGCCCCGCAGGCGAACCTCGATGGGACGGGGACGATCGGGTCACGACATGGGACCAGATCCGACACATCGCGGGTCGACCCGGCTGGCCAGCGTGGACCAAGCCCAAGGACGACACGTCCGATGTGAAGAGGTTCGAGCACCGGGCCCGACAGGTTAGTCTAACTTTTGCCCACTTCCGCACGAATCCTACTGACTTCGTCCGAATTCTCTCGACAGTGGAACCGATTCCGCATGGCCGACTACTGGTCCGAGAGGCCGGGCGACACCGTCCGAAACGACCCGACTTGCGCCGGATGCCATCGGAAGCGTGATGACGTGCCCTGGGCTCGGGAGTGCCGTTCGGTCGTGAAGCGCGACGGGACGAAGCAGGGTTGCGTCTGCTGCAACGCATTCGGCTCGACGTGTGAGTACGCCGGCAAGGACTCGCGCGACAACGTGGCCGACGACGACGACGACGACGACGCTCGCCCTCGAGAGGAGACTCCGCTCGAGTCCGTCCGTGGTCGCCAGGCTTCGATCGATCGCGCCGCCGCCGACGCCGCCGCCGCCTTCAACGACGCCCATCGTCCTCGCGCTGGACACACTCGCGGTGCTCCTCTTCGAGGAACCCAGGCTCGGGAAGCTCTGGTTAGTACTCTTCTCTCGATTCTTCTCGTCTTCGTCGGACTTCGCTAACACCCGTACGTGTTCGTCCATAGATCTTCCAGACCGGCGTCGTCAAAGGCGCCTTGGACGAGGACCGGGTCCTCGGTCGAACGGCTCTTCAGTCGTTGTACGAGGTGATGTGCCGCCTCGTCGAAGGTCTTGCGCCGCCGCCGTCGCCTTCCGCTCGGAACCGGGCGGGATCGAAGCGAGACCGCGATCCGTCGCCGAGTTCGGGCAGGAACAAGCGTCGTCGTGGTAACCCTTGAGACGCGGGTTCGGGGCCTCTTTTTTCTTTTCTTTCTTTTTGTATTTTTATACTTTTTATGCGAGATATGCCTTGTGATTCTTTCGACTTTGTCTCGTCGCTGTTCGTAGTTCAAATGAGTGTGAGTTGAGTCCGGCTCGTGTCCAATCGTCCGTAGTCACGCGCGTTCGCCCGCAAACGCGCGTACTCGGACTTAAGGCTTCGGCTTCGTGGGATTCTGCGCGTGGAACTCCTCGACCAAATCAGCGGCGAAGACGTCTTCGGCATTCTCCCACGTAGTCGCCTCCGGACCCGCGTACCCTTCCCACTCGATGCGATACTGAACCTTGCCCGCTCGTTTCCTACTATCTAGGATTGACTTGACCTCGAAAACGTCCTCGGTCTCGGGTTCAGGACCCGGATCCTGACGCCTCGCCGCGACTCCGCCTGTGCGATGCGGTTCCAAACGATCTAGGTGGAATACGTCGTGTATCTTCAGCGAAGCCGGTAACCTCACCCGCCAGGCGTGTGAGGAGATCTCTTCGATGATTTCGTAAGGCCCGAACCGCTTGTGGTCCATTTTCTTGCTTGGTCGCTTGGTGTTGATGTCTCGTGCGGATACGTAAACCATCTCCCCCACTTTGGGCGAAAAGGTCCCACTTCGCCCGGCGTTGTAGTAAATCGCAGCCCTTTCCGCGGCCTCTTCCAAACACGTCCGCATTTCCTCCCAAATCTCCCTCATTTCGTCAGCCGCCAACCGTCCGGACCCCGTTTCGCCACCCTCGTCGGCGAAGTCGAAGCGAGGGTGATACCCGAACGTGGCAAAAAATGGAGTTATCTTCGTCGAGGCGTGCGTCGTGTTGTTCAACACGAATTCCGCCAAAGGCAACCATTTTACCCAGTCGTTCTGCCGAACATTGACGTATTCGCGCAAATACGCTTCCAAGGACTGGTTGACTCGTTCGGTCGCTCCGTCGGTCTGAGGATGGTAAGCTGTCGATAACCTACTTTTGATTCCGCACGCTTTCGTAAACTCCTTCCAGAACTCGGACGTGAACTTGCTACCGCGGTCGGACAAGATCGCGTCGGGCAAGCCATACTGCGAGAATACGTGAGTCAGAAACGTGTTCGCCAAGTCCTTAGCCGTCATTTTCGTCGTGACCGCCAAGAACCGCACGCGTTTCGTGAACCGATCCGTGATGACCAGGATTGAATTCTTGTTCTCCGACATCGGTAACTCCTCGACGTAATCCATCGACAGTTCGACGTTTGGCTTGTCCGAAACCGGTAGAGACTTCAGCATTCCGTACGGTTTGTGTCGCGTGGTCTTGTTTCGCTGGCAACTCTGGCACGAACCCACGAAGTCGATCACGAAGTCGTCCAATCCTGGCCAGTTGTAATCTCGCCTGACCAATTCGATCGTCTTGTCTCGACCTTGGTGCCCCGCTAACGGCTGGTCATGACGTGCCTGCAAAACCCGAACACGCAGGTCTTCGTGATCAGGTACGTAACACCGCCCCCGATATCGCAACTCTCCTCTCTTCGTGAACGACCACGGCGACTCCGTGTATGGCCGCCCCGAAACCGTGATGTTCGTCCACGGGACGTTTCCCTCGGCGGCTTCTGCCTTTACGCCTTCCTTGATGTCGTCCCGCAAGGTACGGTTTCGGGGACCCTGCACCCTTGCCGACCGACTCTGTTCGACCCACAGCGACTTCGGGAGTAGGACGTTGAAATTCCCTTCGTTGTGTGTCCGCGAGTGGATTCCGCCCTTTCCCGGGTGGTAGTCCGGTCTTCGTGTCAATGCGTCCGGTTTCCCTCCCTTAACGCCTGGTCGATAACGAATCCGGAAATTGTAGTCCGACAACGCTTCGGCCCACCGAGCTTGGCGACGACTGAGCTGTTTCGCCCCTTGAAAGTATTCAAGATTCTTGTGATCCGTGAGGATCTCGGTCGGTTCCTTCTGTGCTAACAAAACCGCCCGCCAATGTCCGAATCCGGACACGATCGCGAGTAGTTCCTTATCGTGGACCGTGTAATTGATCTCCGCCGGACTCAGCTTTCGCGAGTAAAACCCAATCGGTCTCAGCGCATCCTTGTCGTCCCGCCGACTCAATACGGCCGCCAGCGCGTAGTCGGACGCATCCGTCTCCAAGAAACAGGCGACGTCCGGATCCGCCTGGATCAGCATGGGTCCTTCCGAAAAGCTGTGCAGCAACGTGTCGAACGCTTGCTGTTCCTCGTCACCCCACTTCCACTCGACGCTTTTCCGCTGGAGTCGATTGATCGGCAAGGCAATCTTGGCGTAGTCGCGTATGAATCGTCGATAGAAGTTGGTAAATCCTAGGAACCGAGCGATGTCGGACACACACCGCGGCACCGGCCAGGTTTTGACGCTTGCCATCTTCTCATCGGTCATCGCGACTTCTCCCGCCTTGACCTGATAACCCAGGAATTCGATAGAATCCTTGAAAAACTCACACTTCTTCGGCTTTAGGTAGAACGAATGCGCACGAATTGTGGCGAACAGCTCCTTGCAAACCGCGACATGTTCCTCTTTCGTCGAAGAGTAGACCAGTATATCGTCTACGTAAACGATCACCCCCTTATCGACGAATTTATCGAAAATGTCGTTCATCAAGTACTGGAACGACGCTCCGGCATTGCACATACCCTCCCGCATCACCTTTGACTGAAACGCGCCGTACCGGGTCAGGATCGTGGTCCATTTCTCGTCCCCCGGGCGCATTCGTAAGAGCTGATACGAAGTCGGCATGTCAAACTTGGAGAAGATCTTCCCCGTGCGAACTCGTTCGAGGCACGTGTCAATCTTTGGCAAGGGGTATGCGTTCTTGACCGTAGCGCGATTGAGTTCGCGGTAATCCGTAACCATTCGGAAGTCTCCCCCTTTCTTCTTCACAAGGAAAACCGGGCTTCCGAACCAATGCGAAGACGGCTCAATATGTCCGATTTCGCGACTTTTGTCGATCCACGCTTTCAACCAGGCATCCGCATCCGCCGACAACGGGTACGGTTTCGCCCTCTTCAGTTGGACATTTGGTAAGAGGTCAACCGGGTGATCGTAGATTCGATGAGGCGGTAACTTCTCGTAATTGCTCTTTTTGAAGATGTCGCGAAACTCCGCGTATTCGGCCGGAATCATGGCGTCTAGTTCATCATCGTCAGGAGTCGGTTCTTCCTCCTCCAATTCTAGCTCTCGAATTGCTTCCAACATGTCGAGACTTCCCTCTCCTTGTCCGCGGAACCATTTGGTTTCTCCCGGAATCGTATCATTCTCCCCCTTCGCCGGCGACTTCGGACATAGGATGCTGAGTTCGCAGGTCTCCCAATCCATCTGCACTCCGTATTCCTTGATGAAGTTCAAACCCAAAATCACCTCCGGCGAAGCGCTCTCCATAATATCGAAACGAATCTTGAAGGGTCCGATGTTCCCGTTGATGAAGACCTCTACGTCTACGTACGACGTAATCAGCCCGCGTCCGGCCGGATTCGGGCCATTATCCACGAGTCTGATGATCTTCGGGACTTCGTACTTGGATTGAGCTACTTGCCCAAGCAGCGAGCAGCCCGGTCGAATGAAGCTACTGCTCGCCCCTGTGCCGAGGAGGGCTGAGAGCACGAATTCGTCCGAACCCGCTCTAGGCCAAACGGACAGGGAGACTAACGGATCCTGACCGCGTATCTCGAAACGGATCCAGTTCGACCTTTGGAACGAGCCCTTCTTCCAGTTCGTGTTAGCAGGGGCCTCCCTTGCAATTCGGACGACTTCGGGCGCCATGGGCTTGTAAGACGGCTTGTCCGGGCAGTCTCGGGCGTAATGACCCGGTTTCCCACATCGTAGACATTTCCCGTCCGCTCGTCGCTGATCCTTCTCGGCTTCCGTGATGGGCCGATAGGGAGCCCCTCCCCTTGGGACGAACGCGGGGCTACCGGTAGCGAACGTGACCCTGGGTCCTGGGCTAGGTTGCCTGCGTTCGCGACTTCCGTGGTCCGAATCTCCTTTGGTGCGCTGATCCGTGCGTTTTCGCGACCCACGATTCTTCTTCGACCGACCTCGATCCTCTTCAGAGTCGGAGTCCGAGCTTTGCCCGCGATCGCGCACGGACTGCAACCGATTGTCGACTTCGATCGCCTTCGCTCTGAATCGGATGTAATTCCTCTTCGGATATCCGTTCTTCTCGAGGTACTTGCTAACCGACGGACGAAGCCGGTCCATTACGGCGTCGATGCACGCTTCATCGTTCCAGCCAGTCAGGGGTTTATGCAACCCGAACTTCGAAAAGAATTCGCTAGCCGTTCCGGTTTGCTTCAATTTCTTGATGGCCCGCACGGCATCGCCCTTGCTATTGTTCTTTCCGAACGAACTCCTCATGAATTGCGCGAACATTTCGAAGTCGTGCAAAAACGCGGGTTGTTCGTTGAACGGGAGACTGATGTACGGGAAAACATGCTCGAAGGCGTCCCCAGCCCGGCGCATAACCGTGAATCCGACTTGACCCTTGCCAGTTCGGAACTGCGACGGTTTCTGATTGAAACAGACGCGGCATTTGGCCAAGAAGTGGTTCACCGAATAGTCCTTGTCGTCTCCGGTGAAGTCTTTGACTTCGTTGAGCTTGCCCTCGTCGTCTTGTTCCACATCGTCTCGCCCGGATTCGGACCGAAACTCGCGCATTGGGGTGTAGATATCCCTCTCGGCGAATCGTTGGTTTCGGTACCTTCCATCCGCTTCGTTGTCTGAGTCGTCGGAATCGTACTGATCCGCAAGATCTTGGAGACCACTAAAGGGGTCCCGCTGGGTCTTGCGCGCCTTCGGTTCCTTGACCGACCTCGCATCGATTAATTGTTCGATCTTGGTGGTAAGGTCGTCCTGGTCCTTACGTTGCCTGGCGAGTTCGTCCAGGAGACGACGGTTCTGTTCCCGAAGTAAATCCAATTCGGTTTCTTCGCTGTCTTCCGTGTGAGGGACGACCCTCTCTTCCGAATCGGCCGGTCGTCGGTCGACATCGTCCGGATCTTCGGAGTTTTCTTGCGAAGGTCGTATGTTCCCACGGGTTCCCGCCCTGGTGGCCGGACCCGTGCCTCTATTGTTGTTGTTCGTTGCCTGGCTTGACATCTTGAAAGGTGTGATAAGAAAGCGCAGTTATGCTGTTACGGGCGTCCTCGAAAATCGTCTAAGGGGTTGCCTCCGCGTATTTACTTCCGTCGCGACTACGTGGCGAGTCACAGGTTTCTAGATGCAAGCGAAGTCGGATCACGTGACTACGATGTCTCACGGTCTTTCTCGAGTTCGCGTGAAGTCGCGACGCTGTACTAACGATAGTGAGTTCGTCGGTGGTAGTGTAACCTCTCCTAGTACGTCTCCGTAGTATAACTAAGGTATAGGCGTATGTCGAATGTAATAACTGCGCTTGAATCGTATAGAAGTACAACAGACTCGCACGACTTCTCTACGATTCGCGCTCCGTTATATGCTAACTACGTACTCGCGTTACTCGCACCGAATCCGCTATTGTTTACCGAGTTCGCCCGACTTCGTGCTTGTCTTCTTTGTTCGAGAACAAAAGGCTGTCGTCCGTCGGTCGCTCTTTCAGGCGAACAATAGACGGTCGAACACACGAAGTCGCGGTTTTCTTTTGTTGACTTCGTGCGGATCCGCTGAGTGTCGCCCGATCCGGGCCGATGACCTAAATGCGCGTCGATCCCATGCTGCCGTTCGGTCACGCCCTGTGACAGCGAGAGGTGCAAGAGCACCGGCTTTGTTGGCGCCGCGGCAATCGGCGTTCCTCCCTTTCCACTTGCAGCACAAGCAGCCCTTATCGTCGCCGAAGATGCACCTCGAGAACTGATCGTCGAAGTGCTGGGTCTCCTTGTTGCTCTTGAGGTCCCGACCCCCTTTGCGGCATGACACGCATCGGTTCTCCCCAAGGCACTCGACGAGAGACGTGGCATGCTTCTTCAGCATGTGTCGGCACACCTGATAGTTGAAAGAGCTCAATTAGTCTTTGTTCGTCTAATCGAGCGTTATCAAGTCTAAACAAGCCCAACTTACTTGGACTTTGTCCCACTTGTACGTCGTAAGGCCTTTGCCTTCGCCGTCGATGATGGTTTTGCCATCTTTAGAGACCGTCTAAAGAAGCGACGAACAAAGAAGCTATGAGTCAGTAATACAGATTGGTAGTTGTAGGCGAAGGGCTACTTACACATCCAGCAATCTGCACCACGCCATCCTTGGCCTTCTCCTTGTCCCCCGAAGTCGAGGCCGTCACCTCGGGGGAAACCGCTTTCTTGTCCTGTGAACGCAAACAATCAGAGGTAAGTAAGAGTCAAGCAGAGTCGAGTGTAAGGGCGTAGTTGGTGTATTTGAGCGTGACTAGGCCTGAATACTTACCACGGTCGTCTTCGTGGCCTTCGCGGCCTCCGCCTATAGTCGAGAAGATCAACAACGCACTCGCAATCAGATTGACAAGTAAACAGTATAAAGGAAACATGTAAGAACATACCATCTCCTCCCTCGCCTTCGCGATCGCCTCGTCCGACTCCAACTTCTCCTTCTCCTCCCTCTGCTTCCTCTCGCCCTCCAACACCTTCTCAGCCCCCGCTCGGATGAGCTCTCGGAGCTCACTCATCGTCAACGTCGTTGTCTGTGAAACCCCAAAGGACGTTGGGTGAGTTTACTGTCGACTAAAAGAGTCTACGTTCGACTAGAAAGGACTTTACTTGACTCAAATAGACTTACGGGCTCGGCCTGGACCTCCTCCTCCTCCTCCACCACCTCCTCGTCATCCGCCGGGACATCGACGTCCATGTCGTCCGGCCCCTTCACCTCCTGCCCCAACTCTTTCCCCTTTCCCTTATCCCCCACGGCCTTGGGCAAAAACTTCCCTCCCGGACCTCTCGCCAGCTGCTTCTTCGCAACCGTTCTCTTCCCCGGCTGCTTCGAACCCTTGTTCGGCCCGGGTCCGGTCTTCTTGGTGCCGGAACTCGAGCTCGAGCCGGCGGGAGGAGGTTTGGGCAGGCCCAACTCGTTCTTGTCTCCCCGGGGCCGGAGAGCTCCTCGACGTTCTTCACGGCGGTCTACAATACAGAAACAGTATCGAATCAGACTAAAAGACTCTTTTCCAGGCGTCGTAGAGCGAGGAAGAGCTGGAAAAAGACTAAACAAGACTCAAAGAGACTCACCATGAGCGTCGAGGTCCTCCTTCCACTTCGCAAGCACCTCTTGCGAGGCGTCGTGTCCCGGGAACTCGGGGCTCTTGGAGATTCGGTCGGAAGATTCAGACATGTTGATTGGAGGGGGTAGTAACGATGAGTTTAGAGTAGTAGGTTTACGGGAGTTGAGCGATGACAATATGTTTGAAAGGAATGAATTTGATAGAAGAACTCGAAGAAGTTACAAACGATCAAAATAGGGCGAGAGATATAGCAAATCTCGCCCTGCCTACCAGCCAAGCAGTCGTACGAGGAATTTTATTGTTGTTTGTTGTTGTTTGTCGACAACAATAGGCCAAAGGAGGGTTTAAGCCAGTCGAAAGGATGGTTGACCACTTGAAACAAGAGCAACAAGGCGTAAGCGAGGCTCAGCGGATGCAGAGGAGACTTGTGGTTTCTCACGCGTGCTTGACATAGCATCTCTACGGCTCAAGAGTTCCACGCAAGTCAAGATCTTGCAAGGTGTTGTAAACGTACTCGCGTACAGCCAGATAATGAGCCACAGCTTGGCAGAGATTATCGAACGCTTGTACAGGATAGTGATTGACGAGTTCCTGTTTGAATTCCTCTGTGACCAAGACGTCCGGGACGTGGTCCATGTAGCGAGGGACGATAACAAATGGATCGCGATGACGAGGTTGACGCAGCTGGTCCTGCACTGGAGCCGTTGCCTCCATACGTAAAGCGTTGACCCATCCTTGATTATCCCTTGCGTGTTCGCCTGGGGCGTTGTTGTCAAACTGTGTGCCATCGACGTTGTGTCGAGTCTCGGGAAACAAGTCCAAGTCGTATCCGTTGCTAGTTGCGTCAAGCAAGCCTTATAAAGTCCAATATGGACCAGTTCAGTCACGTTTCGACTTATCAAGACTAATCAAATGATTACTCACCTCGATACCACATCTGCACTGGACTAAGCCCTCTTAACCCAGGATTCGACATACCGTGATGGTTCCATGCGTCAACATAGTGTCCTAGCACGAAGTTCAGGTACGGCATGAACACATAGTGAAGACAGTAAATGTCTACCGCGTTGTTCCGATCCAGATCGTCTTGCGACTCCAACTCCATGAACGCCCTTGTGAACTTCTGGGTGACAGACTCTCCAACTTGTCTCCACTGCCTCTCAATCCGCACGTTGCGTGTCGAAGGGCCTTGCATAAACGAACCACGATTTGATCCTGTTAACAAGTGCGATTGGACGGATCGAAGTCACAATGAGTGAATATACGTCTCGTTGAGTGTAAAAAAGTGTAAACGAGACTCGATGAGCCAGACTGACCTCTTACTTGGTTCATCAGATCCCGAACCCCGAGATTTTCCCCCCCATAGTCTGCTCTAACTCTTGACGGCCATCCCCACTCATGAGTAGCACGCAGAAAGCTCGCATCAACCGTATCAGAACGATTGTTGTCGGAAGCTTGCATATAGACGATAAGTCGGGATTTGCCGTCTACGCAGCCATGAATGACGAACTTCCAGTTGATGAGTTTATGCTGGCCGTCCATGTGCCATAGAGAATTGATGAAGGGGACATCGTAGTCGCGTCTGTGCAGGACCTGCGCTCGCCTCAGCATGTTCCCTTGTGGGTCATACGTCTGCATGACATCTCTCAACTGTCGTCGGGTAACTTTGACTCCTTGTGCCGTGAGGAGACCCATAACAAGACGTTCTCCGGTATTGTTGGAGTCGACAGTTGTTAGGATATTGCCGACAAGCTTTGTAGAACAAATCCAAGTCAAATCAGCTTATGTCAACGATAACGAAAGCTCTTTAGCCTAAGACATGCTTGTAACAGTCTTTAGATGTCTTTTCAAGTCTATTCAAGTCTTGTCGTGCCTTGAAAAGTCTTGTTCGGTCTCGAACGCTCTTGCACTTACAGCTTCAAGACGATCTTGGGGTACCAAGTGTTTCTCCCGACGCTTCTGCAAGCCCAATTCCTTCCTTCGCCTAGTGATCGTGCTTCTCGAGGTGCCAAGTAGTCGAGCGATGTCTTTGTCGTGGAAGCCAAGGTTGGTATACAGTACGAGTTGTTCTGCGGGGATTGAGACGGTAGGGCGGCCGCCCTCTAGTGACCTTGTCAAGTTGGGAGCGACGATGGCTGGAGCATCAGTCAAAGATCTTTGATAAGCACAGAGACGATCTTGGAATCCAATGACGGCAAGAATGTGCTCGCGGTAAGCTTGATGAGGGATACGGTGCTTGACAACGATTCGTAGAAAGTGTGCGAGGTCGTCTAGAGCGTTAAGCAGGGTTGGTAGGAGCAGGGGATCCCGTTGATTGAGCTCCTGATCGAGGTAAAGCCGTATCGGCACGAATATTTGGGCGACGTGGGCAGAAACTAGAACAATATGACCAGTGGACTCCATTGTAAGCTGATTCGAGTGAATTGCAACTCATGATTGGGATGTGAAAGGACATGGTCGCGTATACGTGACTACATGGTCCCTTTATAGTACAGCCGAGACTGATCGAGTCGATTGTAGGGTGACCTAGACTGGGCTCGTAAAGGCGAGAAGTGAAAGGCGTAGTTAAGTGTTGTAAAGGCGAAATCGAGTCTAGATACGCGCAATCGAGTCTTGATACGCGTAAACGTGGTAGCATACAATTTTGCATTTGACGCTTATGGCGCCCCATACCATACAGATGAGCCTCGCAAGGTGGAGGTTCCCTATGGTGCGCCGGTTGCGCCACTGTTATTTGTTTGTGGTATTTAGGAGGTATTTACCCCGCGATGGTGTATTTGAACCGATTATTTCCCTTCGGGCTTTAATCAGGCTCTGTCGGAAGCAAATTTTAGACCGAGCTTAGCCCTAGTTAGCCCTAGTTAGCCCTGCTTAGCCCTGCTTAGCCCTGCTTAGCTTGACGTTGGCCGAGGTCAACCTACCTGAGCCTTCATTGTTTTACGATGTACTTGGATATACAAAGCACACTCTACGTAGCCTTATCTCATACTCACAATTGCCCTAGCATCTTCACCTTTGCCAGCTTCTCCTCGCCCCCCCTTCTTCTAAGTATAAATCGAAATGCCGAACCACAACAACACCAACGTCGACCTGAGTGCGATCATTCGCGACAAATTCAAGGGGGATGCAGCCAAGTTGGCCCAATTCATGGAGCACATGGCCAATTATCAGCCCAGCAATCACCCAGCTGTACCATCGCACTCCCACCAGGGGTTCTCCGCTCCTCAACAAACCCACAGAATGAGGCTGAACGAGCCTCAAACTCCTTCTATGGCTTCATTGTCGACCGCGGGCAGCCACATTTACCAAAGTACCCCATCCTCGGCTAGTCAAGCTTCGTCGATGGCAGGATACCCTCACACTGCCGTTGTCCCGCCTCAATCTGTTGGCAACTATGCCCCGGCACCCGTCGCACAACATCAATATCATTCTGGCTTGCCTGGTCAGGTCTATTACCCACAACCGGGTTCAGGACCTTTCCAAGCGTTGCCTGCCTACCCTCTGCAAAAGCACGACGTCTACCCCCATGCTGCTCAGATCTTGCCTCCCAAGCCTGCCCAGTCAGGATACCAGCTTAATCCTGGGAGGAAAGGTTCGAGCAAGATGAAGGAGAAAACCAGTGATGTCGCTATCGGGAAGGGCGCCAACAAGGTTAGTTCATCCCGAAACTACCCCAAGTTGCCCTATATAGACTCTAACTGGGGTTGCTTCGTCTCTATTAAGGTCACATACATCCGTTGCGGGTCTATTATGCGTTGCAACATGCGGCTGTGGCCCAATGCCAGCGGAGCACAGACTCTCTTCCACGAAGCGGTAGAGAACTCGAAGCATTCTAAGCATATCGACTTTCAAGCCTCGTGGAATCCTCCAGACATTGCTCAAGCCGTTATCACCGCTTTCCGTAGCGTACTAGGCCCAACTGCCCTAGTGAAGCCCTTTATTTGGACCAAGATTGGTCCTGGTACGACTACATTCCATCACGACAACTTCATGGGGTGTTATACTGCCACGATCAAGGATCTCAAGAGCTACTTCTACAACTGCACTTCGATCTACGTGTTGGAGGAGGGTTGGCAACTCCCTGAAAACGACAATCCCGCTTGGCGATTGACTATCTCTCGGTTGGAGGGTCTCGATTGTGATCGTTGGGAAGAAGAGATGGAGGGCAACTTGGGGATTGATGGCCTAGTGGGGTGCAAAGGGTGCGAAGGACGCTACCCCCCAATAGCCTTACAGCAGCACCAAGACGTCTGTCCCGACTTCAAACACTTGAGTCGCAACGGTCGTCTCGATGCTAAACGTCCGGCACCAAAACAAAGGCCACGCAAGATCATCAAGGTCAAGCCCGAGCCAGTATCCATTGTCAAGCCCGAACCGGTCAATGCAGAGCCTTGGAGCGACGATGCTCGCTCTTCTTCCCCCAACTCCGTCATCTGTCTCTCTGACAATCCGGATGCTGTCGCAATACCACTCAAGAGTAGGGAATTGACTTCTGACGCAGCTGTTACGCTGCTTCGTCGACTCTCTTCCCATCCGGCCTTTGATGACGATTGGCTGGAGGTACAGCTGCGACGTCTAGAGTCTTCAACAACCAGTCAGCCTTTGTATAGGGCTAATCTGCTCGGTGCGAGGGCTAATTCAGCTACAAACCCCTTAACAGGGCCAACTATTCTCCCTTACAACGATACGTCCGCTGATGACCTCTTGTCGATGGAGTTAGGAGAACAAGGAACCTATCCTACAAGCCAATCCCCAGCTTCTGTGCGGTATTCGGAGGACGCTTTTCAAGGGAACGATTCCGAGTATGGTCAGTTGGCGGCAATGTTGCAGGGCTTCACCAATGAAGACTGGCATAACACCCTGGGTAGGGACGACGGACAAGGCCAAGGTATCGATGACACCATCGACAAGGGTGTCGGAGGGTCAGGCAGTAATGATCTAGGCCTTGATGGGGTCGACCCAGCTGGTACGTCGATTCAACCGCTCATTCACACTCGAACACGAAGCTGACATGGCATTGGCGCATGCTAGCTGGTGTTGAGTTGGGCAGGTCTGAATCGGTCAATGAAGGGATGATACCCGCTTCCGAAAGTACCCCAGCTGAGCAGGAAGAAGCTGGAGGGAAGGGGAAGGGGAAGGGGAAGGATAAAGCAAGGGGAACGAAGAGGAAGGCAGGAGCAGTTGATACAGACGTTGCGGGAGGAGGGCGATCGAACTTACGCAGTCAAAATAGCCAGCCTGATAACAAACGTACACGCCGACCACCCACACAGTTCCCTTTGCTGTAAATGTGCCTCATGTTATTGAGATGCCGCCATATATCATTTCAGATTAATTGGATTGAGCTTAGCAAGCTTAATTTAGCCCAACGAAGCTTAAGTTAAGTTAACAAAGACGAGATTAGGGTAAGAGACGGTTCAAAGCCCTTAACAAGGCTTAATAAGGCTAACATCGTGCAAGTTCAATCCTGAAAGTACAACTCACGCCGACAATAGTCAGTGCAATCTATTTAACATGTATGTCAAGTTAAGCAAACTATGAACGATCTCGTTGGACAAGCATAAGGCATAATGATATCAAAATTATTAAAAAAAAAGAGGAGCCGGTACAACAAATCACGACGTAAGTTCAAATGAAAAAAAAAACCCTACCACTCCTTCTTGACCGGGGCAGGGGGCTTGGTCTCGTCGACGATGTCACCGATGGCCTCGTCAAGCTTCGCGGCCTGCTGGTCGATAAACTCCATCAAGGTATCACCCCGAGTGAGCATGTCGTACACGCCGGGGAACCTAGCCTTGAGGTCGTCGGCGTCGGTTTCCTTCTTGACCTCTGCCTTCGACTGAGCCCAATCTTGAGTGGCCTCAAGAAGAGCGTCCCTGACCTCACCAACGGTCTCGATCGGAACGCCTCTGAACCTAGGGGCCCTAACCCCAATGCGAGACGGAGAGGGGGTGGCGAGACCACCGCGAGTCGAGGAGGGGGAGGCGACGGACGAGGTCGCCGCGGCTGCTCGGGAGCGAGTAGCAGGGCCGGTCGGGGTGACGGGAGAGGGCTTGGTGGCGGCGGCGGTCTTGGGGGCCATCTTGCCAGCGGGCACTTTGGCCTCGGCGTCCTCCCAGCAGCAGTCTTTGGCGGGGGTACCCCTCCAGAGGCAACGAAGGCAGCGGTCTTTGCCATCGGCAACACCACAGACCGCGAACGCCTCGTTGTACTTCTTGTACGCGGGGAGGTGGTCGAAGGGACCGGCACGAGTCTTGCTGCACCCCTTGCAGCGATACTTGACGGGGATGACCCGGTAGGTCGGTTCCGCCATCAACTTGTGACAAGCCTACATCGGAAAAAATACCAGAATCAGCTTCTTCCATCCTAGTCAAGCTTTCGTTGGCCTAAGAAAGGGATTGTTAGGCTAAGAAGAGTCAAACAAGCCTAACTTACATCGACTAGCTTGCTCTTCGCGTCGCTGAGACCCTCGATCATCGGCACAGCCGGTTTCGCCGGGATAGCCAGCTTGTCCTTTGCAGACTGGGGACCGGGAGACGACGCCGGAGTGGGAGAGGGAGCGGGGGCGGGAGTGGGGGCGGGAGGGGGAGCCGGAGCTTGGTTGAACGGGACATAACCCTGATTGAACGAAAGAGATAAGTCAATTTAGTATACATTGTACGAAGCATGAACGATGACAACTTCAAAGTCAAGTCAAGTCGAAGAGAGGTGTACATACCGGCATGGCCATCGGCTGGTAGTATTGGCCCCCGTACGGTTGTACGGGAGGGGCCCATCCAGCTGGAGCGCCAGCACCAGGTCGACCGATATAAGGAGCGGCGGGCTCCTGGTACTATGATCAACAGCGAAACAATATTAGTCTTGAAGAGGAGGAACCATCGTTCAAACAAACTAAACTCACCCCGTGATACCCTTGGCCGCCGTACCCTTGCTGACCAGCGAACCCTTGTTGACCGGCGTACGCTTGGTATTGCGGGTGGAAGGGGTTGTACTGGTCCCAAGCGCCGCGTTGTTGGTTTTCAGCCTCGTTACGGGGGTAGTTGCCAAACCCGGCTGTACCCTGAGCATAGCGAAACGTAGAAACATGATATCGAGTAAGCGAAAGTAAAAAGACAACGAGTTGTATTCATATGTTGATGGGGAATAGAACAAGACGATAAGGTGTGTCGGGATGTCGATTAACTCACAGCTTGGCCCCCAACGCCACCCGCAAACCCTTGACCTCCAACTCGACCCTGTTCGTCCACTTGGTCGAACACGTCCCCGTCGACATCGACATCGGCCTCCGAATGATCGTCGTCGAGGCCTTGTTGTTGTTGTTGTTGTTGTTGTTGCTGCTGTTGCTGCTCGTGCTGGACCTTGAGGTCCCGCTTCAGTCGCAGCTTGGCCATCAACTCGACAGGTTTAAGGTGGGGTTTCTATCAGACGGAAAGAGATGGTAACGTGCAACAAATAGACGACGGTAAGCTTACTACAAGCTAAATCAATCTCGATCGACTCAATTAAGCTCACCTTGACCACCCTTTGCTCCTCCCCTCCCTGCTTCGCCCCGCCTTGCTCCTCTCCTCCTTGCTCCTCTCCGCCTTGCTCCTCTCCTCCTTGCTCCTCTCCTCCCTTCGTGCCCTCGCCTTGCACCTCCTCTCCCTGCTCGGACAACTGCTCCTCATCCAGCTCTTCGACATGAGCCCCTTCAACTCGAGGCCTCTTGTTGGACCCCTCGCCCAACGTCTCTTCGACCGCGGTCGACCCCCTCTTCTTCTGCTGGGACGGCGTGAAGGCGGCCCCGATGTTGTCGGTAGGGAGACCCATTCCTGCTTGAACGAACATAGAGGAAGGTCTTAGAGATCTTATCAAAGGACGAAAACCTCGTGAAAGACTAGTACTTACTTTCGAGCTGAGAACGAAGCGCGTCTTCCTTCTTTTGCAATAAAGTCTTCTTGGGGGGTGCCATGTAGAGTTTAGATGGCAGGGAAAGGACGGCGTTGAACGACCTGAATGTGATGATAAGTGAAAGTGGAAAAGACGTTTAGTCGAGTTAGATGAAGGCGGGGGGGGATTTACTGATGGTTGTAGGTATATACGGTGCTGTCAGCAGCGTCTACTTTGTTTTTGTTTACCTCTGATGGCGCGTCATCGTTGTTCGAACCTGAAACGCACAACAACAAGTCTTTGTTCGGTTAGCTTTGCTTTCTCACGCTCTAAGCGAGTGTTTCTAGTCCTTTCTAGCCCACAGTATTTGTAAGCGAGTCGAAATACCATTGATACGTCATGATGCAATGAAGGTTATCAAAACGCATTGATAGCGTCATGAACGAACTCCCGTACAGCTAAGTACTGATTGACAGCTTCGCCCAAGGTCGACCAGGGCTTGTTGGGGTACCGATTGTGTAGCAGGTGATTAAACTCTTGAGACTGGAGGAGTTCAGGCAATTCGTCCATGTACCTGGGAACGATGACGTGCTGGTCGAAAGCGGTAGGCTGACGTAGTTGATCGAAAGACGGGGCAATAGCTGGCATGTCGATGACAGGAACACGTTCATTGTAAAGCTGTTCAGCTTGTTCAGCGTGTTGAGGAAAGAGATCGAGGTTGAAACCGTTGTTTGTGGCATCCATAAGTCCTGAGACGCCAGAAAAGCCCATGTAAGACGTCAATTGGCCTGCGTAGGCTGAGTAGGGCTTCGGAAGGGTAACAACGCACCTCGGTACCACATTTGGATAGGACTCAGCCCACCCAAACCTCGATTTGACATCCCGTGGTGATTCCAACCGTCAACATAGTATGATATGACGTGATTGAGGTAGGGAAGGAAGACATAGTGAAGGCAATAGATGTCGACGGGCTCCTCTCGGTATAGGTCGTGTAAAGACTCCATTTCCAAGAAGACTCGGCTGAACATCTGGGTGATTGACTCTCCCACTTGTCGCCATTGCCGCTCTACCCTGACGTTCCTGGTCGATGGCCCTTGCATGAAAGATCCACGATTTGGCCCTATGTTGTGATCATGTGTCGTTCCAGCCTAAGCACAGCTCGATCAGGGCAAAAGAAAGTAGACTTACCCCTGACGTCCAACATCAAGTCGCGTACCCCTAGATTCTCTCCTCCATGGTCCGCTCGAACCCTTGATGGCCATCCCCAGCGCTGTGTGGCAGCCAGAAAGCTGGAAGTAACTGTCTCAGAACGATTGTTGTCCGATGCATGCATGAAGACAATCAAGCGACTCTTTCCGTCTACTGCTCCATGTATGACAAACTTCCAATTGATCAACTTGTGTTGGCCGTCCATATGCCACAGAGAATTGATGAACGGGACGTCATAATCCCTACGGCGAAGCACTTGAGCCCTCCGTAACCCGTTTCTCTCAGGGTCTCGTGCTTGCATGATAGTTCGGACCTGTTGTCGAGTCACGAGGACGTTCTGTGACCGCAAAAACCCCATAACAAGGCGTTGCCCTGTATTGTCGGGGTCAATTGTTCCTATGATGCTTGTCACCATCTACAACGATCAGTGAGATGTAGACAAGGCTTATCAGGGGTATGTTGGGCTACGAGACCTTAGCAAAGATTGTGATAGACCATGTGCTCACTGCTTGCAACGTAGCTTCCGGTGTGGAGTGCTTAAGAATACGCTTTGTCAAGCCCAACTGTTGTCTTCGCCGAGTGATTGTTCTTCGTGATGTGCCGAGTTGAAGTGCAATTGTTATAGCCGTCACGTGACGCGTCGCTACTCCCGCGAGAGACCCCCTCGGAGGTCCCCTCGGAGACACCTCTCGACATCCCCACAGGGGTCTACTTTTACATCTCCTATAGGTGCTTATTATAATAGGCTCATTGTATGTATATACTTCATCCGTTATTACACCATTACCCTTAGACCTAGCCCCGCGTAGACTGTTAGTCCTTCCCCCTAATAGAATAACGGATCATCCTCTTCTACCCCGGCTAGCGAATTTTCCTTCCCTCGTTACTTCCTTTTTCCACGTCCTTTTTCACCCTCCTTTCGACACTCCTTTTATCATGTCCGACGACGGCCATATTCCCCCTCTCCCAGTTCCTCCCCCCGCACCTTCTCCTATGGAGGAGGCACTCCGACAGATGGCGCAGGCCATGACGCTCTTCGCTCAGAGCCAGCAGCAGCCTGTCGGCGGTCAGGGATCGAACCCCTTTCGGCTTGCCCCGCCGGGACCCTTTGATGGGACCGATACCCCGGACAAACGGGAGAAGGCCACCACCTTCATTCATCAGTGCGAGATGCACTTCGAGACCGCTCCAGCGGTCTACTCTTTGGATCGGATCAAGATCATTTTCGCGTCGACCCACCTTCAGGGTCGCGCCGCTTTATGGGCCCGGTCGTACACGTCCCCGGAGGCTGCACAACAGTGCACCTGGGATGTCTTCCGGACTCTCTTTCTTACTTCTTTTGGGTTAGCATCCCGAGAGTACCTCGCCGAAGGGGAACTCTTAGGGTTGCGACAAGGGAACACCTCGGTCGGCGAGTACACCGCGAGGTTCAACTCCCTTGTGGGTCTTATGCCGGGATGGAACAACGCCGCTCTCCGGGGAGTCTTTCGTCATGGACTCCGGTCGGATGTTGAGCTGTCGGTTCGTGCCCATGATGGGTACACGGAGATGTCCCTCTTGGACATCCAGAACTTGGCCGCTCGATATGATCGACCCGCCATCCCCGCTGAACGACCTCGCCGGGAAACTCCCCGCGCACCCACCTTTCAGCCTGCCGAGATGGCAGCTCCTTTTCCTTTTGCCCCGGGACCTCCCCCGGTTCCTTCTTCTCTTCCTCCTCCTCCCGTGGACCAAGGTGGTCCTATGGATCTTTCGGCCGCCCGGCAACCTAACCCCGCCGTCCCCTGCTTCAAGTGCTACCAGATGGGACACTTCGCGAACCAGTGCCCGAATCCCCGGGCACCTCCCGAGTCGGCCCCAGCCTGGATTAAGGCCGCCAAGCAGAGGCATTCCATGCAGGTCGCTGGCGCCACCCTCCAACCTCCCTCTTCCGCTGCGTCAGCCGGGGCTGCGTACGACCTCTCGGCGTACGACGACGTCCAACTGTGGACCCCCAACTAGACGCGCCGGTGTCTCTTTTTCTCTTGTTTCATGGTACCCAGGCCGGGTTTATTACATTCATTTATGGTCCCTCAGTCCGAGGTGTTTTTTCTTTACGGCTGCTCAGTCCGAGCGTTTCTTCAAGGGGATCACCATCCCCCTTACCCGACTACATGTCGGTATGGCACCCAGTCCGGGATTCTTTTACGGTGGCTCAGTCCGAGTCTTTTATGGTGCCCAGTCCGGGTGTTTCCTACGTCTCTTGGGATCGGGTCGGCTACGTCTTCTACGGGTCGTTCGGGGTTACGATACCTCCCCTCCATCGCGTGGATTCTTTTCTCTCCCCCCTCGGGGTTTTACGGTTGCTCAGCCCGAGCGTTTCCTTTTGGGAGTCACCCCCCTTCGCCTCGACATCTCTTCTTCGAGGGTAGAGCCCAGCTGGGCAGGTTTTTGTCACACCCCTTTGGGGGTTTCGGTTGTTTTTCATTTTCGGAGTTGGTCATCGGGACGATGACCTAGGGGGGGGATCCTGTTATAGCCGTCACGTGACGCGTCGCTACTCCCGCGAGAGACCCCCTCGGAGGTCCCCTCGGAGACACCTCTCGACATCCCCACAGGGGTCTACTTTTACATCTCCTATAGGTGCTTATTATAATAGGCTCATTGTATGTATATACTTCATCCGTTATTACACCATTACCCTTAGACCTAGCCCCGCGTAGACTGTTAGTCCTTCCCCCTAATAGCAATCAACCTGTCAGGCAGCCCGAGGTTGGTGTAGAGTGACAGTGTTTCTGCTGAAATGCTCTCTATTGACGATCGTTGAGCCTGACGTGGTGGAGTGGGGAAGTGCGGCTGGGCGAATTGACGTTGGACTGCTGAAAGACGATCCTGGAAAGCTACGGTGGCTTGAACATGATTGCGGTACGCTTGATGGGGAATATGCCCTCGAACAACAGTGCGGAGAAAGTGTATCAAGTCATCGAGAGCGTTGACAAGAGGGGGAAGGAGGAGGGGGTTCCGATGTTCTGGTGCTCGAGCGAGATAGAGCTGCACTGCATCAAAGTTTTGATTGACTATGGCTTGAATGGCGGCGGAAGGGTCTTCTGAGTTCATTGTGACTAAGATGAGGTAGATACTAAGGTTGAATAGCTTAGATTGGGCTTGCAAATGGCTGTGCGGAGACGTGTAGGACAATCAACCCTTCGTTAGGCTTAAGCGGGGTAAATAGGGGTAACTAAGGCTAAAATCGGCTAAAGCCGACGGTTAGGGAGCAGTAAATAATCCCCGGAAAGCCTCTAAGTAAATACCCAAATTGGGCTAACAAATCCCATCATGGTTGGCGCAAACGGCGCGCCATAGTTCCCCGGAAGCTGATCGCTGTGCCGTAAGACTTGCGTTATAGCCTTGCGACGTTGATCCTATCTCTTCTCGGAGTGGTTGTTATTCTTACCTTTGACTCTCGTGTCTGGCCTCATAGGTTCAAGAGCCCAATGGGGAATAGAGCAGGCTCACCTGTGTCGGATTTGATGCGTCTTGTAAAATTGAGGATCATTCCGGTCAGCACAACCACTCTCGTCTCTGAGCGCGACGGCGTGCTGCATGTCATGCTCGAAAGCCATACTTTCCGCTCGAATAGAGAGAACGCTTCGATCTGGAATCTGCCTGAGCTCGTAATCTATCTCCAGGTAGAACGAAGCCACATCAACTTCAGAAGTACCTGTATACAGACTAAAGGAATCGTCGAGGTATTCCCTCCTTCCTCCAACCAAAAGCGCGCGCTTGTCAAACTCGTTGCGTGTGTTTATCTGATAAGATGACGGTGCAAACCCAAACAGAGCTGTCAACCCGAAAAGCGGACCTACCTCTTCGACCTCTTGGCATCGATTCAGCTCAACAGATGTCATCGACAACATGCAACATGAAGAGATAGTAAAAGTAAAAGTGATGATACACTGGGTCATTCATAGTATACTTGGTCTCAAGTGATGATCGGGAATATTTGAAAACCTACGATAGCCATACGAAGCACACCATAATGACGGCACCCGTACGACCTTTCTCTACCTTCTCCCTCCTCGTCCTCGCCTCGTTATTACCATCGATCACGGCCAGCAAAAGCGTAGTGACGCTCGGCTACCAACCTTCGACCTGTACAGACGGTTGCCGGGACGCTCTCCGCCTAGCCTCATTCGCGGACCACAACCCAACCGTAGGGTTCTATACCGGACAATGCACTTCCAAGCTCTTCGTTACATCCCTAGCCGCTTGCAGTAACGCATACTGTACCCTCAAAGAAACACGGGCTGGATGGGAGACGTTCGAAGAGATCTGCAAGGACTACGGAAAAGTCCGGTTGATGAAGTTTGAAGAGGCTTTGGAGCTCGTCCCTGAGCAGGTTGAGGTGGTCAACACCTTATCATCGACGGACAGGAAAGAGATTTGGGGGGAGACTATCTTGGTCAGTCTGGAGGCTTTCGATGCGGGATTCAGGACGGAGGTGAGTCTTCATGTCGGATCGGAAGTAAGGAAGGGGAAGTATAGGATATCGGGTGTTGACGAGTTCTGTCCGTGATTTTGGTCGCTCTTGTAGCGTGCCTGGCAGCGACAGAATACTTTGCATCATGGTTAGCCTCCTGTATTCCTATGCTTTCGAGTTCAGTACCAACTCACACTCTTACTGACTGTCACTTCATAGCCTTCGGGTGAGTCTCCGGCTCTATAGTCCAACTTCCCGGTACTTCCCAACTGACCAAAGCCGACCATCGCGATCCGCAGCTGGTGCATGTACGTCTTCCTCGCCTTCCTTGTCATCCTCGGCATCTCCAACCGACTTCTGGCCACCTCCGTCCGTCGGACCCCTTTCCACCGTCTCCGTACCCCCTTCCAGACAACCACCTCTCCTTCCCTCTACACCCGCCTGAACACGTACACGACCAAGTACATAACGGCTCCCATGTTCTTCCGGTACAAGAACACCTCGACTTGGGGCTGGATCAGACTGCCTAATCGGATACAAGGTATCCTGGTGGGGGTATATGTAGGACTGAATGTGCTCTTCGTCTTCGTTGGGTATGAGACATTTGACGACAATCTTTATTGGAGAAACGATCAGGGAGTGAGTTTACCTCCTTTCTACATGTGACGGGCTATAACGAGCTAGGGAGGAGGGTCAAGCTGATCGTGCCTGAAATTCGGACGTGGAACAGGCTCAGCTGTGTCGATACGTAGCGGACCGCACAGGTACGCTCGGGTCTCGCCCCTTTTACAGCACAACACAACCTGCTTGATCCGTTCGTTAATCGACTAATCCGTGATCCGTTTCTCAACAGGCATCATGGCCATCTGGAATCTCCCCCTCCTCTGGTTGACAGCCACCCGGAACGATATTCTACTCTGGGTATGCGGTTGGTCGTTCGCCGACCTCAACTTGTTTCATCGTTGGGTCGGGCGGGTGGCCACGGTGTTGGCGGTTATACATTCGGTGTAAGTAGCGGTTGGGCTCATTGCGCCAATGGTACCGATTATAGGTCATGTGCTGATATATCTGGGCTCGTGTGGCAGAGCTTACGCTTGGATAGCGAGGAGTCATCTGGCTAGAAATCTTGCCAAAGAGTATTGGTATTGCGGTTTGATAGTAGGTCGTTTGCGCTGTCTATCAATTTATCCTGCTTAGCTGATAGGTCACATTGCCCCCAGGCCACAGTCTCCATGGTGCTGTTGATACCGCTGTCAATCAGGTCCATTCGCATGGCAGCGTACGAGGTCTTTCTGGTTGTGCATATCGCTCTGGCGCTCGTCTGCCTGGTAACCATGTTCTAGTGAGCCGAGTCGTTGTGAATACTTCGATGAAGCGTTAATCTAAACACTTATGCCAGCCATGTACGAATCTTCAACGGGTCTTACGATCCCTGGCTTTGGGCCTGTGTCGGCATATGGGTAACAGAACGCTTTCTCCGGCTCGTTCGTCTCGTGCTATTCAGTTGGAAAGGCCTGAATTGGTCCACCTCGAACGCCATCATCACCGCCGAAGACTCATCGGAAGATCACCTACTACGGCTCACCGTTTCCACTGCTCTAACGTATACTCCTCAACCGGGGACATACTACTTTCTCTACTTCCCTTCAACTTGGTCTCCTTGGGAAAATCACCCTTTCACTTTATCAGGATGGAGTAAGCGGGCGGATGGGCAGACAGACCTGCATTTCTTAGTCAAGGAGCAAAAGGGGGCGACTAGGAGGTTGGCGCGGCGGACCAGGAGGGCGGGGAATCGGTTGGAATGCAGAGTCTGGGTAGAAGGGCCATATGGACGATCGGCTCCGCTCAAGGAGTACAAGAATGTTTTGATGGTGAGTTTTCGTTTCCTTTACTCCTCTTCTCCATTGTATTCGTCTCATCGCTCCTCAATAATCAGGTGGCTGGAGGTAGCGGGATAGCAAGCGCTCTGCCTTACCTGCAGCACTTTCGGGAAGTATTTGGAAACGACTCGAAACACCGGATGCTACCTAGCTCAGTCCGCCTGGTCTGGATCGTCCGGTCACGCGCATACGCGAAACGAATTGTTGAGCGCGACCTGCAGCGAGAGTTACCTGAAGGCACATCGCTCGAAGTAGATGTCTTTGTCACCTCATCCGCAGACGAAGCGCAAACACCATTGCTGGCAAGACTACAATGTGATGATCGAGTGAGCGACGGTGAATCCGATCAAGACAGTGTCGACAAGGAGCGCTTGCGGCAGACGGCGGTAAACGCTCACAGTGGCGTTGTGGTGCGATACCGATCCGGAAGACCTTGCATGGATCAGGTGCTCGAGGACAGCCTGGAACGTATATCAATAGCTAGGGGCAGGCTAGCGATACAAACCTGCGGTCCCGCAGCGATGATGGAGGACCTTCGAGCTGCGCTGGTGAGACGGTACGGCATGGGAAAATATGACGTATGGGGCAGCGAGGTAGATCTTTGGGAGGACGGGTTCGTGTGGTAAATGCGCGCATTACTAAGCGCAATGTACTTGGTTGTATGACAAAGAGGACCAGAATTTTGTAACACGATGCCCCTTTCTCCCACGACAGGATTGATCAACGCTTGAGAACCTCTTCGACTTTCACTCTGCGCTCTCCGAGTGCCGCTTTGGATGCTGTGACCCCGTAAGTCCACAAACTCCAGACTCAAGGCTAACCTCCTTTGTTTTGTTTCCGCAGTGAAATGGCCTTGCAGTATCCGACGGTCATGATAAGCAGCTGCGGTTGAAAAGTCATCGGTCTGGTAGCGAAACGATCAAAATTGTCTTCTCGATACGATCTTCCTGCCGGAACAAGAAAACAGGTTTGCCAATCAACATCATGACACACGTCGACCCTGCAGCTACTTATCACGAATGGATCTACTACTTGATGTTTGCGGATTGCGTCCGAGCGATCAGGCAGCGGGAGATGTTGAAGAAGCCGAAAACTACTGAACTCGTTGATGGCGCAATGTGGCACCAGGTTTATCTCCATGTGGAGCGATACCAGCGTCCATATCACAGGGCATGCAAACTCATAGGAAGTGTTAGCGAGGATCAAGCGAAAAGCGAATTGATCAAGCAGGAGAGAACCATCCTGGATTTCTGGGACAATGACCATCCCTACAACTCCTTCGTCACCAAATGTTGGTCGAACCGGCCAAGAACAGACAAAGAAGGGATCAGTTTCAAAGATAAGGCAAGAGGGCGACTGACGAAAGCAAGGATCGTGTTTTCGGATGTAAGTAATCTGCAAGGCTCAAGTTGCAGGCGCAATGTTAGACCTCTTCCTAAAAAGTCAATCTATTACCGTTTCCGCAATACTAAAAAGAGTTCCAGCGCATCTACCTATTATCCTGAGACTACATGGATACAGGCTGAGAGGTCTTCAAAATCTGAGCGAAGAGATCTGACAGATCAAACGCCCTTACTACAGGATCTGCCAGAATCTCTCGGACAGGTAGACGGTAGATCGACTCACCTGGACGACAATCGCTCGTCGACTTCTACCCATTGCGAACATCACTTGGAAGTCTTACCGAACACTACCCCTTCTACATTTATATGAGGTCAAGATGGTCAGGCAATTTTTTTTCTCCCAGCCAACCCACGCAATGTAGCTTGTACCTAAAACGTTATCGCCAGGAGCGCTTCTTGACCTCGTTCAACTGTATCATACATATAGGTGATGCTATATTCTTGAGCTGACTCGCTGTACTCGACGAGTCTCCCTGTGATCCTTACTAAGCAGTCAGCAGGAGAACCGCCGCATGTGACAATAGCCAGCATAGATGCACCATCAGGTGCCCCGCCGATCGTCTTGAGCGTCAACCGTGTCAAGGCAGATTGATGGACGTGTTTCTGTGCTGAACCCTCTTGGTTAACCCTCTCCGTGACTTGGGTGGCCTTGAAACAAAGGGGCGTCGACGACTGATGCATCGCTTACCATGCCTAGACAAGCTGAAGCCGAGAACCCTAACTTCCCCTGAAGTGTAGGCAGTCAGGCGACCAAACACAATCTAATGATGGTCACGCGATCGAACCACATCCTGTGCAAGCGTGTCACGAGATCAGGGTAGCCACTCCTTTGTGTTGCGTGATTCCAGGAGAAGCATGATGACACGCTAGACTTTCTGCATCGATATATAGAGCCCTGCTCTGCTTGGCTTCTCGGTTCTAGGAAATGGTCATGACTACTAATCCAACTCATCTCAGGTCTCCAAGCGAACAAGTATGACTGGACAATTTCAGGTCACTGAACAGCAGATGGACGCGTGGATCGATCAAGCCATGTTGGACTGCGAAGATATTCGAAAGAAGCCAGGTGTACCTGCGAAGGAGAAAGCGATATACTATGGGCTGTGGGTTCGATGCATACGCTACCAGGCAGTGAAAAATGGAAATCCGAAAAACCAGCAAGACATCGATCGGGAACGAGAGTCCGTCCAGGCTCTCTTCTCCGATGGAGACGCGCATGACACGATTTGCGTTCGATGGCCAAGGGGACCCAGGCTGTTGACTACATCCGAGAGGCTTGTTAACAATTGTTCGTCGGTAGGTCGACCGTACGATCGAATGGTATCGCTGTTTTTTGCTTATCTGCTGCATTCAGTCGTTTAGCAGCGTTACCGGGGACACCGGATCCATGATCGGTACGATAGCGCGATCCGCATCCGGGAACATCACAGAGGAAAGCCAATGATGACGAGTCGTCAAGCGTACAAGCGTCATCGGACGCCGCAGTGATTATCCTGATTGATATTCTGTAGTGCCTGCATATTGTACAACGGCATCGGCCTCATTTCTTTGCTCGATGTATGAACGTCACGGTCATGACGCTCGCGTCGATGAGTTCGGCCACATTACAAGGCGTTCCTCTGGCCTCTGGATCACTGGGGCGGCTGATATACGTATCCTATTCACAAGGTGTAGTACTGGAAACCCACGGGAAGCCAGCAGTCGCTGCTCAAGGCGCTAATCACGCGTGGCGCCATCGCACCTCTTGCGTCACGCGGCCAGATGAAACGCGGTATCCGTCGACTCCTTTGTCGATCCAGGATGATCACATGATCCATGATCCATGATCCATGCTTCTTCGTCTGCCACGTATATAGAGGGACCGCCAGATCTAGCTCGGGAATGAGAGAGACGCTGCAATTGCCTTTGTCCTCACTGCAAATCTCGACGTACTTCTGTTCCTTTACATCGAGATGGATATAGATCCGATCCGCGTTAAAAGCGACTTCATCGAGTATGAGCTATATGAGACTGTTGGGAAGGAGCTGAGACGAGCTCACAAAGAGAAAGGCAAGGATGGGGCCACCAAAACAAAGCCTATCAATTTTGACACATTGTGTGAAATACACGAAAAAGTCAAGCGTTACCGTGAACTCTCTAAAGAAGTCGCCAGAACCCCACTCTTCACATGGTCACCTGCCTTGAGTGAATCGTATTCGATCAAGGTCTCGATTTGCGAATACTGGTGGGATGAAGAACATCCAGCCCATCCCTTCATGATGAAGCACTGGCCAGAAGGGCCCATCAAAGAAGTCTCTCGCACAGCCAAAGTCAAAGCTACTGTCAGAGGTCTGAGAAGAGTAAGCACTCAGAAGTTCCTATTCTAGATGGGGCGCATCGATCTGACCGAATTCACTCTATAATCTGCTCATCTAGGTTCCGAATTCGAGCACACCTTCCTTGATAAAGGAATCTGCATCGAACCCACAGGGATCTGCTTCGAACCCGACTTTGAGCCCTTCCGCATCGAACGCACCAGGCGTGACTGACCAAACACCCTTGTTGATGGAGTTTGGGGAATTACACAACGGGGTAGCATCAATTGCCACGATCGACAATCCCACAGCTCACGGCCCACCCTCGATCTGCAGCAGCTTCTCTGACTCTGAACTTGTCGGTACACAAGGTTGAACGTTCTGGACTATGTCGCTGTCTCCTTTATACACCTATGATCATCATGCTCGAAGATCACTGATCTCGACCAATCTACGGCTTCCCGAGTTTCGTTTGCCTAAGGTTACCCTACTGGCCATGTCGTCTTCCGCATGAGCAGTGGCACTACAACATTTTACGGGTCTTTCGGAGGCTCGTTTCCCTTGCGAGACAATGAAGCTCGATTCGAAAATACATTGTCCAATGGCGCAGATAATGCGCAAGGGTACCACACCTATGTGCTTCTCGAGTCTGCTCTGACCTGGTTGATCAGCGCGCGATGCAAGCAACTCCTCCGAAAGTCAGATTGCCACAGCATGAAAGTTTAAGCGGCTGGGATTTTCGCGTCTGCATCATCAGGTGTAACTATCAATGAAGCAGGATGCGGAACAACGTGGAGGGCAAGAAGCGGTCATCGGCAAGTTTCTGTGGCTTGACTCGACATACCTGAACGATATCCAGGAGGGTGGTTGGGGAACTCAAGCGGATTGACCGTCTTTCATAGCCTGCTCGCGACCAGTATACTGGCGTCGATGGAATCGATGGCGCAACCCTGGTAACTCTGTGGCGCAAGGTCGTGTCCTTGCTTCGGAGTAATGAGACTTGTACAGCAGAATTAGCTTCATCGGTATGGTATCGCTATCTTTGAAACCTGGCCGGCATGCATCCGTCCCTCATACCCTTGTATAGATTCGACCTCTATCTTATATCTCCATGAGCCATCGCCGATCGCAGACACCTTGGGTAAAATGGGTTGTGTCTCCAATCTATAAATGCCATTACGTCATACTGCAAGGTGAAACGCGGATGACCGTCCTTTGTCCCTTCTCCTTCCGGTACATATGAGCCAGCACCTGCTATATAGTAGTGAGCGAGTATGAACACAACTCATTTCGCTATCAACGACAACTGAAGGGTGACTGGCTTTTTCGAACGAAAGTGACTTCCGAAACCATCTTCCTCTTATCCAGCATGACACCCGACTACAGCAAAGAGTATTCAAAATGGGTCAAAGAAGTGGCGTTGAAGCACTGCAAGGAGAAAATAAAAAAGGTCGAGCGCAACCAAATCATGAAGATGCCGACAGAGAAACTTGACGGGTTACAACGATTCTACTTCTATTGCGAGCGGTATCTCCTTCACTATGATCTTTGCAACATGGGAGAACGAACGGGAGACAAGCTGGATCGCAAGGATAAAGTGAAGTCTTCAATCCTGGACTGCTGGAACAAGGAGGTCACTGGTTATAATGAGATAATTGTAGCTCGGTGGCCGGACGGTCCACAAGCAGACGCGGACAAAGCTGATAAAGGCGATTCGACGTCTGGGGCCTTCTTGAGCGTAAGCATCCTTCTTGACCAATGTGATGCTATCCTGACGATGACCGATTCCTCTTCCATCTTTGCCCACAATGTTGTTCTACATGGCCGTAGCGCATCACTGGCAGCACACGCACAAGCCGCGGCGAGGGGGATGACACTCGGCTGCTAACGTCGTCCGAACCTGCCCGAACAATCGAAGAAGTAGACCCGGCTGATCCAACAATCCGAACGCCCCTCTTACAGAGTCCTTCTCAACAGGACTTCGACAGAACCGGGACGCTACCGCATCGAAGTGAGGAATCAGACGAAGATGACATGCCATTCTTGTGACCTGTCGAAGTTGAGACTCTGATTCTACTTATTGTACTGGTTCAAGCGCCATATGACACTGTCTCGTTGTATCCCCTGCTAGCATTTGCCCTGATACTACTAGTACTTGGCAAATGAGACCAAAATTGCTGCCGTCATTATTGGTCATTCAGTGTGCCAGCAAAGTGCTGCCTCATCGGCCGGACTACAGTACTACTACTGTGCCGATAGTGCTGAGTCGAGAAGCGAACGTTGAGCGCACCTTTGTTAGAAGGTGTGTCAAAAGGACAAATGATGATGCTACGTCCGGAGCAGTGTGCGCACACTTAGTAGCCGATGTAATGACCGCAATACTGATGAGTGGCAAAATCTTCGCTCGACCGACTCGAATGCCTACGCCTACGAGGCATAATGTACTGTACGCCTCATCGGAATGCGACCCGACAGACACCGCAAATCCACGGAGATGAAACCGAGAAGCTTGAAAACTCCTGGATGACGATATAGTCAGGTTAGCACGCCTTTGTCGCATGCTCGAGAAGCGTTCTCGGCAGGCTTATTGGAAGAGCATATAGGCTGCTTGTTCCGATCTCTCAATAGTTCACGGCTTAACTTCTTTCCGTATACAGTAGACTGTCCCGAAGTGCACCGAGATGGCTGAAGAACCCCACGTCACTGCTGAACAATTTGACAGATGGTTCTACACTGGTGTATTGATCTGCTGTAAACAGGAAAAGACTACGCAGACCCGCCCTGAGCTTCATCTCGCCTGGAAATCGCTTCGGGATCGTTGCAGCGATTTTGCGCACAGAAACCTGAGAAATCCAAACGAAGCTGAGCACTATCAACGGGAGGTGGAAAAGTTGTGGTATCTTACCGATACCGGGGAACCTTTGAGGGAAATGTGGCCAAACGGACCGAAGCTCCCTGATACTACCATGGAAGACAACGCTTCCAATGAAAGCGCCTCTGTGAGTTTGGTGAGGGAACACTTTGCGTCAGCACTTTTGGTCACATTCTTGCTGGATTCTCGCTTAACTCTTGCTTTCGTGTGATGCAGACTACTGGTGCTTTGACGGGGATTTTGACTGCCGTACTGAGCATCTTCACGAGCAATACCCTCGAGAACAATCCTGAGCATCCTACAGAGCGAACCCCACTGTTGCGTCCTGCAAGATCATCTAACGACCGCAACACAAGCGATTCCATGGAGACCAAGGAGTCTTTAAAGCGTCGACCGTCGTTAATTGGTAGCGAGTCTGACGACTCTCCGACCTGTTGAAATTGTATACAGAAGCATGTCGGTCTTGATACTGTGTTTTGCGCTTACTGTATCCCCTTCCCCTCCCTTCGCTAACCGATAGTGACCTGGACACTAATCACGTTCCGCCTTCGGCGCCTTCCGTCGCATTTGTGGCGATCGGGACGAGAACTTGTCGATGTTATTGATGCGACCTCCTCCAATCCCCGCTGTCATAGATTACTGCTGGATGACTCCCGCCGAACGGAGTGAAAGATCTGGCATATTATCGGTCTTATCAACGGAATTCGAGTGAACGAGCGACTGACCGCTCCTCGCATCTATCGATGCCTCCCAACCTCGCAATCTGTTTGGCAAGGAAGCCTTATACGGAACAAAACCGAATCGTCCATGTGTTCCAGCCTTTATCACCAGTAATACATTCCAAACGAAGACGATCGCCGATCCGCAGCCCAACCCTTCCCTACTTCCACGCAGTCGCAGATCGCAGTCAAACTCGTACTCATATCCGTAGTCGCGCGATAAAAAATGTATTTTGGATTCTTTTATCGATCCGCAGTTTCATGTCCACCATCCGCGTCCGGAATCTCCGACCCGCTCGGTTCCGAGAACCCAGACCATTGGTTGGACTGCGACTACGAAGCCGCCACGACGTGCTTGGAGCGTTTGAACCGATTGCTGGATTGCTCGTGAAGAACTGTGGTAGAGGTGATCTTGAACTCGAAAATCGGTTTCGAGCTTGTTATTCTCTGGTTGTGAGGCGCGACGAGGTGTGATTCGGAGGTCTATCCCCATTATATCACACATCAGAGCACAAACGACGTACGAGCACATCATACTGCATGTCAAGACGTTCACACGATGAAACAGCTGAAGCGTTGAACGTCGAGCGGAAAGCCACCTATCCGAGATCCGAAACGAGGAGAGGACGAGCGTTTCTTGGAACCGCTTGGAAAGGCTCATACGATCGCCGACCTTTACATCGTACGTCGGTATTCGGGCTCACACGACCAGCGAACCCGCGAGCCAGGATAGTCGACGACATATTCGGTACCAAGCAACGCTCCGTATTCGAGGAAGGTCCGGTCCGGCGTTCAACGTCGTATGGGATCGAAACCATCTGGGAGCGGTTGTAGGTGCACCCAAGGATTCCTCGGCTCTCTCGATACTCCCGCCCGCCTGTATACAGTAGTCTGGCTGACCGCCAAGTGTCGCCTTGGTATTCTGGGAAGCAGAGCAGGACCTCGACCTCTACGGCTCTACCCTCGTGATCGGGGAGTTGTGAACGAGTGCGTGCGAGGTGTACGTCCGGGCGTACCTCGTTTCATTTGGCATTCCTCCCCCTTGCTCTTCCCCTGCGCCATGTCGGAACAGCTGACACGAACCTGCCACCACCGCTCGCCCGCCCAATCACATCGAGTCCAACGCTCGAACATCACCGACGTGTGAAAGAGCTGGGAGGGGATCAAACGCCTCGGGTGCAAGGTCGATCGGTCTTCTGTCGGGTTTGACAGGACATTCGTCCCAAAGAGGCAATTTCGCGTCGAGGCGCTCGAGGTGGATGATTCTAGCGCGCGTGATGTGGCTTGATCGTCCCTTTGATCGGAGCCAGAATCTTCTGTCGCTTTCTCACGCGTTGCACCAGGACTCTCTCTCCGCGCTTCTCCGACGCATTATTTTGATTCCGCGCGTCATCGCCAAGAGAAGAGGGTAATGTCTTGGCACTCTGTTCATTGCGGATCGCCTCGACAACTTCAAACACTCGAACGTTTATAGAGAGAGAGGGGGTCGTGACGATGGCTCCATACAAACGTCAACCTCCTCCTTTCCCTTCATCACCCAACCACTCTCATCGATCACCAACAACCTCGATCGACCAAACAACTCTCTCTCTCCTCTCTTCACTGAATAGGAGATTGAAATCAGGGCTTGATCACCCACCACCGTCGTCGCCGTCGTTGCCTCACTACAACTTTTCGACTCACTATCGCGACACACGACACGACACCCATCCTTTCACCGCCAACCATGGCTCACCACCACTCGAACACGCCGAGGATCGTGACCACCGACGTCGAGGAACCTCACCGAGGCGCCCAAGATCTCATCGGTTCTACCGTGCCCGAGACTCGCGTTTCAGGTGTCTTGCACGGAGACCCTCGGGACGACTACCTCCACACCGTCAACCGGGAGTCGGCCAACGAAAAGGCCACCGCACACAACGTCGCGCCTTCCAATGGGGCCTTTCTCAGCGTCTCTGGCGCCGACCACCTCAGTCCGAGCTCGACCCGGTACACCGGCAAGGAGGGGTACGATGAGAAGACGGGGTACATCAACCCGTTGCTCATGAACCAACCTCCTGCCAAGGTCCACAAACGTTCGGCCATGTCCAAGCTCAAGGGTCTCTTCCGTAAGAAGAAGGACGCCGAGCTCGAAGAGGACGACGACTCCGAGGAAGACTTGACCGAGGAGGAGAACGCCGCTCAGGCTAGGGCTTCGGCGCATATCGATCCTGCGAACGATACCACCGACCCGACCCCCTTCTTCCAGAAGCCTCTCGTCCTCGCCTCTCTGGTCGACCCGAAGAACCTGGAAGACCTCGAAGCTATCGGAGGGACCGAGGGACTGCTCCACGGACTCGGAGTCGATGGGACTCGCGGTCTCAACGTCGACGGTTCTCACAGCGCCGGTAACGGAGGTCCATCGATGATGGACGCTCAGTTCAAGGCTTCTCTGGAGGACAGGAAGAGGGTCTACGGAGACAACATCTTGCCTACCAAGAAGACCAAGTCGTTGTTGCAATTGATGTGGATGGCCATGAAGGACAAGGTCCTGGTAAGTCGCGCCGCGTCTCGCTTTCACGTGCCCCATCCACTTGAGCTCATGTATTTCACAATTCCACTCTTAGATCATCCTCGGTATCGCCGCCCTTATCTCGCTCGTCCTCGGTATCTACCAATCCGTCGGTGTGGACCACGACCCGATCCCCTACCTCGAAGGGGGTTGCACCAACCCCGCTGGTTGCGAAGAACCTCAGATCGAATGGGTCGAGGGTGTCGCCATTCTTATCGCTGTTACCATCGTCGTCTTGGTCGGATCTGTCAACGATTGGCAAAAGGAGAGGCAGTTCAAGAAGTTGAACGAGAAGAAGGACGACAGGATGATCAACTGTATTCGAGGTGGAACTAGGATGACTATCAACACCAAGGTGAGTTCGCGGTATCAATTCGGTCGTCGCCTCGTCTGCGGCATTTGTGCTGATCTTTTCGCATCTCGTAGGACATTCTCGTCGGTGACATCTGTGTCGTCGAGACTGGTGAAATTCTTCCCGTCGACGGTGTCTTCCTCCGAGGTCACAACGTCAAGTGCGACGAGTCTGGTGCTACCGGTGAATCTGACCTGATCAAGAAGGCTTCCTACGAAGAGTGTATCGAGGAGCGCAACTCGTTGCCCCCCGGAAAGACCCTGAAGAAGGACTGTTTCTTGATCTCCGGTGCCAAGGTTACCGAGGGTGTCGGTGAATACGTCGTCATCGCCGTCGGTACCAAGTCTTTTAACGGTCGTTTGATGATGGGTGAGTTTGGGATCAACGCTCAAGTGATTTGAAAAGCAGGGCACGGTGACTGACGATAGACGACGCCTTGCAGCCCTTCGAACCGATGCTGAGAGCACTCCCCTCCAGCTCAAGCTCAACAGGCTTGCCGAGCTCATCGCCAAGTTCGGTGCCTCGGCCGGTCTCACCTTGTTCTTTGCCTTGTTCATCCGATTCTGCGTCCAGCTCAAGGAGGACCCCGACAGGACTCCCGATGAGAAGGGTCAGGATTTCATCTCGATCTTGATTATCGCCGTCACCTTGGTCGTCGTCGCCGTCCCCGAAGGTTTGCCCCTGGCCGTCACCCTCGCCCTCGCCTTTGCCACCAAACGTATGACGGCGGAAAACTTGCTCGTCCGAGTGCTCGCCTCTTGTGAGACTGCCGGAGGTGCCAACGTCGTTTGTACCGACAAGACCGGTACCCTCACGCTCAACGAGATGCAGATCGTCGCCATGTCGCTCGGTGTCACCGCCAAGGGAGTTCGTCGATTGGAAGAGAACCCGCAGAGGACCAACGCCAACAAGGTCGAGGACGAGAACGGTGTCGCCGAGATCGAGAACACCCGAACTGGCCGACCGGATTTCACTTTCGACCTCTCCGAGCTCAACCAGATCGCCACTCCCCAGATGCAACAGCTTTTGAACGAGTCTTTCTGTATCAACTCGACCGCTTTCGAGGAGATTGACAAGGAGACTGGCAAGGTCGGCATCATCGGATCCAAGACCGAGGCTGCCATGCTCTTGCTCGGTCGAGAGGTCGGATGGACCGGTGCTACCGACCTCCGTGCCGCTGCTACCGTACACCAGGTCTTCCCCTTCAGCTCCGAGGTCAAGGCCATGGCCACCGCCATCACCTTGCCCAACGGAAAGATCAGGTTGCTCGTCAAGGGTGCTTCCGAAATCTTGCTCAAGGTCTGCACTTCGCACGTCGACATTGACGGTCCTTCGAACGCTGCTTCCGACATCAAGGTCGTCCGATTCAACGAGGAGACCATGACCAACTTGCAGAGGACCATCTACTTTTACGCTTCGCAATGTCTCCGAACCATCGCCGTCTGTTACAAGGATTACGAGCCCGGTACTTTCCCCACCGCCGACGGCGAGCAGGAGTTGCTGTTGGCCGACCTCGCCAAGGACTTGACCATGATCACCGTCGTCGCCATCGAGGACCCTCTCCGACCGGGAGTCATCGAGTCGGTCTCCAAGTGTAACAAGGCCGGTGTCGCCGTCAAGATGTGCACCGGAGACAACGTCCTTACCGCTCGATCGATCGCCATCCAGTGTGGCATGTACACCCCTGGCGGGATCGTCATCGAAGGTCCCGCTTTCCGAAGGCTCAGTCACCAGGAACGTCTCGAGATCGTACCCCGTCTTCAGGTCATGGCCCGTTCGTCTCCCGAGGACAAACGTCTCTTGGTAGAGTCTCTGCGAGAGCTCGGCAACATCGTCTGTGTCACTGGTGATGGTTCCAACGATGCTCCGGCCCTCAAGGCTTCCAACATCGGTTTCGCCATGGGTATCTCGGGTACCGAGGTCGCCAAGGAGGCTTCCGACATTATCGTCATGGACGACTCGTTCGCCTCGTTGACCCTCGCCATCAAGTGGGGTCGATGTGTCAACGACTCGGTCCGAAAGTTCTTGCAATTCCAGCTCTCTGTCAACGTTACCGCCGTCGTCTTGACCTTTATCACCGCCGTCGCCTCGGACGAGGAGGAGTCTGTCCTGTCCGCCGTACAGCTCTTGTGGGTCAACTTGATCATGGATACTTTCGCCGCCCTCGCCCTCGCTACCGACCCTGCTTCCGAGAGGTCGCTCGACAGGCAACCCGAAAAGGCCACCGCTCCCTTGCTCAACATTGACATGGTCAAGATGATCCTCGGTCAAGCTTGTTACCAGATCGTCGTCTGCTTCGTCCTCCACTGGCGTGGACACGACATCCTCGGTGACGAGCCCGGTGGCGGAAACTCGCAGCTCAAGACCTTAGTCTTCAACTCTTTCGTCTTCTGCCAAATCTTCAACATGATCAACTGTCGATCCCTCACTAGCGACCTCAACTTCTGGCACGGTATCCACAGGAACCGTTGGTTCATGCTCATCTTCCTCATCAGTGAGTCTTCCGCGCGATCCAGTCGTCTTGCAGTCATTCAACATTTGCTAACCACGCTTCGATGCTTTCCTCTCGTGTAGTGGTCGGTGGTCAGGTCTTGATCGTCTTTGTCGGAGGAGCCGCCTTCTCGGTCACTCGAATCGGTGGACGAGACTGGGGTATTTCGATCGTCATCGGATTGCTCGCCATCCCCTGGGGAGCCTGCATCCGACTCATGCCCAGTGGACCTCTCTACCGCCTCTTGGTCAAGCTCAGGATCTACCCCGATCCCAACGCTCTCCCCGAGATTTCGCAATCCGCCGACTACAACAACTTCCAGTACGCCGAGCCCGTCTACCAGACCCGAAGCAACCTCGACCTCTTCCGATCCATTCGATCCGAGAGCCGTCTTCGTGCCTCGCCCATGGTCCTCAAGTCTCGACGAAGGAGGATGAAGGATGCCAAGCTGCAGTACCCTACCTTGCTCACCATGGCTCCTTCGCTCTTGCTCGGTTCCGTCGCTGCCGGTCAGAACTGGTTGGCACCCTTGGACAAGCTCGGAGAGGCCACCGAGCAGCAGCAAGCTAGCCAGCCTTCTCAGCCCGCCTCGGGCAAGTTGAGCTTCCACCCGGATTCGGACAAGAACGATCCGATCTACCAGAAGTACTCGAAGATTTAGGATGGTCGGCGCGCCATTTCATACACACCAAAAACACGATTCGACATGACCGATAATAATCTCACCACGGGGATGCAGCGGGCATCATCACAACAAGTTGTACAGTACCGGAACATATACCCCTTATACCCTGCCAGTAGTTAGTTGCTTGTATCACTAGAGTAGTACACATCATGATTTTTCGATGGAAACATTCTCCTCTCGATTTACAAGCCGTAGTCGGGTTCCTTCCTTTGTCTGCAGACGATCGGTACAGTTCGGTGGCTGGCAGCTTGATAATTTCGGCGATACGACCTGTTCATGTCGACCAAGACGTAGATAATGCGTATCCTGCAAGGTCATGAAGGTCATGAAGCATGAAGTTATGATCATTCGTCGCATTTGACCCCAAACCGAATAAACGCGATCCTTCCCTGGACGTGCGGTTGATCGGGTGAAACGTCATCAAGCATCGAAACCCGTCGGATGTAAATCGAGAGGGGGAATGTCGTCATCACGTCATCGGGCATCGCGCTATGAGGATCGCTCACCATCTGGAATCCCAGCGCCGGCCGGTGAGCAGCTGAGCAGGCTGGTTGTTGTGCTGTCTCGATGACACGCTCTCGCTTCGGGCGGGAGAGCACAGCTGGAGGGGATCGAGAAGATCGTTTGTTATCGTCATCAGTTCTCAAGGTATATATACCAGCACACACCCCTATCCACCTCGACTTTCGCACCCTTCTTCCCTCGACCCCAACAGATTCACGCATACCACTTACCACCTTATAACCCACCTACCAACCACAAACACTACTATCAAAATGTTCAGGTCCACCATCGCCCGAGTTTCCCGACCCATGGCTACCCGAGGGTACGCCGACAAGTGTAAGTCAGCTTTCCTTCACATCTCCCTTTCTCTTGTGGCTTTATCCTCCCAGATCGACATGAGCTCACTTTGAACTCCTGAACTTTTTTCATTCTTTCTATACAGCCGTCTCCGAGACCGTCGGTGACGCTTTGAAGAGCGCCGCCAAGGCCTTCTCGGCTGGTGATGCTACTGGCGACAAGGCCGGTAGCGTCGGAGGCAAGTTCAGGTCGGACGGAGAGATCGGCAAGGAGGGAGAGAAGGGTGAGTCTTTCGTCTCTTCCCTCAATCACCATTCAATTGGGAGGAGAACTAGGTGGAAAAGAGCGATTGGGCTGATCGATGCTTCGGTATGAACTAGTCGGAGGTACCTTCTCTTCCAAGGCCGATGGAGCCGTCGGATCGCAGTTCGAGAAGGACGGTGCCGTTGGCGGAGTGAGTCCCTTTACCCTCTGTCTTTCCTTTCTCAACCCACTCACTGACCATTCCGCAACCTCTCGTGATCGTCCACTTCCTACCCGTAGACCGCCCAGAAGGCCAGCGACAAGGTCTGGGACGCCGGCAAGGCCGTCAAGGGCGAGAAGTAAACATGCTCTTCTCGAGACCAGCACGTTTCCTACTTATGGAGGAGAGTTAGGTTGTATCCCATTACAGTAAACCGTCATAACAACTTGAAATGTTAAATGTGAATAACGAAAAACATCATCACAAGGCATCGCCGTCTGGGTGGGTCGTTGTGCGTATCAGTAGATGTATTTAGAAAGCAGAGACATAGGCTAGGCAGTAGCTTCAGAGGGAGTTGAGTTGCAAGGTATAAAGTCCTTAGGTCTACGAAGCCATCTGGCCGGACGACTCAACAAACGCAGGGTCGGAATCTTCAATCACCGTGCAAGACTTACCGTGGCACCACGCTAAGACGAGCGTTGGAATCAGACCAAGATGAGCCATCCTTCTTGTCCACCATACCGCCTGGCTCCATCTTTCATTTGGCTATCTGGTCCATGTACTCTCAGCTCGAGATCAAAGTCTCGGTATCTGGTAGCTCATTTCTCGATTACGTAATGCCAGCGGCACCGACCGGTCCCAGCCACCGACGCTCGGCTAGGGTCACTTGTACACGACCAAACCCGTCAAGACCCCTTCATAACCATTTCACGTCTTCTTCCTTTTCCCGATCTGACCCGCAAACCCGAATACATCGAATGAGACCCGACGATCTGGGATCATGAGCGCAAATGCAAACGCAGATCCGACCAACCCGACGGATTCCCGAGATGGGACGTTATGGAGCGAGGACGTGGCTGGAGGCGGGGTCGAGCTAGCCGACCAGCATAAGAAGCAGGACAACCAGGAGGACGAGGATGAGCATGAAGATGGGGGTGAAGACGTAACAGCAGCGAGTACAAATGCTGCTGGAGGATCGGGAGGCGGGAAGAAGAAGAAAAAGAAGAAGAAACAGCAACAGCAGCAGCAGCAGAAGCGAGATGAGGAGGAGGAACAGGAGGTTCAAGAGCAAAAGGGTGAACTTGAAGAAGCAGAGGATGACGATCAGAAGGTGTCAGGGCCAATCCCGAATGATGTTGCCGTGAGTCTGCTGTCTAGGTATGAATCTAGTTTCGAGTTTTGGATACTGATTGAGATGGCCTGTGCCATTCCATTAGAAGCAAGACCCTCCCGCAACACCGGCGGCGGATGTTGAATCTGTGCCAGTCACAACTTCTGAAGCGGACATCAGCGAATCAGGCTCCACCCCTATCTCCAAAGTCTCAAGCTCAGAAGTCGTAAATCCGGAACCTACCGTAGACACCTCTACACACCCATCTCCCGCGCCAGAACAAGCCTTTGGTACGACAAAGGAGTCTCTTCCCACACATGAGTCGGATCTGTTTGACACACCGGCAGATGGCGAGACGGACGAATTGTTCGGGAAAGCCGATCAGACACATCCAGAGGAGGATCTGTTTGGAAGCGTGTTACGGCAGGAGGAAGTCCTGGTCGACGAGGTTCGGTTGGAAGAGCCGGTCGACGACGAGGCAGAGAAAGATCCGAGGATAGATGCGGAGCGGGAAATAGAGGTTGAACAGGGAGATGCCGAGGCCGATAAAGATGCCGTGACAGAGCAGAAGGAGGCAGAAAAACTTCGGTTGGCGGCCGATGAACCTGGTCTTTTTGACGATGATGATGGCCACGAAACGGACGACTTGTTCGGATCGCAACCGGCCACAACAGATGCTTTCGACTCTGCTCTCAATTTCAACGGGACAGCCGCCCAGGAGCTCGAAGCTGGACCGGTAGTGAATGAGGCGACAGAAGACGGTCTTTTCGGTGCTGTATCACCTTCTGCTGAGGACGATCTATTCGGCGCTCCACCCAATTCCGAGCCGTTCGCTTTGGAGCTTTCTTCCGTCGAGACTGCCAAGCCTTTCGATCCGGAAGCTGTTCGGGATGACCTGTTTGAAAGCGAACAGGAGGCTGCGGACGACCTGTTCGGGCAGGCTGGGCAGTACGAGAAGGACGCTGAAGAGGTTCAGACGCCCATAGTCCCGGTCGAGGATAAGCAGGCGGTCATTCCGGCAGAGAAACTTTCGAGATCGACCGATATTAGTGCGGTTGTTCTGGACTCGCCCGCCGACGATCCCTTCGGGGGCCCAGCCGATCAAGCAGAGGACGACTTCTTCTCAACCGCCCTGAAGCCCGTCGAAACCGTTCAAGAGTCAGAAAAGCTCGAACCGGGTCCGATGGGACGCTCGCGTGCGTCTACGAAGACGTCGGATCTGTTTCAAGGTGATGATGCTGGGGATCTGTTTGCGAACATCGGTCAGCAAGTCGACGTCAATCAGGAGCAATCCCAGAACCACGACCAGGACCTTTTCGGTGCTTCTCAGGATGACGACCTGTTTGGGCAGAACCAACCTGCGGAAACGCCTGTTTGGGATCAGAACGATGCGGCCGCGGTGACGCCGGCCCAGCCATTATTGGCGGTCGACACAGGTGCAGTCAGCTATGACTCGGCCGACCTAGACCTGATGGGAGTTCCGGAAGGTTGGGTTGACGAGACGGGTCAATGGTGTTGGTACACCCACGACGAGCGGGTAGAAGTGGCCAAACAGATGATTGCGGATGGAACGGCTGAAGCTCGTAAGTCGCAGACTCCTTGGTTGTTACCAGCACTTATCTGACCAGTATCGTCAATACAGCCGAAAAAGAGCCGTCCGATGGCGTCCCTGACCAGGCCATTACGGCTCCGGCTAACACTGTGCCGGCAGTAGACCCTTATACGCCCGCGTCCACACAAACCTACTCGCCATTACAGTCAAGCACATCTCTGATGGGGGCAGCGATGCCCTACGTGCCGAGTTCGTCTATCAGCCGATACGGAAGCCCGGTCGTACAGCCATATGCGCCGTCGACTTACAGCCCATCCGCCTACAACCCCTCACCCTATGCCCCAGTCAACAATTTCAATAACACGAACCCTTACAACACGTCCAACGCCATCCCGAAGCATGTCGCACCCCCCGCACCACTTCGACGCACAACCACGACCACAGCTTATGACCCGCCTGTGCCTGCAGCACGAAACCTTTCACGACCACCCTCCGCGGCACCTGTTATGACCTCGTACGCGCCCATGTCATATACCCCTGCCCCCATCAGCACACCTGCTTCGCCTCCGGCTCCGACTGGACCTCCTCGTTCGAGTGGTCCTCCTCGGGCTGCCAACTCGATCAAATCGACCTTGGGAGGACGTTCCACTCCGACCGCTTACGACCCTCCGGTACCCGCGATGAGTCGACAGCCTAGTTATGCCAGACTGAAGCCTGCTCCGGAAGTAGCTCCCCCTCTACCCCCGTTACCGCAGATTTCGCCCCAGCCAACGGCTCACGTTGCACCACCACCGCCACCTCCAGGTCCTCCCAAGGGACCTTCAAGGAACGCAAGTTTCATTCAGCCTCCGCCTCCGGCTGGAACTTATCGTCCCCCATCCCGAGCCAGGGTCGAAACCTCTGATTCGATGGCCTCACAGCGACAGGCTGCGCCGCCGGTGCCCCCGTTGCCCAAGAATACCCCAGCTTCGTCATATGAACCGGCAGCTCCGTACACGCAGGGCACGCCGACATCTCAGCCTGCATTCCTGAGCGATACCGACCGAGTGCAATATGGGTACCAACCTCAGGCAGCGTCATCGGCGGGCGATGTGCCTTCCGGCCCATCAACCGCTGACCCGCCCGCTAGCTCGGTGATACCAGCCCGGTCGCAGGTAGCTCCAGAGACCCTGTTGACCCCGCAACGAGGCGAACTTGCAGACCTCCCCGCTGGTGACGACACCTGGCCCAACAATGTCAGCCCTGCCAAGGCTCGGCCGCTACTCCGGGAAGACACTTTCCAGCCCCTGTCGCCAGAAAGCGCACAACCGTCAAGTTACGACCCGGAAGGCGCTATATTCGATGAGGAAGGTGGACAGGAAGGTGGGCAAACCGTCCAGCCCGAGCAATCCGGTGCAGTCGAGGACCCGTACAAGCCTGCTCCGACGAATTACGCGCCTGTACCGACTCAGCAGGAACCCAGCGTCTATCAGTCGTACGAGAAGTCTCCAGTTCCTTCGCCTTACAACCCGTACCAACCGAAGATGCAGGATCGACCGGATCAGCCGGCTTATGTGACGCCTTTGCCGAACGCCTTCGCCTTCCCGAACGACAGTTACGTCTCACCAGCTTTGTCTCAAGAGCCCGTAGCGTTGAGTGGGTCGGCTTACGAGCCGGCACCAGAAAACATTCCCAAGTCACTTACCGAGGACGTTCTCGAGAGGGCATCACCTAGTGCTCGTCGAATCCCGTGCGTCTCGTTTGGACCCCAAGGCCAATGCATTGTTGTGTTTCAATCGGAATCCGCCGGAAACATCTCCGAAGATGGCCAACGGTTGCTACCGGCATACGGCGATCGATCTCAGGCGCAGGAAGTGCAGCTGCATCAGTTGAAAGATATCATCCCCGAAGAGGGCGTCTCTGCTGCTGCGGCCGACTGGCCGGGACCACTCTTCATTGATGCCGCAGCAAGCAAAGTCACAGCCGCCTCGAAGAAGAAACGGGACGCTGTCAACGCTTACATTGATGCCCGTGTCCAGGAGATCAGAAGTGGCCTTGTCTATCTTACAGCTTCGAAGAAGGACGAGGCAAGCCGTCACAAGGCCGAGGCGACAATGCTATTACTGGAAATCGTCAAGCTCATGATTGCCGCAGATGGCAAGAACCTGCTCAGGTAAGCAGAATTCTACTAAGTGCGCATCATGCGATAACTCATACCTAGTGGGATTGCAGCGATGTATCGAGTCGGACCGAGCTCATTGGATTGCTCTCGAGCCATGTCCCTGCGGCGACTGAAGAGCCTGCCTTGCTGAAACGCACAAAAACGACAGAGCCAGTCGCGTCAGCTGCGGATCTGCAGTACCTGTCGCGTATGCTCGTCAAGGGTCAGCAGCAAGAGGCGCAACAATACGCCATTCAACAGCAACTGTGGTCGCACGCGTTGTTGGTTTCCAGTGTCATGGGGCCTCAAGCCTGGCAGTCCTGCGTTGATGCTTTCGTCGCCCAGAACGCCCTCAACCACGATCTGGCCCAGCCTCTGATCACGGCTTATAAGATGTTCGGCGGTACCCAACAGTTGGCACCCGCGGCAGGTCAAGCCGGGTCATGGCGGGATAGCGTCGCAACAGTTGTTGCCAATGCGAAAGCCTCTGATTTCGAAACTCTCGTAAAGCTCGCTGATCAGCTGAAGCAGAGCGATCTCGTTGAGGCTTCGCACATCTGGTATGTTGCTGGTGTGGTGTGTTCGTTTTCAACTCTTTGATCTGACGCCACTACGTATCTCACTCAGCTATCTGTTGTCAATCAAACTCAATGAATGGGCTGCTGGTTTCGATACTGGTCGACTCGCACTGTTCGGTTGTCGTGATGTCGCTTCCACTGCAAGGGATCTCGAGATTTCTGAGCTAGTGGAGTACGCGCTGTCGTTCCGACCTGTGGCCAAGGGAGCCGAGCCATATCACGGGGTGCCTCGACTGCTCGCATACAAGCTCCAGAGAGCGTTCGAGTACTTTACCCGCGGTCAAGCTTCGGAGGCAAGAGCGTCAGTAAACCTACGGAGTTACCATAAGCTGGGTGACTGATGTTGTCGGTATTTTTACAGCTACTGTGACGCTGTCTTGGCACAAAGCAAGTCTTTCAGGTCGCCTAACCCTGCCATGGTGGCTGTAACCAGGCAGGCTGAGACCTTGTCCGGACGAATCGCTGGAATTGCTGTCACAGCCGTTGCAACGAAAAAGGGTGGCAAGCCAAACTTGGAAAATCTAGGATCCTGGTTCGAGGGGCGTCTCACCAAATTCATCGCTGGCGACGAGGCGACTGAAGAGAAGCCCACCAAGCCGACTACCAGCAAGGACTCGTCTGACAAAGCAGCCATCGGCCCATTTTCGCATTACAGTGCCATCTCCTCGCCGAACGCTGCTCCTAGCCTGAGCCGCAGTTCCACATACGATTCCGCGAGCCAGCCGAGCATGGTACCGGGACCCCATGCGTACCGCAGTGGCTCTGCAGCTTCGTACAGGCCCCGCCAACCGAGCCAGCTGTCGATGCAGCGACCCACATCTGCTATGTCGTATCGTCCACAGGAACAGCATGCCTTCCCCGAAATGACCCGAATTTCAAGCAGAGTCACCGAGCAAGATGGTATCGATTCGCGTCGAGGCTCTGAGCTTAACGACACGCAGACACAGGTGGATCCGAGCGCGACTGCGGTCTCTGAAACGCAAGCCGAAGAGCCTCGATACCAGATACCATCTTGGGGTCAAAGCTATGACGAGCCAGAACAAGCGGAGGGACGGGCTGAGGGAGATTACGGTGCGGAGGCAGTTCCTGATGGTTCCTTCATCAATCCGATGCAGACTTTCATGTCGCCAATGGCGCCGGCTCCCTCGTACGAGCCGCAAACCACGTCTGCCGCGATGGAACGACCCGCATATGAAGACGATGACGACGATGATCTGGGTCTTGGGAATACATCTCATAAGCAGAGGGCCGCTAAAGATGAGCCTCGGACCGCGGCCACCAAACCGACTGCTGCGCCATCCTCTTACGAGCCCGCCCCGGCGAAGGAGGAGCCGGTCAAGCCAGAGCCGGCAAAAAAGGCAAACCCTCCAGGTAAGTATTGTGCGAGACGTCGGTTATTTGACTGTTGAGCTGACCACTCACACTTGCTTATCTATAGACGCAGGCAAAGGATCTCAGAGCGGATCGTGGCTGGGCAAATGGTGGGGTAAAAAGGAAGAGACCGCCGGTCCAGGTCCCGTCAAGGCCAAGTTGGGCGAAGAGAGTGCGTTCTACTACGACAAGGAGCTCAAGCGATGGGTCAACAAGACGGCGGGCGCTACTGAAGCACCCAAGCCTCCTCCACCCCCTCCTGCTCGTGCGACCCCTGTCAATGCGAGCGCTGCATCCACTCCTCAGCCCATCGTAGCGACGTCCACCCCTCCGCCTCCTTCGGCCAGCCGAGGTTCGCCGACAGCTACTTTGGGAGGCACAGCCCCGCCTGCGGCGCCTCCAGCTTCGAACTCGGCGCCACCTGGTCCTCGTAGCATGCCACCAGCAGCGCCGCGACCGCCCATGAACGCCGCCGATCCGCCATTGGCAGACCCACTCGCTGCGCCTCCGATGAGAAAAGGAGCAGCAAAGGGCAAGAAGGATTTGCGAGCGAAATACGTCAACGTTTTATGATGAAGGCTGCATCGAGGTCGAGATTGGTGTTTTGGGTTGTAGTGTATAATGTGGTTGTATACTAGAACAAGCAGAGGTAATGACTTTTGCGGCAGATCTTTCCGCGTGTGGACACCAAGGATACAGCTGTTCCCGTCATTCATCAGTTGACACGCAAAGACGTCAGCTCCCCCGCCTCGAAACGTGCCTTTCCAGAGACCTGCTCCAGACGTGGTGCGACAGGATATCTTTGCTCGAGGCAAGGCTTTCTTGCGACAAGAGATCTCTGCTGAAGGCCAGGCGTTCTTGAGAGGGTTGAGGTGTTAGATGCTGCACGAGAAGTTCTAGGTAGCGTCTCAAACACCTGTATTCTCTCCCGTGTGCCGATCTCTGCTGCCAGCCTCTACGACGGGGGCGGTCTCGGCTGACCAGTGGCTTCCATGCTTTTTAATTACAATCACGGATGTCATATCTCACTTTCGCTTCGAGCGGAATTGCTTCAAGTTGGCGACCGGCAGGGTCAAACAAGTCTCGCCATGAGTAGTACCCTTTATGCGAGACTGATTTTCTCGTTAGCTCTGGTGCCGGCCAAGAAAAGACCCGAAGGGCCATGATTCATTGTCCGGCGATGACCAAATACGAAACAGCGTCCGAGACAAGAACACTGATGTATCCCACATAGATCGTTTCATCATCATCGAATACACCCCATCCCCCATCGCCCGCACAAACAACAAAAGGCCGACAGGGTAAAGGAGCGCACCCGAGGTAAAGTACCAAAACAGAACCAGAAGAAAGAAGATGTTCGTAAACCACCCCTAGGGACGACCTCATCGCACAAGAGGCTTCCCGCATCCCATGACCTGACATACGTCTACTCAGTCTTCTTCTCGGCCTCGTCCACCAACGAAGGCTGGATGGCAGCCGTCTCCCCTGCAGGAGGCTCGTCCGTCTTGATCCCCTTGTCATCTCCCGTCTTCTTCGAGTCGCTGACAACGTAACGGGTAAGGGAAGGAGGTCGCTCAGTACTCGATCTGAACGAGTCTTTAGACGCACCGCGAGGGGGTGGGGGGGACATTCGACTCACTCGATGGCGCTGACGACCTTTTCCTCCAAGCTGAGCTCGGGCTTGACGGGCTCCTGACCCGTCTCGCTCTCCAAAGCGGCCTTCTCACCCTAAAAAAATTCCATTCCAGGCCAAGCGATCAGCCTCTGCATTTCTGGGTTTTTGCCGATGCTTATCACGATGACGAGCGCGACAACCCAACCCACCTTGTCAGCCTCGGCAGCAGCAGCAGTCTTCTCCTCCTTGTCCTCCTTCTTCTCCTCAGCGGCAGCCGGGGCCGGGGCAGACTCGGACTTGGGGGCCTTCGAGTTGTCCTCTTGAGCCTTTTCGAAAGCTTCCTTGAAAGCCTGGGCGTCTGAACAAGAACAAGTACACGAACGAGACCACTAGATTTCAGCGTCCCGCCACGACCAATCCTCGCACGAATTCCATCACCCAGAGCCTCCGGGGACTCACTCTCGGAATTAGCAAACCTGATGGCAAACGTCTCCGCGGTCGGCTCGGCCTCGGCGTAATCGGCCGAGACGTTCCAGACCCAGGCTCGGTCGGATCCGAGGTTCGGGGCGAGCTTCATGTCCGAGGTGACTGCAGTATCACAGCGTGGTTTGTGGCGGGTTGTTTAGGGTTTTTTGGGGATTGTTTGGGGATTGTTTGGGGATTGTTTGGGCGAGCCGTATTGATACGGTCAAAGTCCGAAAGATGGTGTCCAGATGATAAAGCGTATCGCGACAAGTTTGCAGGCATGTTCAATGTATGTCGTTTCCGATTCATGGATTTATTTGAAGGAGAGATCAGAGGTTGATGTCCAGGTTTGCAATGAGCATGCCAAGTGCGAGTTGAATGGGTTCGTCGTACGTCGCCATGTATCAAAGTGGTTTGAAGTGGGGAACAAGCAGGACGAAGCGTAATTCAAGAGGTGAACAGTAAGAAGAAAGAACGAGATTGAATCAGCCTCCCGACATCATCGCCTCATTCCATCTCGCAACCCGCCAGCTGATCCCCTAGACTCACTCATAAAGTTGGCGCAAACCTTCAACGTCTTATCCCTCCTCATGACCACCCTGACCTTTCCCCCACTCCTATCCTTCAAGAGCTTGACATCCCCCGTTCCCCTCTCCTTCCACTCGACGGCGGCCTTGTCGAACCTGAAGAGCTTGGCTCGGACTTTGTGCAGGACGTCTTCGTCCTCTTCGGCGGTGACGACGGCGACCTGTTCGGTGAGCTTGATGACGGGTTCGTAGTGGGGGTCGTGCTCCTCGGCCTGCGGACGTAAGAACGAAGGTTTCAGGGTCGAGTGGAGGTGGTTGAGGAGTAGCGAATGTGAAGGTAAAGGTGCAGCGGAAGGTGAAGACGGATTCGTAAAGGCAGCATGAGCACACAGGTTCGAGGTCGGTCATTCCTAGATCCAGGGCTTACGGGAGTGGTGTTCTCGTTATCGGCCATTTTGATGAATATATCTACGTCTGCGTTACGAGGTGAAGAGTTCTACTGAATGCTATCCAATTCCTAGTACTTACCAATTTACTAAGTCGACATTCCACCTTGTGCCATCATCATCATCATCAACAACAAGCTCCAAGGGAGCTCAGGGGGTCCACGAGTCGCTTTCTCACGTGTCGGCCGGTGGGAGGAGCGGACATCGACACATTCTCCAAGTCAGAGGTATGGCAACGCGTAGCTAAAGTTGACGTCGAGTTGCGAACCGTCAATCTGGCTGCCACTAAGATATTCGAGGAAGCGGTCACCAGACTGAAATGATATGGCTGTGATCTGAGCACTTATCCAGAGGATTGAGGATCCTAACGTTCGTCTGAGCGTTGTTCATATCGTATCGGGTCGCAGGTCGACCACCTTTTGAACGGACATCAGGAGTTAATCAGAGCCGGAACCGAAATAGAGACTCGGGGGTATTTCTTTCGACGCGCGAGTAGTCTCGGGTCTCTATCTGGCTCCCCCTCTGTTGTCATCATCATCATGACGACGACGTTGATGTCGATGATGATGACCACCTCACATGAAGACAATTCCTTGACCTACTCTGACAGCTGGTAGACACCTCGATCAGAGATCACTAAACATATAGAGCACTCACACACAACAAAACTACCTGCCCACGATGTCTCAAGTAAACTGGCAGCCCACCCAAACGACTCCCAACTTGCTAACCCCTTCCCAACTCCCTCGCACCCAACAACAGATCCAACAGACCCTCGACCCCTTGTCCGGGCACCCCGGTCACTTGACTGCCGAACAAGAACATGCGTTGAAGGAGTTTAGGCAGATCTTGGTCGAGGCCGGTTTGTGCCCCACCGAGGCCGAGTTGGCGAACCCGGCGGGGAGCAGCGATCCGAGGGTGAACCCGGGTCCGGGGTACAACAGGTGAGCTTGCGAGATGAACTGTTGGTCAGATGTCGAAGAGCGAGGCTGACAGTGATGAAATGTTGCTTTCTCTTCCTTTTCTCTTGTGGTCCAACCTCTTTTGTCCTGCTGAACCATATCAACCCAATCTACCAACCTCCCGCTCAACCTCCCTTTCTTCCCACTCATCCTCCTCACCTCTCCTACCCCATTCACACCTCGCAGGTTCGACGACGCCACCCTTCTCAGGTTCCTCCGAGCCCGAAAGTTCAACCTCCAGCTCGCCAAGGACATGTGGGCGGCCAACGAAGAGTGGAGGGTGAAGTTCGGGACGGACGAGATCGCTCGGTGAGTCCCGCAGCGAGGCGTTGTTCGGCCTTTCGGAAACGGGTGGTGTCGTTCCCGTTGTCGTCATGCGAATGGGAATGAGAGAGGCAGGTGGGGATCGAGAATTGTGAAGAACGGACGATGCCGAGCGCGTTTCTGCCTTAACGAGGAAGGAAAACAGAGGGCGGGTTGCTTTCTTTGAAGCGTGAGATGAGAATCGTCGGGAGGTGGTAGAGAGATAGGTGCATGACCTGAAGAGCAAGCCAGAAGATAATCTCCGGATCGGGTTGGAGATGAGAACATGGGGGATGAGGAACTTGGCGCTCTCTACGCCCGGACTCGCGCATGTTCGAGACTGTCGTCATACGTCTGAAACGCGAAATCGTTGAGCGGTGTACTGAATTGCTCCCTCTGACCTGCGTGCTGCACAGAAACTTTCAATACCCTGAGCAGCGAGAGGTTGACAAGTACTACCCTCAGTACTACCACCGAACCGACAAGGTGAGCCTAGACGATGACAGTATGGGCGCCATGACGATTCCTGCACGGCAATTGACATCTGTACTTGAACGTGACCCTTGCAGGACGGCCGACCGATCTACATCGAACAACTTGGCAAGCTCGACATCAACAAGCTCTACGCGCTCACCACGCAGGAACGTCAGCTCCAACACCTCGTCCACGAATACGAAACGTTCCTGGGACAACGTCTGCCCGCGTGTTCCAACGCTCAGGGTCACTTGGTCGAGACGAGTTGCACGATCATGGACTTGAACGGGGCTGGGATCAGCACGTTCTACAAGGTCAAGGATTACGTTTCGGCCGCTAGTACTATCGGACAGAACAACTGTGGGTTTTCGGCGGGCGGATTGGTGATGGCGAGTGGGCAGTGGACTGATGTGTGAGGCTCGTTGACAGATCCCGAGGTCATGGGCAAGTTTTACATCATCAACGTGAGTCTCGATTCTGATGAGCACCCGTGATGACCAGGATACTGACGAGCTTGAGCTTTCTAGGCCCCCTACCTCTTCTCCACCGTCTGGTCGTTCGTCAAGCCGTGGCTCGACGAGGTCACCGTCTCCAAGATCTCGATCCTCGGCAAGGGCTTCAAATCGGAACTCGTCAAACAGATCCCCGAACAAAACTTGCCCGCCGAGTTGGGCGGATCTTGTAAATGCCCTGGAGGGTGCAGCTTGAGCAATGCTGGTCCTTGGAACAAGAAGTGAGCGGGGTCGTCGCTTCCTGCCGGGGGTCGAGTTCGTAGATCGGAGAAGCGGGTTCATCTGACTAGATGGGTGCGACGCGGATGCGATGCTACGAATTTGGCGAGCTCTTGCCGTGTCTGTAATATAATACCCTCTTTTTCTTTCTTTTTTTGACGCATGATAATTCGATAGTTGAAGATTGATAACGCGAAAGTCATTACGAACGGACTTCAACAGATGACGCTTGATCAGCTCACCAGCGATCTGCTCGGTTGCCAATTACAGCCTGGCTTGAACCAAGGCGGAGAGACGGAAGACGGCAGCCTTGGCTTGATCTTATTGTTCTGCTTGTCCTCCAACAATACCATGTTACCTTAAGCAGATCCAATGTAGACACGAGTGACATATTTGCTGTTTGAAAGTTTGACCGTGGTGATGTGGATGTAGATGCCACCACACTGAGCAAGTTCCTGGTTGGGATCATGGGATAGGACACTCGCGTTGTTGCGCTTTTCGACCAGGATTCATTACAACCCCTAAGCTTCTGTATTTTACAGTATGCGGTCCAGGTCCATAGCAGACATCACATCAAGAAGTGTAACGATAGCCAGCGGCATGTCACCAGTCTGCGCCAGTCCTCTTGATTAGCAGTTTAGGGTACTGTTGGGCTAGCTGCTCTTCGAGTGTGAGAATACACATAGCAAGCCCCTGTGCAAACACGTCCCACAGGACGATCCTCCTATGCATTCGTGTCCCGAGTGGTCGACTTGTAAGCGCATCAGAGAGGCAACCAAAAGTCTATGCCATGGTCGATCGCCTGCGGATCCTCGTCATGCGCATCGAAGGCCCACAAGGTCACCGCCTTAACCTGCGAGTAGAAGACCACCCTTGAGTAGCACGAGGAGTAATCGCTACTTCTGAAAATAAAATGACAGCTCCGCTAACAGGATTCATCTTACAGCCAAGAAGATCAGAATCATCCCGCCCGGGACTTCTGCGGCTGCCATGTCCAGGAAAGGCGGCGCGCCAGGGCTCAGGCCGAAGGGATTGGTAGCATGGAACAATAAGTTGCAATGGTGACAAGCGTGAGCCACGAGATGCGAGCCGAATGATACCGCTATGTCTGCTCTCCTGTAACTTTACGGTTGCTCGACTCCGAGACGAGTCAAAGGACTCGCGAGCGCCTTTATACGATGGCAGTGAGTGTAGACAACTGGACATCGCCAAGTGTACGAGTGTAGTGTCAATCACGACTCGGTAAGAGGTGGGTGATTTGCCGAGAGGGAAACCGCTAGGAACCCAAAGCGCCGCGTTCGGCAAGCCCTTGCTTAGGTCCAAAGGTCCCTTGCGATACGAGATGGCATCCTGCTTACAATTGGGATGTTCCCGCATCATGACGTGAGCGACAATCTCTTTCCAAGCACCCGCTATTGTAGTGGGAACGATGTGCTGGGTGGCGTTATTCTTGGAGATGATGATATTGATGAGTTGACTGCGTCCAAAACTCCCAAACTTGAAGAGCTTGTTATTGAGCAGATTGTCACCGGTAATGATCTTCCATTCGTCTAGATCTCTTGCTCTCGGCAGCTGGTGCCCTCTTTGTATTCGATCGATGCAAAGCTGAAAGAAATTCCTCACATTGGGTGATACCAGGATCTGGCAGAAGAAAAGGCAGCGTTAGAGCCGTAGAAGGCAGAAAGGATCAGTGATGTTTCCAGATGGATCGCACCATCCGATAGAAACTAGCACCGCCCAAATCGTAATTCAATCCCATTTGGTCATTGGTAGTGTCGTGTATAGCGCCGCCTTCGGCCGGAAAGCAGTGCGATCATGCTGAGTGCAATTGAATGTAGACGATAGCAACTGCCAAGTTCGATACCTGAAGATCTTGTGGATCCTGCGTTGAATAGGGTTGGGTTGTCTGGAGGCGTTACGGCGAAGTGAAGTGGACTTGTTTCGTTGTCTGGGGAATGAGACTCACATGAAGCGATTCTGGCGGAGAAGAGCGCATGACTGGAGATGCCGAGTCGCTAGTGTCTCTGTCACGATAATGTATGTGGCGCCTCGAGGTCCGAGGAATCTAGCTAATATATCAAACGATCAAATACATTCTAGGTTCATTACCATTGCTACATGCTTTACAAGGTTCATTCCGACTCAACTCGGTTTCTACAACTTGGGAGCGCCACTCTTCTCGGTCATCTTCCTGACCGCCGCCTCTCCCCTCGCCCCACCCACATAATCCCTTCCATGCCGTCTCTTCCCACTGACAGGCGGCGCTTCATCCTCTGCTCCTCTAGGTCGGATGTACATGGGCAGGATATCGTAAACGCTCTTGAGGCCTTGAGGAGGTTCCGTCCCGAATGCCGCCGCGGGGTACGTCTTCAGTAGCTGGTCCACGTTCTGGATCCCGCTTGAGCTTGCATCGCTGGCGAGCTCTTCCTTGTTGTCGTTCTTCAACTGTTTCACCTGGTCCCTTGTGAGCTTCAGGACTTCGGGGAGAGGCAGCTTTTCGAGGAAGAACGCTTGGATCATTCCGATCCAGAACGGGATAGGTAGGAGGAGTCTTCGGTTGACCAGGTCCGTATAGCGGAGGGTGAGCTGCATGAGCTGTTTGTAGGTGAACACTAAGATGTTCCAAAGTTACTAGGCTTTGATCAGCGTCCGAAATCTCCCCTGGCTCCTAAAAGCGCCAGATTCCCCAAGCTCAACAAGGTCTCGCACTCACCATCAGGTCCTCCACCCTGTAATGTCTTGCCCTCGATATCGCCCATCAACGCCTTTCCGCCCTCACAAGTCTCGTCCCTAGTCGCTACCTCGACGGCCTTGGCGAGATCACCCACGTAGATCGGTTGAAACTTGCTCGTGCCGCCTCCAAAGAGGGGGAGGAGGGGTAGGTAATTGGCTAGGGTTGCGAAGCGCTGGAATGTAGAGTTGGGTCGATTTCATGATGGGCCAGTTAGATTCGGGTCCTGAGGAGAAGAGAGAGGGAGAATGAATTCAAGCTTACCGTGAAGAAACTATCCCCAGGTCCAAAGACGAGAGAGGGCCGGATGATGGTCGATGTCGGATGATGCGTCTTGAACGATTGTTCCATCTCCAACTTGGTCTCGGCGCTGCCAGACCACAAACACAAACAGAGGAGAAGCATGAACTATATAAGCACCACATCTGCATCTATAGTTGCCCGGCGAGGGAAAATGCGATCGAGACTCACTAAGGCGTCCCACCCTTCTCGATCCCAAGCGCACTGACCACCACAACCCTCCTCACCCCAGCTTCCTTGGCCGCCCTGGCTACATTCTCTCCTCCCTCAGCTTGGAGCTTCTTGAATTCTTCCGGTGTACCGGTGAGGATCCCGACGAGGGAGACGATCGCGCTGGCTCCTTCGAAAGCGGGGTTGAGGGTGGAAGGTTTGGTTATGTCCAGAGAGACCGGGGGGAGGATAGAGGATCCGAGTGATTTGAGTTTGTTATATACTATGAGTGTCAGTGGAGGCAAGAGACAAGAGCTTAGAGGTCGTCAGCTTGTGTTTGTGTGAAAAAAGGGTGATTTACAAGTCGTGTATAGAGCGAGGACTGACGAGGCTCGGGGTTACGAGAAGCGAGGACGACTTGGTTCCTCGGGTCCGCTACGAGAGCTTTGGCGATGTACGATCCTGATGAACACGACGGAACATCAAATACAAACAAGAACTAAGCATCCTTTCTGCATCAAACCAATTGCTGAACGCGGTACTTACCGACAAACCCGGCACCGACGAGGACGATCTTGCGTTTCCCCTTGACCGGCTGTTGAGATGCCCAGGGAGACGTCGCGTACGTCCGGGATCTCGCCGACAAGGCTTGTGTAGCCAGTCGGGCTGTGGACGAAGAGGTCGATTGGTACATGTCGTCCGCTTGTCTGATATGTTGTTATTCGCTCGACGACGATATTTGCCGAGGGTTTGGTCTGATCTGGTCCAAAGTCGCTGAACTTGCACCTTTTACCTCTCCATGGTCCACTCGCTGCTCGGTCGATCATCGAATCCGATCTTACGTCATTCGGGTGACACCCCCGCTGTCGGAAGCAGATCATCCCTTGCGGAAGCGAAAGACCGTTGCATGCCGGCAACTTACGTCATCAAGCAGCGTGTAGCGCGCACTAAAAGTAAATTGATGATTCCCCGAGATCGATCGATCGAGGGAATTCCCGTGACGTCAGCTAATTGGGCTAACATGCAGGGGCAGGCGATTGCGAACAGGTATATATACCTAAGCATCATACACACGGACCACCCAGAGCTTGCAAGCCTACTTACCTTTCTCCTCTCGTAAACACTCTACTTTCTCACTCTCATAAATTTCTCACCATCATAAATTTCTCACCACCTAAGCCTTTCAACACATCACAATGGACGCTGCCAAGAACGCCGCCGCTTCTGCCGGAGCCTCGATCCGAGAGGCAAGTCCTCGTCTACCGTTGCTCACGTCAGCCCGAACTGACCTCTTTGCTCTTCTCTCTGTTCTCTACACTGCCTCTTGGTCGTCATATATTGTTTGGACTGTAGGACGGAGCCATCGGATCACAATTCCGATCAGACGGTGCTATCGGCTCGATCGGTCAGTCGATCGGAGGTCCTTTCGACAAGGAGGGTGCTATCGGTAGCCGTAAGCGTCATTTCCACCTTCCTCCTGACTCGAGATTCAGAGATCGAAACTAACAGCTATTCTGGTCTGAATTGGCAATGTAGAGTTCACCACTGACGGAGCTATCGGAGGAACCGCCGAGATCGTAGGAGAGAACATTTCTGGCGGTACGTCCGACATCCATTCTCATCCCCCGTTTCCACCTTTCCGCCTTCTTCTACCTGCTTTTCAGACGACTAGTACGATACTGATACACTTGCGTTTCTGCCTTGTAGCTGCCGGATCGGCCACTTCGAACCCCCAAGGGTCCGAGGCTAACCGGGCCGACAGGTTGCCCACCGAGTAAAAGAACGTTCCCCTAAGAACATTCGAGCTCGAACGTAACGGTTATACGGGATGTGGTGGGATCGATGGGATTGCTGCGGAACATGTGTACAAAGTCAAGTCAAATCGAACCAAATATCATCAAGTCAATGAATAATGGATAATGAAGAAAGTTTGGTCATCTTTGCCCGAGATTGTTCGGGCCGTCGCGATGCTTGAGAAAGATCGAACCAGATACCCTCCTTACGATGTGCTATCTATCAGGGCACCGTTACGAACTTGCCATCAATTCCAACTTCTTGCCCACTACGTATTGATTTTTGCAAGCGGCAACGATCGTCGCTCGCAAGAGAATCAACCTATTCGTGCCGCATCACTCTCGGATGGCTCAGAAGTTGGACCCAGAATGAAAGCTTACGGCAGCTGTTCAGCTTGACGCTGCTTTCAGCCTTCTTAAATGTCTGTCCAGAGGGAAAAAAAATGAGAGCAGATATAACGCTCTGTCTCTAAGCATCCCTATCGCGAACAGGTCTGTAGCTGACACGGCAAGGGTACAGTCGGTGCAACCCGTTCACACCTCTGCGCCCCATTCGACACCCCTATACTTTATGGAGTAGCGCAAGCACGTTCCATGGTTTCCAGATGGTACCCTCATCAAGTTCAGAAAGGGTGAGGACATGATGGGGGAATTGGCAGAGACAGAGTTAAAGGTCTACAGCATCTTGGGAAAAGGCCGCAACATTGTCTACAAGTGTCTGTCAGACCTTCCTGTTCTTGCGACACCTCCTCCTGGACCGTCTCCCTGCTGTCTGGCCAAACCAAGTCGAGCAACAAAACAACCCCGGATAGCGTGTACGTTCCCCTTCCTGTACAGAAGCAGGCTGGATAGCGGCGAGATAAAGCTTCAATGACGCTGGATCTCATTTCATTGTGATCGTTATTTCGGTTTCTGGCAGCATTGCAATCAGACGTGTGCAAGCTCATTGTCGGCTGCTTCTGATCGTATGCGCGCCTCCCTTGAGTGTACAGCCGACCTAAGAGAACCACCCACTACCTTTTCCTCCTCCACTCAGGCCTTCGTTGATCGTCCTGTGTACCGACATGATGTCTGAGATCGTTCGCAACCACGTCAGCGCTTGATCAATACCGATGGCGCTGCCCTTACGACTCACAATCGGTATAGCTCAAAGCGTCATTGTTTGAATCCTCCATAAGCATGTTGGCGAATTCGACTTCGGTGCCGTCCATGTTTTGACGGGCGATGATCACGGGGAGTTCGTGGTCCATCAGCCGGGCGTGATGAGCGAGGATGTTTCGAACCTGGGTCGAGAGATAGGTAGGGAGTCTGGGTAACGAGGTCTATCGGTCGGGTCGAATAAATGGTAATCAGTGCTTTGCAGGTGGGGCGTGAGATGATCAGCAGGATACGCACGATTCGGGTATCGATCTCGTCCAAGTTTTCTACGCCGTATAGGTCGTTGAGGATTTGAGGCGATACCGCCGCTCCCAGCCACAGGAATGCGATTTCACCATTGGCTATCATGAGGTAGACAGGTCAGCGGTCAAGCCAAGGCGCTTTGTCATAATCGAAGTTGCGAGCTCACTCAATATGTAGGCGCCATCCGCCGTCATCCAACCATGGCTACATCGAATATATGTCGGAAGCTCGAGTCGGCCATTGGGACCAGCATACCCGACTTTCTCCGGCAGGTCGTGTATAGCGAACATCCGTGGGTATAAGAACGCTGCTGTTGCCGGCAACGACATAGACCGCAGTGTTCGTAGGTAAAGAGCCCGGACGTCCGAAGCCACGTGACCACCTGATTGCGAGCGACGAGCTTAAGTATCCGGCGCAAACAAGTGAAGAGGCACATCGCGCTCACCTTTCAGAGCTTTACATTTGAGCATGCAAAGCGTGAATAGCGGCAAGAGCTTGAAGACCTCAGGCAGGATGAGCTGCAGAGATGCGAAGCGGTGAGTCCGTCGGGTCGCTGGAAGTCTTTCCTGCGGTAACGCTTACTTGACCCGAATTCTGTCCAGCTGCACAGTGTTTCCGGTAAGCGTGCAGTATGGATGCACACCTCTCAGTCAAGCCTCTTCGGACGTCCGGAAGATTCTTTGACAGTGCTTGAGTTACGGCTGTGAGGTTTTATCCGTCAGCCCGAACCGTTCTGTTTGTGTAAGCCAACCTTACGACCCACCCTCTTTCAGTAGCAGTACCACACTCGTGTCAAAGTCGGCAAACCGGAAGACATTTCCGATGTGATTTGTCACCGGCAAGTTCAAATTGAGGACTCGGACGCGTCGCTCGCCCCCCGCGCTCGTGTACAGCACGGCCACTTGAACATAGGACATCTGCTTGTCTTCTAGCTTGTTGTCGTACTTGAGTGTAGCACCGAACGATTGGAAGGTGTCCAGCGTGCCGAACTCCAGATCTGTCAGAGACCGTTGATAATAGTTGCCCGCATATGATGATACGCGTAGGTCTGAGAGTATGGCTTTTGGTTAGTATCACCACTGGAACATCGTTCCCGTGAAGAATCTTACTGTTCGAACACCGAACCCTCAGCGCAGTATTGTATACGACCTCTTGACCAACCACCCGTCGTAATTCTTCGTGCACCGCTTCTCGATCGCGGCCCGGATCGAATCGAGGATGGAAGTAGACATTACCAGCCGTATTACTCGCGAGAACACCTTCATCATGCGGCCCATGTTAGCTCGAGGGGGTATAAGCTAAATAATTTCTTCGAGACTCACCGACCGATCCAACATCGATGAACCGTTCGGGGAACAGCCACAGATTACACCCAATCCCAGCTTCCGCCAACTGATCCGCCGTATTCCGCCAAAACCCGTCCGCTGGTGAGAACAACGTCTTTTCCTTGTCGGTACCGTACATCAACGGGTCCTCTCGCGGTTTCAAGGTCCCCGGTCCGTAGTTTGGCAGCGAAGACAAGAACAACGATGCTTGTCCTCCACATCCGCCCTGCAAATGGTGATCTCGCTTGTCTTAGCAGCGTTAAAGCGCGGCGGAACAGCAAAGCACGCCAGCTTACCAATCCCGACAATAAAGCCTTGACAACGGCGCCGAGCGCAACCTCGCTACAAGGCGTCTCTGCATACATCCGCGGTATGAGGTCCAGCAACGATTCGATTTGTTTTCTACATTCGTTTGCAATATAACATGATCAATACGACCGTAATATTTGCTAACTCCTGACTCATTCAGACCTGCTCACCTTGATTGCACCGGGTCGACCAAAAATCCCCGATGTAGTGGTACAAACATGTCCTCCAGATCTGGCACGACCATCATCTGCGCCGACTCGAGCTCGGGCTGAGTTGTCATCAACAACCTTGTCAACTCGAGGTTTCTCCCTTTTACGGATCAAGTCATGCACGGACGACCTGGACTTACCGAGAGGTTGTAAAACTGTACTGCCCTATCGAACGTGACGATCCCCACTCGCCCTTCCGGGACTCTCCACGCATCCTCTTCCTGTTCCCCACCCTCATCCTCCCCGTTGGTATCTAGCGCCTGTTCCTTGCCCTTTCCATAAAGCGCCTCCTTGATCCCCTGGCAAACCTCCCTGACGACCCCGCCCTTGACGGCGCTCCAAGAGACGTCAATCGCAAAGACCCTCGCGATCGGGACGGGTCTTCTCATATTCTCATCGTCCGACGAAGAGGTGGGTTTCTTCTTGTTCCCCCCCTTGCCCGACGAAGGGCCCGAAGGGTTAGGGGTGTTACTCCCCGTCCCCGAATGAGAAGCTCCGCCTAGCCCTACGCCCAGAGCGTCCTTTGCGCCCGAAGCTTCAGCGGCGTTGTTCACGGCTTCATTGAGGGAAGCCAACAGGTCCCCGCTGACCGTCGACAGGCCGTTGCTCTCCAACAAAGAGGACGGGTTGGACGCCCAATACGCTTTGGGGACGGGATAGTCGACCGTGCCGTGAGTCAGTTCGGGGCGGGATTGGATGTCGAGTCGGGTTCCGTAAGAGTCTAGGTGTGACATGTAGTGGCTCGGTACTGTTTGCGCAGATAAAATCAGGATCCCATGTGAATTAGAGATTCGTTGAAATATGTTGAATTGACGATCCGCGACTCACCTGCGTTACCAGTATTACACAAATTACACATCCACTTGACCCCCCCATCGATCCATTTACACCACGGATTCACATACCCCCTACACTTCCCACACCTCGGTGGTCCCCCGGCATTCGGATCGTTATCCAGTTCTCCTTCCGCTCGAGCGACGTCCATAAACGTCGTCACAAAAGGGACGGGTTCTTCGTCGAACCGCGGGGTTGCGAACGGGTTGATAATGAGGCCGAGGGGTAGTTGAGACGTTTCCAGGAGAGAGGCTGTTGTTGGGATCTGTGTCAGGGAAGCGCGAATGTACCGGGGTAGGGAGTTGCCTGTATCATCATATTGTGAAAAGAGCCCGCAGGACACATGAGCCTCCATTTTTCATTAGAGCTAATTGATATTGACAACAGATCATACTGACCTTGATCGATCCCACGATAATCCGTCGAAGCCAGCGGAATGACCCCCCTGGTATTACAGCTCTGGAAATCCTCTATGTCCGACAAGTTCTGGTCCATCTCTGCTACCTCTATCGGACTGGGCACCTGCGTAGGGTCGATCCTGGGTTTAGGTCCCTTGAGGGAAGGACCGGCCGCATGAGGAGGTTGAGGGATATGGTTCGCTGGAGGTAAAGGCGAGTGGGTGGCCGAACGGTTGATCTCCCCAGCTTGGAGTTGGTTGTTGTCTCCTGCAGGGACGAAAGGTTGAGGAGCTGGTAGGAGATCATCATCCCAAACTCTGGTCTTCCTCTCCGCCACACCGTAGGCGTTTTGATGTTCAGCAGGAGGAGCTTGCTGTTGCAATGTCTGCCCATAACTGTGCTGTTGTTGCTGCTGCTGATGCTGGTCGTACTGCTGTTGAGCCTGATACCCGTGGAATGCGTCGGGAGCCGGTTGACCCTGGACGGTCGGGTCGACGGCGTAACGACGTCTATTCGACATGGTCGGACGTGGTAATGATACTAGTCTCCAGAGAAGTTCTGGAGAAAGCCGTAGAGAGAGCTATAGAGAGGGCGTGGAATTCGATTGAATCTATCGAGAGTTGACAGGTGGAACTTATGTGAGTTTGGTCTGTCCCCCTTCGCCGCGTCATCCACCACAAGTCGCGCACTGACCGGCCCTGGGCGAAAAGAAAGTTGGGCTTAGAGGGTCAACAGGATGTCTAGACATCTATTCGATACACCATGACCTCGAGGTCTGATCGTTTGGCGAATTAGTGTAGAACCATGTCTACCTGTCATCCTGCCTCCTTGACGAAGCATCTACCTCTGATCCACCACCCTCTGCCTCGACAATGCCTCCCGCCCGGAGCCGAGCAGGACGAGTCCATCCTTCGTCTCAAACAAATCTCCTCGAGCACGAACGATGACAATCAGGCAAAGGGAGCCGCTTCTACGGGGACCACGGGGACGACACTTTGGCTAGGAGGACAGCTGATGGGATGTTACATCGCCGAGACCTTACCTACCGGTTCGGTCGTAATGGAGGACGGTCGACGGAGACCTAAACGGGTGTTGGAACTTGGGGGTGGGATAGGTTTCCTCTCGTAAGCCTAGTCATTGATATAGATCGTCTTTGGCTCAGGACGAAACATTGATATTGTGGTGTCTGGGTCTCCCAGATTTTCCTCTTTGCCATGACCACAGCCTCGTCCTATCTTCACTAGGTTATTCGGTGACTACCACCGACATCTCCCCAAGCTTCGAATCCGTCCTCTTACCAAACATCGAGAGCAACACGAGGAACCGTTCAGGCTGGGAATGGGGACCGATCAGGGGTAGGAAGCTGGACTGGTTTGATTTTGTCGATGATGGAACTGGAATCGATGCGGGGTCCGCGAAGGCTCGGGAGTGGATGCGAGCCGAGAAGGAAGAGCCTGCCCGAATTGCAATCACGTCCACAACACCAACAAACGCAACACCGGACCAAATCCGAGATCTCGATTACGACTACGACTACATAATCACAACGGACACTCTCTACTCCCCACCCTTAACCCTCCCCCTCCTCTCCACCCTCCGATCATTCTCCCTCGCCTGCGCCTCCCCTCCACCTATCCTCGTCGCCCTAGAGACCCGGGACCCGCTCCTCATCGCCTCTGCCTTGAACCAGGCTAAAGAGATGGGATTCTCTTGCAAGAAGATCGCTGGTGGACGGGTGGAGAAGGCTTTGGCCAAGAGCGGGTGGGGCTGGGATAAAGGGGATCGGAGGGATTGGGAGGGGATCGAGGTTTGGAGGTGGAAGTATGTCGGAGCTGAGGTCGACAAAGACTGAGCAGCTGGAATGAAGGTGGGTCGGGATGGATTGCACAGTCTTTGGCGGGGAGGATCAGCTGAAATCGATCCGTTACGGAATCAGACCATCCTCTCGAGAATTGCAGCTGGACGATACGATGCGATATGAACGTTTGACCATGATGCAAGACGACAAGTTCGTTACGATGATCGATTCACATTTTACTTTCACTTGAGGGTGGTTCCTTCTTTTCGGCTCTGCGGCCTTGTACTCTGATTCATAGCTAGCTTAGTGATCGCATTCCATCACGAGCAGGTGGTACACCCGTTGACGCTACGAGGCGAACAGACGATCAGGTCAGAAAAGTTTCGAACAGCTTTTGTGATTCCCAGGGTCGTTAGAACTCACTCGGTAGCGGTAAAGGTGACCTTGTTGGTAGAACCTTGCCCAAGTTGACCTCCGGCGATGATGGCGATATCCTTGGGGTTGAAACCGACGTCCAGGTATCTCGTGTAAGCGGCGGGCGAGTTGGTCTTGAGCACGGTCCAAGGTCCTTCTCCGTTCTTGCGGTTGATGTACAGCTCGGCGTTGCTGGCGGCGCTGACGACGATCGTACCATTGGCACCTCCCACCGAGGTCCAGATGTTGCTGGGCGATCCCTTGGGTACGTACCCATCGGTCGTCTTGACCGGTCGCCCCTGAACGCTGTCGAACGCCAACGGGTTTTTGGAGATCTTGTAGTACACGGGGAACTGGTAATCGCTGTAATCGGGACCACCGCCGTATTCGTAGGTCATCATGTAAGAACCGGTAGGGAGTTTGTGGACGATGGGCATTCCAGGTCGAGCGGTGTAGGTAGGGTATCGGACGTCGTTGACGACGGCGCCCCAGTTCTTGCCGTCGGAGGTGACCTGGTGGACCATCTTTTGACCATAGGCGGGGTCTCGCTGCAAGAAAGAACACAGCATCAGCCTCTTTTCACATGGGAGGGAAGTTACACCGAAACTGGCTTACCTGGTCGCTGTAGTAGCAGACGAGCTGTCCATTGTACATCATGAGGAAAGGCTCCCAGACGGGGGTCTCGCCGTTGTTGGGGAGCTGTAGATCGAAAGAATACGATTGTGAGCTCTTGACATCGATCAGAATTTAGCGGACCAAGCTTACAGCAACTCCACCGTTGGCGATGTGGGAGACGAAAGTCCAAGTCACACTGAGGCGGAGAAGAGTATTGTTCAGTAAGTCATACTTTTGAATCGCCATTTCGCAATGCACGACTCACCCTCGGTCCTTGCTAGCATAAAGGTCGAGTTGCGTCTTGCTCAAATCCTTGGGGATCGAATTTCCAGCGATCAAGATCGTTCCCTTCGGGAACCCGGCGAAATCGACCTCGAGCTCGTACAGGTGAGGTTGGTACCTCAGTCCCCATCCGTTAACGGTATCTTGGACCCGGGAGATTTCCTTCCAGGTGAACCCGTGGTCGGTGGATCGGTAGATCGGGAAGTAAGGCTTGTCAGGGGTGTAGTTCTCCCAAGTGGCTAGGAGTACGCCATTGTCCTGCGTGGTCCCATCTCGTCAGCAGTGCGATCAGACGATAGACACAACAAGACTGCCCCAGCTTACAGAAGCCTGAGTTTTGAGCATCAACTGACGACCGTACAAGGTCCTCTCGTTCGTATAAGTGGAAGGCGGGGTGTAGATGGTGACCGGTCCAAAGTCCCGCTTGGCCAGAGGCGAAGCGAGACAAGGGAAGCCCATCAAGAGGGCGGCAGAGATGAGACCGAAGAGCTTCATCGTGATTCCAATGCGAGATCTGCTCTGGATGATGAGTGTTGGATAGAAAATTCGCCTTGCCGTCGAGATTTTGGATAGTTGCCTCTCACATCTTGCTATAAGTACTTCTAGCATTCCGGAAAGATCGAGCATGATACCCGAAGGAGGTCAACCCCGGACCGTCTCGGTCTAAAGACGGATGATACCCCTCGAATCGAGGTCATCGAGGTAGGGGAGCCCCAAGGAGAATATGGAGAACATGTCCAGGGGCCAGGAGGAATTGATTGGAGCTAATGAAGAGATCCAGCCCGAATATCCTCCACAGGTTCACGACACGGGGACGGTGGCGTTCAGATGATCGCGCTAGATGGAACGCGGATTAGATTCCGTCGATCTGATACCGAGCGCGCTAGAAATGCTAGAAACCGGGTCATATGGATCATATGGTTGCGATGATCTATTTCCAACAAACAGCTTGGGAACGGAAACGAGAATCATCCTGAAACTGTCCGAACAGGAACTGAACACGCGAACCCGGTATGGTCGTCTTGGTCGAGAAGTCACCTGGCACGTCGAATCATTTTTTCCTGGCTAACACGGAAACACTTCACTCGAAGACGACAATTGCGTTCACCAAGATCTCTCGGATGCCTCCTGACGCGCCGTGGAGAGATTGTTGTGAAATCGCAACGCTAGATCTTACCGGCACAACATAGATCGAGTACACGAATCCGCAAAGTTTTAATTGCACTTGCGTTATGAACATGCTCGAAAAGCCAGGCAGAACGCAACAAGCGATCTGTGATCTCCTCCAGGAATGGTGATTAAACAGCTTTCGCATTTCTTTCAACGACGATCTCATGTTGATGTCCGTTGTATCGTGTCCTGTGGGTTTTCAGATGATCTCGAATTTGATTGGCATCGAAGAATACTACAAATTGATATCACCCTGCCAAGGAATAAATCCTCCAGTTCGCTGATCGACCCACCCCCGATTACACTCATCGCCGTGCTCAGCCGATATGCATCATCGCAAGCGATAGCGACGCGATTTCACCACGGCCAATCAGGTGCCAGACAAGCTGGTTCACAAAGGAGGTTAGTTGGTCCAGTCATGTATATACAATGGGCTGCGAGGATGACCAGGGCGATATACCTAGTCCGAGACCTCTACGATACTAGACACTCCTATTGTATCCCTTTAACCACTACTTCTATCTTCATCAGGACATTCACGCAGGGATGTATCGACCTGTCTCCCTAGCCCAGTCCTTCACCGGTTCTACTGCTTTCAGTCACACCGACAAACCGTCGGTGAACACGGTTCGTTCCATTCAGCTACGCTCTTCCACCTATTGTCAAGCTTACCTTTCCCCACGATGTCTCCGTCTTACATCTATCATACAGCTTTCTGATCGGCAGGACACACAGAGTCACAGCATTCAAGCGGATAGCCGAGCTTCAACAAGGCTGACGGCGCCACCGCGAGCCGATGACTTCGCTGAGAGATACAAAAGACTGAAATACCAAATTCAGCAGGAGGCAGTTGATTGGCCGGAACTCCGAAAGCAAAGCATCGAGGTGCTCGAAACAGTTGATGCAAACCCCCGCGGCAACGAAACTTACACCGAAGCCTTCACTGTCCTATATTCGCAGTACCTAGAGAATACCAGGACAGCCAATGAAATTCAACGAACGGGTTCTTCAGCCATATTGTTGTGGCTGTAGAGGATTCCGAATCTTCTGTCCGGTGTTCCGCTGAGACCGCATACAAAAGAGCACGGTCGACGCTGCGTATCTTGAGGAAACAATCGTCTCCGACTGAACAAAGGCAGTTAGCGCGACTCTGCAAGTTGTACTGCCGTTTGGACGATCTATTCTCCCGTAAGCAAGTTCATGCCAGTACTACCAGTACAAGTTCGATATGATGATGATCTATATTCAAGCAACTATGATGACCCGAGAGACCGCCTAGTGAATTTGGTGTGGACTTCAAGAAGACTTGCCCAATCAAGCAGTTCGTGTCAGCGATGGGTGTATAAATCGATGTAAACATTGCGCGTCAGGCCTGTCCGGAACGTAGAGAACCTATTACCTTCAAATCAGTTATGTATCTCCCATATGCACGAACTATCGCAGGGCTGATGCCAATCAAAAAGCAACAGGTTTGAGCCATTAGAGACGAGGAACACGTATTCTGCACAATCGTATTAGCTTCCTGCGCGGGTCAGCCGAATCTGCATGGCAAAAGGGTTTCACCTAAGCTGTAGTCCTTGACGCTCGTACCCTCGAATTTTATCGCGGATGTAACGATTGAACCGTATGAGATTGATCCTTACTATAGTAGGAGTGGTCTGTCCGACTAAGCAGAGCGGGAGTCAGCAGACTTTCGGCGAACATCAGATCGCTAGGAAGCTATCTCAAGACTAGGTCAAGATGCCCCGCTAGTCAAGAGACACTCTGAGAAGCTTCACAAAGGATGTCATCAGCCAATAATGCAGTAGGCCCTAGTCATGGGGGCAATCCTGCCTCGAGATAACCTCGACAAAGGAAGCCGCGAATAGGAATCTAGTATATATAGCGATTGCCTGTACAAGAGAGAAAAGGCGATTGGACATCGTGGCTTGTCCTTACAGTCAACAAACCCCTTTGAGACCTTCTATCCCTTTCCCTCGACAGACTTGATGATGCGTCAAGAATCGAACACCTGGAGAGAGGTCACCGACCGTTCAATTAGCTTCGCCCCATCGTCGAAATCATCCGTTATTTACACTCCCCCTCCATCGGTGAAGTCAAACTCTAACGCCAGCGATGCGCCGCCTTCGACCGCAGCTGTGAGGTCGTACCATGAGAGGATCAAAGCAATCGTGGAGCAGGCCGACCGTTACGACGCGATTCCATACCCCAAGGCAAAGTTTGCATGCTCCAACTTGTGGAACGAGTTCAAGCGGGAGCACATAGAGAATTTGGGAAACGGGTCTGGGACGGGCTCACCGTTCACGTACTTTCCAGCAGTCGATAATGCGTTCTGGATCATGCTGACTTACCTGATGTGCGAGAGTCGATACGATTTTCAACTTGAAGCGAATATCTACTGCTCCGAAATCAACTCGCAAAAGACCAATTCCAAGGACCGCTACGCGCATCTCCTCGACAAGGCTCGTAAACGTGCACCCATCGACAACGCCGTCCTATCAGCCGTTCTGAAGATTCTGCACGACGAGGAATGGAGAGAGATGTATCACGGAAAATAGAAGGACTTGGCAGAGTAAAATGACTTCAGCAAGTAGACTGGATGTGAGAAGGAACAGGCAGACAGGAAGTGAGGATAGAATACGGATGAGCGGATGGTACAAAGTATCCCGATATTTCTAGTCGTTTCGTTTGTGCGTATGATCTGTTCAAGCTTTGTATTTTTGGCGTGTACATATGTCCAGATGTCCGAACTTTAGCTCGAATTAAACCACGAAGAAAAGCTTCTAATCCTGCTTAGTTCTCAGGAATCTTTGCTTGCGCACACGATGGGTTCTCTGAATTCTCTTCCGACGAGAACCCTCACAAAGGAAAGTACTTGCGGCGTAAGAAAGCGAGAGTAATATTATAAGTACCGCTGACACGAGGAGTGATAAGTATGTGCTTTTCAGAGACGCTGCAGCAGCATGCAGCGCTTTGACCCCAACGTCACATTATTTTGATTGACTTTCAGATGTCGCTATCCGAGCAATCCGCTGACCTTGCTAGTCATCTGAGTCCAGAAGACGGGCCATCCGCTGCTCGACCCTCGCTTCCAGGTGATGGGAACCAGCCGTCAGAATGCTCAGATAGCAGAAATCCGCCTTCGACGAGATCTGATTCTAGAAACACTCTTTCCACATCCTATAGGAAGCTGCCTCGTACATACCATCGACGTATAGAGGCGGTGTTGGCAAGAGCCTTTGTATGCACCCCATACGAGTATCTTTACGCCAGAAGATCGTGTTTGGACCTTTTCGACGAGTTTCACCAGGAGTATCGGGAGAGAACGGCGAAAGAGGACAAACCAAGTTCTTTGTTTACGGTCCTCCCCAAGGTAGAAGGTCAAGTATGGGTCCTAGTCCATTATCTTGTTTGCGATACTTTCGATGAATTCCAAGAGCAAGCCCGTACCTCTCTCGGTGGCCGATCAAAAGACAGGAGCGACCCGAGACACCGCTATCGATCCCTGCTTGGAAGGGCTAGAAACGACGAAAGGTTCGAGGACGCTGTTCTTTCGGCTGTGCTGAAGATAGTTTTTGAGGAGGAGGAAGCTGCTGCAGCGGTCTGTATATGACAGGGACAGCAAGTGTAGCCCGCTACCTCTACTTGAAATGAAGACATGATCGAGGCTTGATTACATCGTTATCGCATGAAACATGTTCTTTCGAAACCACTTTTGTCCAATATCGAACGTAGACGGCTGCTCACATTGGTCGTAGCTCGGAATCAGGGTTTGACCATGACAGCTCACAAGTGACTGGATTGCCATAAATAGCAATTTTGCATGATCACGAGTCCACCTTCAGACTCCTCAGAAGGATAGACAAAGGAATGGCCCCTTTCGTCATCTCAGAGAAGAGAGAGAAGAGATACATATATAGCCCATTTTCTGATTCTGCAAAGGGAAGACCAGGCATATACCGGATAGCGTTCTTTTAGAACCAGTATTACTAGCCGCGTCAGATTGGTTCGTCACATTGTATTAAGCCCATCTAATCATCAAGGATCAGATCCGATGGCGGATAGTCTTTCGCAAAACCTTGCGCCGCTCACGCTTGACAACGTACGCCTCCATCGTCTCGTTCGCTCCATCATTGACGAGTAGAGCTGATTCTGGTGTTCTGCTTGCGTGCACGTCTGTTGGACTCTAAGCCTCCTGCCTCTTCCATGGTAGACTCCGTGGCCCCCAGCGCTGACACAAATCAATCGACAGCGAAGTCCGACGGTACTTCAGCCAACTCGAGCGGAGGACGCAGTTCGGCTTACGTGCACGACGGAGCATCCACCGGCATAGAAGAAAGCGAAGAGAGCGAATTGATCAGACTTGGAACACAGCGGCATCAGTACGATCTCAAATTGAGGGGCAAGTTCGACGCACAAATGGAACAGGCGGGAGGTGGCGACATCCGAAAGCAGGTCCTGTCATTCGACCGAGAGAGACCCAAGTTCATGAAGCTCTTCAAAGAGTTTGAATCGAACTTGATCCGCAGGGTGAAGGGGGATGTTTGGGACGACAACGAGAAAGCGAAGGAAATCGATGAATTCGTGGAATTTGTCGAGACCTCTGAAGAAGGAGACATAGACGAAATCTTCTGGTACGCCTTCATGTATCTCCATCACGATACGGTGGAGGGGTTTAAACAGTTCCAAAAGACTCTGGAGGATTTCCCAGGAGGCTTGGAAATCGCCCGCCGTATTTCAATTCGTTGGGCTCATGGGAATAAGGGAGACCGTTGGCTTTGGACGTTGAAGGAGTTTCACATCATGCTCGATAGTACTCGGGAGGATCTGTACGAGGCATACTCAGCGTCCGATGCAGAGCTCGAAAAATTGTAAAGTCGTCGTCGTCATCGTCGTCCGAAGAGGGTCCGAGTAGCCCGTCTTTGTCTCGAGTTGTTCGAATATATGTCCCATTACAGCTAGCACTCGTATCTCAGATAGATCTTGAGATCATCGTCCCACCTCCATCGCCGGTACATTCTCAAGCCGGTGCGCGCTCTCAGTTCTGCATGTGAGGGTTCCGAGCAATGACAGCCTTCTAAGGGCTGAGGATGATGTACTATGTACGGTCGCAGGGTCGCCGGAATGGCTTTGTTGATCATTCCTTGTTGGTACTACCCGACTGATCATCAAACTCTGATCTGGTCATCTCTGATCAGGCGAATCAGGTGAAACACCAATCCACCGAAACTATAATCTCGGCGGACCATTATCGGATGATTTCCCACCGCCGTCGGCTATTCCGGAGATTTGTTCGGTCTAATTCCGACCGAACGAGCTGGCGATGGCTGCATCTCCATCTTCTTGTTTTTGTACAAACGGATGACTTTGAACAACTTCATACCTCTCGCTCTTCTTAGCTTCTCAATCTTCTCATCGTCTTGCTATTTCTCTCTCCATCGACACTCTACGAAACAGTAAAACGAAAAACATGTCTCTTTCTGGCAAGACCGATAACCCCAGCTTCGTCCTCCGAGGCATCCACGACACCGTGTACGAGGACGTGAGTTGTTTGCCCCGGAGGTCAATCAAAGTCGTAATGTCGTATTGACTGATTTTCCGTATGCTTGTTCGTTTCTCAGAGGCCTATTCCTGAGCTCGGACCCAAGGACGTTTTGATCGAGGTCAAGAAGACCGGTATCTGTGCGTCTCTCCCTATGAACATACCCCACCTGTGGTCATGCTAACGAGTCGACCCCTATTCCACTTTATTGATCTGCAGGCGGAAGTGATGTTCACTGTGAGTTGTTTTCGTTTCGAGCTCATTTTGCGGCTTGAAATTGATTGGACATGATCGCTACCGTTCTGCAGACTTGTGTCACGGCCGAATCGGCAACTTTGTCTTGGACAAGGTGAGCTTGTTGTCCCCGCTCTGATGCAAAGCAACAATCCCAGAAGTTGAGTTTTTCCTGATACGATGTCATTGTTGGTTCTCGCAGCCCATGTGTCTCGGCCACGAATCCGCCGGATACGTTCATTCCGGTAAGTCCTCCCCCCTCGCTTCCTCTCTTTGAACCCAGCTACATCTATTCGAGATGATCGAAAGCTGACAATATGAAACAATTAATCACAATTTCGTTATCCTCCAGTCGGCTCGGAGGTGACCACTCATAAGAAGGGAGACGCTGTGGCCCTGGAGCCTGGTGCGACTTGTATGCGATGCGAGTACTGCAAGGGCGGAAAGTACAACGTGAGTTTCGGCGCGAAGCCAACATCCAGAACCCCCCAAATGTGAGACCATTTCTAACACGTAAATACGTCTCATATCTCCCCGCTCCGCTAGCTCTGCCCGGATGTCATCTTCGCCGCCACCCCTCCCTTCACCCTAGGAACACTCTGTCGATACTACAAGCTCCCTCACGAGCTCGTCTACACCCTCCCGGACACCTGTACCTTGGAAGACGGAGCCATGATCGAGCCCCTTGCCGTGGGCATCCACTCGGTTGCCAAGCTTGGAAAGTTCCAGACTGGTCAGAACATCGTAGTCTTCGGAGCTGGGCCCGTAGGGTTGCTCTGTATGGCTGTTGCCAAGGCTTTGGGCGCAAAGAGGATTATCGCTGTTGGTTAGTCTAGGCATAGGATGGAATGAGAAAACACTTCAAGGCAGGGCTGAGCTGATAGGTTTACCATCGTAGACATCAACGCCGAGCGATTGGCTTTCGCCAAGTCTTACGTCGCTACCGACATCTTCCAGCCTGTAAGTCATAGTCTAGGTTCAATCTGACCAGCGAAACTGACGTTCCCATACCCTTTCTTGCTCTCCAACTTCGCAGCCCCCTCCTAATCCCAACGAAGCCCGACCCGACTTTTCCAAGCGAGCCGCCGATGCCATGATGTCCGAGCTCCACATCGAGACCCGAGGATGGGACGCCATCGACCTCGTCATCGAAGCGACCGGTGCCGAGCCCTGTGTGCAGATGGGATTGCACTTGGTCAAGCCCGCCGGAACGTTTGTGCAAGTAGGTATGGGAGCGCCCAACTTGGTCATCCCCATGTACCTTGTTGCTGGAAAGGAGTTGGGAGTGTTCGGATCCTTCCGGTGAGTCCAATTAAATTGCTCGTGAAACGCAAATATACTACGCAAAGCTGACATGATCATCACGTCATGATTTTTCAGATACGGACCCGGAGACTACCCTATGGCCATCTCCCTCGTCGCCCGAGGGTTGATCGACCTGAAACCCTTGGTCACCCATCGATTTAAGTTCGAAGAGGCCGTCAAGGCGTTTGGCGTCACTCAGAACGGAAAGGATGAGGATGGCAAGGTGAGTTCTCTTTCCTCCTGGGCGGCGGCAATTGATATGACCAGGACGTCCGGCTGACAACCTCTCCGTCTGATCTCCAGTCCGCCATCAAGTGCATCATCGACGGACCCGAGTAGACGGATCTCCGATTCAGCATAACAGTACAGGCTTCCAGGATGAGTGTATGAGCGATGGGATTGTAAAACATGGTTTGGGGCTTCGCAGTAATATTGGATACATTTAGCATTGCCGACAGGCTGATCCTGGATCATTGCGCGCGAGTTGATGTCAATACTTCTTTCCTGTTGAGTCTTGTGAATCGCATTTGTTAGGCATCGACTTTGATACTTTGCTCTGGCCACGAGTTGCGCTTGGGGCACTCATGGCTAAACAAGGATCTTCTTGATACAGCATCAATCTAGTCCTAAAGCATCTCACAGCTGTGTATCTGGGACTTGGTAGGGGATACTTGTCGGCACTGCAGCCTGTTACCGCATATGTTTCAGATATGATAGACAAGGATTCACCGTACCAAATCTGGAACAAGAAAGAGGGATTCGAGAAGGAAGTTAAGAGATCCGCAACACATGAGGTCAATGGGGAAGTGCTTGATTAAAGCAGTAACAAGGTTGTTCGCCGTAACAGGGATTTGTGATCAGGGTACAGCGACTTCTGCCGTAGCCAAAATGGGGACTGGCGGGGCAGAAGTCCGCCGGTCTGACGATACGACTGCTGAAGCCAAGCAAGCGCCTCCTCCTTCTTCAAATGGAAAAGAAACCTGTCTGTCCATGAGTCCGTTCTCAAGAGAGAGTCTCGAGAGGAGTCCCTGGCGACAGACCTGAAAAGCGTCTGCATGCATCAGGAGATTGAGCTTATTCATGTGTTTGTTCCTGCATTCTTGTTCATATACGGGATACATTTCTGGCCGACCCCCAAGTTGAAGTTCGCTCTGATGACCTGTCCGTCTTCTTAAACCGCACTCTGCCTTACGCCTGCTACCCGGTCGACGAGCTGCGAAAAGGGAAACTTAGTGAGCTAAAAAGTCCTCGCCGGCAGACCAGGAAGTCAGGGTGTCGATTTTCGTGCGAATAGACTTACCCCTCGGATGTATGGCAAGGAGAGGAAAGTGCCGATAAAAGGTAGTTGACGCAAGAAATTTAGAATGACGGGGAAGAAGTCGCTGTGTACCGGATATGACATGCAGAAATAGTCACGCGATCAGTAGAGGATTTTGGTGCAAGGAATCACTGGCCAAAAGAGACTAACCCGAATAGACCCATGAACCCAACGGCTTCTACGAGTACTCCAATGATAGGGTATTTGAGGAAGACCAAGACCCTGAATTGAATGTGAACGAAATTCGTCAGCATCTCAAATATTCGCCATCAACCGGTTTCCTCAAGCTTACACCCCACCGAAGAAACAGACCGTCCCCCTGAGCTTCTGTTTCCGGCTGAAGAAGTAAAAGGTCTTGGTCGGTCCGATAATCAGCGGGAGTCCGGCGATGAAGAGGATCTATGATCGGTCGGGGACGTGGAATGTTCAGCTCAAGCTCGATTGTAGGTTCCATGTCGTCAGAGAGTTCGGAAACTTACGTTGCCCAGAGCAAGGAGAGCTCCGTCGAAGAAGAGCATGACCCCTAGAAATCCAAAGGTTCAATATTCTGAGTCGAGTGGAACATCGGATGATCTGGAATTCTCACCTAGGAACATGAAGAACATGCCGAAAGACACGAGGGCAATTCCGATCTCTGTTCATCGGGGACCAGCGTAAGCTATCCCTCGCGGCCGACTTCAAAACGGGATTCGACTGACTCTGCGCATCTGTGAGCCACATCTTGAGATTATAGTTGACTGAGGTAGATGATGGGGCTCGAGGACGTGGCCGAGTTGACAAGCTAAAGAAGTTGTCGAGCTGAACACACCTTGAATTCAACCTTGAAGACAGCGAGCGCCCCGATGCACAAGATATGCGTTTTCGAGGTTGAAAGGGGAGGTAGTCGATGACGTGTTTATGCGTTTTGCGTGTCAAGAGCGATTTGACGGGCAGCGGGCAGGCTCATCAGAGTTTCAACGACAAAATGTGCATCTTTGATCTTTGAGCTTTGACGGGCATCTACAACTAGATCATCGCTTCATTATCACCACTAAATCTTGAGCATTTCATCATCATGTCAGCCGCCGCCGGACCCTCAACCAAACCCGTGACCGTAGTCTACTGCAATGTCTGTTCGTTGCCCGCCGAGTACTGCGAGTTCGGGAGCAGCATCTCGAAATGCAAGACCTGGCTAGAAGAGCAGGATCCTCAGCTATTCGCCAAGCTATACGGAGAAGGTAAGCATCTTTCCCCACGTTCTTTTAAAGCGCCAGGTGACAAATCGATACTTATTGTGTACCCATCATGACCCTTTCGTAAAGACGCCATCAAGGAGAAGATCGGCACGCTATCGCTCAGCGCACAAGAAAAGCTAGAAGCCGAGGCTGACAAGGCCGAGCGAAAGGCTGAAAAGAGAGCAGAAACCGAGAAGAAGAAGAAGGCTGTCAGTAGCCACCATCCCTTTCGAGCTACCTTGCGCATATCTGACCTTCATTTTTGTCCACATTCGACTATAACAGGCCGCCAAGGTCACCATCAAACGAGAAGCCCGAACAAAGCGAAAGACGTTGACGTGTATTCATAACCTGGAAGCTTTCGGTATCGACTTGAAGAAGGCGGCCAAGTTTTTCGCTCAGCGTTTCGCAACGGGGTCAAGCGTGAGCAAGAACCCTCAAGGGCAGGACGAGATTGTCATTCAGGGTGATGTTTGGGAAGAGGTGGTGAGTGTCGACTGTCATCTTCGATGCCGATAGCAGCTGGTCTGGCGTTCTACACAACGGCATGACTTGACTTGACCTTGTATATGTGAGGCTAACCCTTCGTTTGCTTTTATGTCTCTTAGCGAGACTTGCTGATAGAACAAGCTGGGCCCCTAAAGGGAGTTCCATCGGATCAGATCGTCAAGGTGCGTTCTCGACTACGACCGGCTCATCGGAGATATTTTGCTGATCATAAATCGGGATTATAGGCGGAGGACAAGAAGAAGAAGTCCGAAGAATAAAGCAGAAAATGTGGTCCGCATGTCTGGCTCGAAACGATGATTCGTACGCTATGCGGGCGACGCGATCGCTCGAAAAGCAAGAAGATTGTTTTTACTGGAACGTTCATCTAATGCAATCTATCGGGATGACCCCTCCAATCGCTTTCAAGGCATCTTTTCAATTCGCTCAGCCCGATAGCTCTACGGCTCGTTCGTGATCGATACATCAGAAGGCAGCGTCTCGCCCGGTAAATCAATCTGCAAGGTGGCAGCCCCATCGAAGGGCTTGCCCTTTTCGTCACGTGATCAGTGAGCCATACGTCAATCGATTTGAAGCCGTGAAGACCGGTCCGTATATCCGTATTGAACGTTACAATGTGCACCGCCACTGATTCTCCACACCCAAGTTGATCAACGTCAAGTGACCAGAATCTTCACTCGTTCACGAAAACAGCAAGGGTTGCACAAGGGAATGTGTCTCGGTTTTCAAAATCGCCAGAATGATCGCACCATTCAACGCCGATCTCACCGAATTTCCACGCTAAAGACCTGTAAAGACCCCGGATGAAGCGGCCCACACGAGAATCCGTGCGCTAGGGGCCCCATCTTGCCCCATCTTGCCGGGCATATTCGATTCGAAAGTTTCCAAAGAAGGGACTTGTTGAATTTCGGACGGGCTACCGGTCCGGGGTAAGGTGGTTGAGGTCTGAAGTTCAGCCACAGGTTCTGTCGATCGAGACCTGCTGGACGTCTATATAAGGGCGCGCGCAAACGAGGTCTATCGAAGAACTTGACGATGTAGCTGAAGTATTCACCCCAAGTCAACCAAACATGTGGAGCTCAACACCCGCTCGCGCGGCTTACATACTCTTGCAACTGGCTCTCTGCAAGTTTCAGGTTGCAGAGGCCAACAATGACGGCAAAGCAACCAACAGCGACAACCTTTGCGTGGAGACCGACGGCTCTGGATCCGGCTTCTTGCTCGCGTCGCCGGACTCCACGACCACGATATACACCGACCCCGCTTCTCCCGCTGCCATTCACCATGTAGCGGCCTCATTCGCCCACGATCTACAATGTGTCGTCAAGGGGGCCAATGTCAATGTGAAGAACGTCAGTTCGATCGACGAACTTGGGTCTTCGGACGGCAGCAATTGTATCTTCTTTGGCGCGTTGGACAGTGGCAACCTGATCAGCCAGGTCGTCAATGCTACCAACATTGATGTTAGCGCCACTCGAGGACAGTGGGAGAGCTGGACTATTCAGCAAGGACAGCTGGCTCAAGCTGGAGGTCAAAATGTAACCGTGATGGCTGGTGCCGATAGGGTAGGTCGTGAAAAGGCGACGTTTCGCTTAGCTCTTGACCTCTGGCTAAAACCTCTTGGTTTCAATTTTCCCCTGTTGCAGCGAGGAGCAGCCTATGCAGCCTATACAGTCTCCGAAGAGAGTGGTGTTTCTCCTTGGTACTGGTGAGTCTTGACGTTCTGCTTGTCTTTCGCAGGCCCGAGCCTGATCATCCATTTCTGCAGGTGGGCCGATGTTCCCATAGTCACTCATTCGAGTCTGCAACTCAAGTCATGCTCCCACGGGTCTCCCGTGGTCCAGTACCGAGCCTTCTTCCTCAACGACGAGCAACCGGGTCTTACCCAGTGGGCAAACAAACACTTCAATTCGGGGCCTAATGACCCCCTTGGACAAAGTTTCTTGCCGTCGATGTACGGGAAGCTATTCGAGTTGATTCTGCGATTGAAGGCGAACATGCTCTGGCCCGCTATGGTCAGTGTTCCGAGGACCGAGTCTCTTCAACATTCCTGACTGACCACGGACCTTTTCCTTTCGTAGTGGGCGGACATGTTCGCTGTAGCTGGGCTGGACGGTCTGCCTAACAACGGCACCAATGGTATAGGGGCAGCTGGACCCAACCAGGTCTTGGCTGATGCTATGGGTATCGTCGTAAGTGTTGTCGCGCGCATCTATGGATTGTTCTGGACATTGGTTCACCCATTTTGTTACATCTGTTTCTGTCTTAGTACTCAACTTCTCACCAGGAGCCGATGGCTCGTAATACCCCAGAATGGTCGAAATACGGCAAAGGTGAATGGAACTACACCGTCAACGAGGAATTCCTCGACACCTTTTGGAAATACGGCGCGGAACGTGCCAAGGACTATGAGACCCTCTTTACAGTAGGAATGCGAGGAGACGGAGATCTTCCGCTTCCAGGAGCCAGCATTGAACGTCTGGAGAAGATCATGACCGATCAGCGTTCCATCATCTCGGAGGCGCACGGAGGGATCGCTGCGGAGAAGGTTCCTCAGGTCTTTGCCCTCTACAAAGAGGTTCAAGGATACTATGACACCGACGGCATGACAGTCCCGGACGACGTTACCTTGTTGTGGTCTGACGACAATTGGGGAAACATCCGAAGAGTTGGGCTCGCTAACGAGACTTCGCGAAGCGGAGGTGCTGCGCAATACTATCACTTAGGTACGAAGACTTAGACGTATATGAGACAGTCCGAACTTCTTGACTGACTTGATTAGTGTTACAGACTATGTCGGTGACCCTCGAAGCTACAAGTCAGTGCTACAACATGGCCTGTATCTCTGTATAACTTTCTGACTTGAGTTCGCTTGATTGATTTCGAATTATTTTCAGATGGGTTTCTACGATCTCGTTCATCAAGATGTGGGAGCAGCTGAACACTGCACAGAACATGGGCACCGATCGCATGTTGATCCTCAACGTCGGTGATCTCAAGCCTATCGAAGTCGCCACCACCCTCGGACTGTCCTTGGCTTATGAGGGTACCAAGTCCCTCGCGCCTACCAATGGGTCGGTCACTGGCGTATCCGCTTGGGTGCAGAAGTGGGCTCGTCGTACATTCCCCACTCTCGACGCCGCCAAGGTCGCCCACGTTGTCGAAGGCTACAACGCTCTGAACGCCAAGATCAAGCCGGAACTGGTCAACGCTTCCAGCTGGTCCCTCATCCAGTTTGATGAAGCTGAACGAGTCGAAGCCGAATGGCAGACGATCGTGGATATGGTCAACGACCTTCAAACTTCCGTTGGGGACGATCTCTACCCGGCCTTTTACCAATTGGTAGCTTACCCAGCTTTGGCGTCTGCCAACCTGAACCAACTCTACCTCGCCGTTGGCCGTTCCGTGTTGTATGCGAGCCAGGCGAGGACATCCGCCAACCTGTGGGCGGACAAGGCCAACGAGTATTTCGCCAAGGACGAAGCGCTCTCTGCTGGGTACCATCAATTGCTCGATTACAAGTGGGACGGTATGATGAGTCAGACGCACATCGGTTATCAATACTGGCAACAACCGATGCGAAACCAGCTCAACCCGGGCCCGGCTTCTTTGCAACACGATTACTGGCCTCTGCAAAGCTTGGGTCCGATGCGGATCACGATCCCCACATTGAAGGGCGCTTGGCCGGGTGATAACGGCTTCAACTGTGCGTTGGGATACAACTGTCCCGGACCAACTCTTTCTGGGTTGAGTCGATACAGCACTCGACCCGCTTGGGTGGATGTCAGCAGTGGATCGTGGATCGACTTCGAGTACACTGCCACTGCCAACGTCTCTTGGGTCAAGGTCTCCTCTGCGAGCGGCTCGATCGCTGGAGATGGGAGCACCGACGCCAGGGTGCACGTATCCATCGACTGGTCTCAAGTCCCTTCGAACGCTTCGGATACCGTCCACGGAGGTATCATGTTCGCTTCGAAACCGAACGATCACCCTCAGACCGTGGTCAACGTCACTGTCGTGGCGGATACCAGGACGGTCGACACGTCCTCAGCCAAGGCTGGCTCGTTCATCGGCGGGGCGAACTACGTTGCTATGCACGCGACCAACGCTACCGTCAAGAACAACATCGACAACGTCACTTGGACCGAGTTGCCTCATTACGGTCTCACCGGGAACGCCTTGGTCGACCTTCCTCCTACTCACGCATTCTACGCGGCCGGAGAGGGTCCCTCGCTGGAGTTCGACTTTTACAGCCAGGTTCCAGCTGCAAACTTGAACTGTACGATGTTCTTCGGTCCCTTTGAATCGTACCACCGTGGCAATCCCTTCCAATACGCCGTCAGCCTGGATGGGTCCGAGCCGGTCGTGCAACAACCCATTCCTGTACCCAAGAACGCCGGGTCTGAGCCTTCGGACTGGACGGGCGTCGTTGCTTCAAGCATCAGGAAGAGTACGACCATGTTCAACGGTACTTCTACGGCTCCGGGTTGGCACATGTTGAAGGTCTACAACATGGTGCCGGGGATGGTCTTGGAGACGGTCGTCTGTGGTGAATACCCGTTGACCAGTCTTCCGCCTCCTCAGAGTTACCGGCTCTAGGCAAAAGGAACGCCGTAATTATCTGGCTCACTAACAAATCGAATGAACTTGTACAAAGAAGGGAAAAATAGTTGATCGTCATAATTTCATGATAATGCAAATATCTGTGCTGTATCCTGTCTCTGCGTTGTTGGCAACTGAAACCCCATCGAGGTCGGAGGTAAACTTACGTAAGGCTTCGGGATCTCTTCCGGGGGGCGGTGTCGGTCTACCTAGCCGAAAGTGAGACGACGATGACAATCCACGAGTCTAGCAAGTCTAGCTAGTCTAGTGGATCTAGTGATCGATAGTGATCTAAGTATCACAACGATAGCAACGATCTAATCACACCTATTCATAGCCGTACAGGTTCGGTATAGAAGGCATAGAACAGCCGTCAACGTGTCAACAAGGTTCAAAGGGACCCGGACGTTTCTCAGCTGTGGCCCGATCCACCAACAACGTTCGCCGATCCCTCGGTCAACACAGCACAGCACGTAGAGCAGGACCACGGATGATCGCAGAAGAGACCACTCGTTGTCGATCCCTTTCAAACGAATCGAGGTCGATCAACGACACTCAGCTCTCAGATCAAGATCTCTGTCTAAGCGAGCTCAGGTTGCCCTTCTCGTCGACCCCCAAATAACGAGACGATCATCCGAGACTCCCATTGACTTCCCCTTCATTTCAACATGGTCGCATGGGATATTAATCGATTACTCTCCTGGGTCTCACCCGAAGACGAAGAACCGACTCCCACATCATCCACTTCCCAGTCCACTCTCGCATCTTCCGACTCGCCAGCTTTAGACCCGAATTTGGCGTTATCTCGTAGCAAGACCACCGATCCGTCGAGCGATAGTATCGGTCTGGGAAGAGCTCGAGCGCTATCCCGACCGCAATATATGCGGAGTTCCACGTTGAGGACGATCGAAGAGGGGGAATCGCCTTATGGGAGCTTCTTGAGTCGGAGTAGCTCGTTCCCACCCATGGGTGCTGGAGGGAGTCCGATGTTGGGGCCTGTAAATGGCGGTACAGGCGCGGCAGGAGGTGGGAACGGTAGAGGAGGATCGTGCGGCGGGTCGAAGAACCGGATACCTTCTCTGAGTCTACTCGGGAGTCGGAGAGGATCCAAGGATTCTCACATCAGCATCACCGAGGAGGACGAGGACCAGGTTGAATTTGGTATCGGGATGGATGGACAGGACGACCACGATCTCGAACGGGTCAACACCGAGAACCCCAGGCATCGATCAACGATATCCTCTTCTTCCTCATCTCTTCACCGAGTACGTACTCCCGAAGCGAACGCGGGACCCGGTCCGTCATCGACGATTCTCTCTGGAGAGAGGGGCAAAGGCCCCCACTCCCCCTCACCTTCTCCAGGCCGGGTCGAACGGCGAAGAAAGGCCGGTGTTCTGAACCGGGTCGGCAGTGGTAGTGGGGAAGGATCGTCAAGAGATTCAAGCCCGAGTAAAGTCTCCACATCCGTCGGACAAGCAAAGACGAGGGCTCAACGAGGGATGTTAGGGGAGCGACAGATGGAGGTGAATCTACGGGATCAGGTCCAGACGGAGCTAGGGCTGCGGGACGATGCGAGAGGGAATGGGAAGGGGAAAGGCAGGTTGATGGAGGTGGATGATAGTTCGGATGAAGACTGCCAGGACCAATTGACCGGGATAGGGATGGCAGCAGGGGCTCACGGGAAGGAGCATCATCGGCATAAGAGGTTAAAGGTTCTGGTTTTAGACCAGGATCAAGATCAAGAGAGAAACGAGAAGACGGTAGCTCCGGATCCGGTCATCTTGCGGTCACCAGGTTCTAGATCTGGGCGACGGAAACGAGGACTCTCGGGAGGACGTACGCATGACGTGGCTGTGGCGGAGTCGGGGTCTGTCAAATCCCGACGGTCGAGTCGATCGAGCGCGACCCGGCCTGATCGAGGTCATGGTCAGGATCATGGCTACATGCCGGATCTCAGTATGGACGCGGACGAGAGGACGAGGTTGTTAGGCCCGCCCGACCTTCAACTGCCTTCCGTCCCATCCCCCCATCCGCATAATGTCGACTTGGAAGGAAAGCCAGCGTCATCCTCATCGTCGGCCGAGATCGCTATCGAACCGGGATCGGCGGAAGAACGAGCGATCCTCGACGCAGACTCGGAAACGCCAGAAGAAGGGGTCTGGTACCGCGGTCCGCTGTTCGAAGCGGGTTGGAAGTTGGGATTGATGTTCCTCTTGTTTACGGGGGTGATCGTTGGGGTCGGGTGGTTTGCCCTGCCAGCGATGGATCCGTGAGTTTCCCCCGGGATGGTTTCGTGATGTGGTCATCGATTGGCAGGGCTGATGGGACGAACTTTCATGACATAGGGCGGACAAGGCTGCTTTGCGGCTGCCTAGGTCGTTCCAGGACTTGCAGACCCTCAAGTAAGCGGGCGAATCAGGGTGACACTATGATGATCGATATGCTAACGCGCTCCCGCATCCCTATTCACAGCACCTTGTTCCAAAAGTACAAGAGCAACTACCCAATCCGGATCTTGACAGTCGGATGTGCTGCTTACCTCTAGTGAGTCTCGCCAGCCAGACAGCGATGATCCTGCATGATATGCTCAACCTATCGGATGCCTGCGCAGCGTCCAGATGTTCTCCTTGCCCGGGTCGATGTACATTTCCATCTTGTTCGGAGCGGCGTACGGTGTCTTCTATGGCTTGATCTTGAGTTGCCTGGTGAGTGTCATACAAGTCGTAGTCCGCGAGAAGATGATCACCAGACTGACCCGGAGACCCGTCCGTAGTGCGAATCGTTCGGAGCGTTGTTATGCTATGCCCTGTCGGCAGTCGTGGGACCACCGTTGTTGACGATCCCTTCATATCGACAACGATTGGAAGCTTGGCGTTCCAAGATCATGGGCGATCCGACCAAGGGCGAGGCCGTCACTTGGGACGGGGTGTTTGCGTTCCTGATCGTACTCAGGTGAGCCTTCCTCTAGACTGCCTTTGTATGTTTCATCTGAGATTGGACCGCTCATATATTCCCCCGTCACGCAACAGAATCTCCCCCTTCCCTCCACACTGGGTCGCCAATGTCGTCGCCCCACACCTGGACATCTCCCCTATCCTCTTCTGGTGTGCGTGTTTCATCGGAATCGGACCCGTCTCCGTCATCCATGTGACGATCGGGTCCGGACTGGACAAGATGACTTCGGCCGAAGATTTCCATATCTTGAGTCTGAGGAACGTCTTGGGGTTGATCGGCATCGGGGTGGCGGTGATGATCCCCACGGCTTTAAAGTGAGTCGAGGTCGATGTCCCTGAAGTCGCTGGGGATGGGCGTAGACTGATATGAGATCGGGTTGTGCGACACTAGACGGATCTTCAAGAAGGATCTCTCTGGCTTGGGAGAGAACGAGGCCGTGCTCCACAAAGCGCATATCCACGTCCACGACGTCTCCCCCGACTCCGAGCTCGGCTCGCATACCGAACCGCAACGACGTGGGCATGGCGAGACTTCCTCGATGTCCGGCTCGGAGGGGTCCGATTCTGGTCATGAATACAGTTACGATCCCGAACGGGACGTCGATGCTGGGTTGGGGTTGATCTCACCCAACGTACTGAATCGGGAAGGGTATTACTGGTCCTCTGCAAAAAAGGGACGGGGGAAAGGGGGAGAGTACATGGATCTCGACGAGGCGTTGAGTATCATACAACAAGAGGAAGAGCACGTGAGTCCCTCAGATCTGAACAGTCTTGCTGGCTATTGGAAGATGTAATCTGACGCGGTGTCTACGCCGAACGGAGCAGGAAATCTTGGCGGTCGCTTATCCGGGAGATACGGCCGAATCCGTCATCGGTTTGTATCAGCGCGAGGCGGCTGCGGCAGGGAATGAGCTCGCAGACGAAGGTACCGGGTCGGAAGGGGAAGAAGAACGCCGGCAAGGCGGTGGCGGACTGCTGGCTGGGCTCGGTGCGTCGTTGGGGAGGAGTTCGGGATACGGGACGATGCAGGACGATGATGTCGAGAGCGGGTTGTCGGATGACGAGGTGGAGATGAGAAGGAGACGGGGGAAGAGGTGGTGGCAAGTGTGGCGGCGGTGACGATGCGTTGTAAAAGAGAAGAGAAGACGGTTGTAATACTCCATACCCATGGCATCAATCCCGCTTTCCCACGCGTCTCCCCAAACGCGAGATTGATTGAATCGCGTCCGTCGTTCGTCGTGTCGCGCGTCGCTGTTTGCGAAATGGCAACCTCGACCTGAGCTCTTCGTCAACAAAACAATTTGGAGCAGGCGTAGAAGTTGGTAATCGCAACGCATACACCTAGACAACTTGTCACTCGCCACTAGCCTTACCGTAACCCTCTTGCCTGAGCCATGTCCTCGCCTCCCATCGAATTTCCCTCGAGTAGTCGAGCTGGAACGCCCAACGCCGAGCGAATCAATGCGGCAGCTCGATCGTCAGGATTTCATACCCCAGGTGAGGTTTTCGGCTCTCGCTTGTTCATCCATGTACGTTGTCCCTGATACACCGTATGTTTGATTATCCCAGGATATGGAGGCATGCCTGCGACATCTTCCCCTCTGGCGTTCCCTTCATCCGAGCTCGGCTCGAGCGCAAGGCGGGCGACTGGATCGAGGGCGGGAGCAGGACCCAGCCAGCTGTCTAGCGACGGCGGGCTCTTCCGTAGTCCCGCTGTGAGACGGACTCAGGAACCTCTCTTCTTTCCAGGGTCAGTGAATTCTTTCTTGTTCGGTTCTAACGAAAAAGTATGAAGCTGATGTAGCTCGAGTCGCTCTCGATAGATCGGGAGGTTCGACGCCCAGACGATCCCGTCGTGGAGACATCCACTCTTCGCTCCCTTTCTCGTCCCCCTCGGTCCGACCACGAAGAGACCAAGAAGCTCCTGTCGATGGTACACCCGTCGCCGCCCGTTCTTCTTCTCCACCGATCGGGGCCAACTTTGGTCTCACCTCGGAGATGGATGCACCTACCCTAAGCATGGCTGGCTCGGGACCCGATGGGAACGAGAACATGAACGGCGAAGCGGCCGATGGGACGGACGGGAAGTTCATCTGGGGGACCACTGTTGCCCTTCAAGAGAGCATGAACCTCTTCACGGACTTTCTCAGAAACTTTAAACCCAAGTATCGGGCGAGTTATAACAAGGTGGCCAAGACCGCTAGCGAGGACGAAGACGATGCGTTTGCTCCTCCTCCTCCCCCTCCGAACGCCTTGTACGACAACCTCAGCAACGTCAAGGCCAACGAGACTCTGTACTTGACGTACCTCCGGACGATGCGGTTGACCCAGCAGACCAACCTGAACTTGGATTCCCTCAACCTGCTCTCTTATCCTCCGACCAAAAAGCTCTACCATCAACTGATCGCTTACCCGCAAGAGGTCATCCCTATCATGGATCAAGTGCTCAAGGACCTCATGATCGAGCTCGCCAACGAGGATGCTGAGGGCAAGGAAGAAGGATTGGAGAGGGACTTGTTGGTGGAGGATGCTAGGGAGATGGCGGCCAGGGTGTACAAGGTCAGGCCGTTTGGAGGGGAGAGGAGCGTGAATATGAGGGACCTCAACCCGGGTGGTCAGTAACGCAGCGAGCTCCAAGGCGTTATATTGAGCGTGACTGATCAAGACGAAAACTGTAGATACCGACAAGTTGGTCTCGATCAAGGGTCTCGTGATCCGTGCGACCCCGGTCATCCCCGACATGAAGCTCGGTAGGTCACCTATTCAGAAGCATCATACACATCCTTGCGTCCTAATCGCCTGACCGTCTTCGTATCACAGCCTTCTTCCGATGCATGGTCTGTCAACACACGCAACAAGAAGAGATCGACCGAGGTAGGATCAACGAGCCGAACAAGTGTCCCCGAGAACAGTGTGGGGCGCAGGGGACGATGAGCTTGATCCACAATCGGTCCGAGTTTGCCGACAAGCAGGTTGTCAGGTTACAAGAGACTCCTGGTGAGCAGGTTATGCAAGAAAAAAGTGCAGGTGATGGATGTAGATGCTAAACACGTTACGTTGCTGGGATTAGATGTGGTCCCCGATGGTCAGACGCCTCATACGGTATCACTCTGCGCCTACGACGAGCTCGTCGATTTAGTCAAGCCCGGTGATAGGGTGACCGTGACGGGAATCTTCCGTTCGATCCCCGTGCGGCTCAACCCCCGTCAACGGTCGATCAAGGCCTTGTTCAAGACCTACGTTGATGTCGTCCACGTCAAGAGGACCAACGTCGCGAGGATGGGGTACGACCCGACGACGAGGGGCAGCGAAGGTCGACCCCCGGGGATCGGAGTCGGTGGAGAGGATGATGAAGAGGAAGGGCTCAGCGCTGCCGATCGGGCCGCGATGCAGGAAGACGGTCAACCCGTCCAACCCGCTTCGGCCAATGCCGAGATGGAACAAAAGTTGATCGAGCTGTCGACTCGACACGATATTTACGACTTGCTCTCGCGATCGATGGCGCCTTCGATCTGGGAGATGGATGATGTGAAGAAGGGAATTTTGCTGCAGCTGTTCGGCGGTACCAACAAGAGTATCGCCAGGGGTGGTGGTGGCGGAGGACCTCGGTACCGAGGAGATATCAACATTCTCATGGTCGGAGACCCCGGTACTTCCAAGTCGCAAATTCTGCAGGTCAGTGTGTTGCAGCGTGATCAAGCTCTCGAGATGTCAACGTGCTCATTCGTCCTTGACTTGCAGTATGTCCACAAGATTGCTCCTCGAGGGGTCTACACTTCCGGGAAGGGGTCCTCGGCCGTCGGTCTTACGGCGTACATCACCCGAGATCCCGACTCCAAGCAGCTCGTATTGGAAAGGTAAGCTCGCTGATTGCGATAGACTGTCAGTTGATGCCAGACTGAGGCGAAGCCTTCCGTCTTGCAGTGGAGCTTTGGTTCTGTCTGATGGAGGCGTCTGCTGCATCGACGAGTTTGACAAGATGAGCGATGCTACCCGAAGTGTCCTGCACGAAGTCATGGTACGTCCTCGTAATCTGCCAGTCAGCAAAAGGAAATCTCGCTGAAGAACAACGCTGCTCTTTGTAGGAACAACAAACCGTGTCTATCGCCAAGGCTGGAATCATCACCACCCTCAATGCCCGAACTTCCATCTTGGCCGCAGCGAACCCCGTCAATTCGAAGTACAACCCTCGTCTGCCCATCCCGGCCAACATTGACCTACCTCCTACTTTGATCTCGCGATTCGACTTGCTCTACCTCGTCTTGGACAAGATCGACGAGGTCAGTGACAGACGCTTGGCCAAGCATTTAGTCAGCCTCTACCTCGAGGATAGGCCCGATGCGAGCGGACAGGATATTCTGGTGCGTGCCAACTCGTTCAGTCCTCATACGTTCGTCGCACTAAAAAAGCTCGCCTTACAGCCCGTCGAAACCTTGACCGCCTACATCACCTATGCCAGATCGAGGATTCATCCCGTCTTGACCGAAGAAGCCTCGGACGCCCTCGTCAAGTCGTACGTCGAGATGCGCAAGGTCGGGGAAGACATTCGAACGCAAGAGAGGAGGATCACCGCCACCACTCGACAACTCGAGAGCATGATTCGTCTTTCGGAAGCTCATGCGCGTATGCGATTCTCGGAGCGGGTCGAAATGCAGGACGTCAAGGAGGCGTTCAGGTTGATCAGGGATGCTATTCGAGAGAGTGCTGTGAGTTTGAGAGGATACGTAACGTTTCGTGGTCGTGAATGAAAACTGACACTATGCTTTATTGCTACAGACGGATCCTATCACTGGACAGGTAAGCGACAGTGCCGAAGTGCCTTCAAAAGGCCAAAGACTTACACGCATTCTTGGAACAGATCGATTTGGACCTCATCACCACCGGTGCGGGTCAGCAGCAACGTCGCCTGCGCGGAGATCTTAAACGAGAGGTAAGTCCAGAGCGATTGGAAAGTGCTGCGACGACGGTTACTGATCGCTTCGTGCTACTACAGGTCTTGTCCATGCTCGAAGCGAGCGGCAGAGCCGGTCTACCATGGACCCGTGCGGTCAAGTCGCTCGAAGAACAGTCATCTGTCCCGGTCGATCAGGCCGAATTCAACGAGGTTATCAGGACGCTCGAGCACGAGGGTGCGATCAAGGTCGTCGGCGCTGGGGAACGACGGACGATCAAGCGGATCTCCGACTAGACATCCTGAGATTTACGGGTTACATTCATTCCTTGTTGTCATCTCTCACTGTACGCGTCCGTTCTAATAATGGTTGTATGGTTATTTATCGATTGGTGCAAGTGATATTGCAGATACTTCTGTTCCAATCTCGACGTCATCCACGATCGCGGTTTGCATACACGTCGCCTCCCCCCGCTGAGATCGGGCGATGAGTGACCGATAGCTCGATCAGCATCATCATCTCTTCGGTTACTTGGATTGTATCCCTGTATGATCGACTCGATTACATTCACTCCTGGCGAAGACACATGTCTCGTCGAATCCAGCCTACTCTCCGTGGATTCCAGACGACTAGAAGAGCCATGTCTTTCAACTCGTTGTGCAAAGAGGCCCTTTCATCGGGCAAAAAGGTCATTGCGGTCGACGCCGACGATGTTCTCGCCAGCACGAATGCCAAGGTCGCGGAGAGTGAGTGCGATGCTAGGATGATCGAACGCCAGTCTCTCGATCAAGGCTGACTGAGGGCTTTTATGGTTTCTCGTAGTGTACAACGAACTCTACGAATTGGACCCACCCATGCGTGTGAGTCGGCGATAGCTGTTTGTCATGTGTAAAGAAGCTGAATTGATGATCATGCCTGGCATATCCTTACCTTCGTTTAGCTAACCGACTTTAGACATTACCTCTACTGGCAAAACCGAGGCTGGGGAACACCTGTGGGCAAGTAACCGGCTACTATTATCGAGCTTGTAACTGATCCGATATGCTTTCAATTCAACAGAAACGGCGGAGAAGATCAGGGTGAGTCGTCCCGTCATCAGGAACAGATCACAGTCGGCTAACCATTCTGTGACGATGACAGAACATGTACCGAAGAGGATTGCTGGCAAAAGCAGAGCCTATAAAGGGAGCCAGAGAAGGGTTGCAAGCATTAAAGGACCTGGGATTCCGGTGAGCCGAGACGATTGATCGCTTGTATGGCGGGAGCGACGGAGACTGACTGAGTGACCGAATGTCTGTACCAGTCTGGTACTAATCACAGCAAGAGGCCCCGACACGGAGCCTGGAACGCATGTCTGGCTGAAAGAGAATATGCCTGATCGTGAGTTCCGCTTCATGCTAATTTTCCTCTCACCTTGCGTCTCTAGGACGTCGCTAACTCTGTCTTGCTGACCTGCGTCCCAATAGTGTTCGAGAGCCTGCATTTCACCGGTGCTTTCGTGGCTATGCAGAATCCGGATACCGCTACAGCGTCGCCGCCGAAAAAGCGGAGTAAAGCCGCCGTAAGCCAGACGAAATACCTTTTGACCACATGCTACAGCACGAACTTGGCTCATCTCATCGACACCTCGCTTTTGTCTCCTCAATTTGCAGGTGGCACACGCCCTAGGTGCTTGTCTCTTGATCGACGACTCGCTAGAGAACGCATTGACCTGCGCGGCACACGAACCTCCTCTACCCGTGCTGCTCTTCGGCAAGTACCCATGGAACAGCCATCTCACCGCCGAAGACACCACCGAGGACGACAAAGCGCATCAGGAACGGGTATTGAGGGGGATCGAGTCGGAAAAGGGCGAAGATTTGGCTTCCCGTCTGAAACGGGAGGAAGAGACGAAAGGTCGACTGGACCTGCCCGACAGCGTACAACGGGTGGATAATTGGGAAGAGGTCGTCGAGACGCTCAAGGGATTGTCAAAGGACGGATTGGCAAAGGGTCGATTGTAATCACGCTGAGATGCACCCATCTCCCATTGCTTCGATGTGATGGATTACCTCATGTCGTCTCGTGACTTAACGCTTAGAGGGCGCTGCGAACATGCCTTCTTCGTCCCGTTTGACCCGTGCAAAGCGAGCCAGCCTGCCTGATTGCTCCAGCTTCATCTTCAATATTTCACCCGTCCTGTAGGTCATTTTTCCCTAGCTTCTCCTTCTGAAGCAAGACTCGATGGACTTCATTGCTCATGACACAAATAACTCGAGGTTGAATGATTTCATTGATGAAGCTGTTCAGATGAGCACAGGCTTGCCTGAAGGTTGTGGTCAGATAGGGCAAGCGAAAACACATCAGCTACGGATCTTCACAGCGTCACCCGTCATATGACTGACCTATAAAAATGGGTGCTGAGGCTGGCCGGAACCGTCGGATGCCCATCCTGCCTCCGCAAATTCTTCGAGATCGCACTTCTTATGGGCCAACCCACCCCTAAATTAATGGACCTTCCTGCATGCACAATCTAGCCGGAGTTCTTCTCCCCATTCAACGATCTAGTAATTGAAGCTTAGTATGTTCAAGAATTCTGCTGCAACATATGTGTGTTTCTTCTCCATCGCTGCTTTTGTCTGAGCAGGATTGCACCTATACATCTGCTGTTAAACGTTTTGGGGCGATTTATTCGGTTTGGGTCTCTGATAGCGGAGGACTACCCGAGTCGAAACGCCTGGGAACGGGACCAGTTGGCAAAGCTTTCACTATTCATGCGCTCGCCAAGGAATGATGCAGCATCTAAGTTCCGGTCCCCTGTATCGCGTCCCCCTTCCCCGTTGTCTATGACCGTGATCGTGATAAGGAAGGATGCAGCTGTGAGATCCAACGCATGAGACAGTGCGTTTGCCCTAGAGCAAGGTCGCGTGCCCCGACGGTGCAGGTAATTCGGACCCATCGAAGGAAGGTATCTCAACCGGTAACCTTTTTGGGTCGATACTGAAAGTAGTCAGCCATTCCGATTACACACTTCGCATCCTTAAATGCTCAGCGAGTACTGTAGATGATTATATTTGTTACACCTCGGACACGTGCTTGACGATCCGAGCCTGTCGTTACTATTACATTGAACATCTCATTTCGCATCTATCTTGGATCTAACACTGGGAGAGGGTGTATTACGTCTCCAAAGCCTTGACGATACCCCAAGCGATCGCAGCGGCAGCGGCAACTACGAAGAAAGCGAGGTCAAGGTCGTCAGTCAGGTCTCTTCTATATGAATATCATGATAGGGGACTAGGGGTAGACTCTGGACTTACCGACTGCTAATGTCGAGATGGCTCCCCAGGCTACTCCGGCGGGACCAAGGGCTGCTCCTGTGAACCATGATTTCAAGGCTCCGAAGATGACGAGGATGATACTCGTTCCCACCTGAAGGTCAGAGTAGAAAGTCAATCGGTCAGTTTCGGTGTGAGAGAGGGTTTCATTTCAGGCCAAGGTGGGAAGCACTCACGATAGACCACTTCAAGGCGTCATAAGCGACGGGGATGAAGAAATAGGGGATGATCGGTAAGATCCCTCCGATCGCGTAACTCAGACCGATAGTGACCGCGCTCAAGAACAGCCTGCTACTGGGGACCTCTTCCATCCCTTCCCCGAGCTTCAAGAGGAACGCTGCGGTACCCGTCTTGGGTACCGGTCGGTTCGTCAGTCCTAGTCGACCGAACAGCGATTTCTGATGGGCGAGGCTGGAGGTGAACAATCGGTCGTCCCGATCCTCTTCTGCTCGTTGAGCTTGAGCCAGCGCGCGGGAGACGACCCGGGAGACGTTTTCCTGGAGACCTAGGGGGCCGAGAATGTCGTGCACTTCACGGTCGAGCTCAGAGTCGCAAGCGATAGCGAGACGGTTGGTGATCTCCGAGTAACGGTGTCGGAAGGTGTCCTGTTCGGCCTTGGCGGCGAGGTATCCACCGACACCCATCGAGAAGGCGCCTCCGACCTAGGACGGGATAGGGTCGCGTAAGAGATAAGAGCAAAGGCGGATTGGTAAGCGGGGACGCAGCGGTTTAGCACGAAGGGGTCATCGAAGAACTCACGATCTCGGCCAGGCCTCCCATGTAGACCAACTTGGAACTTCCCAAGCTACTCAATCCTGCCGTCAAGGCGAAGGGTACCGTCAAGCCGTCCGATAGTCCGATGATACTATATAGAAGAAGGGTCGAGGTTTAGTTACGCGAGCGGGGTGTCTACACGCACAATGGGATGAGATGGGTTGGTGAGGGAAGAGACTCACATATCCCTGACAACATCCGGGTCAATAAGTTTCCTCTCCTCCTGTACTACATCCTTGCAACAGACTCCACCGGGTCGATCACACTTGTCGGCAATGGTATGCGTCGGACGCAAGATCGAGTTGAAATCGATACTCTCGTTGTTCTGAGCGTGCGTCGAGCCGTACTTGCTGCCGGAAGAGCGGACCAGGGAAGAGGTCTCGTCTACCGTTACGGGGGTGTCGATACCCCATACAGAGTTTTTGGTGGTGGTCGAGGATTTGGGAAGCTTGACGGTGGATGATGACGAAGAAGCTGCTTTGCAGGCGCAGGACGAGGAACCGCAGCCGGGTTGAGAGTGGGCGACCTTGGACATGGCGATGTGGACGAGGTAGTTCTAGCTTTGTTCTTAGGAACGAGTCGAGGAGATGTCTTTGTTGTTAGATAAGATGTATCGTAAGTGGTGACCTATTCCCCTCCCTTGTCTCTAGCTCTCTGCTCGCTGCTTATATAGCGTTCGCCTCATTTCGGTCTTGCTAACAATCAGGGTTTGACCAGAAAATTTACTTCCGTACGGCTCTTGCCGAAAGGGTCCGAGCGTACCTTCGGAAGTATAAAGTTGCGGAATACCGGTCACGCCATTGGTCCGAGCGGGTCCGATGATGTGATGCAGAGGTCATCATTGGTCGTTTGGTCGTGCGAGCAGCGATGATGGCTAGACCACGCAGGTCGGCGACTTTTGTAGGCAAGTGCAATCAGCGATCACGGCGTACGTAAATTCATCGGCATAGGAGGGGATCCCACTTTTGTATGGGCCGGAGGTTCATTACAAGGTATTACAAGCGCAAGGCATCGAAACGAAATATGATCAAAAAGCCAAAAGACCGCATAATGAACGTCGAACTAGGCCAACGTGTTTTCCACATCCGCCGAATCCTCTCCACTCTCCATCGTCGCAAAGTTCAAGAAAGGCGCTGGTCGATGTTCCTCTGCCCAGAAGGAGAGAGGCGCGTCCAAAGTCAGAGAGTAGGGCATGGAAGGTGCGAACTGTTGCGTGAGCCCGACAGAGTAGTTCCATGCTCGGCCTTCGGGGACGAGGGTGGCTCCGAGAATACGGTCGGACAATAAGAGTTGCACTCGATGAGCCATCGAGGTGTTGAATCCCTGTTCCCAAAACAAATCCAACTGTAATTAGCATGTCATTCTCTTTCTCGTATCAGTTCCAATCGATCCGACTCACCACAGGGTTAGCCATCACGTCCTGGATCTTCCTACCCCATTCGAATCCGGCGACGCTCAATTCGAAAGCGCTCAGACTGATACTACCGGGCGTAAAGGCCGCGGTAATACAGATCGAGTTGGGTCCCCATGATGGGTTCCCTGCCATGATCTTGGCTTGGGCAGCCACGTCTTGAGGAGCCAGGTGGTTCAGCTCCTGAGCCTGCGGTTCGTAGCACAACAGAGAAGAAGTTCAGTTCGATTCAGTATGCACGGTGGAAGAATAGCGGACTGAGCGTAGTACTGACCTGAGTCTTGATCCAACCCAACGGCTCCAACTCTTTCAGCAAAAAGTCCGATTCCGGCAACCTGGTAGGCAGCTCGACGGTATTATTACTTCCACGCTGAGGGACCCAGACGACAGCCTTGATCTCCTTGACCCGCTTGTTATCCGCCGGCGAAGACCCGTAGAGGTAGGCAGCGACCTGGGTACGCAGGTCGGCGTTGACGATGAAAGACTTCAAGACGTTCTTGGGCATAACGTAGGTCAAGCTACCAGCGTCGTCCTTGACGTCGTCGTTGCTGACGTAGATATGGTTGACACGGAGCGGCAAGTTGGTCGCCGATATGGCTCGGACTCGCCAGTCCGATTTGGAGCTAAAGGTCTGTTGCTCGTAGTTGGTCGTCGTGACGGTCTGGATCTCGTCTCCGTGGCTGTGCGAGGATGAGCAGGGTTAGCTGACGTGTACACTTTTTGGGTCTTCGAAAAGACATCTTGCGACTCACATGTTGGTCGTCTTGGTTTGAATGGCGGTCACCTGGGCTTGCGCCTCGGTAGCCTTCTCGAGCTCGGCCATCTGCTGACGTTGAATCGAGGGAGCGGCGATCTCCATACCCAAGATGATATCTCGAATCTCGCTCGCGGTCAACGAGGCGACGTTGACGCTGTTCCTCTTTCCAAAGTCGCTCAAGATCAGGTCCTTGAGGGCGACTTCGACCTTCATCCACTCGTCATCCGAGAGCGTGGGCCAAACGTGGTGCGACTCGGTGATCGTGCTCTTGTCCGGTCGCAAGATGATCTTGGCCTTTTCGTTGTTGACGTGCAACGAACGCAGGATCAAGATCAATCGCGAGAACGCCGTGTAAGACGAGATCGACTTGAGCCAATCGTCGTACAGGTTGAACAAGACCATCTGAGGTTGAGTGGCTCGGAGGATGAGATCTCCGAACTTTTCAATCTTCATGGCGGCCTGGAAGGGCAGCTGCAGCTCGGATCCCTTGATGACAATGTTGGGGAAATCGAGCAAGTGGACTTCGAGGGGGTCCAACATTCCCTTTCGGGTGACGATGACCTGCTTGGGCTGTTCTTCGACGGGCAGCGATCGAATCAACGCGGCGACTTCTTCGGCCGTCTTCCACTTGGCCAATTGACCGAGACGCTTCTGACCGGCCCAGACGCTGGTGTGAATGATCTTCAAGAACAGTTGTCCGGATCGCGGGTTGAAGATGAAGATGGCTCCGTTGATGGGCTTGGTGGTCAAGTTACCCTCGAAAGTTCGGTGGATGGTGACTCGGTAGACGTTGGTGTCGTCGACGAACCAGATGACCTGGTTCGAGAACAACTCCGAGTAGTTCTGCGATGACAAGTACGGCTCGGTAGCTTCGGACGAGTAGAGCTGAAGACCCTTTCGGATACGCTCTCGCATGACGAACAGAGCCGGGTTGGCCTTCATGATCTTGGCCATGGCCTGGGTGACCAAGGGCTTCAGACCGGGGAAGAAGTTTCCGAATCCAGAGTGCAAGTTGTAGGACAAGTCGATGGCGAGCAACAATCCGGTGGGCGAGGGGTAGATCGACATCGAATCACTGGTGTAGTCCAAGAACTTGGCACGGGCGTATCGCTCAATGTCGTGCGAGTCGTAGTCTCCCCATCGGAGTTGCACATCGATCCAGAACTTGTTGCCTGTCATCGTGCCATCGTAGTGGTCCCTGGCGTCCGACAGTAGAGACGGTCGCGACATGTTCCACTTGTAGCTGCTGAACAGCAAGATGTCCGATGCCGACGAGTTGAGCTTGTACGACTTTCGGGGATGGATCAACTCCTTCTGCACCGTCTCGATCTGAAGAGCCTCGAGCTCCTGATCGAGAACCTGACACAAGTCCATGACCACGGACTCGTGGATCTTTTGCCACAAATGGGCTCGGAACAACTGGATGTACGAGATCTTCAAGGTAGGAAGCTTTCCGTGCATGAAAATACCCGTCAAGTCGAGTTGCACTTGGAAACCGACGTAAACCTATCGAGGGGATACAAAGATGAGTTAGTCGAGGGGCGTCGCACAATCTCATCATACACGACTCACGTTGGCTCTGTTGAGGGTGGGCGACCACCATAGGGTGAATCGACGGTTAGGAATCTGCGACAGACCACCACGCTGGGCGTTTGTCAAACGCTTCGACTTCATCGATTCCTCGAATCCGGATGCCTTCTCCCAGAACAGACCCTCCCATGTGCTGTGTGCCGTACCCTTGAACAAAGAGTGCTCCAAGATACCTTCCACACCTCCGAGCGAAGCGATAACGTCGACACGGTAGTTGTTCAGGTTCCATAGCTTTCCGTCGTGCCTCTGCGAGTGCCATGAGAACGGGTTGTGACGAGCCTGAGCGTACTGCTCAAAGTGCAACGACGTCCTCCAACCCTTCTGGTAAGCCAAAGTCTGCCTGTCCTTCTGGAACAAGGTGCTGATACGAGGAAGACCTCGGTCCCAACTGTTCTCCAAGTCTTCCAGGGTCAATCGCCTGTTCTGCGCTTGCGCTTCCTTTCGCATCATGGCGTATTCCGCCCACACTCGGCTACTGTCCTGGAACTCGGACTCCCAAGGAACGATGTACCTGAACAAGTTGGGGATCAGGTTACCGGCCTCGTGCGTGAGACCCGCTCGGAAATGGCTGGTGCCGCCATCAGCCGTCTGCTTGGACCATCGCAAGTCGGACTGGGGGATGAGGACGAAACCCATCGAGAGCTGTCCGAGACCACCCAACTCCTTGGGCGAGTAGAACAGCACTGGCGGGAAACGACTAGGCATCTTCGAGTTCAGACCGATCTTGATACGGGTCTGAATCTTGTTCTCGGCCTTGACGAGCATGTCCAGGAGCTCAGGCGTTCCGATAATACTCTCTCGGTAGTAGGTAACGAGGGCGATGATGGTCGAGTTCCACTTGTTGGCGACCTTGGCATAGGTGGCCGCTCCCGAACTCATCAAGACCTGTCGGATACGGTTCTGGAAGCTCTGCAAACCATACTCGGACACACGCAAGAACGCCTTGGCGGTACGTTCCTTGGTCGCCTCGTTGGTCAAGTTCCAGGTCGCGTCCTTGAGTACAAAGTTGTCGCCCTCCCTGATCTTGGGCAGGATACGGATCTCAAAGTTGCACATGCTGAAAAGCAACTGCGGGTTCTCTCGAGAGTAGACCGACACAAACGACTCGTCCCACTCGATCGTGGTGAGCGATCGGGGCAGCGAGTTCTTGACGTTCCAGAACACGGCTCGACCGAGGTTGACGTCGTGCTTGATCAGCCTCATTCGGCAGTCACGCGGCCAGCATCGCTTGTTGTTGTAGCCGATGATGTTCTGGTTGTTCGGGTCGGGTTGGACCGTAAGGTATCGCTGGATCAAGTCTCGAGCCTCGTCCGCAGTGAAGCGGAAGAGGATGTGGATCCTGTCAACGTATCGCGAGTATAGCCTGATCGGGTGACCAACCTCGGTCTCGGTGTCGCGGAACTGCAAGAACCCGTTCGGGAGCTGAGGAGGACCGGCCATCTCGCTGGCACGCTTGAGACCGAGGATTAACAGGTCCAAGACGAGACCGTAGTACTGGAAGACGAACGACGAGAACTGCAGACCTCGGATGAGACCGTAAGCGTTGACGTGCGACATGTCCTTGTACGTCAGGGTCGTGTTGTTCTTGGCGGTGATGTAGTCGGCCAAGTTGTGATCCATAATCAGACGCAAGAGACGATTGAGCAAGGTCAAGTCGATCTTTTCGTAGACCTTGGACAAGACCGTCTCCATCATGACGACGCATTCGCCTTCGTTGGTCTCCCAGACGTCGGTCAGGTTGTTGATTCCCTGACACCACTTGTAGACGAGCAATGGTGGGGGTTCCGAATCACCGGGCTTGACCCACGCAGGGAACAAGTGACGCTTGTCGGCCTCGTACCAGAGGAACGACTCCAGGTAGGCGTCGGTGATTTTCTCAACGGGCTCGATGTCGTAACAAGGGATGAGCTTGTCGTAGGTGTCAAAGAACTCGATACCGGTCTCCTTGAAGGCACGCTGCGTCAAGAGCAATCGCTTGATTCGAGACAAGGCCTCTGCAGGGTGATCGTAGGCCTGCTCGATCAAGGCCAATTCTTCTCGCTGACTCTGGTTGAGACGTCCCTGCACCGAATAGGCACCCTTGAGCTTTTCCAAAGCCAAAACCAAGAGCTTGGTATCGTGCTTGTACGAAAGAGGAGGGAAGGGAATGGGCGAGAATTTTCGGCTGTAGGCAAAACATCGTCAGTCACAAACCATTATCTGGATCCGCACACGTCGACCCACCTCTCCAACCAATGCGTGGTACCACTGAAGATGGCCACGGCCTCCTCGGACGAAATGTACGGCCCGTCCTTCAAATACCCGTTCTGCCTCTCCTGCTCGGCCTTGAGGTACAACCTCGTCAACCTCCCCAAATTCTTCCTGACGACAGCCTTGTCGACGGTAGCTCCTCGCCTGATACGCTCTCGGTTGTAGTGCGCGACCGAGGTCCACCAATCGGCCTTGCTCTTGACATATCGGAGCAAGATGTTCTCGACGGCGGCAGGCATACCGGGCACCTTCCAGGGGATGTTGGCCTTCCAGCATCGCCAAGCTTCCGACAAGTGCTGCATGATCGTCTTGGCCTTGTTCTGCCTGATCGACTCGGGCATCATGTCGAGGATATCGCTCATGACGGCGGCACGCAGTTCGAGATCGAAGTGCGACTCGACACGTTGCTTGGTGACCGTCTTGGCGATTCCCTTCGAGTTTCTCCCTTCAAACTGCCTGGCCAACAAGTTGTTCAACCAACGTTCAAGCAAGGGGACGATACCTCTCATGAAGAACAACCAGACCCTCCATCCAGGCGCCCAGAAACCGACACCGGGTCCCTTTCCGACGGGTCCCGTGTTGAATCGCGCGTAGATCAAGTGTTTCAAGTCCTTGCACATCCTGACCTGCTTCATCAACTTGTACTTGTATCGGTACATTCCCGTCAACTGTCCGACGTGGGAGAACATGTACTGGAGACCGTCGGCGAGCTGGAACGCGTCGACGTTGCCCAAACGGAACTGGACGTGGGCGTCGACGATGAGCTTGGTGAGACGCAAGATCTCTCGGATCAAGTGGAAGGCGTTTCCGAATCGAGACTTTTTTCGCTCCTTGGTCGTCAGCGTCTTGATCGGTTTTAGGTTCATGTTGTAGTCCAAGTGCAAGTAGTTCAAGTTCTATCGACGTCGACCAAAGGCTGCATTAGCTTGACAGCAAGACAACAACATCTCTCTAAACTAAATCTGGTACTGACCTTTCGGTGAATCAACAAGTTGAGCATGTTGAAACCCTGCCTGCAGACCTGCAAACCGGCCTCGACCCAATCCAACTGTGTCGTCTGGAAGAATTTGGTATTCTTCAAGCTCCTGAACAAGTTCCTCTTCCCCATCGCCTTGGGAGGCTTCTGCTTCAACGTGTTCAACACGTAGACCTTCAACAGCTTTTGATAAGACACCCTGATCTTGACGGGTTGGTTCGGAGGACAATGTTCTTGGTAAAAGTTCTTTATGAGCGGGATGTCCTGCGCTCGGCGGGTTCGACCGGATCGTTTGTCGTAAGGGTAAGGAGCCCAGAACAAGGCCAACGCGTCGGCAGTCTTGTCGTTCTCCAACTCTTCCTCGGCAAAGAAAGGCTCGAGTTCGTCAGGCAGCTCAAAGTCGTCATCGTCATCCCCGTCCTTGCCGAAGCCGAAGACGGCGTCTTCGTGGGAAACGAGCTGAGAATGGGCCGAGATGACTTGTCGCTGAGAGATGGGGTTGATGAGCGGGTCAAAGTAGAATGCGGGGAGGTCAGGGTCGTCCGTCTTGATGTAGACGTTTTTCGGCTCGTGATAGACTCCCAAGTGGATGCTTCGGGGCAACGAGTTGTAAAGGTGAGGGAAGGCGATCTTGTATTCTGATCGGATCATGCCTCGGATGATGACCTTGTTGATATCGTTGAATTCGTTCCAGTCCTCGTCGTAAGCGTCCATGTCCCGGTAAAGGGGCTCAAACTTGGGTCCACCGGGCAGAGCAATGTTGAGCGCCTTGGCGGTGAAGAACGCCTTGCGGTCAAACAGGTAGAACGCGTTCTTGTCCGAATAGTCGCTCAGCAACTGTCGTCCGATACGGTACAGGTTGGCCATCTGATCGAGGTCGAGCCGGAAGGTCTTGTACGAGCTTCCGTTGACGTGTTTGGTATCGATGAGGGGTTTCGGGTCGTAGAACCATTCCTCGATCGCGGCGTCTTCCTCCGGGTCGAGTTCGAGCTGGATCGACTCGAGCGGGTCGACATCGAGAATGTTGTCGGCGTAATCGGTCACGGGCTCCTCGTCGTCAAAGGGGGGAAACCTCATTCGCTTGAAGTGACGTCGATCTCGCTTTTCACGCCTCATGGCCAACCACATCGAAGCCCACTGGGCGTGGTAGATGGGTTCGACGACACGGGGGACCTGGTTGACGAACGTGATGGCACCGGAGATGTGGTAGAGGACGGGCACCTCTCGAACCTGTTCCCATGGACAAGGGATGTTTTCCAACAGCTTCATCACGGCGTGCGGCACATACTTGAGCGCTCCCAAATGCACACGCTTGTCCGTCCTAAACTTTCTGCTGCTCATATCTCCGTGATCCTTCATGATCTTTCGAATATGCTCGGGAGGCAGGTCAGCCTTCCCCCCATCGACTCCACCTCCACCACCTTGACGACGCTTCTCGTCGAATCGCTTGACCTGAGATTGACGCCATTTCCTGGCCTTTTTCTCGATCTCTTGTGGGGAGAGCGAGGTGATCTCGGGAGGCGAGACGGGGTGGTCGACCGTGCTCGAGGGTCCGGCGGTGATGTCGAACCCGGGTGGTGGGCCGAATCCTGGAGGGAACGACATGGTCGAAAGGGCTCAGCTAGTTGGTTTGATTAGTTAGAACCTCCTTGGAAGAGGATCTGACTGGGGGGTGTAAAGAGTCCAAACGAGCAAGTTGGCTGATGACGATGGGGAATACCACCAACCATTCTGAAATCGACAATCGATGGGCCAGGGACATGCAGGGGATCGCGCGATGTGGCGAAAGGCAGAGAGGGGGGACATGATTCGCTTTCTCACGCGTAGAAGTGGTCGTTTACTTCCGACTAAGCGTTGCTTCGGAAGTAAATCGTGAGCGAAGGCGTTCGATCGACCACCGAGGTAACGTAGAGAGGTCAAGATGTCCGTCGACCTTGATGTTCGATGCGGCTATACCTCTCCATCAAATATTCACTACCCGATCTACTCGGAACAGTACACCTACGATCCGCGATGAAGTTGACGTTTGCTACTTTATGGCTCTCTCTCCTGTCTAGCTCGTCATGGGCAGCTCCAACGGACAATCCACGACAATACCCGCTCTCTCATCGACAGACGCAGAGACAAGCCGGTAAGCATTCTCTCTTTCAAGCCTCTTAAGCCAATTTATTCGCTGACGTTCTGATTGCTCTCGAACATTTGCCCTGGCAAAAATCGGCGTATGATGCAACTCATAGCGGACCATGTCGAGTTCCTACTCAGAAACGTGACAATGGGCAGTATCGCCAGTGTCTTCCCGGTTACGACCGTGAGGGCCGGTGAGTCCGCATCAGATCGATGTCAGATGATCGCCAATGAGTTCTGTAGCTAACGGTGATTGTTTCGGGCACTTCTTTATCGGGTCCGGGTGGGACGTAGGTCATCCGTTCGTTGCTAACGAGGTGAGGCTTCTTTTTCTTATGGGACGACTGAACGTGGGCGTCGAAGGCTGAAGCCAAAGCCTTGTTCTTTCTCTTCGTACTTCGTCAAATCGCCGGAGAACAGTACCGTAAGCCCAGGCTCTCCATCCTATCTCATAATGGTCCTAACCTCTTTAAACTCATTCACCCCCGTGTTCCTCGCCGCACAACCCGCAGACGCACCTTGCCACACCTTCCCATCCCTCTCATTCCTCCTCTTACCCATCTCACAATCGGCTCGTAACATCCTCTCGGACCCAGAAGGCCGGACGAGTTATCTCATCCAAGAGCGGGTGGAGGTCGGGGATACGGATGGGAGGGGGACGGGCCATGGGCCCGAAGGAGGGAATAAGAAGAAGCAGGAAGAGGGCGGGAGGAGTAGGATGGATTATGCTAGGGTGACCTTTACCGGGGTGAGTCCAAGCTCTTTCTATCTCCTCCTTTTGCTCGAATGGAAGATTGACTCTCCCACATATTTCTACCGGGACATCTTAGCGCATGCACACCATCAACGAGACCGACCCCTCTACCGACCTGGAAACCCTGCAGAGGTGTTACACGTCTTACCACCCCGATGCGAAACGCTGGTTACCGCATACGCCGGGAGCACACATGAGCCTGTGGGCGAGGTTGGAGGTGGAGGACGTTTATTACGTGGGAGGGTTCGGAGAGTGAGTTCTAGTTCTAGCTTTTTTGCGAGGGGTGTATAATGCGGAACGGCCGGGAGGTGAGAAGCGATACAGACTAAGAGGAGAGCTGATAAAAGTCGATCTTTGATCTTCTAATTTCTCTTTTCTCACTTAATGTTCATCCCACGGCTCTCGTTGTCCACCAAATCTCGCTCTTATGCGGACTGGGCTTGAATTGAGGATAGCTTGCATTATATCGGACATATCCCACTGAACATGGTCCACCTCGACGTTGGTCCCGCCGCGCTATGATCCGTCTGCCACTCGAGAGGTATAGTGGTCGAGCGTATCGAGGGAAGATCCGGCGGGAGTGAAGAAGACTGGAGAAGAGGGCGGGTTTTCGTTGTTCGGTCCCGATCCTACAGCAGGGGGATGCATGAACACGGGTGACAGTCCTTGTTGCTTTTCACGTTTCAAACCGACCTCAGTTGTAGTTTGTAGATTGCGGGTTGGGCCTGACGAGTTGTATCTTCTTTTTATGTATCAAGCGGCTACCATACCTTGCTCTGTGACATGCACGACATCATGACCATATTCAGCGCCCGATGAAATTCTTCCTTCTGCTTCAGTTTTCAAATGCGCCGTCCTCCAAGTTTCAAACTATTCGTATTGGTACTGCCCAAAGGACCAAATAAGCCGTTCACCTACCTTCGAGACTGAGCACATAACCTGAACTTTGGTCAGCCCGCATTCAATCCGTCAGACCGAAACCGAGCCATATCTTCCTCCTCTCTGACACTTTGAAGATCTTCTCCCTCCTCGTTATTGAAGCTTGTACGACAAACCTTTTGGGCGCAGCGCGATCAGCTGCGCTTGTCACACTTCACCTTCGTTCATCTCTTGGACGGAAGATGAAACTTCGTTCCAAATGTATTGTACGAAATTCGGCACCTGCGTTCGACCCGTCCTTTTCTTTTACGACACCGAGGGGACGTCCCGAGGGCAAAAAACTCATTGGTCATGGAGAGATGCGAGAATCCGCAAAGCCCAAAATCTCGTCATAGATCATAGACCATATCCGACCCAGCGACCCAAAGCTACGACTTGGTGATCCCGAGGGATTTCCAGGCTCGTGATTGGTCCAAACCCTAATCCCGGCTGTACGAGGTAGCGGGTTGCGGGTTACGGCTACACGCGCGTGGGATTGGGATGGGTTAGGGTGGCACGGGAAGAAGACCGAGTGCGAGTACAAGGCCGAGAGTGGAGGGTGTTCATGCTCATGCACTTTCTGTGTGTGAGAGGTTTGTGCTACGTGCTACGTACTAGTAAGCTACAGGCGATGAACAGGGTGGGTACTAGCTGTCACAATCACCAGCAGATACAGGAGAGGTCGAGAGAGTGCGATTGTCGTTGTCCGGGTCAATATCGAGAATCGCTCTCGATGTCGATGAACGTTTTGGGACTCGGGCTATTTTATTTCGTTCGTTCGGCTGGGCTCGCTTAGGGATGTCGACGTCTTGGTCGACTCGGTGTTCTGCCCGGGTCGGAAGATGTGTTGGTCCAGGCGAATTTCCCTCTCTCTCTCTCGCCCGAAAAGAACAACCAGACCTCAGCGATCAAACAAGGATGCGGTGTTTTGGTGCAGCGTTGTACATCAGGTCTTTCGTGGTTAATGTCTCGAGCCTTGTCGTGTTTGATGCGATACATGAATGCTCTGATCTCTCTGCCCGTTGCTCGTTGCCGCGGGTCACTTGCACTTGCTGCTGCCTCTGCCTCCTTCGCGCGGATCCCCTTCCCCCCGTCTCCCTCGCTCTCCCTGCCCCCTCCTCTCCCTCCCCGCTGACTCTGAATCCCACGCCTCTTTCGTCCCTGTCCAGACCTCTCTCTTGCTCTTGCTTGCTTGCGATTCAACATTTTATTTCAACAAGACCTCCTCGATACAACATCAGATTTCAGTGGAGTGGCAGGCAGTTAGTTGTAACAAGTCGCAAACTAGAGCTAGAGAGCTTTTGCGTGTAGAGGTCGTCACGTCTCGACTCGAAACTAGCAGCAGCTTCGACAGCCAAGAGCCGAACGCAAGAGCCGTCGGGGGAAGGGAAAGCTGCGACCTCGGATTGGCCATCGAACCAGGGACTCGGGACTGGGACTTTCGACAAGGACATCGATCTGTTCTTCGGTGTGTCCACGAACCGCTCGTCTCGGGAAACTTTAACGAAGCAGGGGATACGATCAGGCAAGAAGGAGTACTTTCGGATCGAGGGGTCGTCTTTTTCTGGTGAGTCGACCTTGTTCGGGTTCGGGTATATCATGATGGAGATCGAAGGTCGGGTCGAGATGAGATGAGTACTCCTATTTGGAGTCGGAAGGAGAGGTCGATCGGACTTTCAAAGCAAGTCGGAGGCTGCTTGAGGCCGAGAGAGTCTGAGGTAGGGCTCCTGGAGAGCCGGTGGTTCCCGATGGAGACGAGATGACGGGATGACGGTGTCGATCTTAGTGTGGACGTTGGTGCAAGAGCTCTGAGCCATTTTGTGTCGAGTTTGACCACGAATCGGAGCAGACGCTAATCAAGAGAGATGGACTGTGTCGTCTACTTGACCTGGACACTTTACAGGTATCTCAATAATACTATAATCATCTGAGGTCGATATCGACAGCCCGCCTACAGATACAAGATCCAGGACTCGAAGATATTCTCATCCGGTCTCCTCTCTCTTCATAATTCAATCAATACAGCTGTGTTAGGATCGGGCCGGGGTCGAACTCAAGACTCCACCGGGACCTCATATCCGGTTCCCCTCAACTCACCTAGATTCCCCATTGTGACCATCAAGACCGACCGTCAAGATTCCGCTCACATCCCCCTCCCCACCTTTTACCGGGCCTGGGTCCGGCTACAACGCCCCAGGCCAGGCATCCTCGTCTATTACAACCGCCCACCGCCCATCACCCGGAGACTCTACTGGAGCCAACGCGGCTTCCTCCCCAGCTCCGAGTACGGCCAGTAACGGGACGTCCAGGTCCAACTCGACGACCCGGAGCGCGGGGAATAGGAGTGGGAGTGGGGGTAGTACGAGGAGGTTACCGAGGTTGGCTCCTAGGCCGGCTGTGCCGGTGCAGACGGTCACGGGGGCGGTCGCTACGGGGAGTGCGAGTGGGGTGGGGAGTTATGCGAGTGCGAGGATAGGGGTTGGGAATGTGAATGCGAATGGGAATGGGAGCGGGATGGGGGTGGTCAATCAAGGTAGAGGGAAACAGGGTCAGGGTCAGGGTCAACGTGCGGGTGCGGGTGTGAATCAGCAACAGCAACAACTTCCGATGGGCGGATTCGAACGTGGTGGGATGCAGCAGGGTATACCGTCATCGTCATCTTCTTCTTCTTTCCCCATGAACGTCAACGTAGGCAGGTCATCGAACAATAGTCAGACCAACACGAACAACCGGTCGTCGGCAGGGTTTGTCAAACCCCAGATCTCGGTCGCTACGGGGAACGGGAACGTTCCCAATAACAGCGGATCGAGGTCCGGGTTCAAGGCGACGGCGTTTCTGGGTCCTGCGTCTGCTTCGTCCGTGGGCGGGAGGAACGATGGGAACAATTCGCCTTTGAATGGGGTATTTCCGGGTGGTATTGGGCAAGGCGGGATCGGGATGGGGATGAACATGAACATGGGAATGGGGATGGGAATGGGCACAGGAAGATCGGCTGGATCAGGGGGTACGGGAACGAACACGCCTGGGTTCTCGCCTAGGTTCTCGTCGCACCAGTTCGCTTCTCCAGGAAATACCGGGTCCGAGCCGAACAGTCGAGCCCAGACGCCCAACTATTCGGGAGGTCTGGGGGAGATGCAGTTGCAACAGGGCAACATGTCTCCGCCTATGAATGTCTCCGGTTCGATCCCAGTGGGCAGGTCTGGATCGGCCCGTCAGAGCATGCAGCAACAACAGCACGTCTCGTTCGAACCGTCCAGCGTCGGGTCGACCGGGTCGTCATTCCACCCGTCCAGGAGCATGCGAAAGGGATCGTTGCAGCAACATCATCCGTACTCCCGGAGCGGGTCGACTACGCCGTCGGAACCTCCTCCATCACCTTGGGGAGGGATGAATGGGAGTTATCCGTTCCCCGGTCTGACACCGCTGCACGAGGGGAAAGGGCAGAGCTTTGGATATGGCGCGATGCAGAATCAGAGCCAGAACCAGAATCAGAATTTGCATCATAACAATGGGATGTCGACATCGTCTTCCCTGACCAACACGCCGTTCGGGAGTTTCGGTGCGGACCCTGTGCGGGAGATGGACGAACGGGATCGCTTGGCCGAGGAGAATACGTACTGGAACGCGTTGAACTCGTTCTCACAACAGAACGGAGGTCCGGAAGAGGGTAATGTCGTCAACGGTGGGAGTTCCGCGGGTTTCGGACAGACGAACAGCGTGCCGACAAGCGGGGCTGCGACGCCGTTGAACGGACAGCCGCAGGTCAACATGGCGGATTTCATGTCGCCCGAGTTCGTTGCACTGCTGAATAGCGCCGAGGGGGCCGGCTTGTCGGACGAAGCGGTCGCTGCCGCTATCAATGGGTTGGTACAGCAAGGAGGTCTGGCTCAGTTCACAGGTCCCGAGTTTGGCTCCCGAGAGGCACCTCCAGCTGTTGTTCCCCCTGCCAACTCTTCGTCCTCTCAGAGCTTGTTGACAAGAAGACTGCAGCAGCAACAACAACAACAACAACAGCAGCAACAGCAGCAGCCGCCAGCGCCGTCACAATCGTTCGAACGCCAGGAGAATGAACCGAATGCGACGCCGTTCGGTCAGTCGAATCAAGGCGATGCGCGGAGGACGAGTCACGTCCCTGGATTTGCGGCGTCTACACCTAGCCATTTCTCCTCTTCCTTACCTGGTTCATCCGGTCGACTCGGTACGAGCCAGCAATCCGCCGGTCAATCTGGCAACAAGAGCGGGAACGCTTTCGGATCGCCTCATTTGCCCTCGTCGGGTTTCTCGTCGTCGTTCGGCTATACGCCGGGATCGCTCAATACCAACCGTTCAGGCGGTTGGGGTCCTTCTCGCGGTGTCGGTGGGACGCCTACGACACCGATGACGATACCGAGCTCGTTGTCAACATCGGTGTCGGGACCCCAACAACCACAAACCCCATTCCAGGCCGGGTCTGTTCCCGGATCCAGTTTCGGGACGAGTGCCAAATCCTTGACGTCCAAGGTTAGTGCATGGGGATAATGTTGACACAATACCTCCGCCCTTTTGCTGATTTTCTCGTTCCTCTTGAGCAGACTTCCAATAATGGACAGCGCACAGGCAAATCGCGCAAATCTTCACTCGCGGCTCACAACTATACTTTTTCCGCCCCTACATCGACGACGACCTCGCCACGACAACCGGCTCCTCGACCCTCTGGATCCAATTTCGCATCGCAGCCGCCCAGTCAAACGGGTACGACGATGTCCTCTGGTACTTCTCCAGCGAGTCAAGCGGCGTTACCCGACCTACCACCCTTGCCCGAGGGCTTTTCACTGGAGAATCTCGCTCAATTCGGTCATTCTGGATTGGAGCTCGCGATACGTATCGGGATGGGGATCGGACTCAGCATACAGCAAGCTCAGCAGCAGTCCGCTGGGTCGGGAGGGAATCAAGCGTCTGCGCTCGACGCCGAGTCGATGCAACGTCAGCTGGCACAACTCATGCAACAGCAAAGCGTTACGACCGAGCTGCCTGTGTCACCTTCAGCTCAGGGCTTATCCGGCAGCTTCTCGAACTCCGGTCCGCGATCAGCTGACGTCGTCAAGGATATTCTCGGGGAAGACTTCTTCTCTTCCCGCCATCCTTCAACGCCAGGAGCTACACCTGGCCTTGTGGGTGGAAATGGAGCCGCCAGTTCCAAGCCGACGTCTCGTCGCACGAGCAATGCAGGCGAACTCCAGCTCATATCGCCGGTGGGCAACTCGCCGAGCGAGTCGTCGGGATTGCAATTCGCAGACAATGCGCAGGACATGGCCAAGAAAGATCCCCTCGCCACGCAGGTCTGGAAGGCCTATGCAAAGGCCAAGGGCGGGCTTCCCAATGGAGCTCGAATGGAAAACTTGACCTGGCGTATGATGCACCTCACCATGAAAAAGCCTGAGGACGGTACCAAGACGCAGAGCGGAATGGAATTGGTACAAGAAGAGGATGAGGCGGCCGAGGAGGCCGATAAGCCAGGTGCCATGGCCGGTGAAGAGGTGGAGCGAGGACGACGTGGGCGTTTCAAGGGTAAAGGTCGCGTCGTCGGTTTCGACGCCGAGAGTCCTCAGGGTCAGCAAAACGAGTGAGTCCAGCCAAGTGAGAATGTACATTGAAAGTTCTTTACTGAATTGTTATACTTTCTAGTGTCGACGCCATGGATTGGAGGGCTGCTAGCCGCTCGCGCTCGCGAGTCTCGGTCATGGACTGGAGACCGCAGTCGAGATCGCGCTCGCGATCTACGTTCAACCGAGTCCGAAATCCTTACGACCACGGCTCTGAAGCTCATTCACACAGTCTTCTCGGTCGGGAGGACGTGGTTGAGCCGAATCCGATGTTTTACGAATCACAGCTCTATAATCAACCCTGGCAGCTTGGTGGAGCCAGTCTGCCCAACTTGCCCCACGCTAGTCTGGGCATGGCAACAGGTGACCTCAAACACGAGCAAGACAACCAAGCCGGCAACAGAATCGTTAATACGTCGACGAGCGCTTCTTCCGGCCCGATCGGCGTGCCCAGGTCTTTCGACCTGAATCAGGCGGTCCGTGCTGCTGCTGCCTATGACGCCTTTGCCACCTCGGCATCCAGCGCGGATGGTCAGCCGTTGCATTTGTCTGGCCAGGTGCCCCCTTCAGTGCTTACCGCTTCGCACCGAGGATCGCCCCTTGACAACAATAGCGCTGGATTGCCAGGCATCTCTGGTCCTGGACTGTACGGTCAGACGGAAGAAAACTATCATCCCAAATACGGATACCTACCCAGACGCGTGCGAAAGACGAGCTTTGACCATACGGTCGAGAAGGGTTCTTCGGGATCATCTCCTGGCTTCATACCTCCTCCAATGACCGCGAAGCAGGCTCGGAAGCGGCCAGCGGAGGCCTCTCCTCAAATTCTGGCCAAGGCCCCGGTCCCTATACCAGAGGACGATGGTGGCAACTTTTTGGATTTCCCGACGGCCGACTCGACGAACCTGCCTCCTGGCGAGTTTCCTAGTACAGCGTTCACCTTTTCTTTCCCGCATTCATACGAAACATTCTTTGACATGGCGGCGGCGACGACGAATACACCGGCCAACACGACCGATATGCTCGACTTTGGGACCCAGCTTTCGGCATCGTCTCCGGGCGACATGCTCAACTTTGCCAACGCTTTCAATGACAGCGGCTTGGCCAACATGACATCCTTTTCCACGTCGCATCAGGCTCCCGTCGAGACTCTCGCTCCTGGGCTCTTGCAGGGCGGTGACGGTGCTCAATCGTTCGATGGCGCAGACCTGAATCAAGGGGATTCGTCCGTGACGTTCCAGCAGATGATGCAACAGTATCTCAACACCAACGCCACGGTGAACCCTTTCACCCATATCAACCCGGCTCAGATGCTCGGGAACATGGGTCACACGTCTGATCGGGCGATCTCGGTCTCGGCGACAGACTCACCGCATGCCGAATCGTCACCCCATGGACCGACGAAACAGATGCCGAGGAGCGTAGGCGGGAAATCAGTCCCCGTCAACAAGGAAGACGCTCGAGCGCCAGCGCCCATCCGGTCGAACAGCTCCCCTCATCTGGCCGGGCTCGGTGTGCAGAGCATGACGCCTTCGGAGCCGTCTTCGAGCCAGCCGACCAAGAAGGGGACCAAATCTGGAAAGGGAGGTAGCAAGACGGGCCCGAACACGCCTTCGAGCGACAACGATCACGGAGCGGGTTCGGTCATCACCTCGGGGGAACCGCCGACCATGTGTACCAATTGTCAGACGACCAACACTCCGCTGTGGAGACGAGATCCTGATGGGCAGCCGTTGTGTAACGTGAGTGTCGGCCTGATACGCAGACGGGTTCGTCAAGCTGACCCTTTCCTTCTGGGTATCGGATGTGGTTTCTATCAGGCATGCGGTCTGTTCTACAAGCTCCATGGTGTTGTGCGACCTCTGTCGCTGAAGACGGACGTGATCAAGAAGAGGTGAGTCTAAGACACTATCAATAGGAACGCTTGGGAGACAGTGATTGATCTCGTACTCCTCGTCACACCTATACAGGAACCGAGCCGCTCCTGGTACCAAGGAAGCCTCGATCCCTTCGCGCAAGAATAGCATCGTTGCGGGTCCCTCATCGAAACCGCCCGCGAAAAAGGTGGCCAAGGGGTCGAGCTCGATCGTCGACCAGTTTACGAGCGCATCGGCCCCGACGAAAAAGGCCAGGCGGACTTCAGATGCCGAGGGTCTCAACGCGTTTGGCGGGCTGGCTCAATTCGAACCGGCCAGCGCCAATTAGACGATCGTGTCCGGTGCATCATAGAGAGCCCAAGAATCCTCCTCTCTCTCTCTCGATCATTTCGATTGCCGGATCAGCTGGTCTCGGTAGGGTCGTGTAATAACAGTAGTAATACATCTTTCTCTTCGCTTTCGTGCCACATTGGAGGCAAGGCGGAGTCTGGACATTCATCCCTTGCTGCCTCCGTCCCCGCTCGGAATTTGTATAAGGATATTTCAGGACATGTATTTTGTAGTTTGGTCAAACATCAGACATTAGAGAATAGCATTGCCATTGGCCATTGGCCCTTGGATCGGATTCGGTGATTGCCGACGTTGGGATTGCCAAGATTCAGAGTTAGGACGCGACGCGACGCGTCTCTTGGTTCATGTAGAGACGCGTTGTAAGAGCAAGCTTGGGTTCTTCTCCCTTTGGCTCTTTGAATACCTTGGACACCTAACCCGGCCCAGCTCATAACGATCCTGACAAAAGGCTCACGACCAAAAGACCTTCACCATGAGCTTCAACGACCCGATGGATCAGTTCTTTAGCGAGGTGGAACAGGCCGAATCGCCCTACATCCTCTACACCGCCCTAGGGATCTCGTTACCGACGGCGGACAAGTCCGAACGGGAAGCCGTCTCCCAGGAAGACGTCAGACGAGCGTACAGAAAGGCCGCTATTCGATGTCATCCGGATAAACATGCCACCAAGTCTGAAGAGGAGAAGAAGAGGTTGGCGGACGAGTTTCAGAAGGTCGGGTTCGCTTATGCCGTCCTGAGCGATGAGAAGCGGAAAGCCAGGTGAGACTTGGGTTGTGGGGTTTCGACAGCCCGTGGGAAACCGGAAAAGGCGAGAGTATTGATAGTCGATGTTGATGGTTTGATGTGCCAGGTACGATGCTACCGGCAGGACTAGCGAAGTGACGTTTGACGATATGGGCGAGGGGATGGAATGGGCGACGTACTTTGAGACGGTCTTTACAAAGGTCGACAAGAAGATGTTGGACGAGGATAGGAAACGATATCAAGGCGAGTCGTAACGTCGAGTCGCCGTGTTCCATTCGCTGATCGTCCGTTCATTGACCGGAGCAGGTTCAGAAGAGGAGACGGAGGACGTCCTCGAAGCATATCGCACATCCACAGGCGATCTCGACGGTATCATGAGCCGCATACCTCACTCCACGACAAAGGACGAAGCACGTTTCATAACCCTCATCGAATCCTCGATCGAGTCTGGTTTGGTGGAACGTCTCGCCAGATGGACAAAGACGAGCGGGAGCGTCAAGGGGAAACGTCGGAGAGCCAAGGTCGAAGCTGGGGAAGCGAAAGAAGCCGAGGAGCATGCCAAGGTTCTGGGGATCTGGGAGGAGATGTACGGCGATGCGCAGAAGGCTGCAGGGTCAGGGTCGGGCAAGAGCGCGGAAGTCAAGGGAAAGTCGGGCAAGAGGAGCCGGACGGGCGAGCCTACATCGGCTGGAGACGAGGACGAGGACGACCTCTCGGGTCTGGCGGCGATGATCGCCAAACGACAGGGATCTCGAGAGTCGGCTATGAACGCCTTGTTCGAAAAGTACAGTCGACCACCGCCTGTCAAGCGGAGCAAGAAAAAGTAGGGCGTAACAGATAAAGGCTGGAGATTGAAGTAGTCTCATCGTTGGACATGTCTAATTTCTGTCGTGATATTCATGTGCGGCGTGTATGAGACATGTCTCTTGTTCGATGTACTCGATGTGATCTACCACTGGTGGCTAGTGGCCCTCTTTGACGTTGGGATATGACTGACGTTACGTTAACTGGGAGGGCGACGCGTATCATTAGCAGCTAGCAGCTAGCAGCGGCAGGAGGTCGTCGATCGTCGATTGATCAAAACGTCTTCGCAGTAACTCTTTGCAGTTCTTGATCGTGTTGTCTTGTGACAATATCGCAACATCACCATCGTCGTCGATAGAATAGTTACACTGGCCACTGGTGCACCGAATTACTCTCCCCAATCGGACTCGTCCACATCCTTACTACGGTCTAACGACTGGACACGCGGCAAACACAGCGATCACGCAGGACGCTTCTCTGGTAAGTTCGACCCCCCGTTGACGACTCTCGCACGGCAGATCCACAAGACTGACAAGGCTATCTCGTACCACAGCTAGTCTCCTCTCCCCAGATTCACGTACGAGAGACGAACCCCATCTCCTTTCAAAGACACCCCGTCTAGGACCGACTCGATCTCACGATGGAGGACGCCAACATGGAGGATGCACCTCTGCAGATCGAATCTGGACCGCATGATATCGATATGGAAGCCGCTGTTCAGAGCGACCCGTTCGAACTTTTGATGAAGGCTTTGCCCGACGACCTAGATCCCGAGACCCTTAAGAAGCCTCTAGCACGCTCGACCGCGGAGTGCGAACCTTTGATCGGGGGTTTTCACGTGCTGGCAGAGCTGTCGTACACAAAAGCACTCCTTGCAGCGGCCCATTTCAAAATTGACCAATACAGAGGGAAATATACAACCCTACCAGACGGGTGTGGAATCTGGGAACCGCTCATGGATGTCGCCGGCTTTAACAATTGGGCACCACTGAGAAAGGTCATCAAGATTCGCGAGTCACCTGGATCCACCATTGCTTTCTGGTTGAGCGAATTGAAAAAGGACCCCTACGTCCCAAACCAACCGATCGAAGTAGCCAAGAATCAACAGAGTCGTATCGAACATGATTTCGCGCAAACGTTCTTAGGCCAGGGAGTCGTGTACCTTCATGGTCACATCGTTGCGTTGGGAAAGACTTTCAGATACGAGACGCACTACGCTCCGATAGTACCCATCATCCAATCGTCCGGCAGTGGGAAGTCAAAAACCGCCCTCGAACTCGCGCGTCTGGAGCTCGGATTCTTCACTTGCGTCAGGGAGGAGCCTAAAGACGATCATCCCGTGTCAGAGCCGAAACGCGACGACACGGTTGCATTGTGGCTGACTCCCTTCAACGGCGCCAATAAAAGTCCGAAACTAGACCAGGCCAGTACGAAAACAGACCTCGCTTACAAGCAGGCTGATCGCGTTGCCATATGGCTCATGTGCTTCGCCGACGAGTTTGCGAAGTATCTCACGGGAAAGTGGTTCAAGATGTTCCATCAGGACATCACTACACCCGTCGACATATCGCAACCCGAAATGGCTGACCGATGGAAAGAATTCAAGTCGGCTGTTGCCAAAGACATGTCGCCTCTTTCGATGGGCGAGAGAGGCTCGGTATCCGCGAGGCGCCAGACGCTTCTCGAGTCGATAAATGCGAATTGCGAAAAGGCTCTGGAAGAGGCCGTGAGGCCCAAGGTCGAGCAAGCTTCGGCGACCACGAGTTACCGACATCATTCCATGCTTCGTGATCTTGTTCTCAAGGCGGGGACCTCTTGGAAAGCCCTGGAAAGCATTCTTCCTGTCAATAGTACCGACTTCATACACTTGACTATCGACGAATGCGGGCAGATGGGGAGTGATCAGTTGACATCTCTTCGATCACACTTCAACTCGATGAAGCTTTCTCGCAGCTGGGTCCTACTGTTGGATACCAACACGCAGATCTCCAGGCTGGCCGGCAGTGAAGCGTTGAGTTCATCCGCGCGGCCGATGCGCGGTGCCTTGAAGCTTTGCGAGCCGTTCTCATTCCTACCACAAGATTTAGGAATGATCGCCAAGCGCAAGGCATATATGGACATTTGCGAAGGCAGAGATCGTTCGAAGCTTGACAGCGACATGAAGGAATATCTCCCCTTGATGGGTCGTCCTTTATGGGCGGACTCGTGGCTTCAGAGGAGCGAGACGGGTGGGCTCGTCTACGCTGGCGTAGACCTGACGCGCGTCTTCTTGAAGCTCACAAAAGTCGCCAAAAAGGGAGCAACGCCTGTGGAAGATAGTGAACAGATCATTGCACTCTTCACACAAAGGTTTCCGTTGGCAATTCCTGGCTTTCACGGTATGCCGCATCCAGAGCGATATTGTGTTCGCCCGCAGTGGATTATTGACTTACGCTCAATGGATTACATCTTCCGCAGGGGTGGTCTCTCATAGGAAATTTGCGGAGAGTCTTGTTGAAAATCATCTACGCCGCTTAGAAAAGGTTCTGCCACGGGAAGGCGCCATCATAACGAATACCCCATCGGAACCGATTCTCAGGTATGCTCGATAGATCGATTGACGTGGCAAATATTTGCTGAACTTCTCGCTACGCACCTACATCTCTTTATCCTGACACAGTCTAGCAGCGACTCACGAGACAAGGCAGCATCCACGACATTATTGGAGGAACGCCATCAAAGCTATTCACCACGGCGTGGATCAATTCCAGATCGATGTTGGAATGTCGGGAGAGGAATTCGCCCTCATGATGCTCTCGGCTGCCGCTGACGGTGCAGCTACAAAGTGGCAAAACCAGCACGACACCGTCGATACTCTCAAGCCGATCAGATTGTCCATCTGGCTAAAAGCACTGTTTCATCGGTTGAACGACGAGCAACTCGCGCCCGGTTTCAAGGAATTGCTAGTCTGGGCCGATGACTACTTTGTCAACTTCACCCAGTTCGTGACGATGAGCCGGGTCGCTACCGACGGCGACCATCTACCTCACTGCGATATGGTGCAAGCCTGGGTCCGACGCGCAGCGATCCGCGGTGCGCCGAGGCAAGCTGGTTGGGACCTGGCTGTGCCCATTTATTACCAATTCGACCCGAACGCGCCCTTTGACGCCAGGAGGATCATATACCTCGTCATCCAAGTCAAGAATACGGTCAACCCCAGTTCCTCGAAGTGGCAATGCGATTTCGCAACCGGATTGAAATCGTTCTCGGGAGAGGCCCTAATGGCTCATCGACGCCTCTTCATCTGGCTCGACCTGAATCCAGGCGGCAATGAATCCCTCGATATCCGACCGGATCCCCGTATGCCCGGCACTAGTATGCAGACTCGATCTCCCGTCACCTCTGAGCCCGACTTTCACCTCTACGTTGCCGGTCACAGCGAAAACGTCTATGAACCGTTGCGTTTCCTTGAGGAGGCGTTCGAGACGCCGGGCGAGATGTCGTTGGCCGCGGCTCGAATGGGTGCTCTCATTGGTTCCATGCGAGCTTACGGCTCTGGTCCTTTCGACAAATCTGGCCTCGATGAGGAACTCCTCAAGCAAGATCAAGCTTTCTTTAGAGGTTCCTTCCCGGCGTCCGCTGCATAGCCCAACTAACTAGACGCGCTTCGACTCTGGGGTGACGCGAAGAATCAGATTCACCATCGAAACACACACACAAAGCTATGCATGCACTTGTATTACTAATCGGCTGTACAACAGATCCGCCTGATATGTCACACCATACATCTATACCCGTCCTCCCTTCCGTGTCTCCTTGTCTTCCAATGATTTCCCTGTCGACATGCTCTACGCTCTATGCTTTATGCTCCTGCGGGCAAGACGCTCCCCTCAAAGAGCGACTTGACGGCAGCCCGCAAATCTCCGGACGATTCGATCAGGCAGGTCTTGGCTTGGCTGGGTGTTAATGAGAATTCCTTGACCTGTTTTTCGAGAGGGGTTTGTTTTTGGGATTGGAGCGGATCGTGAAGGGGAGGGAGGGAAGGGAAGGAGAGGAGAGGAAGGTATAGTACGTAATGTATAGAAGAAAAATCAGCTTTCCGAGGTCGGATTGTCAATGATGATGATGATATGATGATGATGATAATGTTGTCGTTGTTCAACCGGATGATCCGAGTTCCTTCTCTGCGTCTCTTTGCTTCCTCTCTATTTTTACTTTATCCCCTCTTCACCGTCTACTCCTCTTCCCTACTCCTCTTTCTTATTCCTATACCCCTCCTCCTCCTCCCAATCTCAGCTGATTCGACTCACCAAAACATCAACGTCCCCCGCCCTCAACTCGCCCTCCTTCAACGCCCTCTCGACGCGTTCGGCCTGTTTCTTGGCTTCAAAGGATTTGCGGATCTTTTCTACTTCGAGGATGGATTCGCTGAGGGTCTTTTGGGAGTAGGTGCCGCCGTCTGCGAACTGTCGAGAGGCGAGAGGGACGAGGGGTAGAGGGGTAGAGGTTGTAGTAAGAAGTAGGTGGGGTGGGACGGGAAGAACGAATGTGTATTTTTGGTCAGTGATTGATCTTCGACATGAGAAGCTGGACAAGTTTGTTGAGCATTAGGGTTAGGAGGTGGAGGAGGAGGAGATACTTGCGTCCATCAATACTTCGCCGACGACGGGTGCGCCGGTCCGTCTCTGGGCTGCGATTCCGGATGACATTCGGCTAGATCCTTTAGTTGATCAGTTGAGTAGAAGGCGAGGTGGACAAGATGCGCAAGATGGTTCTGATGAGTTTGGAAGGTTGGAGGTCGTTGGATGCGATTGTAGGCCATCACAGTGTGGGTGATGGGTGATTCACAACAGCTCGCTTGATCAGAGGATCTTGTGATTTTGTGAGATGCTCCGAGGGGGGTCTGGCGGATCCGAGCGAGAGTTGGGCACGGACATCTCATCATTTTACTTGAACTCGTCATCCAATTCGAGGCAAGAATAACCTGATGTCCGCGCGAATGCATGCCATCGATGCAATCGATGATGATTTCGGGACTTGTTGATCGATCATGGACATGTGATGGGGCGCGCCCGGCGGCCAGTTGCTTGCCAGTTTTCAGAGAGATTCCCGTACCTTTGTCGTCGTCGTCGCTCGTCCGTTGTGGTCCCTTCCTCTCAATGACCGACGTCCTCGTTTGCCCTCTGCTGCTCTCTGTGGGCGATCGAGGTTGTCATGTCGTATCGCTTACGAGCGTACGAGCGAGTGTGTTGTTTGTCAAACCAGAGGCTGTGTGGGGGTGGCCGAAAAGTCAAGAGAAGATGGAGGTCCAGGGTCGGTCGGTCGTGTGGATGGGATGACGTCGCCCCGTTACGCCCGCCTACGCCTACCGTCGGAGATCGTGATCCCTTCGGGAGGCGAAAAACCAGCAACAAACACACCAGGTAGAGGTCGTATGCCTTTTTCCTCATCCCACACAAAGGAAGACGACGACGTCGATTGACATCATCATCCACTCTCTCCTGGTGTACGTAGACATACATATAATAGACGGGCTCTCTCTGGTTGTCACGACTTTTCGCCACACATACCCCTCTTGTTCTTCCTCTTTCGTCTCGACGGTATAGAGCAAAGCGTCTCATTCCCAGATCACAGCACAGTCGCAGTCGACGTGTTTGCTACACCACCATGCAGCTCGTCACCAAAGCCGTCGTCCTCTCCTCCCTCCTGACGGCCAGCACCCTCGCCACCCCTTCTGGCGATGCTCAAGGTTCCCACGTTATCACCCCGGCTCAAGCTCGAGCCTTGGTCGAACTGGTAGAGACCGCCCAGTCCACGGGACAATCCATCAAAGAGCTCATCCAACCTCAGAAAAAGTCCCTGCTGGGTGATATATTCGGAGGAGACGATGGGAGCGAACCACGGGGGTATGCTCCGTACAACGTCACCTGCCCCAGTGGGATCACTTGGAACCGACCGGCCGACTCGCTCAGTACGGTAGAGACGGACTATCTGAACCAACGACAGCCGGCCTTGGATTCCGCTTGGCAATCCCGGACGTCGGCCCAGGGTCTGACTATGCCCTCGAGGACCCCCAAGGTGGCCATGGCGCTCTCGGGTGGAGGGTACCGAGCCATGATCCACGGGTCCGGGCAGGCCTTTTTGCAGAATACCACGGAGGGGAGCGTTGGGGACGTTTTGGGGTTGACGAGCTATGTTGGGGGGTTGAGTGGGGGGAGTTGGGCGATCAGTACGTGGATGGCGAATGACGGTGCTCAGCCGGATTATTTGGTCAGGAACGTGAGTGGTCGACGGTCGTCTTCTCGGTCTTCGTAGCTCGATCTGATAACACTACTATCGTTTGCCATGCTCGTCAGATCTGGAACATCGACTCGAACCTCGTCGTCCCCGCCGATGGCAAGTTCGACTTTTACACGAGCTTGATCAGCGAGGTCAGGGAAAAGGGGGATCAAGGGTTCAGGACTCAGATCACCGATTACTGGGGTCTGGCCCTGAGCGACCACCTCTTCCCGGAACCTTACCACTCGACCAACAACCCCAACTTGACCATCACCGATATTCGATCGGCACCTGCCATTCAGAACGCTTCGCTCCCTTACCCGGTCATCGTCGCCCTCGAGCGAGAACCGGGCGAGATCGTCATCGCGCTCAACTCGACCGTCTGGGAATTCACGTTGGCGGAATTCGGTAGTTGGTGGTGGGGAAGCGAGACCAAGACCCAAGGAGGGTTCACCAACGTCGAGTACCTAGGGACCGCCATGGAGGCCGGTAACCCCGTCGCCGAGGGGGATTGCGTGAGAGGGTTCAGCAACTTGGGTTTCATCGCGGGGACGTCGTCGACGTTGTTCAACCAGGCTTTCGTCATGCTCAACGAGAGCAATTCGGACAGCTTGATCACCGACGCCATCACCGCCATTCTCGGGGAGATTGGACAGGCTTACAACGACGTGGCTGTCTACCCGAACTCGTTTTACGCTTGGCAGACGGACAACAACCCGATCGCCGACTTGAGGAACATTACCCTCGTCGACGGAGGTGAGGCCAACGAGAACGTGCCCTTGGAGCCCTTTTTGGTCTCGAGGCGAGGCGTCGATGCGATCATCGCTATGGACAACAGTGGGGATACGACCTACTCGTGGCCGAACGGGAGCAGTCTCTGGACGTCTTACCAGAAGGGCCTCCAACAGGCCGAGCGTTACCAGATCAACAACACCATGCCCGTCGTCCCCTCGCCCCTCGGGTTCGTCAACGATGGTCTGAACGAACGACCGGTGTTCTTTGGATGCAACGAGACGGACAAGCCGTTGATCGTCTACCTGCCCAACTACCCCTGGAATGTCTATTCGAACGCGAGCACCTTCCAACTCGAGTACCCCGTCGACAATGCTGCCGCCATCGTCGTCAACGGTCGAAGGACCCTCGAACTGAACGCCACCGTCTCCGACTGGCCTACCTGCTTGACCTGCGCGTTGATGGACCGGGCCGCTACCGAGGGTGGCGCGGCGAGGAGCTCGGTCTGTCAGTCGTGTTTCGACACGTGGTGTTGGAACGGTCAGGACAACACGACCGAGAGGACGCAAGAGTACGAGCCCGTCCTCGGACAGTTGCCCAGGTTTATTTCAAACTTGACCGGTATGACCGGGACGGAGGAACAGCCTTTCCAGTCGAGGAACGCTGCGGGGTTTAGGTCCGGATCGGTTTCCGCCGTCGGCGTCGCCATGAGCGGTCTCGCCGCCGTCACCCTCGGATACCTCGTCGTCTGAACTGTCTAGCCGACCTGCATGCCTTGAAGATCGCTCTCGTTGTGACCCTGTGGAACACGAGCTTTCGCTTCAAACTTGCACAACACAACAATACCCCCCCATATATATGCGTTTGACTCTTTACATACCGATCATCTAGGCTCGAGACTGTATCTACTAGCAGGATGGAGATAATAATCGATAATAGCATGCATGCAGGAAAGCCGTGCTTCTAGCAGAAGATGATATGGAGTCGAGATTCGCGAACTGACCTGGCCGTTCAAAGTCGCGCTGGCGCAGAATGTGGTCGCATGGTGTGGTACATGGAACGTACTTGGCGGGCGCACCGCGCTGCACACGATAACAGCTACGGTTGCAACGACTTGGCTTGTACTGCCATAATGTAATGTCAAGCTGTATAAGAATGCTGTGGCCGCCTTGTTTGTCAGAAAAGAGACAGCGACCTGCCTGCGACAGACCTGCCATGGAAATAGCAGGCGCAGACCGCGACTCACGCCGTTGTCCTCCCGACGATTGACCTTTCCATTTGGCAATCATGTTGTCCTTGTGCGCTACCGTTTGGTTCAGACTGATGATCTCCTTGTAGAGCTCAGATACTCGCTGCTGGAGCTGATCCGCAAGAATTTCCGCCGCATCTGCTCTTGCCTTTTCTTCTTGGTTCTCTTCTTGCAAGAGTTGTTCCGCAGTAGCTTCGGGAGGAACAGGAACAATAGAGGGATCGGTAACCTTTGGTTGGACGAGCAGGCAAGGGGTGGATCAGCAAAAGAGGAGCAAGCAAGAGAGGCGCTGAAACAAATGTGAGAAGAGGCGCTCGAACGACTCACCCGCAAGAGATGCGCCATGACAGCAGGTGCAAACCGTCTAGTCCCAAGTTGGTAAAAACCCAAATTGAGATCAAGCGGCGAGGAGGCATTTTGAGCCTGAGCTACCATCAACCTCTTTTGCTCAGACGATACGAGCTCTCCCCCTTGATGCCAGAGGCGATGCAGTTCTATCTCTTCGGGGGGTGGGAGGAATTCCAAGGACTGACGTCGTTTGCTGATACAACAAGAACGATTCGTGTTGCCAAAAGGACAATTCTTGGTGCAAGATGGATATTTCGTCAGCTCAAAGACATTTCCAGAAGATAAAAGTACATAAACCACTCACTCTTCCTCAGATGAATGGGCTATGTGACATCCGAACACTCTGGCATAAGTTCCAACCGCAATATCATCGTCTTGACCTCGAGCGCCAACCCTCCACATGGTTGAATGGCAAACAGGTGAAACGAGGATCTCAATTGCGTAGCCGAGTGAGCTTTACCTGGTTTCATCGCGGATCCTGTTCATTTTCGTATCTGTTTCACCCTTCGTACAGGACAGGAACAAGATGGCAAGAGAGACAGTCGAGTCGTAGTTTGATCATAATCGTACACTATGCGGGACGAAATCTTCGTGTGCCTGGAGCCTATCGTGTTCTGGAAGCCAGTAGCAAGGTCCGGGTATCTCGATCTGGCGCGAATAATTTAGTTCGATCGGCATACCATCATCTTCTCCCGATCAAAATCGTGTCAGTCACTCCGCGCACAGAGTCACCTGACCTTCTTGCTGTGACGGAGCGGTGCAAGTAGTATTCATTGCAGGTTGATCTGATCTTGCAGCATAGCGTAGCATGTAACCAGTCAGTCTGATTCACTTCGGCTTTGCTAGACAGTCGTCGGGACGGACATGCCAACGAAGTCCAGAAGCATCGTTTTGGCGCGAGATGATCGATACGATCATTTCGAGGACGCTCGGTCGTCAGAATACATGTCATGTTCATGCGATTAACACTGAACGTAGATAGCTAGAACAAGACGATAATGATCACGATCGCCTCGGTATCGTACTATGTGATCGTTCGCGACAATCATATTCGCGTTCAGGCGTAAAAACCACGATACAGATATACAGTAGAATGGTGTCGTGAAAGGCGCCTCGCGGGTGCGCACGCTGAAAGGGCCGGACGATGACGGCAAAGGCAAAAGCTAACTAGCTATCACAGATACAAGTCGAACTTACGAACAAGGGAAGATATCTAGCTAGCTACGCGTACGCGTTGACAAGGGCGCGCGATATTTCCATGTCGACGGCGACTCTGATCCTTTCAAAAGAAATACAAACGGCAAATGCTGCTCCGATGCTGAAACGGTTTTTCCAACAGCTTCCCCCCAGCTCCGCTGGTTTGTGGGGCCGATGGACGAAATTTAACGTTTTGGACCTCTTCTGACGCCGTTCCAAATCTGAAACGTTCAAGCTGCAACGTTACTGGATCCTTTCAGGATCACTTCTACTGCCCCTTTGAGTACCAGGAGTATGAAGGAGTTGATCCTCGAAGTTTTATTGGAGTGACTTGTAAGAGAAAGGCTCGTCTCTGGTTCAAATATTAGCAACTTCCTCTCGCATCATAGGCTAAGAGCTCGTCAAGAGCATGTATGTCCATCAAGTCTGAATCAGAACAACTTGACGACTCTCAACTACCATGGTCACCAATCTATACCTAGCTCAAGTCATTAGTGCGCTGGCCGTATCAGGGCTATCTAGCAGTATTTCAGTCCAAGCTGCAACTGTGCTCAAGCGAGAGGATCCCTCGGCCAACACAAAGATGGAATCCTATTACTACAAGGGTCTCCCCGAGGCAGACATGCCTGAGGATGAGGCAAAGGCAAGCCTTTACCGTGAACAGGCTCTCTCCATTGCCACATTCTCAGATGCAGACACAAAGCCATGGGCTTGGTACTTTGACAAGACTGAGGTCGCCACCAAGATAAAAAATGGGGATCCTGGGTATGGGTGTCAAGTAGCCTTATACTTTGATGCCATTGAAGCACGCTATGAGAATTACATGAAGGTCACCAATGGTATCTCTTGGGCTAGACCCTCAGTTATGGCACCTTGGTGCAACTCTACCTTGGATTTCATCGAGGACAACGCGTACCCGGATGCCTTACTTGGGTTCCAGGTCACCAGACCAAGCATCGATACTACCATCTATCCTTCCATGATCATGCTGTTGAGGTGAGTGCAGGGTCATTGCGAGGAACCATCACCTAGAAGGGAAGATTTACAGGACAATTACCTCATTGTGTCGGTAGCACACTTGATGCCGGTCGGGGGAATCTAACAGCTACAGCAGAAGCCTTTGATGTGCATTTCACAACCATTAATCAGATCCCGTTGGCTGAACGAGACAAGTAAGATCCACATGCCTATGTTCCAGGGAATCTACCAGGCTGATACATCTTTGACAGGTTCATAGCTGAGCTGACAAGCATAGTGCAGAAGGAGCACAACAACTACGTTCCCAATCCATACAAATATGGCAAAAGTGATCGCATTCCATTCTCTCTTGAAACTTGCGAGCCATACTAACTTGAATCACTGCAACAACAGATTCTGTCGTATGGACAAGGATGAGACAGGATATCCTTAATCATAACAAGATGATTCCCAATATCAAGAACGGTACGGCTCCCGTCAGCGACTCGAGCACAACTGTGACCGCCTCATCGATGTCGGACACTGGATTAATCGCATCGAGTGGAACTACATTGACACGCGATGGGACCCGACCTGTGACCATCACCGGTGCTGCTGCCACTGCCACCTCTGATGTCGGGCATACGATCATTCATACCGAAGTCGCACACACCACAGACGCCACTGCCCAGACTGCTGAGGCTTCCGGATGAGCCTAAAGGGCAGATCACAGCTCCGATCGAGCAAACGCCACGGGAAGCATATCCCCTACCATTCCGACCGCTATTCAGACCCTTCTTACACTATTAGCTTTTTGTGCAAACTCGCTACACCCTCTCTCTCAAGCACTGTTTTCATACCAAGCTCGTCGATCTTGTTGTTTGTACCATCACCTGCTAGCCACTTCCAGATCAAGCGCTTTCTCACAGACAGGCTTCGATATTCTCAAATCAACATCGTCAAGAGCAAGATGAGAAGCGGTCGTGATAACGTCAACAATTACAAAGAGCAAAGAAATCGAAGAAAGCACCGAGCGTCCATTCCAGTCTAGCCATTCCTTTACCGACACGAAACCGTGCGCGAAATCGTCCATTTTTGGCGTTCGTCCTGATCTACCAAACAGGCCTATCTGAGGGGCCCAGTCTTGTGTCTTGGGCTTAAGCGGGCCTTGCAATGTTCACGACCGGCGAGACCCCTAGTGTGAGAAGGGGTGAAGAGCGATCAGATCCTGACCCTTGTGTATGTGTATTTCATTCACCCAGACTCACAAGAATCGTAATCAGCCTCATCGTCCGCGTTTCCGCTGACTCTCAGCGCTCGGACGAGGACTGAAAGAAAGTATCGGCAAACAGACACAATGCAAAGGGTCAGCTCGGTGATCTCACAGCTGACAGACACTATCAAGAGGGTCAAACGGAACTCACGTCGGTAGCTACCGTCAGACACAGCGGTTGCGTTCGAGAACGTTCCATTGAAAGCATAGTTGTAGATCCCGTTTCCGTCCTGTCCATCAGAGCTACATGTACCGGCCAGCGCATCAATCAGCTTGAGCCTCCCAGATTATTGTAAAAGAAGGCGGCGTCCAGAACTCACTTGCGAGGGATGTATACCCGTTCGTAGACGTTCCCGACGATCTGGGCATCCTCATAGTCCACGCCCGAGGCGGGGCCGCCTTGCCCGCCGTTCCAGTTCCACCAGCTTAGGGGACCAGCTCCGAGATGTTTACCGTGGTTGCCATGAGGTCCCTTGCCCGGTCCAGGCTTGGGCTGAGCACCAGTGTTGGTGGTAGGAGGAATGGAGTAAGTCGGAGAATCGATAGTCGGCTTGAAGGGCAACGATTGGTTCGGGGTGATCAGGTCGACGGTCAACAACGGAGAGCCGACCCAGAGTCTACCAGAGTCGACCAAGAAGCTCCTCGTTAGCCCGACCGCGTATCAACATCGTTTCGACGCCCGTCACTTACCGGTACATCAACGTCGGCGCATCGGTCCCGTTCAGGGTGTAAGTTTGAGGACCCTTCTGAACGCTCATGCTTCCGTCGACCAAGTTGGGCAAGGCGTCTCCCTTGGTATAAGTCGTCGTATAATCCAGGACGGGGAACGACTTCATGCTAGCCGCCACGCCGAGGTAAGGTACCTGGACTTGGTACTGGCCGTTTCCAGCCTGGACCTGAACGAAACCAGAGTAGATGGGAAGCCGTCGCTCGTCCAGTCCTTGCGGGAGATCGAACTTGACCACGACCGTCTTGCTCTGACCGGGTTTGAGGTTGAGGACGGGAGGAACGAACTTGACCCGGGCGGCATTGTCGACAAGGGGTACGGGGGCGAGTTCGCTCTCGTACGAGCCCTGTGAAATCAAACAAGTTAGCGGCGGTCATGGAGAACTATTTCTCGGTCTCGAAACTAACCTGCTTGAAGGAGTAGGCGGTCTGCGCGGGCGTATGCGAGAGGGTAAATTTGAGCCTGTCGTTGCCGGTGTTGACGACATCAAACGTCTGGTAATCCGCAAAGTTGGCGGTATCGTTCAACAACAACTCGGACTTGGACACCTTGATCGGAGTGTGGATGGCGTCGTAGGCTTGAATGAGACCTGATCCGGCGATGGCGAGCGTGTTCAACCTCGAGTCGGTGTTGCTCACGGGCAAGGGGTTCGAGGTGATCTCCAACGCGCGGGTGATCTCCCTAGCCGAGATCCCCGAGGAGGCTCGACCGCCGTTGGCAGAGAGGTAGAGCGCGGCTACACCGGCGACGTAAGAGCAACTGTAACTGGTACCTCCGGATGCACCGAACCCAGAGGCGGTCGGGGCGGTCGACACGATGTTGTTACCGGGTGCGACGAGCTGAGGCTTCATGTACATGTCGTTGGTAGGTCCGAGTGCGGATCCGAGGGAAACGAGCCCACCCGTGAGAGGGTTCGCCACGGCGTTCGGAGCGAAAGCAAAGGTCCCCAAAGGTCGGTTCCCCTGAGCGATCTGTTGCAAGATCTCTTGTCCGTCGGCATAACTGATGACTCCCAATTGGAACCCGAATCGAGGGGGCAAGATCTCGGCTCCCGGCGAGGCGATCAACAGAGCTCGCTGGACACCCGCGTCTGCCAAAGCGTAACCTTGGGTGTAGATATCACATCCCGTAGCGTTCGACTGTTGGTAGATGAGCACAGTCGTGTTGAAATCGATCCCGGCCAAGTCGGCGGGGACGGGACACCCATCGTTATTGCTGGCAGCACCGTTGGTAAACGAGACCAAGGGGAACGTGCCCGCTTCGATGTTGTCCAGACCGATGTACTGCAGAGGTTGTTGACGGAACGAAAGGGTCGCGTTTTGGCCCGGGAAATTGACGTTATCCACGGCTCCGACGCTGAGGACGTCCACCCCGGTCCCGGGGGATTCCGTGTAGAACGTCCCCGCATACCCTCCGTTCCCGGCCGAGGCCATGACCGAAACCCCACGGGCAGCGATCCTGGCTCCGATCACGCTCAACATGGAACCAGACCACGAGCTCGTCTCCCCCAAAGAGAGGTTGATGATATCGTTCCCGTCGGTAAAAGCGTCCTCCATGGCCTTGGCGACGATATCGTTGGTCGTAGCGCTGTAACAACTGAACACTCGGTAGGCGTAGATGGAAGCGCCAGGGGCGACACCAGAGACGTTATAGCGGTTGGGAAGCTGGGCGCCGACGATCCCGCTGACGAACGTCCCGTGACCCGTACAATCCAACGGGTCGTTGTCCGGTGCCAAACCGTTCACACCGTCGAATTCGTCCCCCACATAGTCCCTACCCCCGGCTACCAAGCATCCGGGTCCGAAACATCCACCTAGGGCAGGGTTGGTATAAAACACTCCGCTATCGACGATGGCGATCTTGACGCCCTGTCCAGTGTTACCCTCGGCGTGAACCCGGTCGACACCGGACAAGGGCAAAAAGCCGTACCCGTTCGGTACCATCGCCTGAGGCTGCGCAGTGTTGTTCAACACGGCCGAAGGCGCGGGCGTAGCAGCAGAAGTCGAACTAGGCATAGTGGAAGTCGTTGTCGAGTGCTTGTTGTTTTTGCGGCGTTCGAGCATGACGTCCTCGAAAGCCCGTTTCGTACCCGCCCGAGCGAGGTTCTCCACGTTCCATTCCGGGTGGTAACCGGTCTTCTGGTCTTCACCCCATGAAGAGGTAAAGGCTAGAGGAGCGGGGATATAACTGACCGGCCAGATAGCCTGTGATTTGCCAGAAGTCACAAGTCAAACGCGGCGATCAGCACCGAACAAGTCATATCTCAGCACCCTTTTCCCGTATCTAGTCCAACTTACCGAGATCCCGGTCATGCCAGCGAGCGTATCATAATCCTACTCTCCCACGCAGCCCCAAAGATCGCAATTGCAATTCAAGAATAAACAAACCGAAATTGCTGTCAACATTCCCCTCCTCCCTCCTCAATTGTGCTTTTTCGCCCTCGGACTCACATCAGAGTTGGTCAACCCGACACTAGCCCCGACGAACAAATCCGAATCGTACGTCTGTGCGACGGAGTAATCGATGCCCCTGGCGCGGAGTTGAGAGTAGATGTGGTCGTGTAGCTATATGAGCGTCGTCGTCGTCGTTTCGATGATGATGATTGTGATCGCGATTGTAACCAGACAGGCGGTGAATCGGGATCGAGATGATGATGATATGATGAGGATGTTACGATGCCCGGCGACGACGCCGACGATGATGATCAGACGTGATGGAGTTTCAGTGTGAAACGGAAGAGAGAAGAACGTTGATCAGTAAAACCATAAACTGTAAATACGAAACCAAGCCTTGAAGCTTCATGCCGATCATCTGTCCCGATCATCCCGTGATCATCATACACACCTCTCAACTCCTGACCCCAACTCTTGCAGGAAACGACATCAAAACAACCTGACACTCACACTGGCACTTCCGTCTCGTTTAGCGACCTGCCTAGCGTCTTCGCTGTTATCAAACTCCAACACGTAACGGTTCGGGACCACCCCGGAAGGTCCTCTCGAGTTTGAACTCTGGATGGCGGATTTGTAGTCGAACGCCGTGACGGGGTCGATGAGCGAGAGGAGGCTTATGGCCGTGAGGAGAGTAGGGAGGTTGAGGTTGAACATGATCAAGAGAGGGCGTGTGGCGTATGGTCCGGTTGGAGGCGATGCTGAGGTTTGTCGATCTGGCGATCGAGATCGAGATCGAGGTCTCTTGCAAGACAGAGAGAAGAGAAGGCGAAAAAACGAGCGTGGGGTGCACGGCTGGATAGCCGGTTGGTAGAAGTAGTGGCGAGCGAGTCGCTGGTAGCTAATTAGTGACGGGTAGTAGATATGAAAACCGAGCTTGTTACTTAAAAGTTCTGATCGTAGGCAGAAGAAGAGTGTCCGATGTGGAAGGGATCGTATAGCTAACTTATAGCTTATATAACCCTCGACTCGCTCCTCGTGTTGTTGTGAATCTCTTCTGTGGATCGAGGCACCGGACCTTCTCCCTCGGTCTCGGTCTGACCCGACAGACAACAACAAACAACAAACAACCCTTCAGGTACAACAGACTCCGCCGATACACCGACATCTTCAAACGTTCGCCAAGCCAACGCCCAGCTCAAAGTGGCGGTAATGATGATGATGATGCTGCTGCTTTGTCAAGTTTATACGTTGTCCACTACCCGTGTCTCTCGTCGCAATGACAACGAGCGATCGAGCGATCGATGAGGGCGGAAAGTAATACGCAGGGTTCTTCCAACGCGAGCCAGAGGACGGGGTATCGAGATTTCCTCTAAATAGCCTCTGGACTGAACGAATCGTGTTCTCCTTCACGATGAACGTAGATGAACACGGGAAGGGAGGCAGCGACCGTGATACCAAAAAAGCTGGCCCTGAGTTCAGATATCGACGGTATTCTTGAAAACTCTCTGTATGCTTGTATTTCCGTTTGGATGGAACTGTCCGCAGATCCATCTCGTGTACAACATAGATTGGGGATCTCACAAGTTGGTGGACCCATAGTCTCACTCGGCTCGGCTCGATTCGAATTGCCAAAAAATTGGATCCAACTTTGGCTGAATCGCATTAATACGATCAAATCGAACTCAACCCCACCTTCCTCCTGACCTCCCCCATCGTCCTCCCCGCCACCTCCCGCGCCCTCTCCCTCCCCTCTTGGGCGACCGACGACAAATAAGCCTCGTCACCCCGAACTCTGAGGTATTCCTCTCGGATCCCTCGGAGCTCTTCTATGATACTCTCGGAGACGAGAGATTTCAGCTGGGCGTGCGAGGAAATGCCCTCTGCGGATAGTCGGGAAGTCAAGTTTGACATCCGAATAGTGTGGTCGTCCGGCGTCTCGTTTGCAAGATCTTGCTCCTGGTCTGTCGGGACCGTGGGAGCTGCATCCACACCCTGACCCTGACCTTGAAGGCCTTGACACGCATCGAGGATCCTCAACAGGTTCGACACCCCCCTCCTTTCCTCTGGGTCCCAAGTGAGCGTCCTCTCGCTATCCGTAACAGCCCCCCGGATCTTCTTGACGATCACCTCGGGCGGGTCCGTTATCAAGATCCTGGAATTGGGGTTCGGAGCGGATTTCGACATCTTCTGGGAAGGATCTGTCAGGGATAAGACTCGTTTTGACGGTGCTACCCAGGGGTCATCGCGATCGATTGTCATTGGTCGTCAGATGAGTGGGACAACGAGTAAAGAGATGAGGGGGCTGAAAATTGGACTCACTGATGACGTGCCGCGGCAAGGGAAACACCTCGCCGAACCGATGATTGAACGTCTGTGCGATATCTCTTGCCAGCTCCAAGTGTTGCTGTTGATCCTCTCCTACAGGGATGATCGTCGACCTGAGAGGTATAAACCATACAAGGTAAGGAAATATCAGGGTAAAACGAGTTTGATGTCCTTACGGCGGACTTACTTGTAGAGCATGACATCGGCCGCCTGTAATACTGGGTACGCCAGCAACCCTAACTTCAAGCTCTCTTCCGCTTCTTCCTCTGCGGCGGTCAGATCCTGTCCGTTGGGTCTAGCGATCGAGAGCTTGGACTGCGGGCAAGGCGTAGAGGTTGTTGGTACGACGTCATCAGTCCCGGTCGGGATATAATGAACCTCTTTTACAAGGACGACGCACCTTCCAAGTCGTCATTCTTTGTAATCGACCGACCCCAACCAGAGTGTTTAGGTACCAAGCCAGCTCGGCGTGTTCCGGTACATCCTCTTGGAAGAACAAGATCGGCTCTTCCCTCCTGACGCTCGAGCTGCTTCCAGCCGATTTGCTCCCAGGACCCAAACCGCATGCCAACAGACAAGCCAGAGCATCTTTCCGCTCTTCCCTCAGTTTCTTGGGGTCTTGCGGGAGGGTGATCGCGTGCAGACCGACGATGGAGTAGAGGATCCGGGGTGGGTTTGGGCTGGTATATGAACGGGATTGTAGGTCGATCCAATTTTGGATGGCTCCTAGGTAATTTCCTAGCTGACCAAAGCCATTCAAAGTTGATGAGTCCGATAGGGTACATAGAAAGCAACGCGATAAGCATAGGCCTCGGGGGTGTCGATCTTGTGCGTGATCATGAATCTGCCAGACTTACATGTGGGATACCTAACCAAGCAGCATCGTACAGTTCGACGATTCAGTGACCTGCACAACTCTTTACGGTGATCTCTTTTTTACACACCTGTAGGCTGAATTCCGGAAAACACCGTCTCTCTATACCGTTTGCCTTTTGGAGGTGCCGCTGCTGCTTGACGACGACTCGAGGTCGAGCAGATTGTCCGTCGCTTGGAGTGCTGCCCAGCCGTTCGCAGCGGACCCAGGCTCGGTCGGAGCAGAAATTGTGTGTTCGTCGACATTATCCTACTACTAGGATGCTTCTACAGCTTCAGTCTAGCTCAAGGCGTCATCAATCCACACCTAGGTGTCACTCGTCGCAATGTTGAAAGGGGAAGTAGAACGGGTGTCAACCGGTCGATCGAAGTTACGAATCGAGGTCACGTGACGCCAAACAGTAAACAACCACGATCATACATGTATCCATCTAAACGGCGGTGTTAAAGGAAGGAGAAGAGGGCAGTGAGGACAGTCATATCAACAACAAGGCTCGTGCATGTCCTTGCTGAGCAGTTCCCGCCAGCGTCTAAACGAGTTGCGCCTTAACGACCATCGACCTGAATGCCGATATAAACCCCTATTCGATCACTTCCCCTCCCTTCGACCATCCTCGACTATTTTCTATAGCGTCACATCGCACCTCACACCTTGGCCGCCGCTTCCGGACCTTCATTCGCGATCTTGCTCTCCAACGCGCTTATCCGCCTTTCGACCCCGTCCAACTGTCGCATCAGCTGGCCGATATCGATCGTCTGCCCCGTACTCGCTGCCGATTTCGAGTCCGAGTTCGACGTGGAATAATTCCCTCCTCTCCCCTCGAGCGCGTACTTTCCCCGCATCCTCACTTCCCAAGCCTGTAGGTCCTCCCGCATCCCTTCCCGCTGTTTGTACAGAATCTGGAGGTATTCGTCGTCCGAGATCTTGCGGACGGGGGAGAGGGAGCGGAAAAAGTCGACGAGGCGGTTGGACAAGGTGGGGAAGTCTTGCGTTGGTGTCAATGTTGTTGATGTACTTGGTGTTGTTGAAGAGGAAACCGGTATCACCCCACCATTATCAATGTTCCCAGCCCCAGCCCCAACGGCTTCTTGCTCGGCTTCCCGCTTCTTCTCAGAACGTCTAGCCAAGACCTCCAACCTCGCCACACGGACGTTGTTGACCATATATTGCCCTAGGGCGGTGATCAGACCAGAAGTGAGCGCCGCTCGGGGAAAGGTCCGTCTTCCTCCTGATCCGCGGTAAGATAGGTTTTCGGGCCGGCCGAGCCAAAACCGAGATGAAGATGGTTTCGAGATCGATTTTCCGTCGAAGGGATCGTCAAGGGGATAGTGTCGAATTAGCCTCGATCCTCCATCCATAGAACGAACGACCCGGAACACAACCCTCTCATGACACTAATCACGAATTGTAAAATAAGATGATCGAGAGGAGTTGAGAGTGCACTCACGGAACGTCCAACTGATCCCCCCTCCCGTCAACGCGCCCGCCAAGGCGGAATCCAACACCCTATCGTTCCTCACTCTCGATATCGCCGTCTTCTCATCATGTACCCCCAGGTTCAAGTCCGGGCTCGTCTCCAACTCCGAGCTCGAGTCTATGGCGTTATGGGTGTGGTGAGATGGGATGGCACGGATATTGGGAGGTGATGTGGATGATGACGTCGCCTGATTCTGAGTTTGATCATGGTGCAGCTGATGCAAAGCCAGTGAACGGGTGTTGTATGAAGGGACAGCCTGGGAGAGGGTCGCCAGGAGTAGAGGGGATACGAGGTATTCCCTGATCGCTATCCTGACCGATATCAGAAGACAAATCGGATCGCAACCCCGGGATGAAGATGAAGATGAAGATGGAGCTTGATTAGCTATCGCTCAACGAGACGTCGACCCTGACCTTGATCACAGGAAAGATGATAAGAGCGCCATGCCAACGCTGAAGCTTACCGAAAAAGGTTAGACCGGCGATGGATCCGTTCAGACCCATGTTCATACCCAAGGCGAACGGGTTCTGGGCTTTAAACGCTGCCAGAGTGGCGCCCGTCGCAGAACCTAGGACAGCTAATGAAGATAAAGCGGGAAGTGATCGAGCACGAAAGATCAGTATTCAGTATAAACGGGCGAGGTGGGCTCTAGCACAATACGGTCTGTGAAGGAGCATTATCTTACCCAGCGTCAAGGTACCCTGGACGACGAGCAGAGGAGAGTCTGGGTCGAAATTCTGGAGCGGAGTCGTCATTTTCGTTATCCTCGCACGGTTCAAGCTAGATGCCAGATGTGATACAAGAGAGATACTAGCGATGTAGAGCTAGAGAGAGGAACGTTCCAAGAAGCAAGAAGTCATCAAAAGGTCGAAAGTCGTCAAAAGTACGGTCGGATGTTGATTTACTTCCGGGGGGAGCTCATGCCGTTATCTTTACGTGAGGATGTTTGCCTCCGAAAGCTCGCTTGCCGACATCTGCTTCCGGGGGTGTCCGTTGATGACGTCGATGACTTTGGCGGGGAATATGGGCGAAAAGGCATATAAGGGGGGGAGACCGGAGACCAGAGCTTGTGATCGGGAACCCTTGTCATACGGATTCAACAACTTTCATTCTAATACCTAGAAACGCCCAACCCGCACACTCTAATCGCACTACATAAACACTTTATCTACCATGTCCAACACCGCTACCACCCTCGGCCTCCGATCCGGTCTGTTCGACCGAAACCTCTCGGTCCTCGCCATCCCCGCCGTGAGCATCGCCAAGGCGTCTCCCACTACTCTCATACTTTCACGTCCATCAACATAGACTAACATCCGTTCCTCTCTTTTTCGTTTCGTCGAAATTTCAAGACCTTTGCCGTAGCGTTCTTGCCCCATACCGTCAAGGTCATCTTGCTCGGCGACAGGTTCGACAACGAGAAGCCCAGGGCGCAGACCAACTTCAAGGTCACCGACGATTCGATCTACAGGGAAAAGATGTGAGTCGTCCCGTTTTTTATTTCAGATATAATGATGGTTTGACTAATGCCGAGTTGTCGTGCTGTAATTGATCGTTGTAGCAACCGATTGGCCGCTATCCACACCAACGGAATGGAAAACTTCCCCTTGTTCGCCGCTGCCGTTGTGAGCACCTCCGCCCATCATCTTTCCGCCTACCCAGACTCTGACTAACAAGACATAACTTTTCTTCCCTCACTCCACCCGACTCCCCGATCCTCAACTTCACGCGATTTTACTCCCCGCCTCACATCCTCGCAGCTCGCCGCCAACTTTGCTCGTCTCCCCACCCGTCTCCTAAACACCTTCTCCCTATCCTACCTCGCCTCCCGTGTCCTGTTCAGCTTCATCTACTACTCCCAGTCTTCCACTACCGCCTCCGTCGCCAGGAGCGTCAGCTACTTTGGAGGAATGTTGAGCAGTTTGTGGGTCTTGGTCAAGAGTGGGAACAGGTTGAACCAGCTGCTCTAAGCGCGAGCGCGAGTTCGAGTTCGAGTTTGAGCGAGGTTCGATAGCAGGTGGAGCGGCCGGACGAGATGGAGATGAAGATGGAGATGACTGTATCGAGGAAATCGTATATACCACCGCGAAAGAGTGAAAGTAAAAAATGGAATGAAGTGATATCGTAGAGCTGGACTGTGCGATGACGGGCTGCTTGGGAGCAATGTCCGATGAGAGCTTATGATCGACCGATTCGAGCCAGACGTTCAAGGTCTCAATGTTTCGAGTTGGTCAGAGCTATTTCGTTTGGAGCCGAAATTTAGATGACGAGTGATGATGCTATGAGGGTGGGAGTTCCCGATGTCCCACCAAGCTTGGGTCTCTGTCGTTAGGTGAAGTTAGGTGAAGGTGCTGAATGAAGTGTGGCGTAATCGTTGAGCCAAGTTTGAAGACAGGCTAGACATCATTCAACGGGGCAACCCAGCGTCCTAAATCTCCCCCCTGATGACGACTTTGGTGAGTTCCTTGTTGTTGTATCCTCAGCCGTGACAGGCAGAGAGAGGCCAAGATAAGTTCCAGTGATAGTGTTACGGTTGGGCCTAGTGGTAGCGGATTGGGTCGGTCCATAACAGATAGCTAGATGTCGAAAGGCCGTGAGAAAAGACTTCGGTATTTCTGACTCACAGTTGTCCGAAAGCCCGAATCGGATACCCGGATAGTTGTTCCTATTCCGAATCCGCACTGGATGAAGAATAAGATGCGACTGGCCACCCTTTGGTATACGGTACAGTAGTATATCGACCTGTTCGGGGTTGAGCCCGGATGCCCGCCTACATGATGAACATGTCTCATCCGATTTGCGGCAAAAACCTGACTCGTTGGATATCGAATCTTCACTTCGATCTCGACTTCATTCTTGAGGACCACAACTCGGACCGCCTTTTCCATGTTGTCGGTTCTGTCACAGTCTCTCTGAGTTCAGACTGCCGTGTCCACCAGACCAGACTTTGTCGAGCGCTTTGCGGGTGCGTGTGATGAGATCGAGTCAGGCTTGTGGATCGGTCACCCCGCCGGCCGATCGATCCGGAAACCGATTGGGTATCGAAGCTTCAGACCGCTGCGCCTAGCTAGTTGGAGTTACCATGTAAAGACCTGCCTGATTGCACTGGACATCGCTTTCCTCTCTCTTTCTTCTGACATGCTCTGCCTTGTAAGCTTGTTGACCAGATCTCGATTAAATAAATGAGCTTGAAGATACTTGTATCAAGTATACCTTCGTCAAGATTTTCCCGGAAGACCAGTATTCCATGCCCTTGTTTGCGACTATAATGCGAGTACATGAGTTAAGCCTTCAGTACATCGCTGTGACATTGTCATTTCATTTCCGCCAACCAGACTTTTTAGGGGACCAGGGGAGTGTACTTTGTGATGCCTTTAGTAACGCCACGGAACTGCAAGGGAAACGAGAAGATGTTCCGGTATTCTTGATCTCTCCTGTTACTGCGATTCCGCGCAGGCTTCGTATTTATCTAGAGGCAAGCTACTGTAGCGATGCTTAGATCGCAGCCAGTCGTCTCGGGAATCTGAACTATTTGCGCCGTTCGGTCGTTCGGCATCCCCGGATCCAAGCTTCAACTCCGTTTCTACAGGTCACAGGCAGGTGAAACGCAGGCGCGCCAGAAGAGATTAAAAACTATGAAACTCGGCAGGAGCGGTGAGTGGACAGGAACGTGCGGATGATACGATTCACCTCGCTGCGTCAGGTCCACCGATCCGCGGCGTTTCTCATCCTTGATGCTTGGCCAAACTCTAGCTGATAAGATCGTTTCATTCACATGACGACTAGACGAGCCAGGTCCTTGAGCGGTCGCTAGGGGGATTCCTCGCAAGCGGAGCATTCGCTTTGCGTGGATAAATGAAATGGTTCCAACCGTTATCTAATCGCTACCAAAGGCACCGACCGGGGTTGGTCCCGCTGGATGTCGACAATTCTATTACCTGCCCGATCAGACAAGACAGACGGGCTGCGCTTCTTTAGTTCTCAACCACCAACTGCAACCTTCCAGGTTCTGGTCATGGCTGCCAGCCTCCTAGGACTGGAAGATTGACACGAAGTACGACGTCGTTACAACGATTTCCGCTCGACCTCCGTCTGACCAAGATGCAAGGATGACGTTTGTTCACCTCGGCGATGTGAGTAGCAAGGAGGATCGGCCATTACCGGAGCTGCCAAGGGCACTAGTGCGGATTCGCGACGAAGAGGTCGGGCCCCGAGGACATCTGAGCTTTGGCGCTAAGAACAGAGGGTCATCCCCCTCGGCCGTCGATTTTTCTTTCGCCTTTTCTTCTTTGTGCGCCGTAGAGGTGGTAAGGGCGAGCGATTCGAGGGTTGCATCAAACGGAATGTCGACGTCGACTTGACCGACCAGCTCTACCTGGAGCGAGGAGGTCCACGGAGCCTGGTAATCGTTCGATACCCCCTTCGTTCGTTCCGCCAGACCTCTGATGAAATCACCGATTCCAAAACCTTGCAATTGCACTGTACCCCCGAACTCGGGAACCATTCCTCCCTGCATCAGCTGCTCGGCTCAAGACCGGATGTTTCGTCCTGCCTGAGCGAGAGAGAGAGGAGGGGGAAAACATCCCGACCGCCGACCGCGTCCTGCCCTGCCGCACCTTGGCTTTTTGGCTTTTGCGGGTTTTATCGCCGCACCTGCTCGCGAAAATCGCGAGACGGTACTCGTAATACTCATCAACCCACCCTGGCCACTCTGTACTCTGTAGCTGTAGTCGAATGCGATATCACGTATCGTTCCGGTTCATCGTATCGACAATCTTGCAATATCGTAGAACGAAATAACATACAAGCTCGTCTTACCTCGACTTGGATGTAGACCTCTTTAGAACCTCTTTGACGTATCGCTCGCCCTTCCCCCTCTTCGACAATTTTCTTCCCCACCTACGATAACCTCATTCCGTTTCAATTCGATTCATTCGGCAAATTAGTCTTTTCGTCGAGAACCTCCCCGCTCTCTCAACAGCACAGATTAGAAACAAGCAAACGGAAGGCAGAGACACACAAGCCGAGCACGCAAACATACTGCGGTTTATAATAATCGTTGGCGGAACGGGAACGGCAACCAGAAGTTAGACAAGCTACATTTCGAGGACCTTATCTGTCTAGTCAATCGCATCGTATCACTCGAGATCCGATACTGGGCGTTTGCACCTTGCCACCGTAACGGAGGGACGTTTCGAACCCGACCCACGACTAGTATCCCAAAAGTTGCAAACGATCAGACATCAGACACTTACTGGGTCTCATCAGTGAAACCCTCGGGAGACGATTCAGGGGAAAAGAAGAAAGAAGAAACGAGCAGAAGAGAAGAAAAGAAGGGAACAGAAGAAAGAAGGACAGACAAGAAAGGAGGCTTGTGATAGAAGGACGATTTACCCGGGCTGAAGGGGTCATCTCGTTCAGACTTGCCATCAAAGCAAAGGACCAACAAGCAACAAGATCCCCATCACGACGTCGACCCTATCTCGCCATCACCATGTCCTCGACGAACGGAACGGGGTTCTCGACGGGTCCGAGTTCGAACCATCATTATGACGGAGGAGGAGGGGCAGGGGGAGGGGGTGTAGGCGATTTGTGAGTCTCGTCCTCGGTTTTGGTGTCGTCCTGGTTGTGTGGTATCTTGTAGGATCCGGTGGGGTGCTGCGAAGTTGGTGAGGTGGTGTTGGGAGGTCCAAATGTCTTGCGGCTTGTGGCTTTGTGGTGTGATGTCATCCGACCTGCTGGCTGGAAAGGCACTAGGCATGCAGCAGCGCAAGCAGAAGTCGCAAGTCGTGCAAGTCGAGAGTCACGATGGAAAAGAGGAAAAGATCACGACGATCCAAAAGGAGGGTCGCACGTGTCGACTTGCCGGCGGCACGGAATGAGCCGGATGGGAAGGATGGAAAAGGTCTGAAGCGTTTCAGGATGAGTTCAGGGCGGTGACGACGCATGCGACGAGATCAGCGATCAGCGATCAGTGATCAGTAGGGGCCAGCGTGAGAAGAGGGGAGAGATCCACCGGGTTGATCCGTCCGCTTGGGCGAAAAGAAGGGTAGTGACGACGACGACGAATGATGGAACAACGTGAAGAACGTGGCGTTGTTTTGATGTGAAACCCATCCTTTCGGGTCGTTCGTCGTCCGGTGGATACTGGGTGGGTGGATCGATCCATCAGCGCATCAGAGATCAGAGACGTGGTTTGTTGTCACATTCCTCGCTCCAGCACATCAGGAAATATTTCTTGTTGCTGGCGAGAAATCGCAACATCGACGTCGTCGACGATAAGATGTCGAGAAGGAGAAAGGGACAACATATAAGCAGAGTTCATTCCTGCCATCCGTTCATTCGCTTCACAAGCATCCATCCCGACTCTGCATCCTCGCCTAGGTTGCATACCGAAGCGGAGAAAAAAGGCGCATAGCAATTTAGCTTGAACCACCCAAAAAGCCGAAAAAAAAACGACGTCGCAAGCACGAAGACGACGACGACAATCTACAACGACCATGACAATGTCTCCAGCAACTCCGAGCCTACGTTCGACGTCCATTCGACAGAACCGTCATGCTGACCTAGCTCGTCACGATTCTGCTCCTTCACCTCGTTCCGCTCCGCCTTACCACCGTCAATATTCTTACCACCGGGACGACCATCGACCTACTCCTCCTCCTGCTCAATCTCATCGTCACAAACGCAATAGCTACCTGTTTGATACTCAGTCGAACTCGAACTCTTCGCCCTCGATATCTCACAACAATACCAATATCTCGTCCGGTTTCCAACAACAACATCATCAGCAGCATCAGAATCAGCATTTGTCTTCGGCACATCATCAACAGCATCTCAACAACAGCAACAACAACGGAACGACCACGAACAACAACATCAACAGCAGTAACAATAACAGCAATTCACTCTACCGGACTACTCTTCCTCATCTGTATCAATCACAATCACAAGCATCGCAATCACAGCAAACTTCTGCCTCGGCCTACCAACCGCACACGACCGCGGGCAATGATATCCCCACGGCACCTTACACCTTCCCACCTTCCGCTACCGGTCTCCTCTCTTCGCTCCACTCTTCTCAACAACAACAAACACAGCCCCAGGTCTCCCCGTCTCATTCGCCTTATCTGTCTTATAACCCTTATTCCAGCTCGACGAACGGGAATCTTAACGGGCATGGGAATGGAAACGGGAATGGCATCGGCACTGGGAACCCGTCGGCCTTCTTATCACAATCTCAAGGTCAGGGTCACAATCACCAGAACGGGTATTCGACACCCGCAGGGAGTCGGCTATCGAGCTATTCGGGGTTGAAAGTCAGTCCTCCTGGACCTGGCACGGGATCGGGATTGGGGTCTGGCCATGGGCAAGGCGCAGGGCAAGGGCAGGGAACGGGACAGGGTTCGAACGGGGATTACTTGGCGGCTTACGAGTTGGCCGTGGCCAATGCGGTCGCTGGGAATCTGCGGGGACAGAATGGGGCCGGCGAGTCTGGTAAGTAGAGTCGCCGCCGAGCTTGAATGAGGATGAAAAACCTTCAGGGAGAACGGGATATTGATCGATACCGATGTTTTTTTTTTCCTTGTCGGTCGACTTCGCAGCTCAATACGCCCAGAGCCCCCTGACTCTGGATCACTTCCGACAATACTCCCGCCAAACATCTCCGCAGCGTCATTTCTCCCTAGATCCCCGTTCTACCCTGCATACGGCTGTCAACACGCCCGATATCTCCCCCGACCGGTCCGCAGCGTCCACCCCCGGGTTGGCGAGCGGCGCTCATGGGTCTCATGCGGGGTCGACGAGAAAGGCCAAGTATACGAGGAGCCGGACGGGATGTTTGGGATGTAGGGTTAAGCGGGTGAAATGTGACGAGGGCAGGCCGGAGTGTAAACGTTGCGTGAATGCTAAGCGTGGGGTGAGTTGTCGTGCTCTCATTGCTGCGTTGCTCCATTCGACCGAAAACTGACGTTACTACTGTCCCCGCGTGTGTATCATCTCGATCAACTTGGAATCGCCAGTGCGTCTATCCTGCACTGCAAGATCTGCCGAAAGCGACCATCCGAGCGTTGGCTGCGAAGAAAAGACAGGATTCTGGAGATTCGACGGGCGATGACGAGATGTCGAGCGATAGAAAACGAGCTCGGGTGTCAGGGTGAGTCGCTCTTGAGGTGTTCGCCTTCGTGGCGTCGATTCTGAGTCCGAGTTCTCTGTTGTTCTTTTCGTCATGCAGGAGTGCTGGAGGGGAGACCTCGGTGGATCATTACATGAATCTCATCGACGAGGAGGGTAACGTCAAGGCCGCGTACGGACACCAGCACGAGCGTGCCGGTACGAATCAGTTCAATGGGAATGGGAACGGGAATGCGCAAAATCATCCCTCTCCTATCAACACCATTGGCTTCTCTTCGGCGCCCCAATCTGCTGCGCCGTCATGGGCAGCTCAGAATCACCCGACTTACGGCACGCAGAACGATTACGGTCGGATCCCGCCCGTCTCGGTCCCTTCGTACCCGTTGTCCGCGCAGGGGTATTCGAACTCGATCTCGTCTTACCACCTGAACGCGACTCCGGGGTATTACAACGGCGGGATGAACCAGTTCAAGCAGGCGTCAACACAGCCGTCGGGCGGTCAAGATCAGCGGATGCCGGCGCACCTGCCTCATTCTTACCAGCAACAGTCTCAGCAGTCTTACTCGACTCAGAACGGTACGCCCATGCTGGACCACCACATGAAGCGGAACGGTTATGCGAACGGCAATGGGCACACGCACAATGCCACTGCGATCTCGTCTCCGGATGACGGCATCGGTTCGGTCGATAACGGCCTGATCGCTCAACATCGGACGTCGGATCCGCAGTACTTGTCGGATATCAGTCGACTGACTTCGCCCACTTTGAAAAGGTCGGCGCTAGTCGGCGGAAACGCTTACCATATGAGAGAGGATGCGTGAGAAGCGGTAGAAGGATTGGCGGAAGGATCCGGAGGCCATCGCCTCTTGAGAACGTCGACAAGTGATACTTTTGCGAGAGAGAGGTGATGAGACAAACCTTTGCATGGGCCAGGCAATCCCTTTCCCCGAATTGTTAGATTCGACACCTGTACTGTATTATATAACACTTGCATTCGCTTATCTGATAATCCGCCTCGAGCTGTCGGATCAGGTTGCGTTGAGTGGTTGTACACGCAAGCGAAGATCAGTGCGCCCGAATCTAAACTGTAATGAAAGCCAGGCTTGTAGGTGAGTCTATGCGGTCGCCAAGGAGGAGGGTTGAGGAGACTCAAGAACAGGATGAGTCGTCCCGTGAGTTTAGTGGTTCTCGAGAGAGTCGAATAAACCAGGATATTGACGCATACAACTACAGTACTACACAACCACGATGCTCGACCATCGACCATGCATATCCCTTCTCTCTCTCTCCGACAATCACTGCGCTCACTGCCATTTTGCCGACCTTGCAACTGCCGCCATGACATTTCGACTGTCACCATTTTTTCCATTTCTCTCCCGACGACATCTCTTCTCTGACGTCCAGTGGTCGTCATGAGCCATGAACGGGAAGTGCCTGCTGCATGCATGTCTAGCAAAATATACGTGCGTTCGTTCTAGCTCCGATCAGGATGGAAGCTTGAGCGCGAGACCTCAAGTGATAACCTCTGTCAGCCTGATTGAGCTTCGTTCCATCTTATCGGCCACAAACGCTGCCTGCATGGACTAATGTAGTATTCGACTCATGAGAGTAATGCCAACAATCTTGTCAACGATGTTTCGAGAGACTTGTACTCGGCCCGAGGGTCTGGTCACTTACGTATCTCGATTACGAAATGGCGATCAGGCGGCGGCGTTTTGGGCGGGCATTTGCGGCGTATTTATAATCTTCTACATCGCGCGTTTCAGATCGAAAAGCGGTGAATTTGGCGGCGTGGTTCGATTCTGAGTTGAAGTTCGATGAGTGGAGAACGCAACCGAGTCGAGTACTTAAGGGGCCACCGATAGGAGAATAGCTAGGATAGGGACGATTGTTGATCTGCTCATCGGTTCAAATCTTTCCATCTATTATCCCGCACGCAAAATGATCTCGCCAATGGAAACCCTTCACGATGCACCAAGCGACGAGCTCGACCCGCGCGAAGGACTGAACAGCGAGGAATTCTTCCCATCCGAAACAGCTACCGCAGTCCCTTCGCTGAGGGCCGTCAACCAACAGTACAAGAGTAAAACAGAGCTTGCCGGCCTGTTCGAGAAGGAAGACAGCTTTCCACTTCCCGACGGTTACCGCCACGTAGGAGTCGTCTTTGAAGGCCTCACCGTACACGGAGCCGATGCTGGCCTTCAACATGTCGAGTCCTTCGAAGTCGCTTTGTTTCAGGTATGTTGACAAGAAAGTGGACAAAATTTGTTCCTACGGCGCTGACGATAAACGCTTTACTACTTTAGATGGTCAACGTGTTCCGCTTCATCAAGCAGATATTCAGCTTTACAACCGGACCGACCCGCCCGATCTTGTCCGATTTTTATGGTCTTGTACCCGAAGGCGAGACTATGCTAGTACTGGGACGTCCCGGATCAGGATGTTCGACTCTGCTCAGAGCGTTGGCAAACGTACGAGAGCCATTCGTCAAGGTCGATGGAGAAGTCTACTATGCCAACATCCCTGCAGCTGATGCCAAAAAGTCAGCCTTCTCTCGATAACGGGTTTCACTTCTGTAGGAAGATAGCTGACGTCCTTCTTCATTCAGGTACCTGGACGGCGAGATCATCTATAACACCGAAGAAGATGAGCACGCGCCGGTCCTTACCGTCGGTCAGACCCTGGAGTCTCTGCTAGCCCTGAAACGACCGCACAACATCAAGATCAAGCATTTCAGCAAGAACTTTACGGGCAGGATCCTCGATGCTTTCGGCATGTCTCATGTTCGAAACACACTTGTCGGAAACTCGTACGTCAGAGGAGTCTCCGGTGGCGAGCGCAAACGTGTGTCCCTCTCGGAGGGTCTCGCAACCAATCCTGCGATTGCGTGCTGGAAAGGCGCTATTCGAGGGCTGGATTCCTCTGTAGCTCTCCACTACTTCAAGGTGATGAAAGAGCTCTCCCGATCGACAGGAATGGTCAACATCATTTCCACCTATCAGACCTCTCAGCAAGCCTACGACTTGATGGACCGGGTGGTCGTCATCTATTCAGGCCATCAGATCTATTCTGGTCGAGCGGACCAGGCCGAGCAATACTTTGTCGACATGGGCTATGACAAGAACCCTCGTCAAACGGTTCCCGACTTTCTGACATCCGTCACTTCTGTAACCGAACGTCGAGTGCGACCTGGGTTTGAAGGTAGAGTGCCACAGACCGCAGAAGAATTCGCAAGCTACTTCCAAGGGAGCGACCATTTCCTGCGCTTACAAGAGGAAATCAAGATTTACAAAGCTCGACACGCCAATGCAGACAATGGAGATGCCTTCAAGATGAGCGTGAAGACAGCGAAACACCCAGGAACGGGTCACGCCACCGCCTTCCGAGTCAACTTTGCACAACAGATTCTAGTCCTCTGTCGTCGTCAACTCCAGCTGTTGAACGCCGATAGGTGGACGTTCGGTGCTCGCCTCGGATCCAACATCCTCCAAGCGACTTTGGTGGGAGCGATCGCGTATAAACCTCCCGACACCGCGAACGGTTCATATGCTATCGCTGGAGCGTTGTTTTTTGTCATTCTCTATTACACCATCTTCGCCCTCGGAGAGATCCCGGCCACAATCAACTCGCGACCCTTGCTGGTCAAGCATCGGGGAATGGGATACTATCACCCTGCCGCGCATACTATTGCTCAAATCCTGACCGACATTCCGGTATACGTTTTCCAAACGCTGGTCTTCAGCGCCATCTTTTACTTCCTCGTCGGATTACAATCGCCCGCCCAATACTTTTTCACCTTTTTCTTCATCATTTTCACTCTGTACATGTCTGTCTCCGCCATGTACCGGATGATCAGTAGCTGGACACCCAACCTCTCCGTCGCGCTACGCTACGGATGCATGGCGCTGTCCGTGGTACTTACCACGGCAGGGTTCGTCCTCGCGCCGCCGAATCAACTCGGCTGGATCAGCTGGCTTCGTCGTGCGTCACCTGCCGCCTGGGCCTTTGAAGCTCTCATGGCAAACGAGTTCCGCGGACGAACTCTGCGTTGTGCTCCGGAAGATCTCATTCCGAATGGACCTGGGTACGGCGATCTTCAGTATCAGATATGCACGATAGCTGGTGCAGTTCCTCAATCCGATGTGAGTAGCATATTGCGCACTTCGTATGGCTCTCGATCGACGCTGATGATACTTGCAGACGGTATCTGGTACCGCCTACATGGAAGCTGTATACGGTTTCCAGACAAGCCATGTGTGGCGAAATATCGGAATCCTCTGGGCCTTCTTCGCCATATACGTGATGATGATCTTCATCGGATCCAGCCTTATGGTTCGCGAGACTTCCGGCTCGGTCCGGAAGATCTTCAAGAGAGGAGCTGTGGCTTCGGCAACGCCCCAATCAGTCTCGACGACGCCCCGTCACGAGGGATCCTCCGAAAAGGTGCGACCGGACCTGGAAAACCTTCCGGTGTTCACTTTCGAAGACGTGAGGTATACGGTGCAGGTTGCGGGTCAGGACAAGCCTTTACTAGTATGTTTTCCCGGAAGCGCGAAACAAAAAGCCACGATTTAACATCGATCACATGCGCCACAGAACGGGATCTCTGGGCTGATCCGACCAGGATACCTCACAGCCCTAATGGGTGCCTCGGGTGCCGGTAAAACCACCTTGTTGGAGACCATTTCTGGCCGCAAGACGACTGGCAAGGTGGAAGGCTCGATGCTTGTGGATGGCCGGCCCCTCGACGGGTCCTTTTCGAGACGAACGGGTTTTGCGATGCAGGCCGATATCCACGAGCCGCTATCGACCGTCAGGGAGTGTTTACAGTTCTCCGCGGTCTTGAGGCAGGAGAACGACCGTACAAGGGAACAGCGTCTGGAATTCGCCGAGAGCATCATCGAGCTACTCGAACTGGAGCCGATCGCCGATGCCATGATCGGAACTTCCGGGGTCGATGGACTCAACGTGGAAGAGAGGAAGAGGGTGACGATCGGAGTCGAGCTCGCTGCTGATCCCGCATCGGTGAGTTCGATCACAGGGTCCCCTTCCACCTTTACCGGTGACTGATCGATAGGACGTCCCCTCAGCTGCTCTTCCTGGATGAACCTACTTCCGGACTCGACAGTCAGGCTGCTTATGAGATCGTGCGCTTTTTGCGAAAGGTGATTGCTCGAAACGCACGAACCCGAAGTAAGGCTCCAAGCTGAACTTGCTGCCTCCCCCACTCCATCAGATCGCGGCTTCAGGTCTAGCAGTCCTTTGTACCATTCATCAACCTTCAGGAGATCTCTTCGAGATGTTCGACGAGGTCCACCTCTTGATGCGAGGGGGCAAGACGGTATACGCCGGGCCGACGGGACCTCAAGCTCGGATCGTCGGGGACTACTTTGCTCAGAGAGGCTGTGTGTGTCCAGACGATGCCAATCCGGCCGAATTCATCTTGGAGACCGTTTCCCCTGTCGGAGGCAGCTCGATCGATTGGGCGAAACTTTGGCAAGACAGCGATCAGGCGCAGAAGATGCTCAATGATATCTCGACCATTACGGGCCGCGGCAAATCGAATACCGAAGGTAGCTCGGCGACTCCCGTGAGAGTGACCCCGTTCGCGACTGGTTTCTCCACCCAATTCAAGGAGCTCTTGCTTCGAAACGCCCGGGCGCAATGGCGAGGTGAGTTCTCGTTCGGGGTCTTTGATATTCTTGCTTACTGTTGCTGACGGTGTCGTGGACCGCTGTTACCCGATCCCAGCCGGTAGCTTTTACGTCACTCAGCTGGTCATCCAAGTCTACTTTGGCCTGTTCGTAGGGTTCTACTTTTACAAGCTCCAGCATACACCTGGCAACATGCAATTCGCCGCCCTCGCGCTCCTCGTCGTAGCTCAAGGACTCCCCTGCTTGACGGTCGATCTCGCTTGCAACATGCTCGACAAGTTCAACCTCTTCCTAGCGAGAGAACGTCTGGGGATCTACTCTTGGTATGCCCTACTGAGCAGCTTGATGGTGGTGGCCATGCCTTGTCTGCTGGTTTCATACAACTTGCTGTTCTTCTGCTACTACTGGACGCTGGGGATGAACGGGACCGCTGCCGATGGAGCGCTCGTATGGTTGAACTGGAACGTGACGGCGTTTTTCACGTCGTCGTTCGCCATGCTGATCGGAGCGGTCTCGCCTTCGGCCCTGGCGGTCCCTTATGTCATCTCGCTCATCTGGAACTTGTTCAATAACCTGTCTTGGGCATTGGTGGTTTATGAGGGGATGCCATCCCCGTTCCATTATTTTTTCAGCGTGAGTGTCGAAGTAGCTCTTTCCGGTGCGGCTAGCGTGTCTGTACGCTGATCCAGATGTTTCGGGGAACACGGCAGTGGCTCTCTCCTCTTCGATATCTCTATGGGTCTCTCTTCACGGCGACTCTGGGAGACCTCGCGTTGCAATGCGTCGAGTCCGACCTGATCACCTTCTCGCCCCCCGCCGGACAGACGTGCCTCGAATACGCTGGTGCTTTCCTGAAAACCTCGGCCGGGTACCTCGTCAACAACGACGGTCTCACCAACTGTCTTTACTGCCCGAGCAGTTCCGGCTCGGACTATATCGAGAACCTCGGGTACTCCAACGAGACCAAATGGAGGGATTGGGGTATATTCGTGGTATTCAGCGTTACGACCGTAGGTACGGCGTACTTGATGGTTTGGTTCTTCAAGATCCGTCCGCTCTACCGTAAATGAGACCCAGTTTCATTACTGCCGCGACAATGCTGCTCGTATGTTCGTGCTTGGCAGCAAGCAACGGGCAATTATATTGGATGATGATGTATAGAAATAGATGGCATGCATGTTCGATGTGACGAGTACGAGTCGGTGTGCGACGAGTCTCATGTCTGACCGACCATCACTGGGGGGCATATTCGTCACCACAGAGCGGGAAGCAAGTACAACCTACCCTAGCTACTTGCTACTTGTCTCCCTAAGTCATACCGATAAGCGATAGGTATACATCTCTTAGATGTATATATTTGCTTCATGAGTAATACCAAGAGCCAACTCTATGGGAAATCGTAGCCGTTAGTTGATGCCTGACACATTTTTCTTTGCGTCGTACGTTATGTCGTCATGTCATACTTTTTACCTCGGATTATCAATCATCCGTCTCGCCTATGCCGACCGATCTCTTCTGCACCGCTCACAATGATATACCTACATACACGCACACCGTAATTCCTCCTTTACGATATCGGTATTGACATGCCCTGTTACTGGTACTAGCCACCAGCTACTTGACCTTCTCTATCGGTACCGGAGATACCCGCACTCGATTTTCTGGCTGGCAACTTGTCTTATCCCCGCTGGTACTGCTGCTACTACTATGATGAACACGCCCGGGACGCCATCGTCTGCAGCTACACCTCGACCATCTTCAGGGAACGAAGCGTAAGCATACGCTGATTCAGACTTGGGCAGGCGATCGAGCGACAATGCTGACGCTCCTCTTTCGAACTTTTTTTTACCATCAGATGCGTGCAATGTCGACGAATAAAGGTAAGCTTTCGACAATTGGTTGTGCCTGATCCTGGGCGGATCTGATATCTTGTTTGATTTGTAGCGCAAGTGTCATCGGCTGGAATCCCAGTCGACCTGTGTTCGCTGTCAAGAGCGAAACCTGGACTGTACTTACAAACAAGCTCAACGGGGTCGAAAGCCCGGGAAGAGCATTGTTGATTCGACTTCGATTCGGGACCGGTCGGTATCGCCAACGAGAAGTAAGTCGTCTATATCCCAACCCAGGCGCCTCTTATTCCTATTCATCATCAGGTGGGCACTACTGTACACTCAGGTCGCCGAAATGCTCAAGATAGAGCGGAGTCGCTCGGGTCCCAGCCTCGAACGATGGGACCAGACGAGGTATTATCACACCCCTCGAGTACACTCAACGGTCGTTCTTCACCTAGCCCGTTGGCGACGCATTTTTCTTTATCACGGATAACGAAGCAAGGGGTAGAACCGACTATGGGAGCTGATGGACAACCTGCTGGGTCGCTGGCTACGGCGTTTGATGATCAACATATCGATGCTGTGGGATTTGATCCGTCGATCGCGGTCTCTGGGATATTCTCGGATCCGTTGACCAAGGGACTGCTTGTCGGATTCGAAGTCGAAGCTCTGTTTGCGTTGTAAGCGAGGCTCGGCGTTCTTGTTGCCACAACGATCGCTCTTGGTTGACAACTTGCATCCCCCCCCCTTAGCTACTTTGACGCTCTCAACGACATGATCGCGCTCCTCGATCCTGCTCTACACTCACCGACGTATTGCCGTAACAGCTCAGGCATACTCTTCACCTCCATCCTCACCGTCGCGGCAAAGGTGACCCGACCGGACCTTTATCCTCGACTCCTAGCGATGTGTGAAGAGATGAGCGTCAACTGTTTCCGGACCGGCTCACGTGATATCGGGTATATTCAGAGCGTCATCTTGTTGGCTTTCTGGAGACAGGCCCATGATTCTACCGCTTGGATCATGTTCGGTCACGCTATACGGTTGGGGTTCGCTATCGGGTTACATAGGTTCGCACGTAGACCTTTGCCGTCGGACGAGTTGCAGGCTAGGTTGATTCTGGTATGACGGTCTTCTCGCCATGTCGATGGGTTCAGCACGCTGATCTTCTCGTCCGTGAATAGAATCGGGAGAGAACGTGGTTACGTGAGAGGTTCAGATCTTGAGTCCATTCATGCCGACCTGGCTGACAAGCATGATAAATCTATTGCCCTGGATAGAGCTTTCCGGTCAGTCTTTTCCCTTTTCCCTTCGGCATTCGTCATATCGCTGATGCTGATTTAACATCTACATATAGTGGCGGATCACAAGTACGTCACGGGGCATAGCCTGAGGCTGTCGCTGCGCTGAGCATGTCCCTCTCGCAGTCTGGCCATGCAATACCAGCTTCCGACCACGATTCCTGCCGAGTCCAAATACCGAGCTAGGTCATGGGTGGAAGATCATCGTCAGCTCATGTGCCCTCAGGACGGCTTCCTCGCCACATGCCTGGAAGTCTGCCAACTGTTTAGGCTGCTAGCGGACCTCCCGGCTTGTCAGGAAAGACCTAATCAGACCGATCATCTGCTTCAGCTGATAAACAAGGAATGGCTCGAATGGAAAAGCGTCTGGTTTACGGGGAATCAACTCCTTACTACCGATCGCGCCTTGCCTACAATCCAGGGCGATGTGTACGCCTCTACGACAGTCATTCCACTCCGCCCAAGGCAGAAGAGCTTGATGCGCTTTTGTGACCATGTCGTACGGTTCCATATCACGGAACGTCACTGGGTCGGCCAAACGAAATCGGCTCCTGGATCGAGTGGGACGGCTCTAGCGTTGATGGACTGTTTCGACGCCGCCATAGAGGTAGTGCTCTCGTTCGCGACCGATCTCTCTGATCATGGGATCCTTCCATATGCGCAAGACATGGTCTGGATAGCATCGAGTTCGGCAGCTATCTGGATCAAGAGGGTATGTCGAACCGACTCGATCGACCTGTTGGGTCATCTTTTTTTCCTTACCTTTCCGCTCGTTCTAGGCTTTCAGCGAGATTCCACAAACGGAGCGAGACCGCGCTATCCACACTCTGCAAGCTGCACAGACCGCTTGCGTTGCGGTCAACAGACAACCGGATGATATGCCAGGCTTCGCTTCCAGGCTCATGGGCCGACTTTTACAGGATTGTAGGACGGAACTCGCAACGACTGCCATCGCTCCAGCAGAGCTGCAACCGAGACGCACCTCGCAAGGATTGTCGAGTGGACAAGGGGTGGTCGATGCCCGGACTGCGAACCCGTCTGATTACTTGTTCGGCGTCGCGCCTCTTGATTTCGCCGACCCGTTTGCTTTCCTCGATCTGTCGATGGGCGATGATCAGGAGTTATGGTAAGTCTATTCTCAACGATACGAAATGCAGACGCGTCGCCTGATTTTCGCAAGGCATTTGACTTCGAAGGCATACATTATTTCCTGGGAACCCCTCGTAGAGATCTATATAGACCACTGATTGCATACCTGAAATTTGACCTTGATATGTCATCACTACCGTAAGACCCTGGCCAAGACAAATAAAAGATTCGAAGCAGGCGAACGTAGCGTTTTCCACATGTCCATCGTTGGCGCGACCGAGCGCTGAGTAGCGTTGAGAACGACGATACACAGTTGGGGAAGGGATGTACCCGGGTTACCAATTCTCCTGTCAGCCATAAGTGCAGCAGTTTGGACGAATACACCCAGCGACGGTGGTGGGCAAAGGGTTCTGATCGATCCGAAAATATCGCGATTGGAGACAAAAAGATCAGCTCTCGCCCAGATTCGAACAGGGGATCTACTCCGATTATTTCGCGGATTGAAATGTAAAGGAGACGCAGTAACCACTTTGCCACGAGAGCAATTTCTGAATGTTTCTTTTGCAAAAAATTATGTCATCTCAATAATCCCGCAAGATTCGTCAACCTTCGAAGGTGGAGGTCGATCGGTAGATTTCAGGACGATCGAGCGAAATTGACGATCTAACCTGAATCTCGTGGATCTCTTGTCATGTTCCCGTTCTACTAAGAATCACTTACCACAGAGCACCGTGAATATCTTCTTTGGTTCGGACCGTCAACACTGCTCGGCTTCGCTATTTCTCCTCTTTCCCTGATCAGCAGGGCGATCCCCCGGAACCGTTGCAACTCCTCGTTCATCTGCTCGATCGCCCACTGGTCTTTACAAAGCTCGCAACAGCTTCGCAACGCCTCGAACTCGAGCAATCACAATTGCAACATGTTCTGGGATGTCAAAGTCATCACCGCTCCGTCCTCGGACACGGACCTCTCCCTGGTCGTCACGTTTGACCAGGACAAGTACTTTATCAACTGCGGTGAAGGGACTCAACGAGCATGCACCCAGCGAGGGGTCGGATTCAAGAAGATGGACGGCATCCTGTTGACCAACAGCGGTAGCGGGGTTGGAGCTGGGTTGCCTGGCGTTCTGATGTCGGCGGCGGATTCGGGAGTACCAGGCGTCAAGATCGCTGGGCCGGAGGATGCGTTGCAGTACTTGGTTTCATGCAGAACGTTTGTGCAGAGGTGAGTTCTAGGTTGGCGGCACATGAAGCTCGGGTAGGGCCTGGATCTCACGTTCATTTTGGACAGGGAAAAGTTCTCGGTCAACTGGTTACCTCATCCTGAAGACCCTTCAAAACCGATCCACCACCCCAACCACCTATCAATCCGTGCCATTCCCCTCTCATCGATCGCCGCACCTCCTTCGTTCCCCACCCCGCAGCAAGATTGGGAATGGAGGGACGTCGACCTCGAGTTGGACAGCTTGTCGCCGGATCAGCTGGCAGGGTGGAGAAGAACAGTCCTGGCGGACATGTTCAAGAAGGATGGGAACCTTTCTGGACAGGCCAAGGGGGCGAATACCAACGATACTTCTCCAGCCAACGATCCCAAACCCAGCGGAGGAGGTTCAATGTCCAATCTGAAGGTGATCAACCCGCCGTTGCCTTCGACTTCGGCCACACCGGACGGACACGTTCCGAAACCTATCAGACAGTTCCACCCAGCTCGAATGCATATCCCTCAACCCATCCCGCACCCATCTTTCTCCTTCACCGCTGGCTCTACCGCAGGAATATCCGACCCAGACCTTCGATATGCATACATCCTCCAAGCTCCACCTGTGAGAGGGAAGTTTGATATCAAAAAGGCCGAAGCGTTGGGTGTTCCCAAAGGACCGAGCAGGGGCCAGTTGATTCAGGGGGGTTCCATCGAGGTGGACGACGGGGCGGGAGGGAAGAAGGTGATCCGATCAGAAGATGTCTTGGGGGAAACTCAGGATGGAGGGGTGAGTCTGATGCCCTTTGCCTCTGTTTCTATTTCTTCGTTCGGATAGGCTTGAGGGGCTAACGCAAAGTGATTGTTTGGAACAGGCTTTCATCATGGTCGATATCACGGCTGCCCATCTACCGCGACTGCTAGACGATCCGGCGTTCAAAGAGTATCAGAGCATCGAAAGTACGGGCAAGCCCGAGAAGCAGGCTCGGTTAGTGGTTCATCGGATCACGGATGAGGTGATGAGGGACGAGCGATACCAAGCGTGGGCGAGGGCGTTTGGAAAGGATACTCCTGTGAGTCAAGATCAATACTTCAGCTTGCACATGACGATGCACTAGGGCTGACATGAATTTGTCTCTTGACCTGCAGCACCTGGTGGCCAATATCGACCGGTGGACAGATAGCGTGACCTTTTCATCTAGTGCGAGGAATATACTCAAGCTCGGTCTATTGGATGACAAGCTCTTCAAGCCGATCTGCGTGGAAGATCTGGGCCAGAGCGATGGACCTGCCATCGAGCCGTTCATCGATCTCAAGCCGTACCATACCACCAGAATATTCCCTCCAAGTCCGCCTGTGGTCGAACCGGCTGTGAAGGGTGATCCTGGGTACCCCGCCAAGGACGAGCTGGAACGAGCCAAAGAGATGGTTTTGCAGGAAATGCCAGAGTATGCTCAGCTCGTACGGGATGCGCTGGCGAAGACGATGGATGTCGATGAAGATATGGCTGCTGGGGACGATCACGGGATGATCGTCACGCCACTCGGAACAGGCAGTGCCATTCCTTCGAAATACCGAAATGGTGAGCTGGAGGTGACTAGCCAAATACAATTCGAAGAGGTCTGACTCATTACTATGTTGCCTCGCAGTGTCGGCCACAGTCGTCGAGATACCAGACTTTGGTAATATCCTGCTCGATGCAGGGGAAGGCACGCTCGGACAACTGAAAAGGCGTTATGGGAGCAGTCTTTGGACCGACATGCTGTCCAAGACGAAGATCTTGTATATCAGCCATATGCACGCGGATCATCATCTCGGCGTAAGACGGATCTTGGAAGAGCGTATAAGGGTGAGCTCCGCCGGTCTTGATGTAAATAGCGGTAAATATCGTCGAGCTGATCAACGTGCCCGACCATATTTGCAGCACAACCCGACGGAGACTTTATACCTCGTCGCGCCCTCTTTCATCGCCCTGCACCTGATCGAGAACGGAATGCACCTCGACGACCCGGCGAACAAGCTTTGTTACATCGATAATTACCACCTCGTCGATGGCATACGGACGGACACCCGATCGCCTTCCCGGACGCCTTCGCCAGAACGAGCTGAAGGGCGTTTCGAAGGTGTGACAGAGGGCAAGCCGAGAAGAAAGAGTCCGAGACAGATGTGAGCCCTGGTCGTGCGACATCATATACGGCTAGTTCTGATCGCATCCTTTACGTATCCCGCAGTGCTGTGCAACGTTCACGCGAATGTTTGAGGGAGCTGGATTTGGAATGCCTGCATGCTCCCGAGGTCGAGCATCGCGGTCGAGCATACGGTCTGGCCATCACCCACCGGTCCGGTTGGAAGATAGCGTGAGTCTCGGCTCCATTCCGAGATCCCTAGGGTTCTCTCAGGGCTGATTCCCTGTCTATTTGCACGCACAGATACTCGGGAGATACGATGCCGTGCGATAGCTTGGTGGAAGCTGGACAGGGCGCTACCCTTTTGATTCACGAGGCTACTTTGGAGGATGAAAATGCCGCGATGGCCGTCATCAAGGGGCACAGCACGTTCGGCCAGGCGGTGGATATCGGAAGACGGTCAGTTAGGGTGGGCGGGTCAGCGTCTCGAGGCTCTTGCTGATATGATGATTTTCGTTACATGTCGCAGGATGAAGGCGAAATACGTCCTACTCAACCACTTTTCGCAACGATACCCAAAGTTGCCTCGGGTGCAGCCTGTACCGATCTCGGAGCAAGACGATGCGACCAGGTCGAACCCCAAAGTCGCCCTAGCTTTCGACCTGATGACCTTGCCGCTGAGGTCCTTTGACAAGGTAGCCGGGTACACGGACGCCATGGAGGTCTTGTTCAAGGAGGAAGAAAAGGAGGACGTCGACATCGATGGGTCCGGCGAGACCGAGAGCGGGGGGAAGCAACAGAAGAACGGCAAGGCGCCCAAGGGAAAGAAAGAGAAGAATGGCAATGGCAATGGATCGACGGAGCTGTCTAATTCTCAACGGAGAAAGATGGAGAGGAAGCAGCAGTGGGAGACGAAAAAGACGCCAGGGGGGTGTTCGTCCCCTGTCGCAGGAGAGAAACGGCAGAGCGGGCCGAAGGACGATGTGGATATGGAGAGGGGGACCGTCAAGCGGACCAAAAGCGAGAATGTAGTTCTGCCTTCGGAGTCGGCCGCGTGAGGTGAAAGATAAGACTGGATCGTCCCTGATCTCGTATGGTGACATGCATGGCATACAATGTAATGAATAATGTCACGATCACAACATTGGAGAGATACCTTCTTGTTTGCCTCGATTTCGGATGTTGTGCAAACATGCAAGTTGCAAAGTTTGCATGTTGCGATGTGAGATTTGCATCCGATATCGAGATCGAGAGAGAGTGACGAATTCGAGGATGTGCTTGTCATGCATGTTGATATGTTGGTCAAATGGTCTCCATGACTGCTTTAGATTGCCTAAATACATTCCCTGCGGATATCATCTACCTCATGATAGAGCCGAGCTCTGGATATATCCCTGTCCGACCAGCTCCTCCCTGAAAATGTCGGAACCAGCTGCAGGATTCACGTCGGCATCAGAGGTGTTCAAGAACATGCCTCCACCACCACCCGGACCATCTCCTTCGATAGAGACCACTCCAACGGCTCCGCCTACAACAGGTACATCACACAGGAACGCCTCAAACGCTCATCTTCCTGTAGAGACCCCGCCTGGCGAGACGGAATCGGCTGAAGCTGGTCCTAGCAAGCCGGTCAACAAGCCGGTCAACGTACCAGCTGGGAATAAGCGTTCGATCATCGTCAATGCCTGTCAGGTGAGGTGATAGCGACCCTCACCTCTTTTCTAGGAAGAATTCTAACGAAAAGGGTTCTGATGGCTAGCGAGGCAACCCCCTCCTCAACGGGATCAAGGGTATCGGATGGGAATACGGCGATATCGTACCCGACTATCAGGTCGGTCAGAATACCTGTGTGTTATACCTCAGGTCAGTTCCGTGCCGGACCATTTGTACGCCTCTCGATTACTGATCGTCCGGAGTATCAATCTGAGCAGTCTGAAATATCATAGACTACATCCAGAATACCTGCATAATAGGATCGAACGACTGCGCGGGATGTACCTGTTGAGGGTGTTACTGCTCATCTGCGATATCGTAAGTATCAACCACCGCGTTAGAACGCAGTCTTGCTGCCATCGCTGACAAGAACTTCGGTTGGCTTGGTCTAGAGCGAACATCAAGAGCCGATACGTGAGATCACCAAGATCTGCCTTATTAACGATATGACCGTGATGACCGCCTGGAAGTGAGTCAGACCATTTCCCCTCTTTCCCCTACTCCCTTCCGGCTGCATTCACGGTATCCGCCTAACCCGTCACCCCTTACCACTTCCACTAACCTCCGGCTGCCTTGTGTTCCTCTCTTATTAGTGTACAGGAAGCGGCCAACTATATCATGACCTACAAAGCCTTTGAACACAAACCGCCAGACATGTTGAAAGAACGGGTCCAGAAGGATTATCCTAGTCAATTGCAGAACGCGTTGACCAGCGTCAAGGGGGTCAACAAGACGGATGTCATCACGCTGAGTACGAACTTCGGAGTGAGTACAACATAATGGATACGAGGTTCCAAGGTCTGTATCGAATGTTTGGCTGATGATTGGTTCATATTGTATGGTCATCCCGCTCGTCATAGTCGTTCAAGAAGCTAGCACACGCTTCATCCGAACAACTATCCCTCTGCCCTGGATTGGGAGATGTCAAGGTGCGACGTCTGATGGAAGCGTTCAACCTACCTTTTCGGCCTGGCGCTGGATCGTCCAAGGAAAGGGATCAGAAGAAGACTTCGGACTTCTTTACCAAGAACGGCAAGGGGAAAGGTAGAGCGGGGACGACCGTGAATGGAGCGCAGGCTGAGGAGGGAGTCATAGGCGAGGCGGAGACGGGGAGTAAGCGGAAACGATCTGTAGAGGGAGAGGAAATGGGTCAAGATGGACAAGTGATCGACGTGGACGGAGCCGAAGACGCGGATGATGACGGCGAGATCGAGGTCCTACCAACCCCTCCGAAACGAACGAGACCGCCTGCGGAAGCATCGCCGGAATGGGAAATGTCCGACGTCGAGGAAGACGCTCGCGATCCGACCAAGTCGACCCCTGCTCGGCCAGCTGCGCCTAGTCCCGAGTGGGAGTTGTCGGAAAATGAGGAACCGGCAGCGAACAAGGATAAGGACAAGACGGAGGGGTTGGAATTGAATGGGACGTTGATGTGGAAGGATCCGTTAGGAAGCGACTCTGATGAAGCTGATGAAGAGCCGGTGGTCAAGAGGGCCAAGGTGTAGAACATGCATAATTCCTGGAGTACGTGGGGTATAAGTGTGAACATGTTGTGGTCGGCTCGTACCGTCGAGCCGACCGACATCGACCAAACCCGAGATTCTCCACAGCGTTGTTCCCGGCCAAGTTGTATGGTGCATCGAGGGAGGTTTTGGAGAGGAGCGATGGGCCCTAAGAAACTGGCCCTTTCAGAGGGTTCCGTCATGTCTCCGTCGAGCTGTTTCAGGTCCTCGATGATTCTCATGCTTGGCACACGAGACCCGCTACAGAGCAATAGCTGACAAGATATCTAGCTGTCAAGCTATTGCTTCTTACAACCAAGCTTTATCAAATGAACAGAAGAAGGCAGCTGTAGCTTGGGCTGGTCCTGAGTAGAGGATGCTTACCTGCTCCGGAAACTTGAGGCAGGAGCGTTTTGAGGAAGACAGAGGATTTCTGAGGGAGGGTGAGGACGGGAGAGGCAGTGTTCACTACGGTTGGTTTGATCTCATCCAGGTGGGTCGTGTTTCGGTCGATCGAGAGAAACATCAGTCAGTCCGGGAGTAAAGTGGAGTGGTGATCCAGTTCCTCATCGCTACCCTAATCGCTACAATCAATTTTACGAACAAGATTGTACTTAGATGTCTCGTGCGCAAGCCGCTGTAGGATTTGGAGGATCCCCGTCGCCTTCTCTGGCGGTCGATTCTCTGTTTCAGCAGCCCAAACATGTCGGTTCAGCCAATATTCTCCGCTGTCGCTCTTCCCGAACATCGAGCTTCGACAACCTCGATGCTTGCACCAACGTCAAGAGACATGAGCTCGAAGTTCATCGCCTTGGACCCACAAGGCACAAGTTGGCGTCAAGAGGCTGAACTGAGTCTCGCCCCACGTATCATGTGAGGTTGCACTATGTAAGCGACATTGATCATGAGCGACACTCACAATCACGTACGAGAGGGAGCTCTCTTGAGATACCCAAAACCGCAGTCCACTGTCTTAGGAGAGTTTGGCAGAATTATCATCTTCATACATTGTCTTGGTAATTGCGCATTGCGCATTTCCTATCCGACTTCCTTCGGGCGGCCGATCTTGTGAACAGTTTATCGTGATATCGTGATGAGTCCCATCCTACCAGTTTTATTCAGCAATTTGCCTGTTTCGAACAGCTCGTCTATCGGAAGCCTGGAGAAATAGATCGCCGATCAAGAAGGTAACGCGCGCGCTAAGACGATCTTATCGAACGTGTGCCAATCGGTCGAGATGGTGATTGTGGCGAATCACTTCCGATATTGTCGGCGCATGAGGAACGGTATCGTCGATCTTGGACTCGGCCGAGATCACAATGTCCCTGCGACTCTTCGTCGAGCGTATGGGCATATTGGTTGCACGTGTGACCATGATAATGGAATCAATCGCAGATCGCAGGACATCCCGAACGTTTCACTTAGCGCCGGACCTGGAGAGGGCGAGTCGGTTATGACCGGTCGGTGGTAATGAACGTTGGCCGTTTGTTGTTGATGTCCCCTTGGGGTATATAGGTAGCCAGAGTGAGATTGGACTAGAAAGGGGAAAAGTTGTACGATATTGCACTTTGGCCCAGTCAGCCGTAAATCATACACTTGACCACGATGCGTTCCTCTCATTTTCTCTCCCTCTTCGCCGTCCTCCTCGTCCTCGGTCTGGCCAACGCCGCACCCCACGCCGCCGCTCAGCTCGAGTCGTCTCACAAGCTAGAGTCGAGGACGATCGGTCACATCTGGTCGGCGTTGGAGTTGTTCTTGTACAGACTCACGCATGGGGGCCAGTATCCTCCGGGCTATGGACAGGCGCCGGTGACCAGTACGAGTACGACGGCAGTTATCGTGAGTGTTGACGGGGCGCCGATATGATGGCTTGTGAATTGCGTAACGGACGTTTCAGCCAGGACGATTGTGGCTCACACCAGGCGTTTCTGTTCATACGTGATAGCCTACCAAGACCTCGACCACTGTCGCTCAATCCTCCGCTCAGGCCAGCACGACCGCCATCACCTCTTCCACCGCCGTCCCTACCACCGCAATCTCGACCCCGGTCACTTCAGCCTCGTCAACCATCGCCACCTCGACCTCGACTTCCTCCACCCCTAACCCCGCAGCGACAGGTCTCACAGTCTGCTCCGCCCAATCACTCGACTCGTTCCCCCTCTCCTGTTCCAGCGCGGCTTCGACCGGCGTTGATACCTGTTGCACGGAAAGTCCGGGTGGACATTTGCTCTTGACCGAGTTTTGGAATACGGGCAAGGATAGTGTGGGCCCGAATACGACTTGGACTGTGCACGGTCAGTCATGCGCTTTTCGACCGAGAGATGTTTTAGGATCTTAGAATTGTGAAGGCTGATGCGTTGTTTTTTGGTATGAGCAGGACTTTGGCCTGGTAAGCGTCCCCTCCCTCTACGCTGTCCAAAAGACAAGCCCGGAATTCATAACTGAATTGATCGAATTTGGAGCTGATCCTCATTCGTTACCTTGCCTTGCCTTTGATGGCGGTAGATAACTGCGATGGGTCTTACGAGTCTTACTGTGATCCCGCTCGAGAGTTGCAGAACGTCACTGTACGTCCCTTTTCCTTTGCATCTCGGTTTGATCGTTTCGCGCCGTCTTTCACGTATCCATGTGGTCCGGTCTCGCTGATCTTTCTCTTCTCCTCTTGACCATTTTCTACATATCGATGTATCGGCGATGACGACGATATCGGGGCTGTACTGTCATGTGATGCCAACAGGCCGTCATCGAAGCTTCCGGAGATCAAGAACTCTTGGGGTACATGAACGCCTTGTGGAAGAGCAATACCGGGGACGATGAGAGTTTCTGGGAACATGAATTCAACAAGCACGTGAGTCCGATTCAGTTTTGGCTGTATTGCTGTGCAGTTATGTTGAAGAGCCAAGGCGCGAAGCTGATATCTGGCTATACAAACCGGATAGGGGACTTGCCTTTCAACACTGGAGCCGAAGTGTTTCAATAACGTGAGCTTCAAATCCAATTCTTGCCCATGTTTCCCATAACAGTCAGCTCGTACCGGTACTGACAGACCGTATTTCATCATTTTTCCCAGTTCCAACCGCAACAAGACGCCGTCTCCTACTTCCGCAAGACCGTCGCTACGCACAAGACCCTCCTCACTTACGAGACCCTCGCTAGTGCGGGCATCTTGCCGAGCTTGACGCAGACTTATACGTTGGAGCAGGTCCAGGGGGCTTTGGAGAAACAGCATGGAGGTGGGGTGAATGTGAACTGTGATGGGAGCGTCTTTGAGGAGGTCTGGTGAGTGCGATTTTGGGTTTTTTTTTTGGGGTTCTTGCGCCAGGTAAGGAACGAGACTAAGTAAGAGGGGTGGGGTGTTGTAGGTATCATTACGTCTCGCAAGGTTCGATCGCGGATGGGAATCTCGTCCCGGCTCCTCTGGTCGGTAGCAAGTCTACTTGTCCCGTGAGTCTGGTTTCCCCTCGAACCAAGGTCATCCCGCACTTGCGGACTTGCTGACGGGAACCACCTTGTGTGCTTCAACGGGATGTAGAGCACGGGAATCAAGTATTACCGTAAGCCATTCTCATCTCTTCCTCCGTCCTCGTCAATCGACATCCGAGCCCTTGGACAAACGTGCTAACGAAAGCCCAATGATCTATCAGCCAAGTACACCACCATCCCCGCTGAACAACCCGTAGGATCCCCCGGTGGAGGCAAGATCGTCGATGGAGGCAAGGTGTTCCTGTACGCGGGACCCTCTACCGACTATGTTGCGCAGAAGAATTACTTGACCTCGACCGGTGAGGCCTTTTCTCTGTCAACCGCAGACGCAGAGGCATGAATCATACAGTAGAGGCTGATTCGGAGAACTATACTTTTGATCTTGGTTATCGACAACAACACGGACTTGGTATCATGTGGGGGTTTGTGGTTATAGGTAAATGGTACGCTTCGGGTACTCCGGCTGGATACACCCTCAAAGCGGTGGAAGGTGGGAGTTATACGTTGACGACGAGCAAGGGACCCTGTGCGGTCGATGGGACGACCAAGTTGTTCTCTTGCGGGGCGGAGGTGACGAAAGGTTCGGAGTTCGTCTTTGTGAGTCCCACCTTTGTGCGAAAAGTACAGTCTTGGGAACGGGACATTCGCTGACCACGAGATCAACATTCGCATGTGTGCTTGATACGGCAGGCCGCTGATGGCACGCTCACCCTCGGTGGATCTGGCGCGTTCTCGGCTGCGCAGACGCCTTCGGGCCAGAACCAGATCCTGGTCTACCAGAACAGCGATAACGCTGTCAAGCTGGTCATCGTGGGGATCGCTCAGTAACTGAAGGGCGTTTGGGGGTGTATATGAAATGTTGTAGGTGATGGCGAAAAAAAGAGAGAATGGGTTGTGTGGATGTACGCAGTTAGATGATGCTTGAACCATGCGTGATGAAGTCAACGACAAGTCCAAGCTCTGTGATCGCATCGAATTGATGATGACGACAGCATAATCGACATCGATCGATCGACCTCGTACTCCTCCTCCTACCCTCGACCACGATTCCTCTTACATCTACTGCGCACTCGTCGAATGTTGGCGAGAACCATCTTGAGACGCACCACACGATCCATCGCACCTCGCAACGCACGTTATTTTTCGCCTTCCGTCACCATCATGTCCCCTGAAAAGCAACAAGAACCCAGGGTCATCGAGAGCATCGACGTTCCCGGGGATGGGATGAAGTGGGTCAAGCTGAGAAAGATCAATTGGGAGGATCAGACGGGAAGGAAGGTCCGCTCCGAGTCTCTGCACGCAAATTCACGGCGTCCCGTCCTGTGGTGCTGACGTACATGGTGGATCCATTGCAGCGAGTCTGGGAAGCCGCCGATAGGTCGACTAGGAAAGGAGAGATCGACGGTAAGCTTTTGCTTCTCCTTTTTGCCCTCCTCCTATCCTCTGTCCATCCTCTATCTATCGTCCTCGAAGAAGTTCTGACTGATAAAACATATACGATTGAAATGATATCGATCTTGTTCGTCGTAATAGCGGTAGCTATCGTAGCGCTCATCGCACACCCGAAGAAACCGTTATCGACGGTGATCATCGAACAGTACAGGCCGCCTATCGAGAAATACATCATCGGTAAGTCCAGTGCAACTACGAATACAACATCTCTACTACTTCTTCGTTACTCGATGTCAATCTTTGTTATTAACAATTTCATTGACTTTTCTGGATGGAATACGTTGCGTTCCAACAGAGCTTCCCGCGGGATTGGTCGATGAAGGAGAATCCGCCGAGTAAGCCTTTGTCCCATTCTCTCTCTCTCTCTCTCTCTCTCTTCTTTTTCAGCCGTACCTCATTTGCTTGAGTTGACTCGACGCTCACGTTGATCTTGACAATGATAGGACGGCAGCTTTACGAGAGTTGTACGAAGAGACTGGGTATGGGGGCGGGGATAAGGGCGGGGGGAAGGCGACTGTGAGGACTGTCACGCCGATCCTGGTAAGTCTCCCATCCTGTTCCGTGTTTCCTTCTTCCTTCTTCCTTCTATACAGCTAAATTCATTCCCCGAGCTGATTATATGTGATCGCATTTCTGCCCCCCCCCCCTTTTTTTTGTTCCTTGGTAACCCTTTCGGATCTCCCCACGTCATCCTACGTTCCCCTTGTTCTCATCATCCACACCACACCACGACGAACGGCAACCTAACGACAGGTCTCCGACCCAGGCCTTACGAGCGCTAATATGAAGCTCGTCATCGTCGACGTTCAATTGACAGAGGACGATCCGGAGCCAGAGGCCAAGTTGGACGAAGGGGAGTTTATCGTCAAGAGGATCGTCGAGATCAAGGATTTGTGGAAGACCTTGGAAGGTGAGGTTGTGATTGAGGTTGAGGTTCGGGGTTCTGTAGCGTCCCACGTGACGAGCTGACGAGACCTGTGTTTGCGGGTCGGTTTTTCGAATAGACTATTCGGAAAAGGGGTTCGTACTGGACGCTCGCCTCTCACACATCGCCATGGGTTTGCACCTCGCCGGACAGCTCGATAAAGAGTGAAGTACAAGCGGAGGTTCGGGCGATACCCTATAGTAATATCATCGATCCCGATTGGTTTGTGGAGTGGGAGTTGTTGTCGAGTCGTAGGGTCGGGGTCTTCGTTTGCGTCGAGTGTGGATTCGAAATGTACTGCAGGAAATACGATGACGATGTACGTTACATATACTCTCGAGCTCCTTGATCCCGTCGTCCTTCACATCGAGCGCCAAGCTGCTCGAAGCTCACAGGCTATACAACAAACGAAACAAACAAACAAACGAAACAAAACCCACCATGTATGCTCTCGCTCTCTTCTTGCGGTTTGCTCTTGTGTGCTGCTGGATTCAGGAGAACGAAAAGGAGGACCTAAATGAGGAGGTGGATGAAGAACTGGAGATCGTACTTGAAAAGTGGGTGGGCTGCTGATTACTTCGATCCCTGCTTTCAGTTCGTTCGAGAGGTGCCCTGCTCGTAGAGTACTCCTTTGCGCCGGTCACTTTCCACCAGATATCCTAACCATCTTTTCAACGTGATAGACCTGAGGTCGTTTGTTGAGAAAAGAAATCTATATATTTTGCAGTCAGCGGAAAGCGCAGATATCTACGAGTGGAAAAGGAGATGTTTTGTGGATCTCAGTCAAAAGGGAGACGTTTTGCGAGTCGACCCAATTTGTTATTAGAATGACCGTTCTAGCGAAAGAGCGACGAGTTAGCAGAGTCGTAGCAATAGACTTGATTTGAAAGACCCACTCACTTTGTCCAATAACCCCCCGCTCACAACACCCTCGTCCCCACCCGCATCCTTGTCTCCCATACCCTTGCTTACACCCTTGCCCTTGCCCGTACCCTCACCCTTGCCCGCTACCTTGCCCCCAATTCCCTTGCCCAAATCCTGCTGCTGAAAAGGAGCTCTAATGACTTTCCCTACGGTCGTGCGAGGAGTTGGCGACTGAGTATCCCGTCGTTTCCGTTTCAGGGCTAGGGGTGGTGCGGGTCTCGAGCTTGAGCCGGTCTGCGTTGTTTGGGAGGTCGACAAAGTCGACGGGAAAGGAAAGTGGTACGGCGGAAGAGGAAGTTGTTGCTTGGACATTTGTTTGATGAGTTGGGGATATATTAGATCGACGAGCTATTTTATCAAATAACAAGTGGTTTGATCAGAGGTTGGACATGAACTGCGAACACTCGAACATGACCTGCAAACACTCGACACGACCTCCGCCTCTTGATCACGGATCGACAAGATCGAGCGGAAACAGATTCAGAGGCAAATTGTATGCACAGGAGGGGTGAAACGTCGAGCATACGAGCTGTTTGTACTACAAAGTTCAAGACACTGGTCCGTATAGCCATAGCGAACGACCGGTCAATATTCTCTTCCTCCTCCTTGCGCTTCCAAACACGTTATTGCCAGCTCTTGTACAACTCTATCTGTTCCTGCCACTTCCAGTCATTTCGCAACCTCCAACATCGTCTCGATATATCCCATGATGGATCCTACTTGCATCCCGACATCGATGTTCAGAGCGATTGTCATATAGCAAATCATCAAACGCAGTGTCGGTGGTGGCAGTGTTGTCTTTCATCTTGTCTTGACAAGAGCACAACAACTCCGGCAACTCTTTCTCTTTCGGGAGAAGACCAGTCTCAATGGAGCACCCCAAATCTTTCGTTCCAGCTCGACCATGATCGAGGTCCCGTTGGCCGACCCAATTGACATGGTCGATAACCAAGGTTGGTAAGTTTCGCGGCAATACAACAATACGAAATTCTTGGGCAAGATCGATGGCGTCCCAGGCATCAGATGGTATCGGGGTGGAGGCGCTTGAAGGATGAGCAGCAAGACTCCAAGGCGATAGTACCCTAGGGCCTGGGGGTTGGGGTAGCGCTTGGAAGATGAGCAGCAGGAGCTGTATCCAAAGGCGAAGGTACCCTGTGAGCAGCCCGTCTCCATCTCCTCGGAGTGGGCTTTGGACCCCCTGACGATAGATCCTGTTGCCTTCTCTTCTTGGAAGGCGGGACGACGAGGAGCTCCAGGGAAATCGGGAGTCGGGAAGCTCTCCGTGGCGTTTTCTCTCTGATGCTAACTTGATCGAACGCTACCCACTCCGGGTTGGATCAGGCGGACGGGACGGGACCAAGATGAGCGATGTCTGATGACGCTTTGGCGACCTGGTCGAACGACCTACGAGTTCAAGCTGACGAGGTACGTCATTGCAAGAAGCTCGAGGTGACACGACTCGGGACTTGCATGACATGAGACGCACGCAGCGCGAAAGGATGGTTGAGAGTGATTCCATCAGACGATTCACTTGCCATTGCCACCACGGCGTGACATTCATGACATGAGCCGGCAAAAGAAGTGCCGTGTGGTAGCCGGGTTTCAAGTGGATCATCCATCGCCTCGTCAACCGCCTCCCTCACCCGGATATATGATTGAGTTTACATCCGTGGGAATCGTCGGTTGTCACCCCCACCCCCCACACGATGCCGGAAGTATATGGCTGACCTCGGCTTATGTCAGAAGGTGACGACATCGTCATCCCAGGCAGAAGTGGCAGCAGGGGAGGAGGTTTAGCGCGCCATCATTTCGATCCACCCGGCGATGCGATGCGGTGAGACTTCCTTTGGGAATCGACCGGGGTTACCCGCGGGGGTGAGGGGGAGTGGATCGAATCGAAGGATTGCATTCTAGCTTCTAGCTCCTTGCTTTCTCTACCCTTTGGCCTCTCATGGCCTCTTGTGTTCCGTGACCTCAGCATCTTGTAGACTAGCTCGAGTATGTGTGTAGCTTGGGATATATATATATCCCCAACCTTCGTCAACCTCGCCCTTCTCTCTACCTTTACAAACTCCGCCCGATCTCAAAAGCTCTTCTTCCGATCGATCGATCCGTAACACGAACACAACAATATCGGACCTCCATCTTCAAGAAGGAACGAGGCTCACGCTTACGACACACACACACTCATACACACCTCTTGCTCTTGCCTCTCGACCTCCCGATAATCTGGGAACGACTTTTTACGAGCCGAGATCTCACGATACGATCTTTAATCTTTAACCTTATAAGCAAGATCTCACCATTAGATACGAACCCATGTCTACGACGGAGACGGCCATCGCACCTTCATCTACTCTTTTAAAACCTACTACAGCCGACCAGCTGCACGAACGGTATTACTCCCAAAAAAATTATTCTTCTTTCGATACCGACGTCAACACCGCTCAAACTCTCAATATCAACCTCGACCCGACCGGACACGCTTACCTCCCCTTCCACCCCACTTCGTTCGGGTTCGAATTCCCCCCACCGTCGAACTCGAGCTTCCCGTTCTCATTAGGATTAGGATCTTCCGCTACTGGGAGGTTGGTTTTGGGTATGATGCAGAACCCTATCGATATCGATATCAACATCAACGTTAACGTCAACAATAATACTATCAATAATGATGATAACAACAGCCCGGGGGAAGCGATGTCGACGACACTGCCAACGCCAATAGGGAAACAGGACTGGGTGTATACACCAACACAGACACATACTCGGGCACAGGTCACCGTCAACCCGTCCGACCTCTCTTCTTCCTCTTTTTCCGAGATCGAACAGAATCGGAGGAGAGAATCGGGGGAGAGCGGGATGTCTATGAAGACGATCGTCTCCCGAGTTCTGGACGTAGGCGATGACGATGAGGAAGATGATCCTGAGGACGAGAATAAGGAGGATGGACTGGGATCCCAATCCTCGTCCAGGTCGGGATCCCCCGAGGCCGTCATCCAAACAATAGTTGAAGTTGTACCGAAGACGGAGCGTACTTTAGGTCCGAGGTCGAGGTCGAGGTCGAGGTCGGCATCGGCATCGGGATCGGGATCGATGTTGAAACCGGCATCCGGGCTCAGGACGAGATCGCCAGAAGGAGAAAGGGAAATAGAAGGAGAGAGGGAATACTACAGTCCGGTCCCGCCTAGACGCGTTACTCGGCGGAGGTCGAGCGTCAAGTCGAGCGTCGGCAGTGATGATGATGCCGACGAAGATGGCAAGAGGAATGCGAGTGGGACGAAGGGAAAGAATAGGAGTAGGAATAAGAAGATCAAGGTACGTCTCTTGGTGATGAGATGGCTGTGACTGTGACGATGGTGTTGATGGGGTTTCTGCGTGGCGAATCGTGTAGTTCGCGCCGAAACGGACGACTTCGAATACCAGCAGCGGGTCGACTTCAATTTCGACTTCAAACTCCAACTCTGCCTCGCCCAACTCGACGCTCAACTCGACCTCCACCACGACCACGACCACGACCTCGACTTTCTCGGACGCCGTCGTCCACCACCCAGACTCGGCCTTCCACATCCCTGACCCCCCGCACCCGTTCTCGTTCAGAGACCTCGGGTTACAACCTCCTCCGCCGTTCTGTTCCAATGAAACCGGACATCACGGTTCAGGAACGGGCGATGAAGATGAAGACGAGGTGGGCAAGGATGGACGGGTGGTGGTCAAGGGTAAGAGGAGGGAGATGAACCGGGTAGCTGCGAAACGACACAGGGAGAAGAACAAGGACAGGCTGAAGAGCGTGAGTCTTCACATAATCCAGGACGCTGCACAGGAGATGATGCAACGATACAAACGATAGGGGCGGTAGCTGACCCTTTTTGGTCATTGAATTTGAAACCGATGCGCAGTTGGAGAAACGTAAAGTCTGGCTAGACCACGCCGTGGCAGAGTACGAAAAGAGCAATAAGCGGTTGAGCGAGACGTTGGACAGGCTGAAGAGGGAGAACATGATGGTGAGTTTCCCGTCCACCGCCTCCCGCTTTGTTTTGCCATTTTGCCACTTGTCCTCTGGCGAGCTGTTCCTCCAGACGGGGAGGTTACAGTGCAGTGGTGTTTGGATTGGAAGTTGAACATGGTTCTGACGATCGTCACGGTGTTTTGCTTGCGTTTGGGTAGCTCAAGGGGATCGACGTCGGGGTGTGATCCACTATCCCAAAAAAAGGAACGAAAGAAAAAAGAAAAAGAAACGATGAATACGGACTCCTGTACAGGGAACTGTGCAACTTTTGACTACGGTACGGACTCGGGCTTGTACATGCCATCTTGATTACTACTGTATCACGACTTTTAGGGGAAATGCTATGGGTCGATTGTACTTGACGTCTTGGATCTTTTCGATGTTATGCTAGATGATATTCTTCGGTTGTCTTGTGGCGATATGGGCATCGTCCAGCAAAGCCCCCTTTTCGGTCGCAATCGAGACGAGGTCTTGAATTCTTGGCTATCTTAAGCCCTTGAGAACATCAAGTTGTCCTTGTAGATTCACTACTCATTGCGATTGCGATTATGAAGAAATTGGTTGTTATATCAGGCGATGATGACGATGACGATGACGAATCACAAAAAGGCACACCTTTACCCCCCTGGACCCCTGGATGATCCATATCCTTCCAAGGACGACCACCCTAGCGCTTTACATACGCTGGAAAGGCCTTTCTTGTGCTACTTTGTGTCTGCTGATCAGGACCTCGTCTTCGTCGTCATGAAAAGGCGTGTTGCGTGTTGGAGCGTTGGCGGTGGTCACCCTTTGTCCGTAGCAGAGGGTGCTGGTTCGGAGGTTCCTTCGGCGTTTTGTTACGACGAGTACTTAACTAGATCGACAGATCCACAGAGAGAGAGGGGGTCGACTCTTCGATACCTCTTCGTCATCAAGAGAATAGCTCAACAGCGAATGCTACCTCGTTTCCTCACTACTGCTGCCACTACTACAACACTACTTCGACAAACGATCAACAAGATGGCTCCTGTTACCCACATCGGTAAGTTCAAGTACCCCATATCATCACCCAACCTCCTCGTCTCAATCTCGCGTCATCCCGATCCTCTACCTCACTGAGTTACCTCGAGCTAACTCCCGTTCGTTTGATTTCGATGACGAACTGAATGACAATAATTTGTAGTCGGCTTCCGCTTCAAACCTACCGTCTCGGAGGAAGACAAGCAGAGGTTGATCAGGGAGATGGTCGGGTTGAGGAAGAATTGCGTCAAGGAGGATGGAAAGCCGTACATCTTGGTCAGTCTTTCGGAGGATACCGGGATTGGGATTCCAAGAATGAGGTTTGGGACTTGGGTGCTGATCTCAAAACATCTCTTCATATCTTGGCTGGGGACGAATGTTCACCCGTGTCGATCATTCATCGTTGATATGATCACCTATCACCCCCCACCACTTTATATATTTATTATAGTCCCTGACCGGCGGCCCTCAATCTTCCCCGGAGAAAGCTTTTGCGACCCCGCACGACCTCGTCTTCCACGTCCTCTTCGCCTCCGCAGCCGATAGGGACTATTACTTACAGAAGGATCAGGCGCACAAGAAGTTTGGGGGGGAGACGGCGGCGAAGTTGTTGGATGGTGAGAATGGGGGGGTGGTCGTTCTGGATTTCGAGCATGTTTTGGAAGGTTGAGACGCGCGAGGAAGTCGGGGTTGGGCATATTCGAACTCGAAAGTTGTGAACCTCGAACCTACCTTTCTTCACGGTTGTATCCTGTTCTTGTCTTCATACAATAAACTCATTGATACCGCAACAACACAGTATGCAGGACTAGTCCTCTTAGCCGGTCTTTTCCTTTTATTTTCTTCTTGGACGACGATGGGACCCGGGATATAGTCAGGACCATACACGACCCTATTCCAATTTATACTTCACGTCGCGTCTCAATCACGCTCTTTCCTTTGAATCCCCTTTTTCCGATTTCGACACCTTCAACTCCAACCTCCTCCTCATATCACGCTAGAATCAAGGGATCGAATAGGGGTATCTCCTCGGATGCTGCTTTCCAGCTCGCAAGGCTTGCTAGCCGAGTGGGACTGGGAGACCGGAGAGCAGGACTTGGTAGATTCAGACGAGGACAGGGATGAGGATGAGGAACTCGGATTGGGTCTGAAGCGCAAGTCGTGCAGGTTGGAGAGGAATGAGATTCGGGTCGAGGTTATAGCCGAGGAAGAGGAGGATGGGGAAGAGGAGGAAGAAGAAGAAGAAGAAGAGGAAGAAGAAGAGGAAGAAGAAGAAGAGGTTGAGGAGGAAAAGGTACAAGAGGTAGATGAGGAGGAAGAAGAAGAAGAAGAGGAAGAGGTCGAGTTCCAACCCCAGAGAAAGCTTTGGAGCAGGACGGACACTTCGACGACGCTGCCGCTCGAAACTCAAGGGTCGACGACGAGGGTCAGCGCGTTGTTGGATGACAGGCCGCATAGTGAGTTTCGGGAACAAGAGCCAACGAACTTGGGTGAAGCGATGCACTGAGACCTCATGTCTGCGGCACGGTCAGAACGCTTGCGTATCGAATCGGGAGGAAGCCTGTTCGGATCTCGTCCACTGAGCACACCCGACGTACCTAGCAAGGACAACTCGAATACCCTTACTCCTGCCGAGTTGGAGTTGGGATTGGAGGACGACGGGTTTCCTATCGACGACGCCCTCATCGCAGCGCTGAACAACGGATACGTGTACGACCCCAAACTCCGTCCGTACGTCTGCAGGCAACTCGAGAGCGGGCTCGATATCTCTCCCGCACCAGGCCCGTCGGAGGGTTGTCGTGCGTACCGGCTGTTCCCGGCGAACAGGTTCTTGTGGTATCAATTCAAACGACCTCGGTCTATGGACGAAGTGTATCGCAAGCTGGATAGGGTGATCAAGCATCAGGGGAAAGAGTTTGTATTCCTCGGCACGACGGAATCGAGGCTCCGGACGGAGAGCGTGTGTTTTTTCCAGGAATCGTCTACGCTCACAGCGAAGGATGTTAGGGAATCGCTGGGTGATTTGGCTGGCGTGTTCATGAAAGACGGTCCGGGGAAATACGTCGCGAGGATGGGCCTGAGTTTTACAAAGACCGAGGAGACGATCGAGGTCCCTCCCGAGCGGGTGGGGTACATCGAGGATGTGGTGGCACCGGATGGAAAGGCGTATACGGATGGGTGTGGGTGTATCTCGGAAGAAGCTGCTGGGCGTGTGGCAAGGGCGTTAGGGTTGAGCTTTATACCTACAGGTGCGTGAGCGTTCTCACTCGGATCTTCGGCCCGGCTGACGGCATTCTACCTGCGTAGCCTTTCAGATGAGGTACGGGGGAGCAAAAGGCATGCTAGTCACTTACGGCCAGCAAGACCTCTTGCGCATGTTTGGAGAGGAAAAGGACATCTACCTCCGACCGTCCATGTGCAAGTACTCGGCACCGCAGTTCCAGCACCTCGAGATCCACGGATGGTCTAAACCCCGTGATCGACCGGCTAAACTGCAACGAGCGTTCATCCAGGTCTTGCATACCCTCGGGCTCCCGTATGAACGGTTTCGGGAGATGACGCTCGCAGAGATCGACCGGGTACAGTCCATCGCGCTGGACCGTGACAAGGCGTTGGCTTGGCTCGAAAGGGACGGGGCGGAGTTGGATAGCGGGGAGATCACCATGACCGATACGGCGTACCGGATGATCAAGGCCGGGCACGACGTCAAGGAACCTAGGGTGCAAGAGTTGACGGGCAGGATGATCGGCGCGTTCATGGTCTCGTTTCGTGAGAAACTCTCCATCCCGGTCTCTCAGTCGGCTTTCGTTTACGGTATTTGCGACGAGACACGGACGTTGAAGGAGAACGAGGTGGTCGTACACGCCTCGAGGTACGGATATATTACGGGCAAGGTCTTGGTCAGCCGTTCGCCTTGTGGACATCCGGGAGATTTCCGTCTGCTTGAAGCCGTCAGACCGCCCCTGGGACCGCAATGGAAGAACTGTATCGTCTTCCCTATGGCAGGTCGTCAACCCGTCGCCGATCAAATGTCGGGAGGTGATCTGGATGGGGACGAATTCTTCATCACGTGGAACGAGGAGCTCTTCCCGCCCAACATCGTGCCCGCTGATCCACGTACGCCTAGACCAAAGATCCCGTTTGCGCACACCAAGGAGTACTCGGATGAATACCTGGTCTCGTGCATCAAACGACACGTCGCTTCCCAGTTGCTCAACTATGAGATCGGCAAGACGCACAACATGTGGGAAGAGATGACGGAAGAATCCGTCGAGGGGGCCGCCTCGAAGCTGTCCCTCTACCTGAACACGCGGTACGAAGCCGCTATGGATACCAACAAGTCGGGGGAAGAGATCCCACCCATGCCGACCGAGGCCGAGGTGGAAGCGTGGCGCGGTCCACGACGACCCTTTGGACCGATCCATCAATTGCGTAGTTTGGTCCCCGCTGCTGGATTGCCCCTGAATCGAGCGATCTTTGAGACGCCACGCAAGTCGACCCATGAGAGGGAGAATGCCGAATGGGTCAGTAGCGAGGTGAGGCTCGAGTTCCAGCTCGACCCGGATTTAGTGTACAAGCCGGAACATCCTTCTTACAAGGGGTTCCGGGACGAGTTTCATAAGATGAGGAAGGGGTATGGCGGGTTGCTCGCCCAGGCCCAAAGACGACGTAAGTTGATGATGTACCCTGAACAATTCGCTATGTTCCACGCACTTCGCTGACCGGCAAAACACATGTACGTGGTTGGTATCAGTCGAAGGGGCGAACCGCCCACTACAAGGCAAAGCCACCTCGCCCTCTAAACGACAAGACGACTCGTTCCGCAGAAACATCAACAAGCTACTAGAAGAACAGGAACACGCCATCCTAGAGAGTTTCCGAGTGAAACACTTCACCTTGCCCAACACGGACGACATGCTCGACCTCGACCCGCTGTTGATCAAGGCCTCTGCTTTTTACGTCGCAGGGTACGACGCGATCCGGAGCGGGGAATGGAATCGACCTAAACCGGCCCTGGCGTGGCTGGGGGAAGACCTCCTCAACATGCGCAAGGCGTACTGCGTGACACGGCAGAACGGACATCCTCGGCTGGCCGCCTCGGTCGCCTTTGTACCGCGTAAAAGTAAACTGTTTAAAAGCGAAGGCGGGTCTAATGGAGGGCCCGTACGCACCGATTCGAATTCTGCATAGAATAATTGAGAGGATCTTCTTCTTCTTGTATATACCCCACGAGCACGGCCAGACTTGTACATACTTGACACGAATGTAAACCTTGTAACGACGACATGCATCATACTCATCATACATGATCATGATTTGCTTCCGCGCTTTCGTCAGATCGCTAGAGTTGGGAAGTTGGCAATGTACTTTGGATCGACCTTGATTTACCGGCAACTACATAGTATTCGCCAACGATCCCTGATAACCATACATCTCCTCACCATGAGCTTCAGATTACCTGCTAACATGATCCGGACATCCCTCCGCACGCCAGCCCGCCAGATCTTACAGCGTCGTCTGGCAACGACCGAACCGGAAGGGATCACCTTTTCCTCGAAAGCGAGTCGCCCGTCTACGTTGAAATACGAAGCTCCGGAAGCCGGACGAGCTTATATGGCCGCCAAGTCTGGTGTAGCTCCGACTGCTCCGGCGGAGGGTCGATATGTGAACGGAGTCAAGCAGGAGGAATCGTTTGCAGGGCCTAGTCGGCCTAGGATGGTTTACGATCGACCGAAAGAGGCCAGACCGTTGCCTCAGCTCAAGGTCAGTTCCGGGTTCCATCTGTGTTGATATTTGAATTAGGAGAGAAAGGTTGATTTGACAGGATGCTTTTACAGTCAAACTGGATGATGTGTAGGTGTTCACTCCCGGTTAGTCAAGGATGCCACAAAGCTCATCCCGGATCGGACCTCTAGATACCGCCCTTGCTACACTAGGACTCGGAGCATGGGCAGCTTTCCTATTACACGCTACCAATGCCGGTGAGCAGCATAATCTCTTGAAACCCGCATCCATACTGATCGTCTATCTCTTTTGGGCGGTGGTAGAACGACTCTCTTCCTCGGTCCTCCGTCAGATCACATACCAGCTCAGGAATTCGGAAGAGATTAAGCAGCTTCTCGGTGATCGGGCACATTATGCTGAGAATTGGTACGGTGAGTATTCGCGCACTGTCACAGTATGACCGTATATATATATGTATATATATATATCGCCCTAGCATGTACCCGGAGCTGATTATTACTTGCTGCGTCTTCGATCTGGCTTGATTACAAATACAGGCTTCGGTGAACCGTGGATCTCGGGTAACGTGAACTTGTTGCAAGGCAAAGTAGACCTCAAGTTCAGGATCGAGGGTAGCAAGGGTGAGCCCTGGCCTCTTCGCCTCTTACCCCTCTACAGTAGTACCCAGCTTGACCGTATGTTGATCGTCATCCTTACGTCCCGGCCGGGGTCTGTGACCTGTGTGGCCCCGTAGAGAAAGCGACGGTTTACTTTACGTCGATCCGACCGACGGAGAATGCAGAGTTCCAGATCGGTAAGTTTCAAGTTCCCCGTCCCTGGAGCTCTTGATCATCGATTCTCTCTCTATGTATCAGCTCATCGGGTTCGTCCTCTGCCTTTGCTTTTGTAGTCCGGTACAAGGTCATCGCTGACGATGGCAAGGTGGTACAACTGGCTTGAGTTCGTTCGAGCAGAGCTGGGAAGGTTGACGCAGGGTAGGAGCAGCATGCGGCATGTAAAGTGAGATGGAGCGCCGTTCTATTGAGCGAATGTAACGATATTTTTGATCGAGTTTCCAAACGATTCAGTACATCGAGGACATCGTTTGCGACATACGAAAGCGAGCGATTTTCACCGCTTTGATGACCGTGATATCCGTCCTGACTGATGCACGCATGCTTGGACAAATTTCGGGTCGATGACCTAGCTTTGCGCTTGCAATCGATTCTGAAGTTACGAGTAGTATAAGGGTCGCTGGTATTAAATACCATCTAGAGACATGCGGGAAGCGTTGGAGGAGCTGGGGATCATAGACAGAGAATTCTGTCGCTTCAAGGACGATATCACAGGTACCGTTTTTCCGCTGAGATGTTTGCTGAAACAAGCTGATGATCTGAATTATATCATAGGGTTTGCCTCTCGTATGCCCCGTATTGTACTTGGAAGCAAAAGCGAGCATTGTCGATACCAAATCTTGGTCGATCTTGGCTTTGAAGAGCTTGAAGACTGCAAGGAGGAGACAGATTTTCTGGACCTGGCTGTTGCGAACCCAGGAGAGGAACAGGTGATCCTCGACATCTTGAGCGAGTAAACAAGAAGGGCGGACAAAGCCGATTCACGAAGTTGCCCAACTTGATCAGACCTAAACACTTCTACCTTTTGTCTTGTTCATCTGTATCGTATCGTCGTTACATGCCAGATCTGTGACCCACTTGACATTCGACCAGGAGAGACGGCAAGAATGCAATCAGAGGAAGAACAACCTACGAAACGACGTCGGATTCGACACTCGGTCGCCTGCGACGCCTGCAAAGTCCGCAAGTCGAGGTGCGAACTGGTGACTGCGGCAGGATGTCATCGATGTTCGGTTCTCAGGACGCCTTGTTCTCTCACCATTACTGGGAGCACGAGCGATAAGGGACCTACTTCCACACCTGTTGCACAGGATCTTTTGCCGGGTCCATCGTCCCGCAGGTCGTCTACCTTGAACGGAAATGCGACTCGAGGTAGTGCTAGCTCTCGAAGTCGTCCAGCTAGCAACCCGGTCTCGATCTCTCCTGCCCCACATGCATCTCCTCTGGATAGAGACCAGGTCCTCGCTGCGATCGCAGAGATTAGGGATTATACCGCTCGGATCGAGGTACTCAGCTCGTCTGTCATGGCCGCCATCTCTGCACCGGTCGAATCACCCCAATCTCAACCCGTAGCAGGACCATCATCACGGCCAGCACAGCAATACATGCAGCACCAGAGCATTCCTCTTCTCTCCCGATACGAGTATGAACATCAGCATCGACAGTCTACTGTCTCGCCTCCGGGACAGTCCACCGTCTCTCCTCCGATTCGAGAATGGTCTACCTCCGACGACCCTTCGGTCGTCAAACCATCGCATACGGATCCGGCCGCTCTGTTGCATTATACTTGTCAGGGGTCGGATGACCCGGATATTGCGGATTTTACCGCTAGAGCTCCTTTCACTCGGGGTGTCGTTCAAGGTGCTTTGGATCGGTGAGCCACGGTTTGATACCTTGTATCCGTTTACATGACTATTTCGACGCTGATCCTGATCTGACATCAAACGCAACGCAGCTTCGCACAGGCCTTCTATCGGATCATGCCTATCCCCCATTTCCGGGACCCAGCGGTCTATCAACATCCCCCTCTTTTTCTGAAGACGTGCATGCTGTACTTTATCGCCTGTTCCAGCTCCTCGGACGTCCCTCTGGACAACCTTCAACGACAGACCATCTTTCAAGCGACCGACCGGGCTGTTCTCGACCTCCCCTGTCTACCACCGGATAGGGATACCGTACTAGCCCTCCTCATACTGTCCATGGCGCCCGCTCAACCGCAGAGCAGGTTTTTACGGGTGATGGACCCGTATAACGCCTCGGTCTTGGCGTGGAATACGATCAAGAGTTTGGGCATGGATCAGGTCTTGCAGGAACATAGGGCGGATCGGCAGTCGACGACGTTGTTCTTTGAACGGCCGGATCGGTTATTGCAGTTGTGTCTGGTGAGCCCAGGGTTGTGCGAAAAGGATTTTACTAGTCGATTGAAAGAAAAGACTGGTCTGTGGATTTCGCGGTGATTTTAGCTGTACAGCGTGATACATCGGCATAGACAGTACGTATCTCGAGTAAAAATTCGATCAACGATCACTTCCGCTAACGTTTGAATCGAACGCTAGATCCATGTTTGATACGACGCCCAGCCTATCCGTGGTCGCCGTAGAATACCCAGACCTGGCGACCATCGTCTCTTGGCGGGACGCAGAGACGCTACAGTCCCCCTGGTTGGTTCACCTCTTGGTCCAGTCCACGACGCTTCGCGAGATAGAGGCCAAGTCGGTTCACTATCGAGCTCTGAGACAGAGTGCGACATTGGACCGCAAGGCCATCGACATGGTTTGCGAACAGATGGAGACTTTGGATGGCGGGTATCGCAACGAAGATGTGATGCCATCTAGTGAGTGACTGCTACATTCTGCTCGCGAGAAATCCCGGTCGTTGACCGACCGATACACACTCGTTCCAGTACCCTCGTCGAGCTACCTGCGACTGGACATTCTCTGCTCGGACGCTATCATTTTCCAAAAGGTCAACTGGGACCTCGAGACCTTGACGTTGCCGGAAGAACCTGGCAAGACCGGTCTGTCTGGGTTACGCGTGGCCAGAGTTCTCTACGTCCGAGCGGTCGAGATCGTTCGCATACTAGCCGCAGACCGGACAGAGCTCTCCGAATTACCTTCGCGCCTGCTCAGTGTCGCGTTTCTGGCCTTTACAACGATCGCCCAGGTTAGGGTCTTGCATAGAATGATTCCCGGCGAGGACGATCCTGGTGGGCTGAGCTGGGCGGTCGTCAGCGCCGCCAGAGAGGTCTTGCTAGCCTCCCACCAAGCAGCGCCGGTCATCATCAAACGCATCGAGAGCCCCTTGCCTATCACCGCCGCGGGAATCGAGAAGGGCGAATCGGAGAGTCCTCTTCCTCCTCCGCGGCGAGGTCTGGCGAGTCAATACCCTTCGGCACAGCTCGAGCAGGACGCTCGATTCATGATCAACCCGTTGTGTCTCGACGATATCCCGGAAGACTGGATGACCTTGTTCGGATCGGGAGTCCTCGAGGCACCCGCGTTTTGGACGGGTCAGACGCCAGGCACGTGATGTGCGATGTAGCCCCGGTCGACTGCGGCGTCTTACGTCACGCCTCCTGCTACTCTCTTCCCCGTCGGACCGGCGGCAAGAGGAAAACCTGCGAGCTATATCGGGCTGCACAGAGACGTAGACCGTATGCGATCTCGACCGTATATAAGAACCATCTTGCCGAGTTGTATTCGCAGATTTGGCGTGCAGAGACGGTATCTGGATGCCCAGACCTTGTAGACCCACGCGAGAAATCATAAAACGCGACAAGCCTTTGTACGCACCATGTCGCCTGCATCGTCACGCACGAGTTTCGACGATGCCTTGCTATACGTCGAGGGTGAGCCGAGTTCCAAGTTGTCAAGCCGGTTTCAGACCATTGACTGTTTGGGGAGCTTGTTCATTGTCAAACCAGGTATCATCATCCCTCCCTTGGTCGTCATGATGAAACGCGGCTGCGGACCTGAAGTCCTGCTCAATATCTTCCTCTGCTTTTGCGCTTGGATACCGGGAGTCATACACGCGTGGATCGTCATCGCTCGGAATCCATCAAGACCACCGGTCACGGCCTACGATCAAGCCGAATACAACCTCTAGTGAAACCTCTGTGGTTCTTTCGGATCGGCGGAACGCACGCTTCGACATTCGAGATATTATTGTATCCATTCCACGATCGTGCTCGACAACAATCAACATCTTGTACTCGTATATACCAGAGCGATATGAGCCCGCCTGTACACCTCGCACTTGTCATATGTTGTCCATCGTTACTTCAGCATCGGCGAGGACCAGTCAGATCTTCGTCAGATCTACAAGACGAGACGTTCAGAGGTTGAAGGGAACGACAGCCCTTGACAGCATCTCGAGCGATCTAACTTGTATGGGAAACACATGGCATTACATTACGTCTCATTACAGCAGAGCGGAATCCGGGTATAAGTATGACACATGATGCTCCCGATCTTAAGGGAACATCTTCCTCCTAACAAAACTCCCCCTGGCCTCTCTTCTCCCCCTCCTCATCCGTGGTAGGATTTCTAGGGGTTGTTCTTCTTCCACTCGTCATTATTCTCCCTCAAACCTAATGCTACGGCGATAGCGATCACCGCGGCAAGGACGATCACGCCGACGATCCCTATGCACCACCAACACTTTTTGGAGATCTTACGTCGTCGGAACGGCACGTTTTGTTGTTTTTCTTCCTTAAAAGGGTCGTAGGCGTAGTCGGTGTAGAGTTGGGGGGCGGGTGTGATGTGATTTGAAGGGTATTGCGAATGCGAAGGGTATGGGAGGAGGGTTGGTGGAGGGTATTTTTGTCGCTCGTTCATCTTACTCGCGACGTCGAAGGAGGATCAATATACCATTCCCAGGCTAAAAGCGATACTGTAGAGAGGTCGGACACGTACCTGGATCGTCTGCTCCTGTGGGTGATAGGCTGTTTGGTCGGATTCCTGATTATTATTGTACGATTCGTAAGGTGCCGGTCCGTCTAATATGAATGAAAGAAGTGATGACGATAAGGAAATGACAACCCAACACTTATTTAGTTGATCAGGCAGATGATATATATTCATACTCGCGCATAGGAAGAAAAGCTCACCCGGAGTTTGAAATTGTTGGCCGTTCATTCTGTCTCGCTTCGATAGAGTCTTATATCCTGTGTTCGGTATGGTAATGGCATTACCTCTTGTATCGACAATAACAAATGATCACTTCCACGTACTGACTATATACTCGTATACCCCGCTCGTAACGAGTTGAGGGTTCAAAGTTTCGAAACGCCGGACCCTTAATTCCGTAGGAGTTAAGCTCGAGACGAACCACGCCGGTGGAAGAAAAGGCCGATACGCGATGCTCGTCCGCGCGGGGCAACGTCCTTCGAGCTCGCATTCGTCGGCAAAAACGCATGATGTCTACATGTAGTTCTGGTTCGAGGGAAGGAGATTGTTTGGGATTTGGTGTTTCGTGTGTTTAATCTGCTCAGGATAGTGAGCCGCGCCGAAATCATCGAGGGAGTCCTGCGCCGATGTACGAGTGGTGATCAGTCACACCTCGGCCTCGCCCGAGAACCCTATTCATCTATCAGACCAGCCTCAGTCTCACAGACAGGCGAAAGCAGGGAGATCATAAGATCATCGCTACCTTTGATGATCTGCGACTCGATTCGGATCACCGTGCCCAAGAATCAGATCCACCGGAGATGATATCACAGCTATAGGCCTTTGCTGCTATCGTGGCGGTGTCAGGGCCAAGGTCTCGCTTGGATTCGCTCGTACTCGTACTCGGTCCGACTCGCTGCGGGAAAACGATCATTTACCGGCTCCACAATGGTACCGTGTATAACAATCATGAAGTGTAAGCTTGGGGTTTCACGGCGTCAATCATGATGTAACGACTACCTGCAACCAGCGACAAAATATGCTGTGCGCTGTGACGTCGTTCCTTTCCTCCCCGGCTCCGTGACGTTTCCCTTCCGATGCGCGCTTGTTGAAACGTCTTTGTTCTTGGCGCGGAAGTTCTGACGGAAGCTTTTGAGTTCGAAGAGGATAAGTTGGAGATCGTTTGCGACCATGTCATGTCGAGCGAGACGAAGGTATGCCTCTCCGAGATGATTGTAGAATCACGGATGAGGTCCTTGTGGTCCGAGATTGGTGATTTGAACGTCAAGCTGCAAGCTGCGGTCGAGGTCGACGACGACACGACGCCATATGATGGCATCAGCGGTTGTCTCGGCTCCATCACGTTCTGATTGGATTGGCGCCGAAGATCAGGGGCGTCGGGGGGCGTCGGAGTATCATCATCATCATCATCGCCGACCGACGTCACATGCGAAAAGCGCCTTGTACAGTATATCGTATGAGGCTATGCTCACTCCTTCCTTCCGCCCGTCAGCACAGCAAGGCCAGGTTCCGAGCTTTACTCACGGAAGAGGCTAAAAAGCTGTGTAGCAATACCCGATTATCAGATCCCGTCAAGGTTCACCTCACCGTACGGGTAGGGTAGATCTACCTCGAGGATCTACGTAGCACCGCCATGATCGCCCCACCAACCGTTTGACATGTCCAACCCACCTACCTCACTTCGCACCATGACAGACAGCACTGCTACCGGATACACACGCCACAAGACCAGGCTAGACTAGACTAGAACACTTGGTGCGCACGGGACCAAGCACAATACGATAGACCCGGTCGGGTCGCTCCGCGAGGATCATCATGGATCGTCCAACTTAGCCGACGAAGTCTTCAGCATGTACACAGCGTATGCTACACTGTACACTGAATCACACTGCATTACACTAGGACCGATACGGAGGAGCTCATCCTTGGCGCTCGGGACGATGGGCGACGTTGTGCAAGAGGAAGAAGAGGAAGAAGGAGGTCTTGTGGTGGATCCGGCTTAGCGGCACTGCATTGCCGACGACATCAGACCCGATGACGAGGATGGTGCTTGGTGACCAGGTCTAACCCGTGGGTATATAAGGAGGACGTCAGGAGATGAGGGGAGGAGATGAAGATATCATCGACCTTGATGTTCAACTCAAGAACAACCTTCAACGATCACTCTCGACAAGCTCATAATCTAATCACTAAGTTAGGACCTCGACACTCGACCCCTCATAATCTTATCACTACAACTACAACTATCGACATTTCGACCTAGACCTAGCTTATTCTTACCATGTTCGCCTCGCTCATCGCCTCAACTCTCCTCCCCCTCCTCGCCCTCACCCCAACCCTCACACTCGCCGCCCCCGCCATCCCAGCGACACTCAGCAAACGAGCCGTGGGCACGGTCAGGAACTGTAACACCCAGGGGCAGATCGCTATCACCTTTGACGATGGCCCTTTTCAGTACGATAACGACCTTTTGAATACGTTGGGGGATAATAAGGCTACTTTCTTCGTGAATGGGCAGAATTATGGGTGTATTTATGATTATGCGGATGATCTGTGAGTCGACTGTTGGGGGTTGAGTTGATCAGGTGGACTTGGTCAAAGTAGAGCGGTCTGACAGGGGGGAGACTGATCTTGAGATTGTGTTGCGGCGATACTTTGATAGGAAACGAATGTCCGCGGCTGGGCATACGATCGGCAGTCATACGTGGTCTCATAAAGATCTGACCACCTTGTCTTGGGATCAACTGTGAGTCTCGTCTTGATAACCAATGTCGATACCAACCCGTATTCACTTGAGGCTGAACGATCCTCTTCTTCCTCTCTCTTCTCTGCTCTGTTTCCCGATCTTCGATTTCCCGATGCCTATTGCCCGCCTCGACAGCCACGACGAGTTCTACAGGGTCGAAGACGCCATGACCAAGATCCTCGGTCTCAAGCCCAAGTACTTCCGACCGCCCTTTGGGAAATACAACGACCAGGTCTTGCAGGTCGCCGCGCAGAGGGGGTATACGAAGATGATCCTCTGGAGCGATGATACTCAGGATGCTAGTGGTAAGTACGGGTTTGGGTTTATGGTATTAGATATGGCTGATCGGTATTGTTTCTGGGGGGATGTTCGCAGGTGCTCCGGTTTGGCAGTCGAAGCAGACTTACGACAACATTAACGGTCAGAGCGGGAGGATCGTCCTCAACCACAACGTCATTCCCGGTAGTAAGTCGGCGGTCGCTTCACTTGCCTATTCAATTGCCCCTTGAACTGCCTGAGCTGACGACTCATCGCCCTCATCGCAGCCGTCTATGACGTCGTCCCCCACGCCCTGAGCGTGACCGGATCCCTTCAAAAGGTCTCTATCGATACCTGCCTCGGATCCGAGGGAGAATGGCCTTACTACTGGGTTCAGAACCCGGGCAACAGGGATGGAAGCTGGACCTGTTAGGTGCGGTCGTTCAGGACGGTTGCTGCTAGCTCAATCTGGCCTAGTAGTATCAAGGACAAGGACACTGGGATCGCTCGCAATGACAAGGTGGTCTTTCGGACGGACCTTTTTTCTTTTGCTTACTTCTGCCTTTTCATAATTCTCTGCAATATGTTTGCCGTCCGATATAGCATAGTCTGGTAAAGTAACATAATTCCGCTTGTCTTCTCCATCATAATGAGATCGCCGCATCGACATGTTTTTCATGCATTGATTATGTCGAGCCTGAGACCGTTTCATGTCCACTTGCGTTCCTGAAGCTGAGGCCGTCTCAACGTTCGTACACATCCGATCGACAATGATTCACTTCTTCATGTAAGCTATACGATCACGTACGAATCCGTTCTGCTTGCGCAACAACCTCGCACATGGAGACAGCCATCGGTCAAGGGGAAGGACCCACGGATTGCACGTTTCATTATGACACTCGCATCTTCGTGGATAAAGGTGTGTGTTCTCTCATATTACATGCAGGATTGAACTAACGGAACGTAGGTGTGTGCAGGGGAAGGACAATGTGATAATGAAGGGGGAAAAAGAAGAAACGTCTATCGATCACAAGACCCTCAAACTCAGATCGACCCGGGTCGCATCAACTTCTCCACCACAAAGAGCCTATACCCGCCCTCCTCACTTGCGCCATCCTTGACCTCCTCCTTGCCAATGACCCGCCCCTTCAACTCTCTCGGCAAGGCCCTCGGTACCGCGCCGACCTTTTTGCTGATGACGTCCTCGTGGCCCTTGACAATCTCCTCCAACGCATCCCGTACGTCCCCGACAAACTCGTAGTAGATCTCGACGTCGTCCGCGGGTTGCAAACCGCTGGCTTTTCGGAGCTGTTGACACCGCGTAGTCAAGTCTCGCCTCGTCAAGTGTTCCTCGAGTTCGGCGTGTTTCCGTACGTCGAGGAGGACGACGACGTCGTTGTCCGTGTTCGTATCCCACTCGTCTTCACCTCCGGTAGAGTTGGCAGCCAACTCGACGTAACGCGTGACGACCAGGTCGCCCTTGACCAACTTGATCCCGTCCACCTCGACCTCTCCCGACTGAGCAAACGCCTTGACCTCGTCCGAAGTCAATTTAGGCAGGCCGTTCTTGACCCTGCCCAAGTCTTTCCTCAGTTTCTTGCCCAAGGTGGGCCAGTCCGCGGTGGCCTTGTACTTGATCCCGACCTTTTCTTCATCCGAAGTCAGGGTGACGGAAAAGACGTTCAGCTCTTCCTGGATGTATCGTTCAAGGGACTTGACGTCGTCGAGGTATTCGGCGTCGTGGTGGAAAACGACAATCTCCTTCAGGGGCTGCGGACGGCAAGAGGGAGCAGGGTTGCATCAGTACACACATACCCTCTCGGGAAACGAGAAGCACGCCCGACCCACCTGTTTGATGGCCAACTTTTTCCTGTCCCTCAACAACCTCGTCAAGTCGATAACGGTCTGCATCCTCTTGACCTGCCTCTCGACGACCTCGTCAAAGTACTCTTCCCTGACCTCGGGGAACATTCGGAAGTGCACCGAACGGACGTCCTCGTTGCCGTGCTGAGTGGCCGAGGTAAAGGGCAAGAGCGCGTGGTAGAGGTTTTCCGAGGTGAACGGCGTGAACGGGCAGAGGGCGAGCGAGAGCGTGTAGAGCGTCTCGAACAAGGTGTTGAGCGCCGCCACCGTGTCGTCGTGGCCGCCGTCACCCTTGAGTCGGTTTCGGTTGAATCGAATGTACCAGTTGGTCAACTCGGCGATCAGGTCGAGCAGTCGGGGTACGACCGTGTAGAGTCGGTAGGCTGCAAGAGTGGGCGCAACGATAGCTTTAGCAATGAGATAGAGGTCTGAACTCGATCGTCGACCCGAAACTCACCCTCCATCTCCTGCTTGACGTGCTTGATCAACGACTGACACCTGGCCAAGATCCACCTGTCCATGACGTTCTCCGACTTGGTCGCGTTGGGGTTGTACACAAACTTTTCGCCATGAGTTCGCTCGTAGAGCTCGGCCTGACCGATAAAGAACCGCAGACTGTTGATCCATCGTCCGATGACCGTGTTTCGGACGTCTCGAACGCCGTGGTCCTGGAAGATCAGGTTGTCTCCTCGCACGACGGGAGAGTTGACGAGGTAGAGCCTGAGGGCGTCACTACCGTACTGATGCAGGATCTCTTCGGGGTCGGGGTAATTTCGCAGACTCTTGCTCATCTTCTTTCCATCGCTTCCGAGTACCAGACCCGAGACGATCAAGTTTTTCCAGGGAGCCGTGTCGAACAGGTGAGTACCGAGGACGATGAGGGTGTAGAACCATCCTCGGGTCTGGTCGATACCCTCGGCGACAAAGTCGGCAGGGAAAGCTCGCTGGAACTTTTCGTCCGAGGTGCTGAACGGGTAGTGTTGTTGCGCGTAGGGCATGCTGCGCGGCGTGTGCGACTAGTATCAGCGCCCATCGTCACCATGCTGAACCACATCGCGCCGACGCACCTTCCCGACTCGAACCAACAATCAAAGACCTCTTCAACACGCTTCAAGTCACCCTTGCCCTGCTTGGAAGGGATGGTGATGTGGTCGATGTTTTCCCTGTGAAGGTCCTTGATCCCGGTCACTCCGGACAACTTTTCCAGCTCCTCGACCGAGCTGATGCAGACGATCTGCGTGGGGGAAGGCATGGCTCGTTTAGCCACACGAGAGTGACTCGTTCGAACCTGACAACCAGACCCACCTCTTCGTAATCCGAGCTGGTCCACAGGGGGATGGGCGTACCCCAGTATCGATTTCGCGAGACGTTCCAATCCCGAGCGTTCCTCAACCATCCACCGAATCGTCCATCCCGGACGTTCTCAGGGACCCTACGAGAGCACGGACATGGGAAACCGTCTGTCAGTACACGCAAAGTCCTCCCCACACGGACATGCATATGCGACCCTCACCATCGGGTCTTTTCGTTGTTGGCGACCAACTTGTCCTTGATCTCCTCGACCTTGACGAACCAGACGGGGATGGCACGGTAAATCAAGGGGGTGTTGGATCTCCAGCAAAAGGGGTACGAGTGTCGTAGCGTGCTCTGGACGATCAATCGACCGGCAGCGGTGAGGTACTTCATGATCGGCTTGTCGGCGGCCTGCGAGGCGTGGACAGATCGTCGAAGTCAGAACTTTGTTGTCATATTCTGCGACTCTGATCTTTCGCGCCGCTCACCTTGACATGCATCCCCTCGAAATCAGGGACCTCCTTGGTAAACCTCCCAGCGTCGTCAATGGGACAAGGCGGCATCTCATCCTTGGCGACGATCCCGTTGGCGATGGCGACCCGGTGATCGTCCTCTCCAAACGCCGGAGCTTGGTGGACGATACCCGTTCCCGCGGTGGCTTCGACGTAGCTGTCGCAGACGACTCGGTAGGCTCGGTCTTCGAACTAGCGAGATCGGGAATCGAGGTTTCGAGGTTTCGAGGTTTCGAGGTTTCGAGGTTTCGAGGTTGACACCAGGAAGACCCACGTATGAATATCGATTAGGAAGGACGTCAGACGATCTTATTCCGTTTTCACAGCCGAGCCCACGGGGACTGACCTGTTCGCTGAAATACTCGAACAAAGGAACATATCTCCACCCCTTCAAATCCGACCCTTTAAACTTGCCGACGACCTTGTACTTGGGCTTCTTCGGGTCCTGCTTCTTCCCCCCAGCGAGTTCCTTGAAGAGGGTCCCGATGAGGGACTCGAGGAGGATAAAGTTACGTTCACGGGTTAGGTCGTAGACTTTGACGTATTCGAATTCGGGGTTTACGCAGAGGGAGAGGTTGGAAGGGAGGGTCCAGGGGGTGGTCGTCCAAGCGAGAAAAGAGGTTTCGGGTTCGTCCACCAGTTGGAAAGCCACGGTTACGGCGGGGTCGTCGACGTCCTTGTAATTATCGCTAGCTTCGAAATTACTGAGAGGGGTGGTACAGCCGGTGGAATACGGCATGACACGAAGACCGCGGTAGACCATGTCTTTCTTCCATAATTGCCCGAATACCCACCAGACGGACTCCATAAATGTGGGGTCCATGGTCTTGTATCCGTTCTCGAAATCGATCCATCGGCCCATCTTTTCTACGATGGATTGCCACTCCCCAGCGTATTTCAGGACGATCTCGCGGCATGCGGCGTTGTACTTGTCGATCCCCAGGTCCATGACGTCCTCTTTAGAGGTGATGTTCAAGTTCTTGTCGATCTGATGTTCGACGGGCAAGCCGTGCGTGTCCCACCCGAACCGCCGTTCGACGTGGAACCCGTTGGAATAAGCGTACCGGGTGACCATATCCTTGATGGTACCCAGCAACAAGTGCCCGTAATGCGGTAAACCTGTTGCAAAGGGAGGTCCATCGTAGAATCGGTATTCGCCCTTTCCTTCCCCCTTTTCCAGGCGCTCTCGGGAGAGCTTTTGGCCAGTCTGGAAGGCGTCGATTTTTCGCCAGTATTCGAGGATCTTTTGGTCGTCGGCGGGGAAGGTTACCGGTTTGATGGCTGTCGGGGCGTGAGAGGAAAGTGGACGAGGTGAACGAGATGAACGAACGAAAATCGAGTCAGCGCGCAGCTCGAGATCGCAACATTTCCCCCATTCTCCCATCTCCTCTTCTCTCTCTTATTTGGGGCTCACCGTCATACGCCAAGTGTTGGTCGGCCGACATCTTTCTGATCGTCTCTGTTTCTCGTCGTACCCCTTTCTCCTAATTCTTCTACGATACTGGTCTTCTTGTTGAACTTTTTTTTTGTATTCTTCTTTCACTTCGATCTGCTCCTAGTTGTTGGTCCGACTTGCTCGTGGTCGGAACGGGTGAGGGGAGGCAGGTACAGAGAGTTTTGTCTCTTCGTAGGTCTATGTAGTACCTTTGCAGGGATTCGTAAGGCAGAGGTAGAGATGACTCGACTCGACTTGCACAAAGGATGAGCAACTTGCTGCTTAGGTGTGCTTAGAGTGTGTGTCGTCGGATGGGAAAAGCGCGTGTCCAAGTTGATGGGTTAGGGTGGTAAGCGCACCGCGGATCGTCAACGTTGTTGTTGTTGTTGTTACAAGCACTACTTACTTTACAACCATCATGTGTATCGTCTATCATGAAGGGTCTCGCCGGTCTCGATCGAGTCAGACACTGCACACTGTCATCATCGGCATATATCGTATACGTCGATCTCACGCCCCGATGGTGAAAAACGCAAGAGTCACATGCCATCTCATCTAGCTGCTAGCTGATACCGATAACAAAACTATTCCACCCAGCTCGCGCTATGACGATTCTCATGAGACAACCTCACACCGCTCGAGCGCACGTTGCACTCGTTACTCTTCCCGCTCCCAAAGCTCGAACCTATACCTCACCCCCTTCTCCTCCACCTCCCCCTCGGGGACTTGGAACCCGACGAACTCTTCCAAGGCGCTGTGCGGGCGTTGTTTGAACTTCCAGACCGAGGACGCCTTTTCCTCCTGCTCTTTGCTGTTGGCTTTCTCAACGTCCTCTTTGTTCACTTTGTTCTGTTTGTTATTTTCATGGTCATGGTCCTCGTCGTTGTCCTGACGTTCCCCAATCTTCCTTCGGAATCCCCCAGTAAAATCAGGTAAGAAGACATCACACACCCCTTCAAACCCGGGGGACAACACCCGGGTGAAGAGGATCCGATCGACGAGGTCGTGCTGGAGGGCGAGGGTGTAGAGTTGGGCGCCGCCTATTAGGTAGTTTACGTGGGTGGGTCTGGCGGGGGGAGGTGTGGGTGCGTTGGGGGGAGGAATTTGGGTGGTGGTGGTGGTCGTAGGTGGTGATGGCGAGGTGAAAGAAGAGGAAGAAGAGGTGGAGGTAGGGGAAGAGACGGCCCGGATAGCTTCTTCCAACGAGCCTACTGCGGTCGTTTGTTCGCATCCCGATCTGCCATCCCGTACGATACGATGCGATATCGATTCGATACGATTCGATACGATTTGGTGTGATTCCGATACGGTTCGGTACGAGTTATTGTCATATGAATGATGAGATGTCAAGATCAAATCGACCGGTGTGATGAAGACGTCAATGTCGATGTCGATATGATCAGACCGATCCGCGTGGTTGAGATTGGAGGTGAGAGTAAGACGTGGAACCAAAAAGAATGCACGAAGAAAAAATCGGGGATCAGCTCTCTAATTTCCTAAATATGCTTGTCGCTCCGAGCTCCGAACCTCGAACCTCTAGCCTCGAAATCTCGACTCCCAAATTCTCTCCGGAAAAAGAAACCGAAGCAAGAGATAAGAGACGGGTGGGGACTCACAAGTCAACCCCCGCAGGATCCCGACTGATGATGACGTTCCGCCTCCCCTTCAAAGGCCTGAATTTGGGGGGGATGGATTCCCAGGTCTTGCGGCCCATTATTACCGAGTTCCACTGGGCTGTTTGGGGCGAGGAGGTTGAGGATGGAGGTGGGTGGGGTGAGGAGGAGGAAGAAGAGGAAGATCCGGTGGTAGCTGAATATGACAAGACGGAATCGAAGAAGCAAAGGCAAGAGAGGTTAGACGTCGGATTCATCTTTGACAAGACCGAGCATCTCATCCCGTTTTCTTAAGCTTTTCTCCAGAAAAGGAGACGAAAACAGACGAGCAAACGCATCGACGCACCTCGAGCGAAATACTTCATCTCCCCCGGCAACTTCCACGGTAGACCTCCTCCGGCGCCGATCCCCATGGATTGGGTGGCCGCTACGATGATGGTCAGTCGGGAAGATCCTCTTGAGTGTGACATTCTGGGGGTCTGGTGGTGGGTTGGGTTGGTATGGGGGGTCTTGTTGAGGAGATGAGAGGTAGTCGATAGCATGTAGCGGTAGACATATGATGCAAGGCAACGATATGGGGTCACCTCGAGCATGCGCGTCGCCCCCCAATTTGACGCGAGACGCGTCGCGTGGACGCGTTCACTAGGGGCATCGTCGTTGAGCAAATGACCCTTGGAGGACATCTTCATCATATCTTCATCATTTCAAACATCACCCTCCCTCTTCACACATGCTTCAATAGCACCAGAAGCCACAAGCACTGTCATCCAGTCAAGCGAGCGAGATGTTCAAAGCCACCTCACGTAACCCTCAGGCCGGACCTTCTTCCCGCCCAGGATCGGGCTCGAATCCGGAAGTCAAGATCAATAGACGGTTGAGCGGGTCGGGGCCTAGTTCGAGGTATCCTTATAGGTTGAATTTGCAAGTCCCGTCTCCGTCTCTCTTCACGAAAGATGCTGGCCTGACTGAGTTTTCTTGAACGTGGATGTGGATGTGGTTGTGCATTGTGTGACTTTGACTTTTGTCATGGGGTCGGGGTCATAGCTATGAACGACCGCCGACGATGGACATTACGCTGGAAGAATTCGAGATCTTTGCGATCTCACGGTTAAAAGGCGAGTCCCTGAGAACCCGAATCGATTACCCCTGACTTTTTTAATCTTACTTGGTGATCGATCCGGACGTCCTTTAATCTCATCTCACCTCAACCTCACTTCTAACCTCACCTCACCTCACCTCAACCTGACCCCCTTATTCTCACCCGAATGACCAAAACCTCGCCAAATCCAACAGTCCTCACCCAAATCCACGCACTCCTCGACCGTTCCCTCCCCCAGCAACAATACCGAGAACTCTTATCATCTACGATCAAGCAACATGCAGCACTGTCGAGTAATACGGCGAGGAATGTACGGTTGGATGAGGAGAGACGGAGGGATGAGGTAGGGCATTGGGTGCTGAGGTTGGCTTTTTGTCGGAGGTGAGTTTTTGGGTTTTACGCTTCGGGTGGCGGATTGGCTTGAGAGGTAGAGAGGTGTTTGTAGTGGTGGTGGTGTGACCATTCTGGGAGTCGTCTGCTGATCATCTTGGTTCGCTTTGATTTTGATCTTGATCTTGACTTTCGTCCTCATTTTCGTCTTCATCCTCATCTGCTTCATACTCACGCCCTTCCTCCCTCACACTTTGACACCTCGATTTCTCGGCTTTCGATCACAATTACAATTCGACTCCATCGTCATTCTGAACCTCGTCCCGACGCTTTTTTGCACCTGACCACCGATATACCTCTTCCGATCTTCGCCTCATCCCACCTCCTACCTTTTCCACCCACTTCTCCCATCAACGCAACGCAACACCGACACAAACTCTCACACTACACAACGCAGCCCGGACCTAAGAGAGAAATTCATAAAGACCGAATCGGAGCTGTTTCGGTGGAGGTTCGAGACGGACGATGCGGTGGAGAAGCAAGAGTGGTTGAAGAGTTTGAGGTTTGATTGGGTTACCGTGAGTCGACCGTATTGTTATAAGGCGCGGCAGGGGAGCCTTTGGGGATCGTTTGGGGTGTTGGAGAGTGACGAGGTTCGGCAAGTCGGGGTTATCCGATTTCGTTCTCGAAGCAGCAGGAGGAAAAAAGGAGGAAGGGATAGAAGAAGAACGTCGAGGGAAAAGAAGAAGACGTCGATTTCAGTTCCGTCGATTTCAGTTCTTAAAAGTCCTTACACTGACATGTCATCTTTCGTCGACCCGATGCGAACGACAGGTGGACCAAGCGGAAAAATCGTTGTTGTTGAAGAACCTCGCTTCGTGCCTGCCGAAGAACGCCAACGAGTCGCAGGTGATGGGAGATCATTACGTCAAGGTCAGTCCCGCGCCGTCCAAGGCTTTCGTCAGCCTTCGGTTCGGACAAGGTCGAAACTATGTCGTTGCCTGGACGCTGACTCGTTGTCTCATGGCGTCGTTTTCCTTTATGTCGTAGGTCCCGTGGTATACAGTACCCGACCTCGTGTCCACTCGGCGCGTTTACATTACGGGGGGGAACGCCTACGTACCACAGGCTTATCAGATCAGTCTCGTACTCCAGGCTTTCAGGGAGAGGTTGGGCAAGGCTTTGGAGGTGAGCGGTTGGTTGTGGCATTGCTAAGGCAGAAACGAATTGCTCACCCGCCTCAACTCGCTTTGCTCGATGCGACTCGGCAGATGACGGCCAAATCGTTACCCCGGATGAACGAGGACGACCGTCTGATGCCCATCCTCTCGCACCTCTCGCTCTCGTTCCTGACCAACATTTCCGCCAACGACAACAATTTCTTTGGAGAGCAGGATCCTAATTCGGAGAAAGTCACCGCGGACATGGTCGATGCGCTCGCGGTCAAGCATTTCCCGGCGTGTCAGTATAACCTGTGGAGGAGGTTGAAACGGGATAGGCATTTGAAGCATTATGGGAGGTTGCAGTTTGGGTTGTTTTTAAAGGTGGGTCGTGGCGTGGCGCGTTCTCAAACAGGCGAAATTTTGTGTTGTTGACGGGTTGCGTTGTGATGTGCTCGATGCAGGCCCTGGGACTGCCACTGGACGAGGCGTTGGTCTATTGGAGACGCGGTTATGGGCAGACCATGAGCGACGACAAGTTTAACAAGGAGTACAAGTACAATATCCGGCATTCGTACGGACAAGAGGGGAAACGGACGAATTACCCAGCGAAGAGGTGAGTCGAGGTTGTTTGCCGTTGAAGGTCGAGCTAGCGAGCATGAAGAGCGACTGACGAGCTTGGTTCTGAATGCGATCCCAGTTGTCAACAGATCCTCACGGGTGCTCAGCCGGGCGCACAAGACTCTCACGGATGTCCTTACCGCCATTTCGCACCGGAACAATTACAACAACTCCTCGTCGAGGCTTACCCGGTTATCCAGGTCGGCTCGCTGGAACTGCGCGAGGTGATGGATTCGGTGAAGAAGACGCACTATCACGTGGCGTGTACGAGGGTGTTCGAGTTGACACATCAGGGGAACGTCAAGAAGGGCGAAGGGATCGGAGGGGGGAATATGGTCAATCATCCGAACGAGTATTATAACAAGAGTTTGGAGTATGAAAAGTGAGTCGACGGAGGTAGGGCGGGAAGAGGTTGTCGATGCTAAATGACGTTCTCTTCTTTTGTGTTCACAGGGAAAGCAAGGGAGTGGCCGAGCCTATGCAGACGGATTGATCGGACGCAATGAATGTGATATATTGTATCGATTGTCATCTTGTATCGATCGTTTCCGGAGTCTGTGGGACGTCAACGTTGCTGCTACCCGTTTCGGTCGCGCGTAGAATGTTCATCAACCGACTCTCGAGTCCTCGACCTAGATCTTTCGTCATCAAGTCGATCGACCACTTCCGTGTCGACATCGTTTTTTCGCCGTCTCTCATTCATCCTACAACTATCTTGATCTAACATACAACCGATCTATAGCTAACCTAAACCTCTCAAACGTCGTCGTCGTCTTGCCCCACCCGCCGTCCCGGCCAAGCGAAACCCCCGTGATCTTCCACCATGGCTGAAGCGAAAGAGATCGAGTTGCTATGCAACAACCTGAGGTCCGTACCCGATCACACATCGCTACTGACGACGAGATATCCAGTTGAGATCTTGTTGAGCTTAGATGTCGAGTGGCTTTGAATACGTTGGGAGAGGCGGTGGTCACCAATTGTTCTCGTGAGTCCTCCGACGTGGGAAAGGAGGATCCAAAGGAGGTTTTAGAGAGGTTCTAACTTTTGCATGTTCGGCGGTGATATTCACTCAACAGACATCTTTTGCGGTACGGCATTGGTCTCAAACTCCTAGTATCCTGGACCACTGACTGATTTGAGCTTGTTCTGGGGCTGGGTAGGACCCTGTGCCAACTCGTTGATCGGAACGGAAAGGATTTGTCCGGCTTGTAATGCTCATCTACCGGGAAGGTGAGTCGAGGTCGATCCAGCCATTCATTCCGTCATCTCCGGTAGGAATATACGGATTACTGAACAGTATGATGATGTTGTGGTATGGTATTTCTGGGGGTCACAGCGATGAGATCACGGTAAGCACCCGAACGCAAAGTTCATAAGCGAGAATCGCCTTTGATAAGTGGGATGTTCTGGTTAGACCATGTCCCTCAGCCCTCATACAGAGTGGAAAGCAGTAAGCACACGAGCTGGGGTGCCCGGTATATTGAGAGGACTCTACTAAGACGGACATGCCTTGTGGTGTTTTATAGTCGGTCCTTTCTGGTCTTTCGCCCGGTCTGATCTTGGAGATCGCTCAACGGTGAGTCGCAACGAGTCGGTAGACGTCCTGCCCGCTGACGACGATGCTGATGCCGTGCGGGTTGATTGTTCGATAGAGCCATGTCGTTCTGGACGTACCAGACCAGTCAACTTTCGTAAGCCCAGCTCTGATCAGTATTGCCTCGCCGCTCATCATCTGTGTCGCGTCGTCGAAAGTGCCTTTCAAGAATACGTCGTCAATCAAGCCAAAGAACGAGTTCATGGGCTCGAAGCTCAACTTCATCAAGGTGGGCAGTACCAGCATGCTTTTTTCCCTCATGTGATATCGTCCGGCTGACCTGCTTGACTTTCCGATGCGACCTCGTTCGCAGCCGAAGAAGGCAGACAAGCTCAAGAACGCGAAAACCAAAAGCTCAGGGAAAAGCTCGAACATCAACAAGCCCACCTCTACAAGATCTCGGACGAGTTGAAGACGGTCAAGGATGAGTTGAATAGGGTGTCTACGCAGAAACGTCAGGTGGGTCGTGTTTGCGGTTTCACCCTTGCCTTGGGAGGGGAGAATGGTCCCGTCCTCGTGGCTGAAAGGCTGATTTGTTGCACGTGGTTTCAACCCGGGATGATGGTTAGCTCCTGCTCAAGCAACCGCTGGGGAATGCGATGGATCTGCAAGAGGCGGTGAATGGGCAGCTTTTCTTTGACAATGAGGATGATATGGCTGGTGTGGGTGCAGGTTATGGAGGTGTGCGTACTCGGCGTCGAAACATGTTCGTTTCGGCTCGATCTCTCGCGCTAAGCTCTTGTCCGCATTGACCACAGACGAGCACGAACCGAGCTCCGTTTATGGCTACGCCTAGAGGATCTGCTCGAGGCACCGTACCCCCTAGCACCGGACATCGTCGTTCTGACCCTGGTTCCAAACCGCCTCACGTCATCTCCGGCCCGCTCGGACCCATCCCTCATCCTCAATCCCGCAGCAACAGACTCGATTACGGCGCTTCGGCTTATCCCTTGCATACGGCCTCGACTCCTCGAATCAATCAAGGGTTTGGAGGCGCAACTCCCCTCTACGATACTCGAACCACAGCCATGCAGCAGAGTCAAGCAATCAAGCAGAGCAAGATGAGGGATAATCTGGCGCAGATGCAGAAACGTGTCAACGGGGGCGTGGATGCGGGAAGGACGAGACAGCCGTTGGGCAGCATCGATATTACGAACGCGGGAAATGCTAGGATGCAAGGTGGGAGTGGGTTTGGGACCAAAGGTGGAGGATTGGGTGCGGTACCGTTGCGAAGTGAGTAGTGGGCTCTCGAGATACAGGTATACATTTGGCTGAGATTTGGTTTGGATCAGGTACGAACAACCTTCAGCAGCGGCGATACGCCATGTGAAACGAACTGACCGAGAGTTTTGAAGCGACCTTCGGTACGAACAAAGGTCAAGAGAGAGCGGGAAATTTCGAAAGATGAAAGATTGAAGAAAATCGCTGCGGTGTACATTCAAATCGTGCCGAATTGGGTCGATCCGAGCAGACCCGAACGGGAAAATAGCGAATGCAGCGGTTGTGTAGTCACTGGCAGACTTGAATCTGCTTTTCCATGCCGACTACAGGAATTGCGGCATCGTTCCGTATAACAGATGATATGACCCTCGAGAACACCCATACTGTACAGTGTACTAAGGATCGAGTTAGCCCGCTTTGCTTCATCTACTCTACGAAAGGCGACAACGGCGACTCTGCCTTCTGATATCCGCGATTCCTTGCACCCCTGTTGTTATCCAAAAGGAAAGGTTCTTGTAGTTCATATCGAATATGTTCATCATATCTCTCATGGCAGGTTCAGGCGGCTAGATGTGTGCATAATGCTGTTTCATGACAATCAATCGAAGATAGATGACCCGGGCGGTAACAGGGTTGCGAAGCTTTTGGACGACGATGTGATTGTTTTTGTAGCGAGACAGCGCCTGCTCATCGTTTGAGGGTAAACTAACGGACTGGGTCGACGATTGTACCAAGTAGCGGAAAGAGTGTTCCGAACGGTAAGTTTCGACAAATGTGTACGTTGCGAAAATGGTCTGCTGGCTACCACTGTTGGTGCCTGTGGTCTGTTGACGGGTATGCATCCCGGACAGAAGCCCCGTCACTGCCGTTTTTATGGTCGCACCTGCTCCCCTGACAAGTGAGCTGCGGTGAGGATTGTGGTGGATGTCATGTTGTGTGAAATGAGTACTAGTACAGAGGAATACGGTACAATTTGCAGCATTCGGGATCAGCCCTAAATATCAGTGTGAAATCCTCTGAAGTATCAAGAATGCAGTCATATCCTTCCGGTATTTTTGGGACCTCAAGGTGTGCAGTCATGGGATCAAACTTGTGGCTCTGTATACCATTCAGCCTTGTCATTGTACCCCCAGAAGTTGTTGACCCCGGTGTATTCCTGCCAGATCGTGCTACCTGCGAACGTATGCGACGGATCAGCCCGGAACGATCGAAGTCATCGATAGCCGATGACAAGCTCACCTTTGCCATGACCGTCGAAATAAGGATTCGGGATCTTGCCTCCATGTCGAGTCTCGATGAAACCTTGTAGCATGGTCCGTAGTTCTACGCTGGGGCCCCGTGAGTCTCATTGCCAAAACTCCAGTTCCTGAACCAAACATTCCCGTCTAAAGTTCAGCGATAGCTCAAGCGGAGTCTGGATGTCTACTGTCAAACTCACCAATCCTCATACATCTTGATATTGCACCCTAAGCATTCGCTCTTTTCGGCCCCCGGGCAGTTGGCGAACGTATAATTGAAGTCCGAAAAGCTCCAATATTTCTCATTTACGTCTCCGATGGTTTCGCTGCAGGTCGAGTGTACCAAACACGCAAGGGTTAGCTCGATTACTCTTTTCCCGTCAGCTCTCTGAATATCGTACGGGGACTTACGTGAGCATCATGTGACAGTCGTCCTTCCAGGCCGCTTGCCCGCCATAAAGCTGATGGAATACGACCGAATGACTACCCTCCTGACTCGTGTCATAGCCGGGGTACTCGTCCGGGGTGGGCATGGGGTCTTTCTTCTGACACCATGGAGCGACGGCGAACGGAACAGCCCAAGAGGTACTGGGGTTTAGCGCAGTATTGTTCTTGTCCTTAGCCCTTGCTTCCATGGTCGGGTAATAGAAAGAGATGCCGCATTGTTGCTCGTCAACCCAGGAGTCCGGATGATCCTTGGCCCTTTTGGCGTTCCAAAAAGTTCCCTGAGCTCGCGCATTTAGGGCTCCCGCCGTGTTGTTTTTGTATTCCTTTTCCTTGGCCCAATCGAGGAATCCGTCAAGGAACCTCCATTCTTCTCCTTCTTGCGCCCAGAGGTCTTTACCCGATTTGCAGCTAACGGAAGGTATCGCAGTCGCTGCGATTACGAGCAGCCATGTGGAGCTGACCATGTTTGACGAGAGAAGTTGCGCCGGAATTTTCGGATGGATTGCAAATTCACTGGAAGCACAGCAGGCGGCCGGTATGAGCTCAGAGACAGACGCATGTAGGTTCATGCGTGCCTCTTATTTGTTTCGAAGGTGGTATCCGTAAAGCTCTCGTCGTCGCAGCCTTTGTTCTATTGAAAGGGATCCAAGGGGTGACCAAGGGGTCACCCTGACCTTTGTCCGTTTCAGACCCCTTCGTTCCTCCCAACAGCACGCAACGCGGATGAAGGCTGAAAGGAGCGTTCGGGTGAGGCTCTTGGTAGACTTTATCTTCACGAGAGCGAGAATGGGTTTCGCAACATGAAACGCGTCAGGATAGGCTTGGCGCTAGATCGACCTCGATGAAACGCTCGCGCCTGACCGGCATTTGATGATCATGCCAACGGGATATAACGTCATGGACGCCTGCTTTGTATCGCCACGCCCGCATAGATACAGTACAACATGAGACTCATACAAGCCACGCGGATATCGACATCGTTACATTTACCCTCACGTCGTGACCTTCTAATCGAAATCAGGTTAGACTTCAGAGACCCCCTATCCCGACGCTAGTGATTACGGCGAGACATCCCATGGCAACGATCGTAAGGAGGCTGGATCTGCCGAGCGTTTCAATGCCTTCAGCATGCCTTATCTCACGCTAGTATCAGACTTGGAACGCGACGCACCTGGTCATCGTGGGAGTCGTCGACGCTCCTGATAACTGGGCGACGATCGTATAATTGTCACTAGGTTCGAAATTCCTGCCCATGCTCGTGTCGTTGGGTCGCCATTCGACCGCCGTCCATACGCTGTTTCGGGGGGGGGGGATCGTGTATACTCATCAGCCAAGTTGCTCGTGAGATCTTCGAGTGAGAACCCCGGCGCGATTCTCACATCGCTTCGTCGAGCTGTTGATAAGTGCGCCTCCTGTTCGGGCTATTCACCTCTAAAGGCTCCACAGTCCAGTTGTAGAACGTCGTATCGCTTAGGTTGACCAGGGTCTCATAGGATCCGAGGCACTATGGCGATGGGTTCGTCAGCGCAAGGTCGGGATTAGTGTATGCGAAGGTACCGACAGTTTTGAGGTTGGAGCGATCGAAGCTGTTGTTGGAATCTGGTACACCGGGAGCATAGATGCTGTTGCCGGAAGGCCATCTTTTAGCTCCCACTCGGTGTGGACATTCATCGTCCTTTGACTGACGTTCGCGACACTTTAACGGCGGTGTTAAAGAACTACAGTTCAGTGGATACGGTAGATGTGATGGAGAGGAGTCAAGCGAGCGAAGAATCAGATTGTGCTGTGCTTCGACATCATCGACGATCAGGCGGACACTCCGTGGCCATTCCTACATATGCAAATGTCCATCGTGATAATGGTCCGAGTTGCTTCGTACATCGAGTTGTGTCTCGGTCATTGCATGTGAAGACGACCATCGATTTGAACGCTTGGCAGGTGGTAAACGAGCTCCATGAGAGGTTTGCACACCGCTAGCACAAAGTATACTCACGATAGAACACGAGGTTCAACGAGCGAGTCCCCCGAGCCCACTGCCCGGACTTTTACAAGAAATCACTGCGAGCAGCACACATGACCGTAATGCGACGATAGCAACAAGGCTGCGACATTTGGCCAGCGATGGTGAGCGCATGATAACCAAGTTGCCAAGATCTACCGTAGCATAAAAACGGTGAGAATGCTCTCGCGATTCGTGAACAGACGTCAAGCGGGCGACATGCATGACTTGGTCGACGTGATAGCATGACGATGGAGAAGCTCCTGCTAGTATGACAATCGTCGCCATCGTCCGTAGCGGCTTTTCGCGCTTTTCCTCGTAAAATGGGCATACCATCGATTCTTCTTGATTCTACACAACCGAGGGATGACTCGCTCAAGCAAACTCCCGGAACGCCTCGTCCGCTATCAACCTCGCCATCGTCTCTTCTGCCAAGTGCAACGAGACGCTCGCCCCGTCCTTCCACCAAGGCGATCCTCCTTGTCCCTCCTCGGCTCCCTTTCCGCATACCGTTCCGGCTGTCGTGGAAGAGGGCCTGGCCTCCATGATCTGCAACAACCCATCCGAAGCTGGCATGAACGCATCGACGTACTCGGGCTTGCTACCACACCCGAAGTCCACGTCGTACACCCCTAAACGGGTCCAAGAGGTGCACAACAAGTGTCGTCGTCCGAGGAAAGTCGCCCAGATGTTTTGACCCGTGGTATCGTAAGCCAGGTCGTGCAACAACGCGGAACAAGCTTTTTTGTCGTCCAGCCGTTGGAGGATCGACCGGATTGACCGGGATAAGTAAGAGCTGGAGAGGGAGGGGTTGCCGGGGACGGCGATCTGGCGGAGAGGTGAGCCGAGGAAACGGGCGGGGAGGTCGAGCCGGGTTCGAAGGCCGAAGGTCATGTCCAAGAACGACTGTTCGTCCGGCTGGATCTGGTTGGCTCGCATGACCGCTCTCCAGATGTGAGCGAGGAGCGTGTCCAGCCGGCTCAACTTCACGGGCTGAGCTTCTTGTTGTTCCTCCTGGCCATCTGTTGCATTGGTGGTGGTGGTAGCGTCGGTGGCGGCCTTCCAAATCCCAATCACCTCTTCCGCGCTGAACCGAAAGATGGTATGTCTGACCGGTTTCAACACGTCCCATTCACCCCAAGGCATCCTCTCTCCCCTCGCCTGATCATGGTCGTCGGACAAGTTTACGCCGGGAGGACAGGCGGTGATGGGTTCGAACCAGGGTGGACAATCTCCGCCGCTAGAGTTGAGCCAGTCGTATCGATGTAAAGGAAGAGAGCGGGAGAGGGAGAGGATGGATGCGTCGGGTCCGGTTGGAGAGGAGAGGTTTCCGGAGGCTTTGGAATCGAGTAGCGAAGGGTCGAAGGACACTTCCGGGATCGTATCTCCCTGCTTCTCTCCTGTTCCTGCATCATCCCCGTTCTTGCCCTTCAAAGTCAAAGATGAATGGACCTTCGCCCAATCGTGCATAAACCCGACCAACGTCGTCGCATCCGCCAGAGAATGCGTCATCTTCACCCCCACCCCAACAGCTCCACAGGCGAACTTGGTCACTTGGACGGCCAGGTTAGGTAGTCCGAGGAGGGTGTAAGAGTCTTGTAAAGCTACTTCTTGTGAGGGGATGAGGTGGGGAGAGGGGAATTGTTCGTCGATCGCCCAGGTTGCTTGAGTTTGGGTTGCGCAAGGCAAGATGGAAGAGAGCCTAGTCTCGGTCTCGACGAACTCGATAGGAAATCCAGGGTATTCTTCAATATCAACGTCATCCCCGCCGTACGTCAAAGCGAGACGACCAGAACGATACTGGTACCCCTTGCTCGGGTCGTAGCCCGTCCAGTGTAGCTGACCGGCCCAGAAGGAGTAGAGAGAGGTTACTTGGCGGAAAGAGGCGAGGAGGTTCGATGAGGAGAAATGGGAGGGGTCGGAGGGCGGGTTGAAGATCCAGGTCTGAGGACAAGTGAAGAATGAGGTCGGCCGTCAGTTATAAGGAGAGTTATCATGAGATATCAAGTTACACTGGGTGGTGCTCGTGCTCGTCAACTCGACTTACCGCACATGATCTGGCGAACTTGGCACAAGTATTGTCAAGGATCGAGAGCGGGACATCTTTGATCTCTTTAGGCCAGTTCGGGTCGCCAGGAGAAGGTCGAACGACGTGGCTCGAGGTGGTTGCTATGGAGGGAGAAGAGATGGATGATCAGACTTGAACATAGGCATTGTTGTGCAGGGCGTGTTACTGACTGGTTTTGAATTCGCTCATCGTTGACAACTGAGATCGTTTCTGTTAGCTACGTGGAGTCTGACGAGACTTCACACGAGTGTCGATGTAGATATCTCTTCCTCTCGAAGTAGTCGAACGCTATATATCCCTCGAGGTCACGTCCGTTTCTGCTCCGGACTCTTCTTTGTTCTCGCTGCATGTCTCATCTCTTTTGTTCGACAGATTCATCGAAAAGACGTAGAGTCGGGTCGTAACCTGAAGTATATGGGAGCCGGGAGTCTCATCCAGTGTCATCTACGGTCTTGTTGACGTTCGAAGTTCCAGTATGCAAGAAGAGAAAGGGATGACAGGCCAGGTCGAGAGAGTAATGAAACCAGTTCAGCTTTATAGATGAGGTGGTCAGGATTGGCCGCTTTAGGCATGGATACTAATCAAAATGATACTAATCAAAATGATACTAATCAAAATAATCAGCCGATTACCAAAAATTACTAATCAACCGCGTCGTTTTCTAATCAAGCTGTACAACAGTTTGTGTCAGGCAGACTGAGAGCAAGTTCTTGCGTAATTCTAGAACATATGATGTCTTGAATTATAATATGACGATCCCAACGTCATTTGTCCATCTATCAACCCCCTGTCCCGCTGGATGACATAGATATCTCATCGTCCGATTGATGGCAGATCCACTTTCCACCAACGTTCGACGAGCAACTCAACTCGACTTGTAAGAAAGAGTCGTTCCACTCTATAGTCCGTCCGTCGGCTTGACATCGACCCACTCCGGGTGATCTTTAGCGATCCGCCAGCTGCGAACATAATCGCCCGGCTTTTCCTTGACAGGCGGAGATTGGCCGACTTCGACCCAGTTGTCTTTCCGGAGTTGATCGAGACGATGTGCTTCGAGCGTCTTTTGCAGTTCTTCGTCGCTATAAGCGGACCACTCGAAGACTTGAGGTTGAAGGGGAAAGACAAGATTGTGATCAGCTCTGGTGTCGAGAGAGATTCTGGCTTTTCCCCTGTAATCGCGGCCTAGCGACTTACTGCCGCCTGACACTATCATAAAGCCCAGTTCCCCCCAGGTGCCAAAAAAGCACATCAAGATGTATCTTTCTCTATCATCGGGAGGAGGTCCCGCCCATGGCCCGTTTTGGCAAAAGATATGAGCGAGCAAGATGATGCACGTCATGAATCCGGTCGTCAAAAGGAGGATGCCCTGATTCTGCATTCGCTTGTTCTCCAACAACTTGTCATCGAGGATCCCGTCCTCGTCTCCTTGGTACCGTTTAGGCTGTTCAGTGAGTAGCCTGGAGATGTGTGAGCTGAAGAATGAGAGGACGGATTGGGCGGCGATGATCAAAGCGAATTCTTTTGTGCAAGGAGCAGGGATGTGTGGCCGAGGGATGGTGATTCCCATTTGTCGTGCGATGCCGAGCGCGATGGCGATGAGGGAGAGGTTGAATATGAGGAACTTCATAGTCGTCGTCAGCGTCTTGATAGGAGTGGATCGAGCCCGAAAGGTTTCTATTAGAGCACAAGTTGAGGATGGGTTGATAGTTGAGACCGGATCGATTGGTTTATAGTAGTAGATCGAGCTGAAGGTGAGGTGATTCAACCCGGGCCAGATTTCCAGCCCGAATCAAAATGGGTGACGACGTCCACTAGAGTTTCGTGCCTATAGACCGGTGACGTCGTCTTGGCTTCTTCTAGTTTCTGGGACGTATACTGTGTATCGAAGACTTGCTGATCGTTCGGTTTGATGATCGGTCTTCGAAGGTGACTTGAGATAGACAGGTTGATCAGCGGGTTCTTGTACCGTTCGACGTTGACCGCAGCCTGAACGATAAAGGCGGCGATTTGCTGTAAGTACTACTGTTGATGTTATTCAGAGAGTCTCGAGCATGTTTTTGTCCCGCTGAAAGATCGGCGGCCCAGGCGGAGAGCGGATTGAGTAGCTAGTTGATGGATGGCATGTACAGAAGTTGTCGAATGTCGTTCGATCCGTTCGATCAAGCACCTATCTGGCTTCAGGATCCGAGTAAGCGGACCCTAGTTGCTAAATTACTAATGAAGCGGGAACCTTATACTAATCAATTTTCGTATCATACTAATCAACGATTCGATCTTGTTCTAATCAGGATTACTGATCGATCTGTCGTACCCTAGGGCCGGCTGACCTTGCCTCGGCGATCTCGAAGAGTCCGGAAATGACCTTTTGACACTATCCCTCAAGAAGTTTCTACCACTAGACGTACTATATCAACGACAAGACCATCTAATTGCCTCAAACGCCTTCAGAGATGTCATCGATATAGCCAACCTCCCATCCGCAAGCTTCGATCGACCCGGCCATGTCGTTTGACGATGACGACGACGACGAGTTTGGAGGGGACGACCTGTTCTCCCACCCGGACCTCTTGGCCAGCTTGGAAAAGGTCGAGCGAGAGCACAAGAGTGTGAATGTCGTCAAGGAGACGAGTAGGACGTTGGGGAGTGTCGCCGGGAATTCGAGTCGGAGTGCAGGAGGTGGTGGTTATCATCATGCTGTTGCTAGACCTGCTATACATGCGAGAGGACGAGGTGAGGAGCTGTGGTCTTGTGAGCCGAGTTAACGGAGATGTTGCTGATTCGATGTGTTCTCTTTGGAACGAGTAGGAAGAGCACCTCAATCGAATCACATAGCTCGTCCGACCACATCTCACCTCGCTCCTCAACCTGTTTATCGGAATCCGCAACAACCTGCTGTCCAGCTTCAAGCTCAACCACAACCTCAACCTCGTCTTCAGCCTCAAGCACAACCCACTCGCCTGGCACTCAAACCAGCTCCTGTTCCTGTTCAGGAAGAAGAAAGCGACGATGACGATTATGCCATGGCCATGGACGTTCTCGTTAATGAGGAAGGGAAATATATGGTCGTCCCGCAAGTTCAACAAGATCGACCTATTGCAAATCTACCTAAGCCCGTCTCCTCGCCTTCGGTGCCACCTCCAGCTCCAGCTCTGGCTCCGGCTCTGGCTCCAGCTCAAGCTCCGGCTCCTGTGCCCATCTCCTCGGACCGACAACTCGGCCGTTCGACCTCTTTGAACTTTGACTCTCAATCTCAATCTCTGCAACGGCAGCGACAACAACAACAACAGCAACAACAGCAGCAGCAGCAACAACGGCCAGGGTCAAGCAGCCAGGCGTACAATTCGCAAGGAGCTGGAGGGTCGCAATGGAAACGGACGATAAGCGCTGATCAGTTAGCTAGGAAGCAGGCTATCGCAAAGGCTGTAGGATCGGGTTCTGCTGCAGGAGCGCTCGGATCGAATGCTGTAGCTGCTCAGGCTGTCGCTCGACCGAGTATCGTCAACTCTGGCCGTCCTAGCGATACAGGACGTGCTCTGCCAAGCGTCACGAACGAAGCTGCTTCTGTCGATTCGGGAGAGGCGGCTCGATTACAAGCCGAGCTGGAAGCTCTAAGGCAGAAGCTGAGGGAGACCGAGTTGAAAGCAGAGGAACAGGTCTTGGCTTTCAAACGGGAGGCTCAGAAACGGCATGGAGAGGCCGTGTATGTGAGGACACAACTGGATGAGGTGGGTTTTGGGCATTTTCACTCGAGTTTAGGTCAGCCTCGCTCATTTGCAAACGATCTCGATGTGCGCAGGTGACAAGGAAGAGCGAAGAGACCATCTCGGAGCTCAAGCAGAATCAGCTTTCGGCGCAGGAGGAAGTCAAGAGGTTACAGACCGAGCATAAGAAGCAGCTAGATTCGGTTCAGTCGCAGCACACTTTTGACGTCAGTTCGAGGCCAAGAAAAATGGCGTAGAAGTCTTGCTGACCGTTTTCAATCGCTCGTGCCCGCAGGTCCATAACAACAAGGCTCACAAATTCTTCCCCTCGCAAAAGACGGCCGGAATGGGACGCATGACTCCAGGTCGTGGATCGTCGCAATTCCCGCAACCGATGGCCCCGTTTCAAACCCCCTCTCGATCTCCCGGACGTAGCCAGCGTAGCCCACGGTCGAATCGCAAGTGGCAAGCCGAACTCATGCCACCTCCACCTCCTCCAGCCTTTGTCGACCCGAACCGGTTCAAGACACCTGGTCGTGCTGGCACGTCACAGCGTAAAGGCAAGGACAGGTTGGACCTCAAACCCGCGGCGTCACCGAGTTTTAGCAACCTGCAAGACTCGTTTCATGTGGATCCGAATGTCGAAATGGATCGACTCAGCAAGAGAGCCAAACAGACGCACGTCGGGTCTGCTTTGCCGCCGTTTGACGAGGATGTGCGAGGTGGGGATGCCAAGTCGTCACCGCCGTACGATGGAGGATTTGCCCTGGACCTCGACCCGATGCCCTATCGACCGGCGCAGGCAGACGAGCCGGAGCAATTTCAGATCGAGCGTAGTGATGCGGATCTGCGAGGCGAAGTGGGTAGACGGTTCGTCCGTGCATTGAGGTGACATTGCGCTGAAACGATCTTTGTCTAGGTCATTCATGTGCTATTCGAGCACGCTTACGTGCCCGCCGATGGCGAACCTGAACGACCTCACATTACTACGATTCAACGGCTTCTCAACGTTCAAACCGCGCATATACTGCCGGATATCGAGCAGGGCGCGTACGACATCGCCTGTACTGGTCTCTGGGAGGCGATCGGTGACAATCGCCTGTCTGCCAAAGAGACTTGCGCCGTACTGGTCGAGAATTTGGTGGACGCCATGGTTATCCTCTGCCGTTGCAATTTGGTGAGCTTGTTGACGGGTATCACATCGATTTGCTGCTTGTCTGATCGATCTTCCCGCATAGACCCTGCCGATGGTGGCCATGATGCGCCTCGTGGTTTACATGGCCCATAGCTTGTCCCTCTTTGACGACCTACAAGAACGCATCGCCAGCTCGATCCCGGGCGACCAGCTCGTGGTTATCGCTCGATATTGCAAGCAGGATCGTCCGGCGCAAGTTGGAAAGACCGTCGGGGCCAAAGCAAGCACGACCAAGATAGTTCCTGCACGCACGGTTAAAGCCGCAGCCCGTAACGACGATCTGGACAAAATCGACACGCCTGAACCGGTCAAGGTGGAACCAGTCGAGATTGGGCGTGCGGTGATCGCTCTGGCAAGTGTCCTGGGCGTCGATCTGAATCCGCCTTCGGAAGTGTGAGTTCGGGTGGTATTGGTCGGTCCTTGTAGGGATGGCTAACCTCGACGCTCTTGCAGTCTGTCCACGTTCGTGTCCGATCTCGCGGGTCTACAACTGCTCCTGAAACCGGATCAGCCTGTGGATCTGGTCATTGACGCCATCGACCTGACCCTGGCGCTTAGTAGCTGTGAGTATGGTTTCCAGAGCAGGTCTTTCCGATCATCGGCTGATTCCTGTTGAATTACTCGCAGATCCCGACTTTTTCAGGCAGCTGTTGGTGCTGATACCGGCAAATGGAGCGAAGGATTCAAATTCGAGCGATTCGACACGGCCGCCTCTGGTCGAGCTACTTTGTGGCTATCTTAGGACGAGGCATCCCGAGGCCAGCGACGCAATCGTAAGCCGTGGGTTTTGGCACGACCCCTCGCGCCTCGACTGACGACCGTCTGTGCAGAACAACATGATTCAACTTCGCGTCTTGTGCATCTTTTCCACCATGTGCTCGGTCGAGTCGGACGCCCTCACTCTGCTTGCCAATAGCTATTTCCTGGTTCCGACCCTGATCTCGTTTCTCGTCGACCAGTCCGAAAAGATCTGGGGGGTGGCGACGAGCACGGAGTTGGTCGAGGAGTGGGTAATAAGCAACGACTGTTGATACGACAACGCGACTAACGTCAGCTCGAACAGATCGCTTCGGCTACTCATACCTGCGCTGTCATTGCTCCACCACCTCGTCTTTCCGCCGGCGTTCGGTCCGGATATCCACGACCCTTCCGCATCCACTCGTACCGGCGTCAACCTCATGGAACGCCTGGCCGAGCTGTTGAAGACCCGCGAGTTTGGCAGCTTGCATCATTCGTTCTACACCGCGTTGCCTCGCATCACTTATGCCGATATCGGCGAGGACTTGGATGGGTGGGACCCGGAGGAGCTCAAAGATATGCAGGGTGGGTGGCGCGGGTTTTCTCGAGTCTAGATGCGGAAGTTTGACGAAACGTTTGACTTTCGACTCGCACGCAGACCTGGCCGGGGACATCCTCGAAGGCCTCATCGATGCCCCCGAAGAGGGAGACGGGATTCTGGAGATGTATCGCCCGGTGAACGAGATGGAAGCCGGTCTGCGATCAACCGACGATCAAGATGTCGAAATCATCGAAAGCATGGGCATCGATCCGGGTCTAGAGGACGAGACAGAGGCGCGGAATCTCGCTAGTCCCGTGGAGGATCGGGGGCAGGGTCGGTAGACGGGGTATGAAGCGATCAACAAGGTATATTATCATTATGCTACAAGGGATACATGCATGTCATTACGTAGATGCCGGAGACGATAAAACTATGACCCCTCCGCTTCGACCTGCAACGACGTCATGGTCGAGCTTTTTTCAAACGAGACCCGGGTCGAACGAGTTCGCTCGAGGTGGTGCGAAGGCCGCGGGGTGTATCTGACGATAAACCGGAAGGCAGACCTTTTCCCAACCCGCTCTTGCTAGGACTGGCGCGAGCGACAATCTCGGGACCCATCGTCGACCTGGTTCGAGGGAGTTTTCGCTCCGAGGTTTTGCTCTGAGGCAATCCGAAGACGTCCATCCCTCCTCGCATCGTCGAATGCATCGTGTCATCCAGGTCGCTACCAAAGTCTGGTATCGTTGGCGATTCGGCGAGTAGGGCCGGCGAGTGCACGGCGTCTTCTTCCAGCACCCGACCTAGCTTGTTAGAGTCCTCTCGTGTACCCCGGTTGAAATGCCGCTTTTCGCCTCTGGCCGAGGGCGTGTAGAATCCGCTCAATGCCGACGACGTGGCAGACTTGGGCAAGAGCCTGGTTTTGCTGCTCGAATGCGTCGTAGCCGGTGCGACCCGTACCGCCGAGTCTCGCTTTCGTGGGGTCCTAGGAGTGTTGTCCACGTCCACCGACGACGCCCTGCTACTTCTCCCATCCGATTCGTCCGTGACGGGCGTCATCAACCTGCGATCCGACGTACCCGACCTGCCCGTCGTCATCGAATCGAAAGAACCTTCCGAGGTGGACCTGTCGGTGGAGACTTTGCGGCGGGGAGCTGGGGTCGATTCGATGAAGCCCAGCGTGATGAATTTGGTGAGATCGTAGGCTGCGGGTCCGAACCAGTGTCCACAGATGACGATATTTTCTAGGACGTCGATCCCGCCGATTTGAGCGAAGCGGATGAAAGGCGATGGGTTGGCCCGGGAGGTAGGTGCTGCGAGGATCGAGTAGACGAGGTCGAGGAGGGACGGGGTGATGTGATAGGCGAGAGTGTCGTTGTAGGTCGCTCGCAGGAGGTCTGTCAAGATCTGATCCGGTTGCAAGGTCAGACGGCGTTTCGTTTTGGGCATAGCCGCAAGAGCTCACCTCGAACACCCTCGTCTCTCTCAAAGCCGCCCGGCAGTCGTCTTCCACCGAGACGAACCCTTCCAGCAAGCAGAGCCCTTGTAAAAGACCGGCGAGCAGTTGAATCTCATCGAGCATCTCCACCCGTTGAGGTAACATCTGCGGGAGGTGTGGGAGAACCGCGGCGTGCCGGCAAAGAAGGTCTAACAAGGATCGATGGACTGACCGGGCGGAAGTGGTCAGATAAAGGTTATCCCATCGAATTCAGACTTTAAAACCACTCACTACCTGATGAGATGAACACCTCCAGCTCGCTCTTCTCGTCCGACCCGGCTCCTCTCGTCTTTTCCGTCAAAGGCAGGCGGGAGGGTGCCAAGCTTGCCAGTCGTTTTTGTAGCGTCTCGAGCGTTTGTAGGCGGGTTGAAGGGGATGTGCGGTGTGATTCGATCTGCCAGCAGAAGAATACCATCGATCAGAACGAGTTTGAGCGGGAAGGTTCGATTTAACGCTCACGATCGCTGCACTCTCGGCGAGCTCTTCTTTCAGCCCGCGCTCTTTGCTCACGGCTCTCGACCTCTGAACATCCTTTCGCGGTGATCCTGCATCGCCTCTTCGTCTACTCGGCCTTCTCTGCACACCCAGGTCGTTCAAACCGTCCGTCCTGTCTTTGTGGCTACGTTTCTTGCTGGGAGAAGCTTGTGGAGTGGCTAAAGGACCGTCATTTCGCGTTTTCAGATCGTCCATCGCCCTGGCTCGACTACGTTTAGGGGTAGGAGAGCCAGGGTCTTCTAGGTCCTGATAGGTTCTGGAACGAGTGATGCTGGAGGTATGGGTGGATCTTCTGCTGGTACTGGGCGAATCGTACGAGTTGGTCGTAGATGAACCACCGTCGGACAGGTCGCTCGAATCCGTCAAACCGGGCAGAGTCGGAAGTCGAGCATCGCGGCCAGATCGATAGGGTTCGAATGGCTGTCTCCTGGATGAGCTCGGTATCTCGGATGGCAAAGCAGGTACAGGCGGAATCGATCCTCGTTGTCGTGGTATGTCGAGGATCGTGGAAAGTGCCGAGGTCGATTGTGATTTGGAATGACGGGAACGGCGTGAAGGTGCGGGCGATTCGTTTGCCGACAGCGTGGCCATTGTAGGCGGTGTGCGTGAGGTTCGAGCCAAGTCAACAGAGATGATACAGGTGAAAGAAGAGCGAACGCAGGCGGGTCGATGGAGAAGGTAAGAGGTCGATGATCAAGACGATATGGAAGGTTGACCTCGCGACCAAGTCGTTCGGTTTGTTGTTGGTTGAACGAGGTTCTACGGAAATTCGAACGTGACGTCCGAGGACAATCGACGGATTCACATGGACAGGCGCAGGCGGATTGTATCAAAATCATCAAGACAGTGTAATGATCTTCCTCATGCCCTCTTGTGATTTTAGGGGATGAGGAACGTTTGCATATCAGGATTCACAAGTTGCGGCTTGATCGTTTGGCCTGGTCGGCAGGCAACATCGAGTTTTTTGCCCAGGACCTGAGAGCTGCTGACTTAACGTGTTTTCCGACGAATGCGAACGAGTTTGACGTGATCTGGCAACAACCTGATAGCAGGATGGTGATTTCAGTGTTGTACAATGATGTACCAACCTAGGACAGTGTTCAGACCAAGTTGCAAGCTTGTTGCAACAAGGGAAACACATGAACACGTGTGAGATCGCTGAAAAGTCTGGTTTTGACGTGTGAAGGGGTTAGTGTCGATCACATCATGACGGACAGGTTCTGAGCGGATGGCAACATGTTGAGCTGTTGTTCAGAGTCATGACACGACCGACAAGGCCATAGGACCCAGCTCTGACCTCGCGTTCACGTCCAATACTAAATTCTCGCAGCTAAAGTGCCCCCCCACAGAACAAGCGGAAGAAACGCAACCCACACTTGTCCCAAGGTCAGAGAACAGTCCAGGTAGTTTCCCCAGCTTGTTCAGACTGCAGACAAGCCAGAACAACCCATGTTACGTCAACAAAGCTGACTGAACACTCTTGACGAATTTCAAAAGGTTTAGCGTGTTTTTCGGACGAATGCGAACGAACATGACGTGTTTCTGCAGCAACCTGATAGTAGGATGGTGAATTCAGTGTGGTATGATGATGTACCAACCTAGGACAGTGTTCAGAGTGATTTGTGAGCTCGTGGTAACAAGGGAAGCACTTGTGTTTGTGTGAAATCGTTGAAACGTCTAGTCTTGACGTGTGAAGGGGTTAGTGATGATTTTGAGAGAACGAACAGGTTCTGAGCAGACAGCAACGTGATGAGCTACTGTTCAGAGTCATGACAAGGCTGACAAAGCCATAGGACCCAGCTCTGACCTCGCGTTCACGTCCAATACTAAATTTTCGCAGCTAAAGTGCCCCCCCACAAAACAAGCGGAAGAAACGCAACCCACACTTGTCCCAAGGTCAGAGAACAGTCCAGGTAGTTTCCCCAGCTTGTTCAGACTGCAGACAAGCCAGAACAACCCATGTTACGTCAACAAAGCTGACTGAACACTCTTGACGAATTTCAAAAGGTTTAGCGTGTTTTTCGGACGAATGCGAACGAACATGACGTGTTTCTGCAGCAACCTGATAGTAGGATGGTGAATTCAGTGTGGTATGATGATGTACCAACCTAGGACAGTGTTCAGAGTGATTTGTGAGCTCGTGGTAACAAGGGAAGCACTTGTGTTTGTGTGAAATCGTTGAAACGTCTAGTCTTGACGTGTGAAGGGGTTAGTGATGATTTTGAGAGAACGAACAGGTTCTGAGCAGACAGCAACGTGATGAGCTACTGTTCAGAGTCATGACAAGGCTGACAAAGCCATAGGACCCAGCTCTGACCTCGCGTTCACGTCCAATACTAAATTTTCGCAGCTAAAGTGCCCCCCCACAAAACAAGCGGAAGAAACGCAACCCACACTTGTCCCAAGGTCAGAGAACAGTCCAGGTAGTTTCCCCAGCTTGTTCAGACTGCAGACAAGCCAGAACAACCCATGTTACGTCAACAAAGCTGACTGAACACTCTTGACGAATTTCAAAAGGTTTAGCGTGTTTTTCGGACGAATGCGAACGAACATGACGTGTTTCTGCAGCAACCTGATAGTAGGATGGTGAATTCAGTGTGGTATGATGATGTACCAACCTAGGACAGTGTTCAGAGTGATTTGTGAGCTCGTGGTAACAAGGGAAGCACTTGTGTTTGTGTGAAATCGTTGAAACGTCTAGTCTTGACGTGTGAAGGGGTTAGTGATGATTTTGAGAGAACGAACAGGTTCTGAGCAGACAGCAACGTGATGAGCTACTGTTCAGAGTCATGACAAGGCTGACAAAGCCATAGGACCCAGCTCTGACCTCGCGTTCACGTCCAATACTAAATTTTCGCAGCTAAAGTGCCCCCCCACAAAACAAGCGGAAGAAACGCAACCCACACTTGTCCCAAGGTCAGAGAACAGTCCAGGTAGTTTCCCCAGCTTGTTCAGACTGCAGACAAGCCAGAACAACCCATGTTACGTCAACAAAGCTGACTGAACACTCTTGACGAATTTCAAAAGGTTTAGCGTGTTTTTCGGACGAATGCGAACGAACATGACGTGTTTCTGCAGCAACCTGATAGTAGGATGGTGAATTCAGTGTGGTATGATGATGTACCAACCTAGGACAGTGTTCAGAGTGATTTGTGAGCTCGTGGTAACAAGGGAAGCACTTGTGTTTGTGTGAAATCGTTGAAACGTCTAGTCTTGACGTGTGAAGGGGTTAGTGATGATTGTGAGAGAACGAACAGGTTCTGAGCAGACAGCAACGTGATGAGCTACTGTTCAGAGTCATGACAAGGCTGACAAAGCCATAGGACCCAGCTCTGACCTCGGCGTTCACGTCCAATACTAAATTTTCGCAGCTAAAGTGCCCCCCCACAAAACAAGCGGAAGAAACGCAACCCACACTTGTCCCAAGGTCAGAGAACAGTCCAGGTAGTTTCCCCAGCTTGTTCAGACTGCAGACAAGCCAGAACAACCCATGTTACGTCAACAAAGCTGACTGAACACTCTTGACGAATTTCAAAAGGTTTAGCGTGTTTTTCGGACGAATGCGAACGAACATGACGTGTTTCTGCAGCAACCTGATAGTAGGATGGTGAATTCAGTGTGGTATGATGATGTACCAACCTAGGACAGTGTTCAGAGTGATTTGTGAGCTCGTGTAACAAGGGAAGCACTTGTGTTTGTGTGAAATCGTTGAAACGTCTAGTCTTGAGGG